ACCTTTCTTGTTTGGAGCTCAGCCACAAATCCACTGTACCTCCCTCTGTTGCTTTGGCTACTAGTATCGATCCACGCTTCTCCCCAACCCCATAACTATAGCTTGGTCTATGCCCGTCCTTTTCTGATTTTCTCCCATTATATTTATGCTACACAGGTCCTGGCGAACCTGTTTTCCCTTCTGCTACAATTTCATCTTGCGATTTTAGACTGCTAAAACATATCCTTAGCACATTACTTTACCTTCACATCCCATTTCAACAAGCTGGATGTGAGCTGGAAGGTGACACAGCACCCTTCTACCCCTCCCCCTCTTTTGCCCAGAGGGATGACATGAGGCCAGAGTGCCTCTTGCTTCTTACACATGCCCTTCTGGGAGGCCTTCAGCTCTGGCATGCACTGTGGCCACATTCCATTCCGCGTCAGCTTCTCGTGCTTCCGGGGACATCAGGTTGTTGTTGATGATAACCCCAGGCTGGTTCTGCAAGGAACTTGCCCCACCCCCTGGATGACAGCAACAAGTCATGTCATTCTCACTAAGCCCACGAGAAGGCAACGGGTAGAAAGAGGATGGTATAGAATACAATGAGTGTGGTAGTAGCTCTCTGGTTCCCAACTTTCCCTTTAATGCCATGCCATGCTATGCCACACACACACAGTGGGACTGCACTCCCCTCCCATGTCTGGAAATAGAATCCAGGAAACTTGAATGCTGCTCCCCATCACCCAGCTAGACGTCTCGGCTCCCTGACTCACAGACCCATTTAGAGCTCCTTCCACCTGCTGTTTTCCTGGCTCCCTGTCCCTATCATCACTGGGCTCTGCCTTGGCTTCCTGATATGGGATGGGAGCTTATTGCCTGCATCCCAGTCTCATTCATCCCCAACTAAGCAAAAGTTAGATTATGAAATGAAAAAGTCTCCTTTTTCTCCCAGTCCCTGACTATTCACCTGTCTTAAAATACACCTGCCCCATTCCCGCAATGATCCGCCATCTACAATGATACAGGACAATTTATCACTTCTTTTTTAGGAACATGAGAAGTATAAAACTAAAACTGACCTTTTAATATTTTAAATGAAAGTATTTGAGATGCAACAACTGAAAAGGACAGGGCAAATCTTTCTTCATGTCTTAATCCTTAATGCATGAAGCCATACGCCACAACATCTGGACTTTTTCTTTTGCCAATGCATTTTACTAGTTTGCATAAAGAACTTGATTTCCCCGCTTTAAGTGTCTCTTTCACTGAAACGCCTTTGAAGAAGCTACAGGCAAAAATCAAGAATGCCAGCCAGCAATTCTACTTTCTTCATCAGACCCTTGATGATAAGAGAAAAAATTCCCCCTGCTCAAAACCCTTTTCTCTGTGCCACCTCTTATATTGCATCTCAGTCCACAGGGCTGATGCAGAGATTCTGTTGGGTCATTTGAGTTCAATTGTGACCATTTGCACATGGTCCCATTCTAATCCAAACACTCCCTTTCTTCCTTATAATCAACTCCTACTGACCAGGGCAGGGAATAAGGGCTCTCTATGGTCCCACTTTCTTCTGAGTCACCTTGACCTTTTCAACTGTGGCTGAACGGTTGAGGGCCAGCATTCTTCAGAGAAAAAGCTGAATCCCACATCCTGCTCCCATGAGCTCCCTTGTTTGGCTTGCCTACAGTTTTACTCTCATTATGTCCAGTCCGAGGCATCCACTGGAACCCCAGCAAGGCCAGAACCCACATGCAGAATGCTTGGAGTTTCACAGCCCACATAGTGATGGCTGTATTGTGAGCAGCTGGCAACAGCAGCAATGTTCAGTGGTCTGGGCCCTTCTACTGGCTCTTGCTTGGTAGGCCATCCTATTTTCTCCCTTATTCACACTCCTGTATGCCGTATCAGCTTGATGCCTCCAGGAGAAAAAGTCAAAACACACAAGCTAACAAAACTGTTTTTTCTGTATCACAGATCTGGGGCAGCAAAAGATGTCAACAGACTCTTAATTTATTGACAGGTCCCTGGAACTCTAGAGCTCAAGGGAGGCAAACTATGGCTCCCGCTAAAAGACCCAGGGCCACTGCACTCTTGCCTCCCATGAAGAACATCATGGTGAGGAGACCAGCCTGGCCCCATCCACTGGCCTGCAAAGGAACAGCTGCTCTGTTGCTTGCTCTCCTCTTCCCTTCCCATTCCTTTTTCCTTTTGCATCATGATATTGTGAGTCTACAGGCAGGGACTGTAATATTCTTATAGATACACAAGCACACATACACATAGTGCTTAGAAAAATCTTAAGCATTAGGGTTTAATTAGTCAGAACAACTAAACCAAGTGAGAAAGAATTTTCCCATATTTTTAGAGTCACTAAAATAGTAGCTGCTTATAGATTAGGATTTAAATCCAAGCAACAGAACAGAGGGATAAAGAGACGACAGCAGCACTATGTTTGTTGGCTATGGGAGGGTATTGCTTGTAACTCAATTCTCCCTTCAATTTCCCCACAAATTAACATATATGCAAAGGGGGAAAACCCTCTTAAAAACTCCTGAAAGAAAAAAATGTTCATCCACACAGATTTTTATATCTGTCAGTATCACCTTAATGACCCCAAATCTATGTTCTCTCAAGAATGGTGCAATTCATTAAGCACCCTCCTGTTACAGAAGCTGCATGCGGGACTAATTCAAATTCTGTTGGGGGAGGTTATTACGAGATTTGTTGTTTTTTATCTAACAGCGTTCTTCATCTCCCCCCTTTACACTTGTTTCCAGTGGGAAATCCCTTTTCTCAAATTAGGGTGGGAGACTTGGGGCTTTCCAGACGTTGTTTGCCACTAACTCCCATCAGCTATAGGCAGTGTGGCCACAAATGATGGTAGTTGCTGTCCAGCAACAGTGCCAAAGTGACTTGTATTGGCATTGAGAAAGGGAAGCCTAAGTTGGTCCCCTATTCAGCTATGGGGCTCACTAGGAGGCCACGGACAAGGCACTATCGCTCAGCTGCTTCAAACATTTAACAGGACTATTGTCCAGTGAAAGGAAAGGAAAAATCAGTTGTACAGCAGCAGCCAACAGTTGCTGTACATAAGCTTATCCATCCTTTGTACAAAACTCTGTAACAAAAGGAACCTTTGAAAAACAGGATAATAAATTATCCTTTCAACACCAGACAACGGGAACATAGAGGTGTTGAGGTTGGAAAACAAGCCAAAAAATAGTTTAATTGCGACTGGCAGAGCTCCGTCTGCAATAGTTTCAGTTACCGGCAGCGATAACCGTTGTGGGAAAGTTAACCTTATTTTTTTTACCAAACCCCAGAGTCCTGTAACATGTTATGTGTCTCACATTCCCCCGCAGGACATGTGGGTTGCTCTCACGGGCCAACCCCGTCCGACCTCGGCCCGGTGGGTTTTGCGGATCTGCTGCACCCTGGGACATTCCCAGCCCCAAAGCATCACCCCCCTTCCTTCTTTGGCTGGAAATCGACACCGTCCAAGGCCCTTTGCCTGGTAACGTGGGCGGGGGTTCCCGGAATGGAGCCCTACCAGAAACGCGTCACTAGGCAGAAACTGACCATATATGGCCATCTTCCTCTGCGTCAGCGCGAAAAGCCCCCTCCTTTTTACCCCGGAGGCTCCACCCACTGGAGCTGAAGTCAGAACTTGTGAGATCAAGGAAATGAAGCTCGGCGTGTGGGAGGCCGCCCCTCGGGGCTTTTGGGCGCACGCCCTCCCCTTCCCGTCCCTCGCTATAGGGAAAGGGAAAGAGGCTCAAGCTGGTTTTCTGAGCACCAGCGCTTTCGCATCAAGGCTCCGAGTCTGACATCAAAGGAAAGTGGGGCGCGGCGCGGGAGGGAGAACAATCCCCCAAACCCGGGAAATGACGTGAAGCGGAGAGGGGAACAAGGCACAACAGTATCGCAGCACATTCAAAAGGCCTAGATCCGATTGGTTAGGGAAAACATCGGAGGGGGAAGAGGGAGGGAGGAGGGGGGGTCGCAGTTAGAGACAACAGAGATGACGTGCCTAAATTATCGTAGGTTTATAGGGAAATAACCCAGTAAGGAGTTAAAGACACACGCAGGGAAGGGCCAGCTACCGGTAGGAGGGCTGTTAGGTTTGGTTACATCTTGGCAACAACTTTCCTCTCCCATCCCTCTAAACTTTAGCTTCAAGAAAAGAAGAGCAAGCGAGTTAAAACTGCCCCTAAAGAAACAGAGAGGCTGTTAAAAAAAACAACAGCTACAAATAAAAGTCTGATTTTTCCGATATAACCCCCCCCAAACAACTTGTAAAATAATCTCTAGGAGAGGAGACAGCAGATTAAGAGGCACACAACGGAAATTAGTTAGAACATGTTTACTTAAATAGCTTCAATAAAAAGTCAAAAACACAAATACAATCTTTTGAAGAAAAAAAAACTGAATTTGAGGACTCAAAAGAAATTAAGAGCACAAGTAGTAAACAATCCTCTCCCGCTCCCCTTTCCCCCAGTGACCCCTTTTGTCCGTACAGTGGCCTCCTGGGAGGGAGAGAGGTGCTGAGGTTTCATCCCTTCCCTGCCATCCTCTGTTCTGGTCCCTTTTGTTTCAATTATAAATTAAGCGATCATCTCCTTTTTCTACTGGCACAAGGAAGAGATCAGAAGGCCAGTTTCTGGCTCTGTCCAGAGTACCTCCAGTTCCACTGCACCAGCCAGCGACGCAGCAGAAGGGGTGGAAAAAAGGCTTTTGTTTTTTTCTTTTAAATACACTCACGCACGAAATCACTCTCACATACAGATATATATAAAAAAACCTCTTACACACACTCAGCACAGACCGGAGTTCTGGATCCACCAGACTGAGAGTCACAGACATAACAACTTGGAAAACAGGACTTCAGGAACAGAAGAGTTGGGAACTGGGCTCGTCAGTCCGGTTCCGTGTAAACTTTTGCATTACAAGTCCCCTCTTTCTCTTCTCCCCACCCCACCCGCCAAAAAGGTCTTTGAGACGGCAGGGATCGCCGCCCATCAGAAGGACTGTTGCATCTTGGCCGTCAAGAGGAGCTGGCAGCCGTTGTTCACGTGGTTCATGACTTTCTGCTTGAGCTGCGCTACCTGGTCCCGCAGCGCGCTGGCCGTGTTGGACAGTCCCGCGTTCTCGCTCTTCAAGGTCTTCACCTTGTCCTCCAGCCGAGCGATGCGCTCCAGCTTCCTCTTCCTGCACTTGGTGGCGGCCAGGCGGTTGCGCAGCCGCTTCCGCTCCACCTTGATGCGCTCCTGATCTTCCATGTTGATGGGCGACACGGGCGGGCTCTGCATATCCGGCACCGTCTGGGGCTCCTCTTTGAAGCCTCGCGAAGGGTGCGGCAAGGCCAGGCCGTGCGGCTGCGGCATGTAGCTGAGGTTGGCGCTGGGGTAGCTGGACGTGGTGCTCAGCGTGGCCGACGGGTTGTAGCTGGTCAGGTTGGTGTAGACGGGAGGCGGCTCCTGCGGGAGGGAGGCCCCGTAGCCGCTGCTGGCCGACGAGGCCGCTGCCGCTGCTGCCGCCGCCGCCGCCACCGCTCCGATGGAGACATTGGGCGGCGGCATGTGGTTCATCTTGTGCAGGTCGTCCAGCGCCTTGACGAAGCCGTCGGCGAAGCCTTCCTGCTCCTCGGTGGCCCCGCGCGGGTAGTAGTACTGGCCCGGCGGCGTCGGGGTGGTGGTGATCACCCCGTTGCTGTTCTGGACGATCAGGCGCTCCAACTCCGGGGCGGCTAGTTTGAGCGACGAGCTCCCGGTGTCGGCCTGTTGCTGCGGCGGCAGCGAGCCCGGGAAGTACCCGGCGGGGCCGTCCTCTGGGGCGCGGAGGTGGTGCGGCAGCTGGGACTTCAGGCCGCGGAAGGGCTCCGCGGACAGGTTCAGAGCCATGCCCGACTTCAGCGTCTTGTAGTCCTGCCCGTAGCCGGAGAGAAAGGAGTCAGGGTAGAAAGGCTGCTCCATCTTCGTGCACATCAGCCGCGCGCTGGGAAGGGGTCGCGAACCCGGGTTGGGACCGTCCGGGATCGAGCCTTCTCCCTAGCTGCCTCTGCCTAGGGGGCGCCGCGGGTCGAGTCTCTCGCTCCCCGAAACGAGGGCAGCAGCGCGCTTCCTTCCGCCTCCCTCCCTGAGCTTCACTTCCAGATTTCGGAGAGACACTCACAAGGAAGGAAGGGAGCTCGTCTTTCCGGCGGCTTCTCCAACCACCCGCCCTGACTAAGCTCGGCTAGCGGGGATGGTTCACGCGTTGTCTGTCCCCCACCAGAAGGCGCGCCGGCTTCGAGCCCTCCCCGAGAAGCAAAAAGGAGCAGGTACCGTACCGGCGAAGGGAGAGAGAGAGAGAGCCTCCGGCGCGCGCTGGCGATTGCAGGTTTGCGAGTTATCTCAGCTGCAGCGTGCGCTTCCCGGAGCCTTTTATTGCGGGCAGGCGCTCGGCGGCGGCGGAAGCGAGCCGCCATTGGTTGAGGAGCCCAGAGCGCCTCCGCCCACCGCGGCGCACGCGAAGGGGGAACTGAGCTCATTGCTCGGCAGCTCGTGCTCCAGTAAACAGCCCCGGGGAGGGGGGAGTTGTAAAGGCGCCCGCGTCAGAGGCTGGGCGGGAGGGAGCCCGGGAGCGAGAGAGAGAGAGAAGGACGCACGCGGGCCCCGGGGGAAGAGAGGGGGGAAGAGCGCGCCACGCACCAAGCCCTCCAGTGCCACAGCCCCCCCCCCACACAGGGGCAAGGTTAACATTCAGCCACCGGAAAGGTGGTAAAACAGGCCATGGGCATATAGACCAGCGGTTTTTGACAGCTGGAAGGGCTGGAGGCGGGAGACGCTGCTCCAGATTCCCTCTCACAGGTTAAACTCGCTGGGCGGTCTTTGTCCCAGGGTTGTTGTGAGGGGGTGAAATTCACATAAAGCCCCAGAAGTCAAGCGCAGCTCCCTGGAAGATACGTGTCAGATAAATATGCCACATGTCAGCTTCACCTTCCAGGTGAGAGAAGCCCCATCTGATGGTGAGGCAATAGGAGGGCTTTCTTCATTATCAAATCACAGGGAAGGGCATTTCTTTGGAAGAACTTGTATTATGTTGTATGTATGGCGGTCACACACATTTAGAAAGGTAATCATTTGAAACGCCTTCCAGATAGAAGTTTTTAAACCCAGAACAGTAGTGCCTGACTAGACATATGTACAATAACACACAACCTCTGGACACAGAGTGCTCTTTCTTATAAGGTCTAACTGCACACATGACATTCACTCAATGTCAGTAACTAAATAAATGTGCAGCCTGAGATGGATTCATGCATAAGTACACAAATACTATAGAAATATGTACAGAAGAATCTCATTCCAAATGCAGAAGCTGTATTCGCAAACTGCAAACACTTAAATGCCACATTAAGACTTAACCCAAACATAAAGCTGCACCCTGCCATCTTCAAAATAAACATACATACAACCTTAAAGAGACTTGTATACCACATTCAAATTCCAGAGGAGAAAAACACCAAAGGCCAGATGTACACCCAAAGTTCAGAACTGTAAAATTACTCTTATATAAAATCATTAATTACAAGACAACACATGACTTATGTTCATGGCACTTAGCGGAGTTTCAGAAACACAGTTTCCTGCCCCCAATAATCTTCCAGTCTAAATTTTGACAGCGTGGAAGAAAAGAAGATAGGGGAAGAAAGGCAGGAGGGAGAGGCACTGGTAGTCAAAGGTGTATGAAAGCAAATGAAGTTACACCTGGTTACAGTTGCTGGGCATGAGAATTAAGGGGTTAAAGACTTAATGGAAAAGGTGAGTATTGAGGAGGGGCCCCACAAATACATACACCTAAAGACTGATTTGCACAGATATACCAATCCTAACCCAACCCATTCACCCACAGAAGTACAAGGTGCAAAGTGATAATCAAGCCCAGTGGCCATGCTTTGGGTGGGTCTCGCTTCTTCTACAAACATGAGTATGTATTACATACAGTTCTCTAGCTTCATCTCCTTGCACGTATACACAATCACCCAGACATCTAAGATAAGCTTCATCACATTCCTCTCCCAGGGTTTAATATATTTAACAAACGATCCACCTCCCTGCAAATATCAGGTATTAGCTTTAGCTGATCTTTATATATTTTCAAGAGGATGCGAATTGTAAAGAGAGAGAGGTTTATAAATAAGTTATGAGTTGTTTCAGCAACCATAAGTGTGTAAGGGGAGGGGAGAGAACTTCAGGCATGGGGGCCAAATGCAGCTCTCCAGGCCTCCCTATCTGGCCCTCAGGACTCTCCGCAGACCATGCACCCTCCACACCTACATCTCTTCTCCCCAGACCATTCTCTCACTGGCACTGCTTCACACCCTTCTGGAGCATTTTTGCTTGGCTGCCTCTGGTCATTACTGGCATGTGCCCCCCATAACATTGCCCAGAAGGGATTGTGGCCCTTGGTGACTGCAACTTGACATTCTAGTAGTCCTAATACATTTCATTTTTTGGACAGTTGCCTTGAATGGAATTTACTTTCAGATAAGGATGTAGAAGATTGCACTTCCTCTCAGTAATAGTAATGGTAGAGGGCTAATCATTTTGTCTGATAATTAAACAGCTGTTTCTAATAAACGAAACCTCTCTCCCTCCCCCCGTATATAGAGTAAGGAATTCAGTGTTACACTACGGCAATTGTTTTGCCAGCGCAAGCATTTGAGCTTGCTAGACGGAATGATTTCCCCTCTTCTTCCCATGCACACTATTCAGGGTGGGGGGAGACCTGATCCACTGGCAGATATCCTTGCATCGGCTTCTGCTAATGGGACTCATTAGTTGAATCCCACCCACATATTAATATAAGTTCCTCTCTCTTGTCTCTAAAAACTACTCTATGAGTCATTTGCCCGATTCTCATGCACAGTATAATAAAATATTCTAGCATGAAATAAAACAACGTATGGGGCTCTTCAAATATAACTTGGACAAAACAAAGAGTAGAAACAATGGTACTGTCAGGCAGTGTTAGAAACTGAGATATGAAAGCTAGGAGCTAAATGGCACCTTAAACCTAGGTTATGGGCACAACAACGGAATGTCTAGGCACACTTTTTAATAACAAAAATAAAAGCTGAAAATGAATGAACGACAGCTAAAACAGTATATTCATTTTTCACAGGGTCTAGTCCTTCCTCTGCCCACCCCCCTAATATTCTTAAGAGGGTCTCTTCTCCAGTCTTCCGAGAGTAGCTGGAAGTAGGGAGGCAGAAAAAGGTCCTCCTTTCCTTCCACCCTGCAGTTTTAATCTGAAATCTTAGGCACAGTACTGCGCCCAGAGCTCAGAAACTGCTTGTGCTAATGAAATTCCCTGTTGCAAAATTCACCCAAAACAACGGGAGTTTCGAACACTGCTGTTGGGGCAAGAATTTGTAGCAGAAGAGTAAGGCCCTGCTCAGTAAAAGAACAGCAGGACCTCCAAATGCAATTATGGCCAGCTTGTCACATTTTGAAATAGGTGAAATAATATACATTATCATCCATCGAGCTCACCCACATACAATTATTAAGTCCAGAGTCTAAAATTACCTAATTGCACCACTGCCTAGAAATGTCCACTGTTCTGCCTGGTCCATGATCTTTCAAGCGGTACAAAGAAAAAGGCTAGAGTGAGGGTCACAGAGGACTGTGGCATGTATTAAGCAGCACCTATTTCTTAAAATTAGAGGTGATGGGGCCCAGGCTCTCCTGGAAGTCCTTCCTCCTAGCCCATGATGTGTAACGGCTGATAATTACTACTTAGTTGTAAAGGAAAACTCTTTCCACATATGCTTATGTCTTTACTTATATTTCATATGTCCCAAAGCTGGCTGGCCCTGGTAAAAGCTTGTGAGCTAAACACCTGGTGAGTTTTGCTCAAATGAAGTCAAACTTTAAGATGCCTAAAGAAGAACCATGGAGAAGCAAAAAGATAATGAAAAGAGGGAGTACCATTTTCGCTTTGCCCAGGAACACTGTTAACAAATGGGCAAAATCTACCACTCGGAAGTAGGCTGGGCATAGCAGGTTTCCCTTCCTGGCTCAATGTATACAACAGAACGTTGTCTAGGAGGGCTTTGCAGCTTGTCCACTTGACCTATGGGTCCTTGGTTTAGCTTGTCTCATATTTTGATAGCCTTATACTAAAATGTGGCAGTACATTCTCCCTAGACAAATACAACTCTGGGTTTTCCTGAAAGTCCCAGAACTTTCTATCTGCCATCTTGATGTAAATCCAAACTCTACCGTATTTGCAGGGACTAATGAAATGAGGGGTGGGAAGCTGCATGAAACTAAATAATGGTGAAATTGCACAAAGGGGGAAGCATACATCTGGGGAACAGTCAGAAGCTACAGTGCCACAGGTGAGTAATTAATACAGAAATCATATGTGATGAAAGGAGGCGATCCAGGAGTCCCTTGCCACAGTGGGGAAATGTAGCAGATTCCATCTGGCTGGGATGAAGGTCAGTCCTGGATCTTGCTCTCCTCCTTCCAGGCACTACAGGAGGAAGTGCCAGCCCCTGGCATTGCCCATTAATCGCTGCCTTTGTTTGCCTGCTTAACTCGGGCATCATGCGGGAGGGTGAAGGTTAGGGTGCGGCAGGCAACACACCCTTGCATAGCAAGCGTTTAAAAGGTTCCCGGCCTTGGAGAGCTTGCATAACGAGGGCAGGGAGAAAGAGACAGGCAGCACAGCATGCAAAGGAACTCTTCTGCCGCTTACCAATAAAAGTCAGAAATATCTGACTAGTGACGCCACATCAGGTCCTTTGCAGTTCTAAAATACATTGCTATTTTTCTCATAATTTGGAACCATTTTTAATTGATTATAACTCCATTCAGCAGAAACCCCAGGATAGATGTTCGTGACATAGAATCATAGATTTGTGGTTGGAAGGGACCCCGAGCGTCATCCATGCAGAAGTATAATTTACCTTTTCTGCATTTCTAATAAAACAAAAGCATTCAAAAGTCCCTATTCAAAGGGTCAATAGGGACAAATGTAGTAATTTCCTTAGAACCACATATAAACTGAGTACAAATAAAAGGTAAGGACTATGCATTTTCTGTATGACTAAGATTGTACTCTTTGGGTTTTGTTTTGAGCTGTTCTTTATCTTGTAAAGCACAGGAATAAAAGATTACAGATCCACAGTGTGATACAATTGTAAAAAAAGTATTACGGGGCATCAAATAGTGCTTTGCGGGGGGGGGGGGGTTGGGGGGAAGAGGAGTGGTTTTAGGCAGAGGGAGAAATTAGGGGCCAAAAGGGAGACTGGATGAAGCACTGATATAGTCTTTATAATGTGTAGGGTTCACAGACTTTGCGATTTCAGGCTCCACTTGTCAAGGCTGTCTTGGTTTGGAGGTACATTTCTATAAATCAAGGCTAGCGCAACAGGCCAGGCTGAGGAAAACACTCCAAGAAACCCAGAGTGGAGTCTGAGTTTAAGGCCAAGACACAGATCATAACCAATAATACAGTCCAAAGTACATGAAGAACTGGAACAAAGAAGGTGGGGCAAAGGAAATCAGGAACAGGAATAGAGGATGGAACAGCTCAAGGTAAGGATCCAGGAAGAGCTGCAACACCTACAAAAAAAGGTGGAGTCATTGAAATACTGCACTGTTGACCGAGAAGAACACACAAGGATTCTGCTTTTTATATATATAGTGTGCATAGCTATTTCACTCCTGAAGAGTCCTATGAACTGCCTATCAGAGGGAGTGATGTTTAGAATTCCTTTTTCCTGAAAGGGTCTTCCAACATCCTGGGCAAATCTAACCTTGGACAGCTCCTCATGCTAGATCCCAGCCTTAGCTTTTGGGACCTTTCGTGCACCCTTGAATCCCCTGAAACCTCTTTTCCACACAAGGGACAAGCTGGACTTGGGCAGATTATGCAGCCGCACAACTGGTTGCTTGGTATTGTCGGCATGGAGACATTTGGGGGCGGGGGGGGAGGGGGATGAATGAAGTGGCATCATCATTTAACTGCATTTTATATTTGTGCACTTTTGGAGATTACATCAGGTTTGGAAAAAATGTCTAACTGAACTTACCACATGAATGTGCTAGAGCTGTCTGTCTGAATGCACAATCAATAAGGGCAGGAGGGAGCACAATTAAAATGATGAAATGTGGGTGGCTGAGTAGCGGTGCGGATCTGAGGAGGTTTGGTTAGTGGCAGCTTCCCAGGCAGTATGGGTTTCTCTTCTGTTTTCCTCTCAGGTTTTTAATAATGAGATTCTCAGAAGCAACCTATTTCAAATATTGCAATGAATGCTTGAATCAAATGTCAACCCAGCACTTTTGTACCATCACACCCAAGTTACAAATTCCGTCTTCTCCCTGAGCTCTCCAAAGGAAAGGCACAATTCCTCTCCTATTGTAGTCACTGGCCAAACACCCGCTGCTTTCAGAGGAGCTGGACTCAATCCAATGCATGCAAGACAAAACCGCAGTTGAACTTTTTCTGCGTTAGTGACCGAGTATAGGTTAACTTGTCAACTTCATTTGTGTGCTAATCTGGCATTCAGTACATTAATTACATTGCTAAATTGCTCTTCATTAGGGCTTCAAGCCTTTAAAAATTACAATCGATAGGAATGGCTCTACAGCGCACTTAAGACGACAGCCTAAAAACTAACTATGCATTATATATTTTGTGATTGATTATGTTTCACCAGTAAGTCATTCCACAGGGTGCTAGCTTTTCAAAGAATTGGAATTTGGTTCTTTATTTTGCGATTTGTACTCTGCTACATGGCTCCATTTGACCTATGGCCACCAAGATAAGGGTGCAGGTGGTACATTTGTACCAGGAGCAGAGCCAGAGGGTGGGGCCTGCAGCTGAGTTTTCTTTTCTTTTTAAAATTTAGCCTCTCAGCATTTTGGAACAAACACTATGAAGCAAAATTTACAGGCACCATTCAAAACAACTGCACTATGAGGAAAAAGCCTGCTCTCATCTCTCAGTGTTTTTAGCCAATGGGTGAAGTCAGAGATGTGATTGACTAGTGATAGAGAGAAATTTAGAGTCATCCAAGCCTGAAGAAGGTCCAAAAATGACTTCAAAAATGACCCAGGACATCCATTATCCAGACAGTGGAGAAGACACTTCCTGGTTCATTCTGAAGCTGTATTTTTCCATCTTCCTTGGTAGAGAAGCGACTGTTGCCCAGAAAAAAATAATTGAGAAATCCAAGAGTTAAATATAGCTGTGCATGTCCATCCAAAAACAAAAAAGCAGCAAAGAGAGGAGACCATGCCTTTTCACTCTTAAAAACTATGTGTGTATATGCGTGCGCTTTCTGAGTAAACATTATTTTAAAATTACTTTGCTAGTGCAAATAAAAATAAAACCCATCATTAGTATATCTGTATGGCAGGATTGTGGCTATTATGGCTGAGAAAACATGGGTTATATCAGCCCTGCTGAGTAACCCAGTGTTGCTGTATTAATATTGCTGGGGCAGGGGTGATGAGAAAGAGAGCAGGATATGGCAATCCTGCAGTGTAGGCTAGTGTTGTTATCCTGTCCATTGGTGTATTGGGTTTGTTTTTAATTCTAGGAAATGCAGGGGTTTTGTGGGGGGATAAGGTGATTGTAGGAACAACATGTTGGGTAGGGATAGTTTGTTACTTTACAGTCATGGAGGGCTTCCTGGGGATGGATTATTGCTGCTGGTATAACACTAAAATACAGTGGTACCTTGGGTTACAGTTGAGAGCCAGTGTGGTGTAGTGGTTAAGAGCGGTAGTCTCGTAATCTGGTGAACCAGATTCATGTCCCTGCTCCTCCACATGCAGCTGCTGGGTGACCTTGGGCCAATCACACTTCTCTGAAGTCTCTCAGCCCCACTCACCTCACAGACTGTTTGTTGTGGGGGAGGAAGGGAAAGGATAATGTTAGCCGCTTTGAGACTCCTTCGGGTAGTGATAAAGCAGAATATCAAATCCAAACTCTTCTACTTCTTCTTCTTCTTCTTCTTCTTCTTCTTCTTCTTCTTCCAGATGCTTCAGGTTACAGACGCTTCAGGTTACAGACGCTTCAGGTTACAGACTCCGCTAACCCAGAAATAGTACCTCGGGTTAAGAACTTTACTTTAGGATGAGAACAGAAATCGCACAGTGGTGGCGAGAGGCCCCATTAGCTAAAGTGGTGCTTCAGGTTAAGAACAGTTTCAGGTTAAGAATAGACCTCCAGAACGAATTAAGTTCTTAACCAGAGGTACCACTGTGGATATATTCATGTTAAAAACTTAAATCCTTTTTACTTAAAGGAAAAAGAGAGAGAGAAAAAAGTGGCTGTTTGACCTGTGCTGTAAACCCTAGTGTAGTGATTATGAGGTATAAAAAATAATCACAGCAAATGCTCTTAGAATACACTACATGCTTTTTGACAATTTAATCTGGAATTTATAGAAGCATGGGCACCTGAACTTTTGATTACTGTAAATGTTAAATTTCTTTTAACCTCCCCTTGCCCCCTTCTAACTGCCATCAGAAGTATACCTGGTTTGGAATGAATGTAGTATTGCCAGCCCAGTAACAACTGATGGAAAAAAGATACAATAACATAGCTGGTGTACAACTCATCAAACTTGAATTGTTTTCATGATTTAGGGTTGGCACTAGGGGAGCGCAGGGCTCTTCTGCATTTTAGAGCTGTGTGGCAGGCAGGAATCCAACAGGTTGTTTTTTTCTAGAATCAAAATAAAATGATGGGGAAAGTTTCACCTGATTACATTCTGTCTATCAGACATCTTTTCAGTTCCACATGGCCCCTTTTTTATTTTTGAGCTCTCCACCCCACTTGGAAAGGAGGATGCAAGCTGCCACACACAGGAAGCATGTGAAAATGTTATGCAAATTTGTATCCTCTTTCACAACTGGGCCAGAGGTCTCAATCAGTGCCGGATTTACGTATAGACTAAACAAGCTATAGCTTAGGGCCTTACTCTCTTGGGGGCCCCCCAAAAAAATTAAAGGAAAAACACTGGATTTACATTTCCAAAATATAAGATAAAAAACAAATAAAATAAAACCTACATACAGCAACAGTGTTTTGTTTTGTGTTATGTAGGCTCCTATGATGTAAGTAGGGACGCGGGTGGCGCTGTGGGTAAAACCACAGTGCCTAGGACTTGCCGATCGTATGGTCGGCGGTTCGAATCCCCACAGCGGGGTGAGCTCCCGTCGTTCGGTCCCAGCTCCTGCCCACCTAGCAGTTTGAAAGCACCCTTAAGTGCAAGTAGATAAATAGGTACCGCTTTATAGCGGGAAGGTAAACGGCGTTTCCGTGTGCTGCGCTGGTGCTGGCTCGCCAGAGCAGCTTTGTCACGCTGGCCACATGACCCGGAAGTGTCTCCGGACAGCGCTGGGCCCCGGCCTCTTAAGTGAGATGGGCGCACAACCCTAGAGTCGGACACGACTGGCCCGTACGGGCAGGGGTACCTTTACCTTTACCTTTATGATGTAAGTAATGGGCCCTGCCTGCTAGCCTGCTCCCTAAAATATCACTGGTTTGCTATTAATAGACTTCTTCTTAATTGTATTTCAGTTCAACAATTACTTTGATAAAATACATATTTTGTTATGTGCAAATGGCTTTAGATACCTATTAGGTCCATAAATTACCATATAGCATATATTCAACATAAAAAACAGTGACAATTTGTTGTTGACAAAGGACAGCTGGACATATAAAGGGCCCATTTACCTTCAGTAGCTTAGGGCTCATCAAACCTACCGTAAATCTGAATCCTCATCTAGTGTGCTTGGCCTAGAAAATGCTATTGGTATCCCTGACTGAGACATTGTGATGGTTTACCATTACTCACTCAAACCATTTTTCTATCGAAAAGTAGTGGTTCTTGGTATAGTCCACAATTATCCAAGGCACAATTGAAAGAGATGACTCTGAACTTGAAAGCTGTAAAGTGGCTGGGCCTGAGTTAACTCAAGAACTCTTTATCCCTATAGGAACCATGCATATCTACTCAGAAGACAGGCCCATTGAGTTCCATTGGCTTTACTATCAGGTAAACAGTCTGGTCCTACCCATTGAAATTAATGGGCATGACTAACTTCAAAAGCTGCAATGGATCTCCTCTAAGCAGAACTCAGCTGGATACAACCCTAAGAATAGGACCACTCCTTTAGTTTGACCCTAAATATGTTTGCTCAAATGTAGGTCCTATTAAGTTCAATTAGACTAACTTCCATAAAAGTATGTGTATGGTTGTCTCCCAATCCTTAATGCAGTTGGTATAATAAACTCTATGGTTGTGTCCACACATTTAAAGAGCTCCCCCCACCCCCGAATCCTGAGAACTGTAGTTTATATCAACAGAGCTACAATTCCCAGGATTCATTGGGGAAAGTTGTGCACTTTAAATGTATGGTATACAGGATATCTATGGGAGAAGAAAAGGATGAGTAAACCCTACATAAATCTGGAGAGGAGTCCCTAAGACAGTTGGATGGCGCCTTGTATACTTCCTTCCAGCAACTCCTGCAGCCAAACTGGTGCAAAATGGATTGCTCTGCTTTCCTTTGGATCACATCAGTGAGGCCAAGACTGGGGTCCTGTTATCTGGGCAGTCCAGGACCTCCATACACACTGCCCAGGCTTGCACCCTGGGGGGGAGGTCACTTCAGTACTTCTTATGCAATGGTTTGACTTCTCTTCCAGTGGTGCAGTCTATGTATCTCAGGACAGACAGATGCCTACAATACAGCCTAATAGACCCCCAACCCCCATTTAAATCTGTAGGATTCAAAGCATACATCGTAAAAACCAAATTCAGCTAGACTTTAATGTATCCCTGCATGCAGTTCAATCCTACGTTGGTTTACTCAGTAAACTCCACTTTGTATAGTTGGAGCTACTACAAAGTAAGCAGACAGAGGAACACGGCCTTAAGCAATCTCATACTGGCTTACTTGTGAGCGAGCCCCATTTGAGACTTCCTTCTGAAAACGGAAAACCACACATAGGAACAGATTAAAGCATTTGCAATCTCTGATAAAGGAATGAGACCATCCAGATTTTGGGAGGAGTTTGGTGTCAGGACTCTTGGGTTCTATTCCTGGGCCTATTACTGATTCAGCATCTGAAGCTGAGTGACTCACTTCCCCACTGTGGCCTCAGCTTCCCCATCTGTGGAAAGCCCTTTGGGATCATTGGATAGGAAGCACTAAATATAACACCCACCTCCGCCCCCGCTGAATTATCCAAAGGAGGAAGGGGAAATAATCAGGACTGGGACAGCTCTGCCATCCAGAGAGGCACAGCAGGTGCCAATGAACTGCCATATCAGAACCCTCAAAATTCTTCTACACAAAGAACAAAATCCAGAAGAAACTTTAAGTGACTACTGGAAATACCCATGTAGCTTTTTGATCCTGAAATAGCTTTCCTTTAACTTTACTGTAAGAGAGCATATCTTGTGAATATACTTCCCCCGTCGTATTTTTATATATATATCTTGTCCCAAAGGACATTTTACCTCAGCTAGGATGAATCCCCAAGCAAGGATAGCACATTCCCTGATGATAACTGGAATATAACGCCGGCACCAGAACACAGAGAGGAACCTGAGCACTTTGATAGCGCTTTCCAGCCTAGGACTCAACAGGCAGGTCACTTTGGAACTCCAGACACACCCAACAGCAACCCATGCTCCACTCCAACCACAAGGGGGGCCAGGCACCCCACACATGTAAACTAGAGAAGGGGGCAGCAATGCTATACAGCTGAAATCCTGTGACTCACCCTTGGCTCTCACTCCTGCCCCCCTCCCAGCCTTTATTACATGTGGATGCTGTGTCCTGTCTGAACTGAATTGCCCTAACACACTCTTCTTCGGACAGTAGGGAGTGGTGTCTCCCAAACACAAGGCAAGCACTCGTCTCCAACTAAGCTCTCTGTTCAAAAAGGCCAGGTACTCCACTTCAGTCATTGTTGCTGCTGGCCGAACACTAATCTTGTTGGGACCTGAGCCAAAAGCAGGCCGAGTTCTCCTTCCCTCTCCCCCCCTTCCCCTTCCCCTTCCCCTCCTTGTTACTCATGTAAAATTAAGTCAAGGCTGCGGGTAACCCTTCACTGCCATATACACTTAACCTGGGAGTAACTCCCATTGAATACAATGCATAAGACTGCACAGTTAATCAGACACTGTGTAGTAAAATGGTGGTTTTTCCAGTATGACCTTATGAGTGAAGTAGGGATTTGAATCCACTTTTAGAAAGAAAATAAAAAACACAGAGATCAACTGAAGACTTATGTTGCTGGCAAACAGCTGCAAAACAGCAGGGTGTGTGTTTTTACCCACAATGCAACTAACACATGCCTGCAACCCCAGCTTGGAAGACTGAAAGTTCAGAACTAGAGAGAGAGGAGTTTTTATTCCATGATTACTGTAACAGAGCAGCCTCTACACAGATGCTCATGTGCTGTCAGAGGGAGAGAGGAATGTAGCAGCCTCTTCTGCCTTTGGGGAGTGTCTGAAATGGGGAAGGTTATGGCTGGCACCTGTACATGGATGAATGCACCACAAAAGGATGAATGCTGTGTCCTGATCCACCACATGCTGATCCACCGCTGATCCACCACAAAAGGATCAACTGTGCTCACGCACGGGCTCCAGCACAGCCAGCAGCCCTTAGCTGCCCTCTCCAATTGGGACATGCATATGGAGACTCCCACTTGAACGGTCTCTGACAGAAATAAACAAACCTGGTCTGGACTAAACGCCAGACAGTCATAAAAACAGAGACAGAGGTAGGGCTCTTATCAGGGGAGAGGCTGTAACAGAGCCAGGCCTGGCCACAGGGCACAGAGTCCCAGAAGAATGTACTCGGGGCACTGGGTGTAGCCAGCAGCATGCTACCTTTATGTTGCCAGCCAGCTGGAAATCTGAAAGATGGATATTAAGCTGGTTCCAATTTGCTCAAAACCAGACCCAACTCACTCCACAGGATCCTAGTTCCCAATTTTCAACCAGGCTCAGAAATCCGAAGCCAAATGTAAGAAATGCTCCTTTGTTCTCTATCTCTCTCTAATCAGCAGACCCCACTGCTCATCCAGTGCTGGTTTCCGCACCTGCTTTCTATGCCTTTCTCCATCAGCCAGATACAGCTTTTCCAACCCAATCTCAGCCTGGTTCTTTTTGGTTCTGTTTGACTCCAACCACCTCAAGCCATTTCTTTACAGATCTGCATATGCCCCTCCCCACATAACATACAAAAAACCAAGCCACCCCTTTTTACTTGTGTTCAGAGACTCAGGGTAGGAGGAGGGTGGGTGGGTGGGTGGGTGGGTGGGTGAAGAAGGGGCTTGGCCAAGCTATGGCTTCTCTGAACAGTTAGGGATTAGTGCCAAGGGCAGGGAGTTTCTAATCCTGGCATTTCGTGTCTCTGCCCATCCCAGGGCTGTGCCCGTCTGCCTCCTACTCAGCCTGTGCAGCAATGCATGCCTCTGCCCTTCCCCCTAAAAAAGCAAGTGGGATACTTTCGAGGCAGAGAAAAATGAAAACCTGTTTGTGGGAAGCCCTCCACCCAAAGTCTATATGAGAATGCATGCTTGTTTTTCTTCCTGCTGAGGAGTTTTTAAGTGGTTTCAGTGGGATACTGTATATGAGATAGATCCCAAGTGTTAACAGTATAGTCCCATTGCCAGAATGTAAGCTTTCCTCACCCGTCTCTTTCATTCATGGCACTTCTCTTCTGATTAAATAGATAGGGCACCTGTGGTTTTATTTTATTTTTAAAGCATCTAGGTTTCTAGAACTTAGTGTTGTCAGGAAAATACTCTTCCATGATTAAACTGTGTATTGCGCTCTTAGAAGATAACAGTTGCAGCTGCAGCTCCATAGCTTCCAACACTCCTCCTTGCCCTGGCACAAAGATTTCAATGGGGAATCTGAAAATGGCCAAACTTGAGTGTGAGACTCCAGGATCAAGATCTCATCCTCCAAGATTGGCTCATTCTTTCTACGGCCGCCTTCGAACCCACCAATGTATTGATATGAAAATTGCCTGCTGAACCTGAACAACGCAATCCAGCTCTGCCACCTCCAACATGTCCTGCCAAATTCCATCTGATCCCCTTCAACAGCTGTCAGTGGCAACAAAAGCTGAAGCGACTGAACATATATTTACAAAAAAGGGGGGGGCATACCAAATACAAATCAGCCATACAAAATATATATATCATCTATCATCAAGATGATTTCCAAGCCAGTCAATAAATGGGATATTTGGAATTATCCCAAGAAAGTCCTGAGAAGCAGTGCGGGCCAAGCAATAGTGTCTTTGCAGGAGAGAAAGAAGAACAGCCACTCACACAGACTCATGCTGCTAAAGACTCGAGGCTCGTATCAATAATGCAATACTTCTCGGAGATAAAAACTTCTTCCCACTATTATTAAAGAAATAGCTGAGAGTAACTGGCATAGAAGGATTTAGTATTTCACCCAGGATCTGGAAACCTCATATTGCTTAGATCATGCCATGCAAACATAGTGGGGAGGACTTTTGGTGGTGCTTCCCCCACCCCCACCCCTCTGCCGCTTGACACAACCACCTTACTATGGCTTACAATAGGTCTGGCCCTGCCTGTGCTTGACTCACACAGCAATGAGGCATGGGTTCATGTTGCAAGAGCCATTCCCACCAGCCCTTCAAACTGGGCAGTAGGCAGAACAGAACCAACCCCCCAACATCCTCCTGTGATTTATCCAGAATTTTAAAAGCACATTTCAGGCAGAGGAGGCAGTGCTGAAGGGGATGTAGAACAGGGTTTCCCAAACTTGGGTCTCTAGCTGTTTTTGGACTACAATACCCACCATCCTTGACCACTGGCTCTGCTAGCTAGGGATGATGGGAGTTGTAGTCCAACAACAGCTGGAGACCCAAGTTTAGGAAACCACAATGTAGAAACTGGAGTGGAGGATCTCTAGGGTACTACCACATTCTCATGAAATTCCAAGTCTTCACTGGAAGACAATAATTTTTATCTGCCATGCATCTATTAAAGGCACAGGAGCTCTGTCCAGGGGGCGGGATTGGCAAACCCACACATGCACAAGCAAACAATGTAGTAAGGCAGTTGTTTGAACATACAAGGCTACTGTCATTCTTTTCTTTTCTTTTTTGCAAACATTGTTTAATTCCTGTCTTGTTCATACTGCCTGTTTAACACCTACATTTGTACATGGTAGCTTTGGCGATATACTGAGGTTGCAGGTAAGTCCAATGCAGTAAAACAGGGAAGAAGCAGTCATCCCTAAAGCAGAGAGAGAGAGGGAAAAAACATTGCGCACACGCAACACAGAAAAGGTACAATATGACAGCCAGTGTGTTGCAGTGATAAGAGTGCAGGATTGGGATCTATAATGCTAGGATTCAAATCCACCACCTGCCCCCCAGCCATGAAACTCACCAGGCGACCCCAGGACAGTCACTATGTCTTGTCTTGGCTTAACCTTCCTCTCAGGGCTGTTGTGACAACAAAAAATGGGCAAGGGGAAGGATCACGTATGCTCTTTGGAGGCAAAGTGGGTTATTTATTCATTCATTATTACATTTGTATCTCACCTTTCCTCCAAGGAGCTCAAGGTGGTGTCCACAGTACTGCTACTCCCCATTCTTTTCTCACTACAACCCTTTGAGGTAGGCCAGGTTGAGAGTGAAAACTGGCCCCAAATCACTTGGCGAGCCACCCAACTCCACTCACTATGGCCCCCTCCACCTCTTTCCCCCTCTTCTTCCTAATGTAACACTAATATCTCAACAGATGAAACTGATCTGTAGAAAATGTAACTTGAAAAAAGAGACACTGCTAATACTTTTGTAAACCAAGAAATCTTTAATAAAAAATATGTTAAAAAATAATAATAAAATTATAGTTAGATGTAATTCACCATAAATTATATTGTGATTCACTAATGATATTTCTTATGTCACAATCACAAATGTTTGTTTACTGTCATTCTTTTTAACAGGACCCTGTGCCTTTAACAGCTTCCGTAGGCGCGGCTTCACCTAGCAATGTGATCCGACAGTGGGGAAGCTTCCCTTGCTGAACCTATGCCTGTAGCCTCTGTTGTTAAAGGCGCAAGATCTCAGCACAGGCAGACTGCAGAGCAGAATGAAGACCTGCTGACAGATGTGTGCATAAGCTTACAGAGAAAGCCGTTTAGGGATGCTGGTCAGGTCCAAAGGGAATGGGCCTTCACAGCTTGTTCACTGGGAGGCAACTCACTCTACCAAGGTGGTGAGAGAAGCCGGTGGGTATGCAAAATACTTCCCTAGAGGAGGATCCCTCTCGCCTGGTCTCCAGCCCAGCCTCACTCCACACAGGCACGTTCCACCCTGGAGAAACCTGCCCCTGCAGGAGCATCTGGGCTAGAGACACCTCCCTGCTAGCCAGGGCTGGGCAGAGCACGGCGCCAGGTTGGCGTCGTTTCCAAGCTTTGCTACAATAGGAGGCCTGGCACCCAGACTGGCCAGACCAGTGCATCTCGGGGACAGAAAGGGGGAGGGGGTGGCAAAGCCTGAGTCAGCACTTAAAGCCCTTTAACTGGCCACACCTGGAGCTTTCTCAATGCACAAGAACACTTGGCTAATTATAGGGGAAACAAACACTATAAAAGGTAAACCCTCAAGCCTGAACTGAATCCCATGCAGTCCTGCCACCCATCCCCTACTCCAGTGGTTCCCCATTGTTTTGCACTGCGGCTTCCTATAATCTGCTTAGCCACAAGATTCTTTATCCTCATTTTGTTATGCACCCCCCCACTTGCCAACTCCTTCCCCAAGACACAAGGATTCCACCCCACCCCCCAAAAAGATGAACATTTACACTATGTACCTAGGTTGCTGTCGTTTAGAACTGCATAGCCGTGTCTGAATTGCAGTGATGTCACAAAAGCAAGGATGTCAAAGCAATTAGCCCCCTTTGCTATTGGCTGAGTTGACGGAAGTGTCACAGAATAGTCAAGAACACTCTAACTGCTAAGGAGTTGAACTATCTGCAGAAAGGGCCAGAAACAGCTTGTGTGAGCTTCTGGGTGCAGATAAGTTCTCATCATTCTGGTCACTTTTAAGTCTGAGTACAGTGGTACCTCTGGTTACAAACTTAATTCGTTCTGGAGGTCCATTCTTAACCTGAGGTACCACTTTAGCTAATCAGGCCTCCTGCTGCCGCCGCACTGCCGCTGCACGATTTCTGCTCTCATTCTGGGGCAAAGTTCTTAACCCGAGGTACTAGTTCCAGGTTAGCGGAGTTTGTAACCTGAGGTGTCTGTAACTTGAGGTACCAGTGTATGTGAATGGTGTGTTTGACTGGGAGGCTCATTAATTCGCATAGCCCAGAAATTGACAATAAAATTTTAAAATCTTGTATTTCCAACCTAGTCTCTACTTCTTACTATTGCTTTGAAGCACCAACCACATCCCAGTTCTTTTAATCGTTGTATGCCTCTCCACCTCCAAACCTCTTTTTTTATCCCAAGTTTTGACTTCCATGCTTGAGAGCCCAGTGTCCTGGGCTTGCTGTGTCCATCTGTTCTGCTCTGCATTTTTAAAAATTGTTTTTATTAAAGATTTTCTGCTCTGCATTTTTAAGGCAGGGTGCCAATTCCTCCCAACCCCCAGGAACTGAAGACTTCCCTTCTTGTTGCTTTGTTGCTTCTACAAGCCTCCCTTTTCTTTTACAGCACAGTCCTGACTATGTTTACTTGGAAATGTCCCATTGTGTTGAATGGGGGTTACTCCTTGAAGGTGTTAAATGGAGAACTTTCCCAAGTGCACGTAACACCAAAGCTTTAACCAAAAGAAGGAGTGAAAGGATAACAGGATTTATTAGGGCTTAGCTTGGGAACCTCTTTCCAGTGCCAAAGCCCTGGCTTTGTTTGGAGCACATAGCTATAGAATATCTCATTGTAGCATATGTAACCACAACCAGATGTTGGGTATCTGTGATAAAGAGTACAGGGGTGGGGATAGGAAGACTTCCAGATAGGCATGAATCCCAACACCTCCTTTTAGAAATTTAAAACCAGATATATGAAAACTGTAGCACTGGTTTTTTGCTAGGCTATGGCAAGAATCCAAGGGTGGATCGACAACTCTCATGTTCAAGGTCAGATTTAACACACATTATTTCCCCTTGGGTGTCCCGTATTTGCAGTAAATGAATTATGAATTATTAGTGAACTTTGTCAGCTGCTCTGGGAACCCTTTTGGCTGAAGAGCTGGCTGAAAAAATGTGTTTTTAAGAGAGAGATAGGCAGATAGATATAGAATAGCCGTAATACAACTTTTAGAGCATTTCTCTCTCTCTCTCTGTGTGTGTGTGTACAATTCATATTTTTGATTGTGAAGTTCCAGGAAAACAGTAGTTACTCCAGAATTTTTTAAAAATTGGGGTTAATTAATTAATTAGGAGGCAAGGGCCGCTGCAAGTCATTTTATTCTGTTGCGAGGCTCCCTGGCTCTGAATGTTCTTTTCTTCCTCCTGTTTTTTCTCTTCCTCTGCTTGACCGACACCCATGAATTTTAGGGACTTTAAGGCCTGCTCAACTTCTCCTTCCTATAAATATACTCCTTTACACAGCTGGGAGACAGCTGCGTGGGATGGCACAGGCTGGGATGGAAAGAGCAATTGGGCTTTCTTTCTTTCTTTTTTGACAATCTCCTCCTCCCATGAGTGAACTGAACCCTAAATGTTTGCAAAATACTCCTAAACATCACAACTCTCTCCAAAGAATCACACCAATTGTCTCCCAGTGTTTTGATCTCTGGGATCATAAGATTCACATGGCCCAGTAAACCGAAGCTGGCTCTAATTCAGGGATGCTGTGGCCTTCCAGATGTTGTTGGACTCTTAACTCCCATTAGCCCAAGACAACAGGGATGCTGGGAGTTATAGCACAACAACATAGGAAGAGGCAAAGGCTCCCCATTTCTTCTCTCATCCATCCCTTCCCACACTGTGTTACCCCAAGGGGAGAGGTTCATCCAAACCCAGCTGGGAAATATATTCTAGACAAAGTCAGTCCCACTCAGTTCTATTGATCCTCAGTTCTAGATGTCTTCCCCAGGCACAAAGTCGTGATTCAGATAACCTGTATCAGAAGGCCCTAGAGAGCAGGGATGACATTTACAGGTGAGTCACTCTGTAAAATTGGAATTGCTTTTGGAAAAACTAGGGGGACACAGGTATTTGAGAGAACGTGTTAGATTTTTCTAACAATCACAATCCTGCCTAGAAATATAGGGAGCCTGCAATATCTGAAGGAGTTTCGCTGGTAGTTTCTGTGGTTGCTACCACAACAGTCTCCAGCAGCCTGATAAACATGCTGGTAGAGAAATGGAGAAGAACATAAACACATGGTGAGAATCTCAGTCAGAAAAGGGGATGTGCTTCAGTCAGGGTAGGACACTTGAAAGGGATGGCATAGCCTTGTTAGAACATGACAAACCACAGGCCCAGACAGGTTATGTGAGGACAGGTTGACAGTTCAGACAATCCAGAAGGGGTATTCTAGTCGGGTCAGCTTTGCAGAGTAGCTTCTAGCCCAGGTATGAGTCAGAGCCAGCCTTGAACCACAAAGAATGGGTTCCCCTCAGCAATCCCCCGCCCCACCTTGAGACTCAAGAGCCTCTGCCAATGTTTTCCTGTGCCTCTTCCAGACAGTTCTAGGAGGCAAGCACTGAACACCTGGGTACCCAAGAGCTATAGGGTCTGGCAGTTGTCCCTAGTACATCACCTCCGTTTCAAAACCTAGAATCCTGCCATGTTCATTAAGGATCCTAATGATAAAATCATTAAAACCTCCCTGCCCTAAACGTGTCAGAGATCAAATGGGTGGTTCCAAGCGTTTTTTTATTGTTATTCTAATTGAGCTAATGGGGAAAAGAGCTAGGGAGTGTCAGGGACTTTCCCAAGGAACTCAAGGGAGTCGGTAGCAGAGCCGAGAGAGAACTCCAGCTTCCAGACTTCCTGCTGCTGTGGGGGAGGGAGGCTGAGACTGCGAGCACTGGAGTGCAAGTGAACTCTTATTTCCAAGTTTTACATTTCAGGGTAGAAAATCAGGAGAGGTTATGCAGCAAAACCAACCCGCCATTCCCTTGCCATGTGCTTGCAAGCATGTATTCCCTCCCCCCATGCCCGGTCTCTACTTTGCAGTCGACCAGCAGAAAATAATGTGCTGCTGCTCAGGAAGTGGTTGAGAGTGAGAGGAAGTGTCTGATGTCAGAGACAGAGGCTGTTGCTCCAGAAGATCCTTCAACTCCCCTCCTCCACTGACTCTCCCAGTGCTCTTGCCCCCAGAGAATGGGGCAGAGAGAAGAGGTTAGAGGTGCTAGATGTCTTATGATTTGAGGGAATACCCCTTATTTTAAAGTTCTTTCATTCTGAAATACCCAGTTTCAGAGGCTACAGAGACCAAACCACCCAAGTATCCCTTATATATTTTTTTTCATCTCTAGCAATGGACCACCAAAGCCCTGCTCCTCCTGATCTCACGAGTTCCCCCTTAGACCCAAGTTCATGGTGTTCGTCATAAACTGGACACCAACACTAGTAGATAGCATGATGAACCTGAAGGAGCAGGAATCCTAGCCATGGATTAAGAGTGGAGTACAAATAAAATGTACTCCAGTCTTGAAGCTACCAGCATGAGTTTGACCAAACTGCGGGAGGCAGTGGGAGACAGGAGTGCCTGGTGTGCTCTGGTCCATGGGGTCACAAAGAGTTGGACACGACTAAACAACAACACGAATAAAATACTTTAAGTGTTTGTTTGTTTGTTTAAAAAATACAAGGCATGTTTGCAAGAAGCTTTGTATGCAAAAGCATATATTATAGGGGTACTATTGCCAGGGAAGTGAAGCTGACTGTGGCTCCCTACTTCTCACAGCAGATGAGATAGTAAACTGGTGTCAGGATGGTGCCATGTCACATGACTGAATTACACCTACACACACCAAATTCCCTGTACAGAGAAAGGAAGGGATCTTGCCAACACACTAGCTTTCAACACTTAGTAGCGTGTGAGCATTCCATCATGTGAGCCCCTTCTTGAAACCTGAAGAGTACTATCTGGAAACAGGTTTACATCTCATCTGTTCTTGAGAACTAGGCCCCACGTCAAACAAGGGGTTTGCTGCGCGGCGCAATGCGTGACGGAGCCTTGCCTGAGTCATGATTTCTCAGCCTCAGTTTCTCCTCCAGTAAAGTGGGAGCGTGGTGATGGCAAAATAAGAAGGTAAAGCGCGGAATTCCTGAAGAAACGGGCGAGACCCCAGAAACTTTAACAAGCCAAGTTATCATGAAGCACAAACGAGCTGTTTGGTCAATTAGAAAGGGTGTGTGTGTGTGAAATGGCACACACCAGCCCCTTCAAAGTTCCCTGCCTGCAGATGCCCACCTTTCCCACCTAACGAAGCCCGGGCCAAGGAGCCGCTGGGTCTGGCACCGGGCCAGCCCGTTGGGAAGAGGTTGTGGCTCCCGGGTCCGGCCTGCTCAGCGCCAGGGAATGAGGTTCCGGGGCCTCCAGGCGGGGACCGGCCCAACGGGTTCAACCTCATTCCTGGAACCCTGCTCACATCCTGGAGGGGAGAGGGCAGGGCGAGGCGCGCGCACGCAGCCCGGGTGAACCCGCTGCCCTTTTGCGGGGGCAGAGCCAGTTCCGACGCATTCGCCGAGGAGCGGCGGCAGGGATCCCCGAAAGCCCCAAGTCAGCAGCACAGAAAGTGCCGAGTCCGGGGCGGGGAGCTGCCCTCGTCCCCTCCTCCGCTCAGGTTCCACGTCCCTTGGGGTCGGGCACTCCGGGGTTAACAAAACGGCCGGAAGGAGGGGCGGCAAAGCGGGCCGTTCCCTTCTCCTCCCCGGTCCTAGTTTTAAGACTGAGTCGCGGATCCAACGCGGAGCAGAGCCCCCCTCCAGTATCGCCCCCCAGCGCCGAAGCGACCCTAAGCATGTTGCCTGGCTGCTAAGAGTCAACACACACAAACACACCCTCGCCTCGCGACTGGCCGAGCTTTCAGAACAAGCTTTTCAGAGCGTAACCCCGGAGCCCGCGAGCAATTCCGACGTGCACAGTGCCTCTCGCACCGGAGAGTAACGCCGCGCGCTCCTGGGCTAAAGACTTCCGCGAGGGGGGGGGGCAACCCCCGGGGGCTCCTAAGGGGGGAAATCTGCGGGCGCGTCCCCGACTCCCTCCTCCTCACCGTCAATGTTTTGTGTGTACATGAACATAAGGGGAAGATGACATGACTTGGAGACCGCATTGACTCGTATCGGGAAACGGGGAGGAAGGTGCGCTTGCAGTCTATACATACATCAAAGAGGAGCAGGAGTGAGGTTAGGGCTTCCTTTGCTAAGAATCAAAACGAACTTTTATATCCCCCCCCCCCCAATTTACAGAAATGTCAATGCAAAAACGAGAACAAGAGGCGTGTGTAGTCACAGGGCTTTCCCACACCATGATGGACAGAGCCAGAGGACAAGGAAATAGTCCGGCCAGTCTGGGCCTTCTGAGGCAGGATCTGCCTATGAACGTGCACTATATACAGCCGGGCGTACAGCAGGGTGTTCCCATTGGTTGGTTTCCAGTGCATTTGGAACAGTACAGTAAGCCCACAACTTATGTGGGGGTTACGTCTCGGGGATTGCTTCTAAAGCCAAAATCGTGTATAGTCAAAACAACAACAACATTGAGTTCAATGGCAGGTGGGATTGCCAAAGTCATTTTCCCCCAGATCCCTACCTACTTTATTTACTTTTTCGTATCCTCCCCCATGTGTAAAACTGAACGCGCACAAGTTGAATGTGCATAAGTTGTGAGCTTGCTACAACACAAATACTTGACACTTGCATTGGGATTTCAAGTCTTCAAAGTGCTTCACATGCAGTTAAGGTGCTTCCACAGAATGGTTTACTGTGGTCTGGGGCTGCTCATGCATGGATATTTTGTTTACAGTTTCATATTTTTTTTTATCAGCTGTTCCATTACTTTGGTGTTTGCCACCCTAGTCTCCTTTGGGAGGAATGGATGGATATAAACTTAATAAATACAAATTGTCAAAGGTCCTCATATAAATGCCATCCTGCATTATTTCCCCATTTAAACTGGATTTACAGTTTATGCAGCAAATCCAGTAAGTAAATAAAATCCCACAGAAACAGTAAATGTGGTTTAATGGGGGGGGGGGATATTGGATGGCATTTTGATGAGGATGTTGTGTGGACTGTACCAAAAAAGAGAGACCTTTGCATGGATGGGCAGCACTGAGTCCACAATAAACTGCTGTATGGAAATACAGTAGCTGTAATCCATTAAAAAAAATATATCAGTGTCATTATCCCCCATTCTGCAAATGGGAAGGGAGAGACAAGCTAAGAAATAACGGCTTGTGTAAGACCACCTAGTGAGCACAGGTCATATTCATACTTGCGCACAGAGGCAACACATAATTTAATTCCCCTATCTCACATCCACAAATGATTTATATAGCCCAGTACTGGAGCCCTGTGTCCAACAGCTAGGCACTCAGCCTCACATAAAGTGTGCTTCAATAATCCTACCTAGATGTGACTAATGCATGTGCTGCTGTAGCCAGGTCTGACCTCAGGATGCAACTGGCACAGCAGCCTCAGCTGACCAAAGGCACTTCTGGCCACAGCTGCCACTTCAAAACACTTTGAATTCCTATTCCAGAATTCATCTCCTTTCTAACTAGGAGCACCACTGTCTTGTCTGAGTTAAGCTTCAGTTACTGAAACCCCTCATCCACTCACTGATTTTAGAACATCAACAGCTTTCATTTTGTTAGATGAAAAGGAGAAGTGAGGTTGGAAGTAATCTAAATATTGGTAGCAGTGCACCCTGAATTCATGTATGATCTCTGTCAGTGGCTTCATGTAGATTTATATAATCAGGAGGACAAGATCTAACCCTACATGTCACCATAACCCAGTGGCCAAGGCACCAAGTCCTCCAACTCTACCTTTTCGAACTGACTTTCAAGGAAGGAGTGGAACTGCTGCAAAATGGTTCCTCCTAAACTCAAGACTTCATCAGTCATTCCAGAAGGATATTATGGTCATGGAGCTGAACATCACTGAGAGGTCCAGCAGATCCAATGGGGACATACTCTGCCTGTCAAATTCTTGACAAATATTACCTACCAATGCAACCAAAGCTGTCTCAGTCCCCAAACCAGGCCTGAAATCGGATAGAAAGGGGTCTAAATAATCAATTTCATCAAAAACAAACAACCCCTTACCAAAACTGAGGTGCCACTTGGAAACTTGCCCAATAATGGCAAATCTGAGACTGGTGGGTAGTCATCCAATACAGAGGGATCTAAAGAATGTGTTTGTTTTTTCAGTTGTAGTCTTTTCACAGTGATTCTAAGGTTAGATAGAACGATGTCTTTCTCTAAGGAGGCATTTACCATTCTCCTCACCCATTCCCCTGGCTGCTTTAATCAGCCTAAATGGACAAGAATCAAGTGAGCACATGGCTGGTCTCACACTGCCAATAATCTTGAACCATGGAGTCATTGTTCATCTATACTTTCCTACAGGATACTGATTCTGGATCAGGGCACACAGAGCAAAGAGAGGAAGAACACACTGATGTTTCATTCCACAGACCGTTTATTCTGGAGTGGCCCTATTAAAAGCAACTGGATGGTCTAGAATAACTGGATTGCGGCCTGAGTCACTGACAGTGTTAGGAAACCCAGAACCCCTTCCTTTCCCAAACAGGACATACAGAACCCAGACATTCTGGTTCTCCCTGCTTCCTCCTGCTCTAGGAATCAGATCTCAACCCCAGAAATGGAGTTCAAGGGATTTCACACTCCAGGTCCTATTCCTGAATAAGCACAAGCGGCCAAATACTTTTCTGATTCAATCTAAAGATACTCTGCGCTTGGACATGACGAAGCACATTTGAGCCACTTTTTTTGTGAGCATGTGTGGATGCTGTTGGTACAAGAGAGAAAGTGGAAGTGAGATGTTTTAAAACTAAATGAATGCTCCAGCTCAGGGGTGGGGCTCACGGGGTCCAACTGCAGCTCTCCAGGACTTTCAGGACTTTCCCCAGGCCACACACCCCTCTACCCAGGTCATATGTCCCCCGCTGCCCTCTTTTGCTTCTGGCACAGTCTGCCACTGGCATGTGGTCTCTGGAAGTTTGCCCATAGGGGAATGTAGCCCCTGGGCTGAAATGGTTCCTCATCCCTGGCTCCAGCTGGCCTGAATATATTACAATTGAATTATAGAATGTGAGAACGCCCTTTCTTGGCATGGCATAACACAAAAATGTTACCAATGTACATGGGAAGGAGAGTCCCCAAGGACCCTAATAGGAGAATGAGGAATGGGTGGAGGTGAGAATTAGTGTGTCTAAAGGAAGCCTACCAGCACTATGATTCAGGTCTGCACCCCTTTTGTCCAAGACAGAAATCCTGGTTCCCATTGATTCCTACATTATTCTGTGGGAAACAGATGGTAAAACCCACGTTTCCAGATCTGTGTGCAATGAAATCCTTGAGGATACAGAACTCCCTCCCATCAGATGTCAAGGAGATAAAGAACTATACAACTTTAAGAAGAGATCTGAAGGCAGCACTGTATTGGGAAGTTTTTAATGTTTGATGTTTTATTATGTAGCCACCCAGAGTGGCTGGGGCAACCCAGACAGATGGGCGGGGTATAATAATAATAATAATAATAATAATAATAATAAAGGCGATGGTTGGCAATAATCTCCAAAGAGACGAAAACAGAGACTGGGGATAGGTATGAGATGAAAAGAAAATAATTTAGGACAATTCTGACTTGCCCCAGAGAGGACAGTGAGGTTCTGTGTGTGCAAGCAGGAACCAGGCAACAATGTCCGGTATCATTTCCGCCAGAAGACATTAAAGAGCTTTACTGAGTTAAACACTGATGCCTTCCTTGTCCAGAGCCGAGTTTACAGTTCTCTCTAGGGCATGAGCAGCTGTTTATAAAGGGATCTCTGCGATGCAGCTGCCTCTGGGGCGGAGAGCAGCTTGCTCTCTAATTGCCACACAACAATCCTGCTGGGCAATTTAGGAGAGGAAGTGAAGGAGGTGGCTGGAATTACTCAAACTGAATGGCTGCGAATGCCTGCGTTTCAGTGCTGTCTGGAGCAGGCACCTCTCGCCAGAGCGCTACACCCTGCTGCCGCCTTAAGTCAACTGGGGGCGCACTGCTTGCAAAAGGGAAAGCTTTGATTGAGCCAGCTATTACAAAAGGCATAGCCTCGTGACCCCAATAATTACAGTGCTTCCTGGCACTGGAATAGCACGGCTATGAAGGCTTTGACGCTGAAGGGAGTGCCCTTGCAGCACCCTAGTTTTTCCCCAGGGCTGTCGCTTCCACATTTTCTCCTGGCCTGACCTTGCTTAGTTTGCAAAATCCAAATGGCTCCAAGCCGGAGGCGACACAGCTGCAAAGGGCGGGGAGGGGGCCCTGCAGGGAGGTGCAGACCGAGCCAGATGGAGCTGGATAGGGCACAAGAAGTTGGATCGACTCAGTGGGAAGCTTCCCCATTCCCCACACCCATCCCGTGCTATCCAAAAAGTTATGCCTCTCATTCCCTGCCGCTGCCCTGCCACAAAATCTACATCCATTCTCAATTGCCTCTCCCCGTTTGGGCCGCTTCGCACATTATGTTTCTTCCATGTACATGTAAAGACACAGAGTTTGCATGCATGTGACAAATAGCTTGTCTGGTAGAGCACGAGACTCTTAATTTCAGGGCCGTGAGTTCAAGTCCCACATTGGGCAAAAGATTCCTGCATTGCAGGGAGTTGGATTAGATGACCCTCGCGGTCTCTTCCTGTTGTACAACTGTATGACAAATGCATGTATTACACAGGCACATGCTTTAGGATTGCCTGTGGCTTTCCACTACCTATGCACCCAACGACAAACAAACATGCTGCTATTTGCTTTTCCAGCTGGGCGAAAAAGTCTCTGCCTTAGATGTTCATTTTGCATTGTTTTTACACCTATATCCGGGGTGTAGGTGTACTGTGTGTACTGTTTTTAAAACTATTTCTAGCATGTGTGTGTGTGTTTGTAAATCACTTTGACAGGCATTAAAAACATGATTCATGAATTAATAAATAATAAAAATAACATTCAGCCGGGAAACTGAAGAGGATTCTGGGGGCCTTGTGGCTTCCTCTTTCTAGCCTCTTGTTTGGAATACACAAGGAAAGAGTAGGATCCACACACACAAGGCCTGCCCCCCCACAACAGCCTCTGAATTTGCAAAAACACACAACTGTTGCTATTTTCCGCGTAAGGCAACATCACAGGTTTCCAAATTCCTGCACAGAAGGTGTGCAGCAGAGTACATGCTTTAAGATCCTCTCAGATGACTGTCTACATGCGGAGTTCACCTTTCTTCGCTTATGTGTAGGAATCTGGTTTGCCACCTCTTGAAATAATATTTTTAAAAAATCTGGCATCCAGAACTCCATAATGATTCCAGGACTGAATACATGAGGCAGGGCAGGGTGCAGCATCTTTGGGTGAGTGCTGAGGCAGAGCCTACTGTGTTTTTGCAGCTTCAGGACAAAATCTGTTGAAATTCATTTTCAATTATTTAAAATATTTTGAAGAGTGTGAGTGAAACCCTCCCAATGTTGTTTACAGAAGAGAAGGTACAGAAACCTGCTCAGTTCATTAATAAAAGCCAGTGATTGTAATAAACCAACTATCCAGCCACCAGCCCTCCAATACAGCAACAGCTCAAAAGAAAGCCAAAGAGAAAAAATAGGTCTTTAAGGCTTTCCCAAGGCCTGTTATGACAGGATCTGATAAACCCCAGATGGTATTCTTCTTTTCTTTAAGAGCCAAGAGGAAAATAAGCTAGTCTTGGCCTTTAGTTCTTAGGCAAGGGGTCTGAAAGCAAAAAATTCTCTCAGGATGTTTTTTGTTTCTTTATCTCTCTTGTCTCCTGATTGGACGACCACCCAACAAACTGCCATGCTAGTCCACCTTGCATTTTTAAAATAACAATATTTTATGATGATTTGTTGGTTTTAATTGTTGCGTGCTTCCTTGATTAACAGTTGCTTTAGAACAGCATGGTAGAAATGTCTATATAGGAATAAGCCTTAGTATGAATTTGGTAACGTGAAAAAGTCAGCTGATTTGAGCATCATTGGGGGGGCGTGTTTGTAGGTGGCACCATCTGATCATTCTCAGACTCATGGGCCTAGGAGATTACTTCATCATTAATTTAATTAATTTGTTAGTTGTCTAATTCTTGGTGACTTATCAGAAATATGAAGCAAAGTTAAAAAGCACACCGACCTCCAAGAACAAAAAGATTATCAACAACTCAGGATATGCCCAACAAATAAGCCAAGGCAATTGTCTCATCGTATTCTATCACATGCTGAGGAGAAGAAGAAAGCCAGGCGCAAAAAGAATACAGTAATTGTAAGTGTTGGTGTTAGGGGGGCCTTTCTGGGAAGAGCATTCCATAGACTGGGATGGGGGGCACAACTACCTGCCTTCTTGCCACCCGCCAAATCTCTCTTGAAGGGAGGCATAAGGAGAAAGGCCATGGATGAGAATCTAAGGTCCTGGGTAGTTTCATGCCAGGAGAAGCGTTATTTTAGGTATTGGGATCTCAAACTGTATAAAGCTTTATAGGTTTAAACTAGCACTTTTTTAATGGGCTCGAAATTGTATATAGGCAGCCACTGCAGTTGTACTAAGACAGGTGCCATGCCAAACTGCCGACTCTCAGACAGCAATATGACCTGGGCATTCTGCATATGGTGCAGTTTCCAAACCATCTTCAGAGGCACCTTCATGTACAGGCGTTTTTGTTCTCTAATCTGTAGGTTCCTAAAGTCAAATTATTCCTGGCCAGAAAAGGGTATAGCTAGGCTACCAAGCTGAAGCTGGGGGGGAAGCATTCTGCACAACTGAGGCCACCTCAGTGTGCCTCAAGTTAACAGTAACAAATCCAGGAGAACCCTGAAGTATGACCCCATCTAGAACAGGCTAGAGACTGTTCCTTTGCTCAGAGGAACCACCCACTAATAGCATTTTGGTCATGTCTGGACTGAGCTTAGGTTTATTGACCTCCATCCAGTCTATTGCTATGACCAGACACCAGTTCAGCAGATCCGCCACCTCACCAGCCAAAGATGAAAAGGAGAATTGAGCTGCACCATCTCAGTGTACTGATGATAATGTGCTACAGAGCTCGGAATGACCACACCCAGTGGCTTCATGTTAAATACATGGGAGAGAACACCTGAGAAACTCTATACAGGACCATCCACAGAACTGAGCTATATCCCCCAAGCACCACAGTACCCATCAACTCCCAATTCAGACAGTTACCCCAGAAAGCCACTATATGGCCAATGAAACTGAAAGCTACTGAGACATCAAGGAAAACCGACAGGGACACGCTCCTTCTCTCTCCTGATACATGTCAACCAAAATAGTTTTTGTACCAAACCTGGGGAAGATATGGATCCAAGAAATCAGTTTCCTCCCACTGAGCAGACTTACTCTCAGGAAATTGGGCACAGGATTTTAGCACTAGTGTTATATTTGCACTAGCATGCATTAGGCGTCAGTATCACAATATAGTATTCTGCTCCTACCTAAGAGAAAGGAGGGGATACCTGTAGCAGGGAAGGCAGTCATATTCCTGTTTGTGATGTTAAAGAAAAACAGGGGAGATTCATGCTCTGGGGCTGAAAATAAAGTCCACAGACTTCCAAGCAGTAAATAAAAACATTTGAAATGACAGGGCTATGACAGGGAATCCTTGCTAGTATTTTATTTTAAAAACTCGGTTCACATGCGTGCTCTATTCTTTAGTGGTACAGCAACGAAAAAAACAGACAATTTTGTAAAGATTCAGGCACGATCCATTTGGTGCCTGCCACACTTAATGATATCCCACACACCACTTACAATCACAATGGGTGGGCTGGAATAATATTTCCCAAGTGGCAAAATATTGCAGGTTGACTGCTGGGAAAATCATGCTCCTGCAACAGAAATGCTACTTTGAGAGATAATAGATATAGCTTATGGCAGCACTAAATTAAAATAATAAAAATAAAAATACTGGGGGAGCGAGGAAAATCTCTGTGTGGATGGGTTTGTCTTGCATGTGTGAACTGTTAGGAAACTACTGGTCTGAAGCATTTCCTTTTGTTGAAATGCCATTTATGCCTGGATCTTGTGCAACACATGAACAATAGCTGTGCATAAACAGGCCCTTAGTTGTAGAACTACAAGCCCCATCAATTAGGGTCACTGGCTATGCTTGCTAATGCTGATGAGAGTTGTAGTTCAGCAACATCTGGAGGTCAATGGTTCCCCAGACCTGATTTAAGGAGCATTCGTTCTGATTTGTTCATAGGGAGGTTAGATGATGTTGCATCAAGGCAAGTGTCATCCTACACTTCCAAGTGCATTTCCCCATTACTTTCTTTATCGCAAAAAATATGATATTTTGTGAAAGTGGGTGAGTTGCGCAAGACACCCCCCTGCTCAATCAACTATAATTACTCAACCTGAATAATTACCAGAATGTGATCAAATCCCACTTGCAAACAGCAACAACTTGGAAGTGCCCTGTGTGCATATTGATTCAATTCCAGACCACAGCTAGGAGAGCTGGCTGATGTGGGAGAAGGTGGGACATGAGGGCTTGAAAACTGGATAGAACACCTCTTTCCCCTCTAAATCATCTTAGATCCATGTCAAATATGTGCCTAGTAAGTAAGCAAAGAGATGTGGAAGCATTCTCTCTTTGGGAAGTGCCAGTAGCATACAGTGGTACCTCGGGTTAAGTACTTAATTTGTTCTGGAGCTCCGTTCTTAACCTGAAACTGTTCTTAACCTGAAGCACCACTTTAGCTAATGGGGCCTCCTGCTGCCGCTGGAGCCTGATTTCTGTTCTTATCCTGAAGCAAAGTTCTTAACTTGAAGCACTATTTCTGGGTTAGCGGAGTGTGTAACCTGAAGCGTATGTAACCCGAGGTACCACTGTACTATGCTTCTCATTTAGTTTCTATTTACTTGCCTTTGCCCCATTCTTTTGCCCCCTTTGTGGCTTACTCCTTGCTCCCCATTGCGATGGCACACAGCTGGGGATCCTGGACGGTGGGTGGGTGGATCCCGTGGTGAATCACTGCCATTTGCCCACAGAGCTGGAAGCAAGTGCTGCCTCCCCCACAGATTGGCACATCGTGCATTGGTGCTCAGGGAAGGGTTAACTCAAACTGGGCTGCACTCCAAGGCCTGGGAGCTGCTCCCCACACACTATCCCTGCGTCAGCTCAGCTCCGCTCCCTTTCCCAGCAGCTGTGCTAGACCAAGCCCAGTTAAGAGAGGGAAGCTGGGAGTGGGGGGTATGTTCTCGAATATCAAGCTCCACACTGGCACCAGGCCTGCCCCCTGCAGGGAGGCAACCTATAAAGACATAAGGGTCTGGGCTTTGGGGCTATCCAAAACAACAAGGAACACCACACTGAGGATAAGCCATGTACATGTTGTGTTATTGGCAGAAGAAAAGTGATTGGGGGTGGGAAACGGCTATAATTTGGGGAGTGGATCTTGTGCTGGCAGTGGATCTTGTTTGGTACGTGGTTTATGCAGCTGGCTGAACCCAAAGCCCTCTAGGTAGAAAGGCCTCAGGTCCTAGCAGTCACCTTTGCCCCTTCCCTTTCCACCCCCAGCTGGAAAGCTCCTTCCCTCCCATGACAGGAAGTTCATTGTTGAGGTCCCGGGATCTGCCAGACAATAAAGGAAGCAGCTGCTACCATGGCAATGGTGTGTGACATAAGCAAAACTTGCGCCATAATGGGTGTGGGGATATGTCCCAATTCACGGTCTCCTTGCTGTCATGGGAACAGGGAACTGTGCTAGCCGGGCTCCTCTCTCTGTTCTCCTCCCACTGCAAGTCCCGACTGCTTCCCTTTGCATGCCACAGCAAGGGGTGAAGGAAACAAGGTCACTGGGTACACCACCTGCCTTTACCTGTAGCGAAGCCTCAGATGCACTTAGCCCGACAGCCACAGAGGCACAACCACACCAAACAACACTTCCCAGAAAGACACACGGTCACAGAACATACGTGACACACTGCACTGGAGGTAACGCATAGCCAATTAACAAAACCATGGAAATAGTTATCCTAAATGATGTACAGGGCAAAATGGACAGAAGTTTGTGGTACTACATACAGCAAAACTCATAAATCCAAGTGGTTGCACAGTTTTCAGAAATGTATACACGTGTACACAGCCTGAGAACTTGGGGATCCAAGTCCACAAGCACAAAACATAGGGCTGCAGTAACAGAGCGCCATTCACAAACCCAAGGTGTGTGTGCGCGTACACCCAGAGACACACTATATGCAACCCAGCCATAACACACACACTACTTGCCATGTTACAGAAAAAGGATGCATTAAAAAATAAAACACAACATTTGTATGCCACACCTCTTCTGTAACACATACACACCACATATGCATGCAAGGCCAGATGCTCTGTATACATGCACGCAGGCACACACAGCACTAAACAAACATTTGTATGTGCACATTAGAAAGTAGTGTACAGCTCTTATGGCAAACACACTGCCTGCAACACATGGGGATTTTAGGGGAGCCATCCAAGTATACAGAGAGAAGGAGGGAAGGATTGAGTTGAGCTCTCTTGTGTGTGCGTGCATGCGTGCTGTGTTTCACCTCCCTCCTCCCCACTGCTATCTGGACTACAGCCTGGTGGTGGCTGCGGTCAAGAAGGGAGGGGGGATTGCCTCGCCCAGTGCATGAGTCACAGAGAGCAGACTTCCCTTCCCAGCAGGGCCCTGGGCTCAGCCACTTGCCTGCCGGGAAAGGCTCTGTATGCTAGCCGGGGTCAGAGCCGTGGCTGCTCTGAAGTGGGCACTGGCAAGGGTGGGAGAGGGGTCTCTGGTGAGAACATCTGCTGGGGGAGGAGGAGGAGGAGGCGGAGAGAGATGCGTGGAAGAGTTTTGATCCCAGTCCAAGCACTCTTGTTTTTTGGACAGCCCAAAGACATATTTTACTGTCTCTTGGCTGCAACTAATTTCACTGCGAATGCTCTCCCACTTCACAGCGGCCAAACAGTTATGGATTTCTTGGCTCTAAGGAAGGAGCAGTTCGGGAAGACATCTCCATCTCATCCTCACCCATGTGTAGTATAGTGGTTAGAGCCAGTGTCGGACTCAGACTTGGGAGACCAGGGTACAAATCCCCACTCAGCCATGAAGCTCAATGGGGGTCTTTGGGTCAGCCCCTGCCTCTTAGCCTAACCTACCTCACAGGATTGTTGTGAGGTGTAAATAAGGCAAGGGAGAACCATGTACGTCACCTTCAGCTCCTGGGGGGGGGGGAGCAGTGGGATATAAATGCAATAAACAGATAAAAGTGCATCCTTGATGTGCTCCAAAAGTAGGTATGACAGATTGACAGAATAACAACCCTGTTCAAAATAAGGGAAAGTAGTCCATGCCTCATTGCCTCAGTCCTCTTCTCCTTCCCCCAACACCTGCTAATCTCAGACTACAAGATCCTGCCTTATGCAGATCCCAACCTAAACAGGGGCATCGAATGGTCTAGAAATGGGGTGGGTGACTTTATTGCTGGATCATTTATGTAGTTCCCTGTTCTGACCTTGGGGACAGCCCCAAATTGACTCTCTCTGCCCCTCACTGCCAGCTGGGAAATCCCAACTGGAGACTAAAGCAGAGGCCTCGCTGTGCTAGGTTCATTCAGCTGTGTCCTCCTGGGAAGGCTGCCTCCAAAGTCAGTCCAACAAGGGACGTAAAAAGATAGGAAGCTGCCTCATACCAGGTTAGACCATTGCTCCATCCAGCTCAATACTATGCTGACAAGCAGCTTTCCAGGCCTTCAGAGAGGGACTTCTCCCTGCCCTACCTGGAGATGCTGGGGATTGAAACTGGGACCTTCTACCAGTGAGGTACAGCCCTTCCCCAACTCACACATTCTCTACCTCTCTCTTTCTCCTTTGGGTCTGCTTCTTCCCTTCCCACCCTCTCTGGCCCTACAGCATCCCTTGCCCCTAAACATGCTCTGGATCTCTCTGATCTGGACACTGGCACCTGGCTGTGTCCCTCCCTTGCCCAGGCTGTAATTAGCAGCTATTAAAGGTCATTAGCAAACTGGGAGTTAATGACCAGGTAGGAGCAACTTGGCTTCAGCACTGGGGTGTTGGCTTGTCTACCTGCCTGTTTACAGCTTTGCCAGCTGCTGGAATACCACCGCTAAGCAGAGACCAGACGGAATAGATGACGCCTTGAGTTGGTTGGGAGAGAGGGAGGGATGCTTGAGAGGCAGTTTTGTAAGGAGCCAGGGCTGGCTGCAGACTTCTGAGGCTCAAGCAGTGGGCACAGAAAAGAGAGTGGATTAGGGGGGGATCTTGGGCTGCGGGTGCCTATGTCCACTTAGAACCAGCCCTCACCCTAGCATCCTACTGTGGCACAAAGGGAGTGGAGTATCCTGCTTCTCAAAAGTCATGTAACCCCCAAGCCCAAACACATTGGCTTGGAGCTGGGGTACAAGCCCCAGAATTCTGGCTCATTGCCCAGCCAGCCGTTTCTGCTCTTCCTGCTCCCTAAAATTCCCTGGCTGCTCTTCATGGAATTAATCACTTCCTGTTCCAGAGCTGGGTGTTGTTCCGTTCTGTCCGAATGGGTAATGCACCACACTTCAGAGGCAATTGTACACCAGTGCTAAGCAATGAATTGCTATATAAATATATTCTAAGACATCCAACCTCTTCTCTTGTTTTCCCATTCCCCACAACCAGAGAGATTGCTTCAAAGCAGCCAAAGTATCTAAACAATGACAGCTAAGGACCCTTTTCCTGACCTCTGACTCCCATTCCTAAATATTCTTCCTCCCCTGTTGTGCCTCCCCTGTTTGCTTTTCTGTGAAATCATCTGTTTTTAAGTGTGGGCGGCTTCTCCAACTAGGACGTGCCTAGAGCAGAACAGCTGCCAAGGAACCGCACGCCAGAGACAGGGTGTGTGTATATGTGCACAGAGAGGGTGATGTACGTGGTGTGGGGTTTGTGATAGGGTGAATTGTCAAAGCCTGCAGAGGGTAGGTGGGAGTATGTAGGGGTATACTAACTACAGCCTGTGGGTGTGTTTGTGGGGGGTGAGGAACACTCGGTGTAAAGAATGGCACAGCGTATGTTTAGCGCACAGTGCATGTTTGGCTGAAAACAGCGTTGCTTTTATGTTCTGCAAATGTGCAGAGAGCGGTGGTGCATTGCGAGCAACTGATGCAGAATGTGGAAGGTCTTGTCTTTGGGTAGTATGTGGGAAAGTGCATCTGTGTATGTACTGTCTATAACATGCTATAAAACATGAGCATCCTCAGAGCTGTCACAAAGCGTGTTTGTTTACATGGTGTCTGAAGAAAGATGAGAGCAAAAGTGTGTGCGCAAGTGAACATGCACAGAAGGTGTGTGAGAATGTCTGAGGAGGGGCAGTAATAATACGATTCTGTGCTCGCTTGTAAATACTCATTCACCTGGTTGCTTGTGGTAAAAAACGCTTCCAGGCAACTAGCAAGGGATGTTTACAGCACTTGTTTCTTTTACACCACAAATCACTAATCCAGTAACTCTCTGGTCAGGTGGGCAAGTAAAAAAAAAATAATGTTACGGATTAATAATTTTAGTTGACTAGAATTTGCAAGGCTGAATAAGGCATGCTGTGCAAGTTTCATCTCCCTTGCGTACAAGGAAATCCCTGCCAGAAAGTCCCACTCTAGACACTCCATTTGTGGATTTGGGCAGATTTCCTTGTCAACATAAAGCCCTGAAGGATGCCAAGACTTGCCTGAACAGTAAGGAGTATTACAGTGCGGTTAGGAAAGGGAGGGAGGAAGACAGAGAAATGCCAGTTCTACAGGGGGGTGGGGAAAGGCCCAAAGATAAATGCCATATTAAAAATGCCATATAAAAACAAATTAAACTTAGAATTAAAAAAACAACTAAATGTCATATAAAAACAAATTAGACTGAGAATTAAAAAAAAAGAAAAGCTGGTGGCAATCCTGTTGGGGTTGAATGCTGTAAAGAAACACAAAGAATGGGGTTGAGGAATGGGATCGAGAATCCGCTGAGGCCCTGGTTTGTGACTGAGGAGGGATTTGAACTGGGGATTAATTAATTTATTACATTTCAATCCCACATTTTTTTCCTCTGAGGAGCTCAACGTGGAGTAAGTACATGGTTCTCCCACTCCATTTTATCCTCACAACAACCCTGTGAGGTAGGTTAAGCTGAGGATCCATGATTGCTCCAAGCTCACCCAGTGAGCTTCATGGCTGAGTGGGGATTTGAAGAACCTTGGTCTACTAGGTCTTAGTCCAACACAGTAACCACCACACAGGCTCTGGGTCACAGTTCACACTCCTCCTTGCCAGTCTACTACATCACCTCCCAGAGAGCAGTGGTGAGGCTCAAGACTGAAAGCCACCCCAAACCAGCTGAAGCACGACATGGACAAAAACAGCCCATGTTCCTTCCTTACAGCCTCAGGGCAAGCTTGTTGAAGCAGAACTGACCTCCTGCTAGCCCTGGATGGGTTAATACCAGGCTATCCCAGGAAGGGAAGCTGGGAGCAGACGGTGTCTGAGTTGCTCCTGAGTCACATAGGCCGATAACACGTTTCCACCCAAGGCAGCCAAAATAACCCGGCTGGGAACTTTCCCACATGGAGTTTGTTTTTCATCTCCGCGGTTGCATGAGGCGGGGGATGTGAGAGAATAAAACACAAGGCTCCTGTTGAGGAGGCATACATTTGCCAAATGCTCCTCGGCAGCTAGTGTGGCACAATAGGCAGGAGTGTTGGGCTGGGGTGTGAGAAGCAAAAAGTCTTGTCGCTACTTAATGATGAAGCAAACTGGGTGGCCATAAGAGAACGGCAATCTTTCAGCCTATCCTACCTCACAGAGCTGCTTTAGGATAAAAACACAGTGCTATGCGCCTTGGAAAGGTGATATGCACATGTAACAAATAAATGTTTCACGCACCCAATATGGTTCCCCTTAAATAAGAACTTAAAACACAAAACAAGCTCCAAACCCAGGACTTACCTAAAATGTGAGGATTTCCCGATAGCTGGCAAGTCTGTCTGGGTCAGGTGGGAGAACCTTAGGCCTGGAGGTCAAATGTGGCCCTTTATCCGTCTTCTGAACTGTCCCCAAGCCATGCCCCTCCTCCACACTCTCTTCAAAAGTTTTTGCCTGGCTGGAAAGTGCTCTTGAACTGTAAAAATGGCCCTTGCTTGCCTAGATGGAGAGAGATGTGTGTATATAAATATCTGCCTTTGGCATGCCTAGAATGTGGCTTACTGTACAAAGGCAAAGAATCACACCCATAACCCTACCTACTCGCCTCTGGCCCCTCTCAGCAATGCAAGTGGCCCCAAGAAATTTGTCCATGAGAGAATGTGGCCCCCAGGCTGATAAGAGTCCCCCGACCCTGACCCATTTGGTTAGTTTTTGTTGTGCGGCACTTTGTAGTGTTTGATGGGCTGTGCTGGCTACTCCTATGCAGGAATTAGTCCAACCCAGTTCAATGGGACTTAGTAAAGGTAAAGGTAAAGGGGCCCCTGACCATTAGGTCCAGTCATGACCAACTCTCATCTCGCTTTATTGGCTGAGGGAGCTGGCATACAGCTTCCGGGTCATGTGGCCAGCATGACTAAGCCACTTCTGGCGAACCAGAGCAGCGCATGGAAACGCCGTTTACCTTCCTGCTGGAGCGGTACCTATTTATCTACTTGCACTTTGACATGCTTTCGAACTGCTAGGTTGGCAGGAGCAGGGACAAAGCAACGGGAGCTCACCCTGTTGCGGGGATCCGAATCGCCAACCTTCTGATCGGCAAGTCCTAGGCTCTGTGGTTTAACCCACAGCGCCACCCGCGTCCCTTTCAATGGGACTTACTCTCCAGTAAAACAGTAGCCCTGTGCTCTCTGTACACCACGGTTGTGGGTTGTGACTGAGTAGATCAGCAAATAAGTTTGGATGTCAAAGAGGGAATCTTTAAAAACAAAACTATACAGCAGAAAGAGTGTGGCTTTTGGAACCACAGGTAAATAAATGCTACCTAGCAGCATTGTGTGGCCCATCAGGGCAAGGAGAGTGAATAGAGAGTAAGATAGGATTTGAGTCCTTTTCCTTAGACTGCAACACTCTCGATTCAGCCTCAGCAGCTGGGATATGAAACAGGCAATGTTCTTCCGCCTTCTTCTTGCCCATATAAAATGAAACTCCTTGGCAGCAGTAGGCATGAAAGTTATTCCTTCGAATCACAGACACACACACACAAACATACACAAGCTTTGCATAGCTGGCATCGCCCATGTCGTTTCCTCTACGGTAGCAGCCTCAAATGAAGGCACACTGCTGTCCCCCGGCGGGGGCTCGTGGTCCTGCAGCGCCGGGTGCTGAAACATCTGTTCCCTCATAGCGCCCCCTTTCATTTCGCATCAATCCAGTTTAATAAATCTTCTTTCCCTGTTAAGAAAGTCGGCTGTTTGTTGTCACACACACTACTACAGAGTCTTCGGCATGTATGCTGCGTCTCGGTGTGGAGCTGGAACGGCCCGGAAAACTGAGAATTCCTGGAATACCTTTTCAACACGTGTAGGACAAGTCATAGAGAAACGTGACCATAAGCATGTGCAGAGTTCATTTCCACCGAGCGGCCCACACGCTTAAAAAGCAAGGCAGCTGGCATGCCTCCCAGGTGGCCCTGAACCGCCTCGGTTTCTGTCCCCCCCCCCCCCGCGCCCCAGGAGTGAAGCACCGACCCCACCCACGAGCGATCCCCTTCTCCATATACAGTCATAAGCGCTCGCCTGACGCCCCCTCGCTCGTCCTAGAGCGTCTCGGTGCCTCGCGGGCGGGGCTGAGCCTCTCCGGTTCCGCCCCAGCCGCCAACGGCGGGGCGCGGGCGGCTGACGTCACGCGCGGGCTGCGCAAGGGGACGCTCTAGGCCAGCAGGGGGCGTGGCGCTCGGAGTACCGCGGCTTGCGGCGCCGGAGCCATGAGCGAGACGGGCCCGGCCGGGCGCTGCGGGGCGCTTCTCACTTGGGTAAGCCCGGGAGCTGGAGCGCGGGGGGTCGCCCGCCGCCGCCGCTCGGCTGATTCCCGCCACCACCTCCATAGGGCGCCCTCCCCGAGTTACCCCCGCTGCCACTGCCGCCCCCCCGATGTCTTCAACAGGTGCCTTCCCGCCCGGCTTCCTCGCCCAGCCACCTGGGATAACCCTTACTTGGGGAAGGGGAAGAATGGCCTACAAGGCCACACGCGCCCCTGTTTTTTTTTATTATTCCGGGTTAGTTTAACCCGGGATTGCCGCTCACGTTTCTGCATCCTCACGGACGTGCTTTACACCCGCTGTTCCACCCATAAGCATTATGCACCGACAGAGGATGCGTGTGGGGGGGTGTATGAATGCATCGTGTGCATGGACACCGGTAATAACCACCTGGTTTGGTGAGCACGGGCGGGAGGAACGTAGGTTAAAGTCCGCGGCAGAGGCCTGAACTTAGCAGCACCGGTTACTCAGCCCCTGGAGTTCCTTCCAGGAAAGTCTTGAGGCCTCCCGGCTACCTCCCAACTCCGCTCCTCAACTCCCAAATCCTCTTAAAAACCTCCCGGTGCGGCAAGTCTGCCTTAAAGCCTCGGGCTATTTTTGTAGGCTCCACTCGATACACAGTGACTCTGCATTTGCGCTCTTTGCCCCCTGGCGCTGTGGATTTTCTCTGTTCCCTCCACCCGCTCCCTTAAACTAGCTTTTTCTTTCGTGTCCAAAACTGGAATGATTAGGGCTTCCAACTGTTGGCTGCTGTTCCTTGAGATTCTCTTTCTCTGTCCTTCCTTCGGAAGAATCTTTCCCCACCACCTGCTGTGCCCAGCACCAAATTCTGAACAATGAAGGGTATCTAATTAATTCCCATCTTGCCAAACTCCCCAAGGAGTAGCATAATGAGAGTGAGGTTGATAATCTAGTTCATCCTGCTTAAAAATGTGTAGAACAAGACATAGAGGTTTGTAGTTCATCAGAGGAACAAACTTAAAACTACTTGGAATGTTTAAAAAAGAAAGAAGGCAACACTTGCTCAATCTATAGTTCAGACCAGTCTAATTGGTGAGGTTAAATATATGAGAGAACCAGAGCCTGGATTATTAGAAATATATTTATATGCTGCTCAACTGGGGCCCAGTTCCAAACTGGACCATTTCATCCCAATCCTGAAATAAGGAAAAGCATTTATTTGTGCTGATTTACTTATTCTTGAGAGAACCCTTGTGGAAGCTGCTATCTGTCCATTAATTTGATTCAGTGTTTTGAGTAGAAGATTCAGGGGTCTGACAAACGTTCATGCTTTTGGGCCACATGTGAAATAAAGTCTACAGTGTGGAAACTACTGCATTGTTAAGTTCAGTTGTGTCACCTGTGAGCCAAATCAAGGTAACAGGGTTTTGTCCTATTGCATGTGTTGAAGTAGCTTACGAATGTCAGGACACTTTTATGATAATCAACAATGCTTTGTGAATTGTTACTGTGACAATTTTAAGCATTACTGTAATTGCTGCAGTCTGTACCCTTTGCATTGCATTTCTTTCTACCCCTGCTGCTTAGCTCACTGCTGACTTTCTCCTTCACTCACTCCCCCCACACCGTGTGTATCTGCTAACTTGGGTTAACAATTCAGGCATCTGATGTAGTAGTCTACAAAAGCTTATGCCATAGTAAATTTGTTAGGGTTGTATTCAGAGCACTCCTAAATACCTCTATGTGTGAGAAGAACAACTTCTGTTTGTGCAACGATGCTCCCCCCCCCATGTACTCCCTAAATCTGTTCTGGGGGTTCCCTCAACTCTCTAGAGCGGATCTGGGGATAGCGTGGGAGAGGTGCAGGGGGGCAGAGGAGGGAAATCATTTTTGCACAAGTGGAAGTCATTCCCCTCTCACAATTATTTAATTGAATACCATCCTCCTACTTTAAAGTACCACAAGACTTTTTGTTTTTTGCATTAAGATGGTGAAGAATAAGTGGATTTTGACTCAGAAACTTCACCAACTTGCTCAAGGAAAATATTTCTGGAAAACTTTTTCTTTTGCAATTAGAGCCAACCGGGGGGTTCTTTGAAGTATTATATTTGTGTGATATTTATATTTGTGTACTTCCATTATTGTCATATTTTAGATTTAAATGATTTTTAGTTTTTACTGGAAAAACTAGTGTTTGAACAACTAGAGCAGCACATACCTCTGTGCCTGACTTAAAGAATGGCTGCTTGGCTTATTAAGAGTGGCTGCTGCTCTGCCCTCTAACAGCTTCCTGGTTAGATTGCCCTATGTCCTGTTTATCACTAATAGCTGTAATGAGAAGACTTTGTTCTTCCAGTGCTAATCACCTTCTCCCTAACCCACCATGCCAAAGATGCCGGATGCTTCTATCTCTGCCCAGGGCAGAAAATACTGGAGTTGTTGTTTTTAGATTCTATATGCAACAGCTGTCATACAAGGAAGGATTTTGGTATGATCAGCCTTTCGTAGCACTGCAGCCGTAAGAGAGGAGGAGCTGAACCTGTCAAGCTTGTCTCTCCTGCACAAGTATTAAAAACACAGGAGTCTTTGTTTACGCTGAATTGAGCAGCCCTAACACTGTTTTTCCTCAATACCCCCGTGCCTGAGTCCGCAGATGCTGTTGGGGACTCTTGGCTAACAAGGAAGGGTCTTTTGTTTATGAGACCTGGATATTTAGGAAATAATTTACTAATGCAAGATGGCTGGTATTTCTGCCAGATTCAGAATGGAATGCTGATTTCTCCAGTAAGAATCAGGCATCTGTCAGCCTTGTGTGAGAAGGCTGGAGTTGGTACCCAAGCGAGATCTGATGGGAAGGTGGATGCCCATGTGCTGTAATGTTATTAGCCAGAGCTAATTGGACCACTTTAGGATGATTTCACATGGCAAGACCTGTAAAGACTGCCCCCAGCAGGAGAGACCCTTCTACTCTTAGGCACGCTGAGGTCAAATGGCAGTCACTGATACTAAAGAAGGCCTGATACGTGTGTTTATGTGGGATGCAGTACTGTATCTTAGGAAAAACATCAGTACTTTACCTCATGCAGGTAGTTGATGGGACTTCTATTAAGAGGGGTAAACAATTTGGAGAAGGTAGGCACACATGGGTTCCTAAAATGTAAATTTGGTCTAAACATGTTGATTCCAGTGAATAAGAGAGCTATGGGATCTGATTTCTGCACGACTGAGAGTTCAGTGTAACTTGAGAGGCTGATCATTTGACACAAATAGGACCTAATCCAATCTAAGGTATTGCCACTTAGCTGTTTCAGTTGAGAACCATAAGAATTAGGACATCAACAAAATGAAATTTTAAGGGAGAGGTACCCAAAATACAGAGGAAGGTGGGGTGTTCGTGGCATTCACTGGATGTAGTGTAGCCACCATCTTCCAAACAGGGCACATTAACAATCAAAAGGAGAGTGTTGTTTAATAGTGAGGTAGGTAAGAGAAATATCTGACCCTGTAGAAAACCCCAAATTGGACTAGATAATTCAAAGACTGAAAGCTTACTTGTTTTGGTAATCTTTTTGGTTAATATGAAAACCTTAATGTGTTGTTTCAGCCTGTTAGTTGCAGTTGAGGAAGCAAGGTTAAAATCATGGGAAAACAAGCAGGGATGACTGTGTGCATATTGGAGGAGAGGACCAAGGCCACTCCTAATCCTAGGTGTAAATCCTGTAGCTGCTCTCGAGGCAGGAGGTAGTTTGGAAGACTTCTATTTCATTATACTCAAGGATGCCCTGACTGTGAGCGTGACAGCTGGGCTGCCTCTGCTTAGTGATTCATTGTGTATATCAGCGCCTTGCAGGCATGTGGGAGTACTCGTGCCGAGCTCATTGTGTGGGGGGTGCATGTGTGTGGCAGGCACTGTTGTCTTGCAGCAGCAGACTTATCTATTGGCATAGATTTTCAAGTTTGGTTTTAAAGATCTCAGTGTCTAATCATGGAGCCTAAGGGCACCTAAACCTACATAGGGTTGCCACCTTCAGCCAAGATTCTTTGTAACTCCACAGTTTTCATTCTTATGGATATATTCCCATTAAATGAGAAAAAGTGTGTTTTTCTTCTTTGATATTGACACTGTCACCAGCAGCCCGGATAGATTTTAGGTTATGTCCCTCTGTAGGCTGGTTCAGAATGGGCTTCCTCTGTTCCCAGATCCAATAATTCACTATTTTTTCACCTAAAGTGTTCACTTGCTGATTTGATTTGTTTCCTCCAGCTGCAGACGTTTCATGTTCCATCTCCATGTGCCAAAGAACAGGATTTGGCCAGCGGGGTCACAATTGCCCAGGTGTTGCACAAAATGTGAGTGTCGTGGTGGTTATCTTAATGGGTGTTCACAAGAGTTATCATGGTCAGCATGGCCAAATTCTCCCCTCACTCCCCTACAAATCTCTCTTTGATCTCTGCCCCTGGTTAGCAAGTTGACGGTTGAAGTTTGTGCTGCCAGAAATCAGAATTCCCTCCCTAATGAGTTAATTTGACAGTTTGATACTAGAGAAGGACAGACAATAGCTTAGCAGCAGGAAAGCTCCTGTGGTTGCCTTCTTTGTCACATTGGGACAATGTGAATGAAGCTGTGTGTGAGACAGAAGACAGAAGAGCTTGACTCTAGGCTGGTGAAAAGCCAATATAGAATCTGTTTCGTAGAGCTTATGTGCAAGATCACAAAGTTGCTCAGAGTTTGCTTTCCACCCCCAAACCAAAGGCAACAGCTTTATGGTTTTCATTTCCAGAGACCCATCTTGGTTCAATGAAACCTGGCTCCTGAGGATTAAAGATGATGCCGGTGACAACTGGAGGCTGAAGGTATGAAGTGAGAATGGGGTGAGTGGTAGTCTCTGAGACCTAGATGCTTAGCAATACCAAATACTGCCAAGAAATGAACTCCAGAAGTCATGAGACTCTGACTTAGCAATACCTTGAAAGCAGAGTTGTTCAATTTTCAGGGTTTCTTGGCTGGCTTAGGTTGATCAGCCAGCTTTGTGATTTAAAGATGAGGGTGGGATTTGGTAGGAAGGGCTCTTCACCCCAATTAGATACCTGTCCTGCATCAACCCTGGACTCTTCTCTCCCATCAGAGTAGTTCTGAAGACGACTGAGCATGGCCAGCTTTTTTTTTATTTCCATACCAGCATGGGAAATAGCGGAGTCTTGCTCGTTGGCTGTATGGCTTTTGGAAAGGGGAAATATAGTGGGAATGACAGGTCTCAGTACTCTGACAAACCTGCACATTTATGTTCATTCATCCTCTATCTTGTCTCCAGGTGAGCAACTTGAAGAAGGTCCTGCAGAGTGTGGTTGAATACTCCCAGGATGTGAGTACCTTTTCTGGTTTGGCTTTGCTGGCATGGTGGTGATGTATTTCAGGGCATGGCCCAAGCCTCCAGTGTAAGTTAAGGGTCTCTGCTTGGGCAGTAGAGCGGCAGGTGAATGCCAAGGGACAAAACTCTGACAATCACTCAGCCTGGCTGTATTGAAGCCATCACTGAAAGACGGAGCTCATGGTTCCAATCTAACATTCTTTTTTTCCCAGGACCCACCTATCTCTTTGATGGTAATTAGTTTTAGCTGGTTGTAATACTGAGTTTTAGATTGTTGTAGTCTGCCCAGGGACCTGCTGGTGAAGGGTGGGTAATAAATTGAATAATGATAATAAATAATAATAGAAATAGCCCTGCTCTAGAAAAGCTGGGTAAATGTTATTGGTTCTCTATGGATGTGGCTTTCTCTGTGTACAGAACTCCCAAGACACAGTTGACATCCAGTGGAGTGGAGTGGCAAGTGAGACTTAGACTGGGGAGATTTTGTTTCAAATCCCTGATTTACTCCAAAGCTTCCTGGGTGGTGACTTTGGGTCTACCTCTTAGCCTAATCTATCCACTCACAGGGATAAAACAGTGGGAAAACTATATATGCTACCCTGAGCTGTTTGGAGGAAGAATGGGATTGAAGTGTAGTAGTAGTAGTAGTAGTAGTAGTAGTAAATGCTCCTTAGCACAGGCAGTCTTGCTAACAAGTCCACCCAAGTTACTAGCCCATAACTTTTTAAAAAAATTATTCACCTTTCCTCACATGCCTGTGTAAGTCGCTTATTGCCCACTGACAGAGGCTGTTGCAGTTTCAAAAGCTCCATTGTTTGGTCACTTGGAGGCTTGCCACAGACTAGTGCTGGACAAGTGGCAGATTTCAAACCTAAGATAAAAGATACTGAAAAGTAACCTGTCCTCTCCCAGGCAAATTGCTGTCACAGACACAGTGAGATAGGTGGAATAAGTAGGTGGCAGCAACAGTGAAAGGTCTGCTGGCTGTCAGAAGCTATATCCGCTGCTGTCTTCTCAGGTCCTGGGCCACCAAGTCCCGGAGCAGCTCCTGCCTGATGTAGCTCTGGTTGGAGAACTGTCTGACACAGCTGAGCTGGGCAAGCTACTGCAGCTGGTGCTGGGCTGTGCCATCAGCTGTGAGAGGAAGCAAGGTATATGTGTGCGAATGACAATTACGATGGGGGGATGTCACAGTGGAGCTTTATGGGCATCTGTGCCATGAGGATGACTCTGCAATGGCTGCTTTAAATACCTGCCATGTGTTGCTGGGGTCTAGGAAGCAGGTGCCCTATTTGTTGTGGCATTGCTGTCCTGCTTACAGGGACTTACAGTTTCCCTTCGTTAGTCCTCTCTATTCAGGTGGCTCCTGCCTCATCCATATAACTTCTGGATCTCCTTAAGCTGGAGCTTCCAATCTTTCTCCTTGGGTTTTCTCCTCTTGGTTTTCTTCACCCCTGATACTAGTTGGGATATCAGCCTCTTAAATCAGTTTGAGACAGAAGGAGGGTGCAGTGAGAGACAGACAGACAGATCTGACATTCTGCCACACCCACAAAAATACTTCATCGAAATTTGGGCCCCACTCCTGGAGGCTGTACCAACCCTCATGGCTGCATGATTTGGGGCAGGGGAGGGAATCTGGCCAGAGGAGGAAGGAACTAGTTGGAGAGTAACTTGAGTGCCCAGCCTCATCTGTTTGCAGATCACATCCAGCAGATCATGACCCTGGAGGAATCTGTGCAGCATGTTGTTATGACAGCAATACAGGAGGTGAGTGCGACTGTGTCCTTCAGCCTAGTGGGAAGCCATTAGGCTCCGGAACTGGATGCTTGCTTTGTGTTGCTAATGATCTCCCTGGTCAGGAAGTGCCCCTCATTCTCAACCTACAATCTTGCGTCTTCCCAGGTAATGATGCTACTTTTGTGCTAGTCCCTGCCCCCGCCAAGTCCTGCCCACTCCCTGCTGCCAGGCCTGGTGCTCATTAGATGAAAGTTCCGAAAGATGTTCTAGTTAACCTATGCCTGCTTCCTGGAATACAGGGCTTAGAAAGTTCTGAGAGTCACCTCTATGTGACCAGTTACCAAACCTCTTTGTCTTTTGCAGCTCTTAAACAAAGATTCATCGGACACGCTGAGCTCAGAGACTTATGGGAACTTTGACAGCCAGGTACTTGTGATATATATTAAGAGTGGGTGGGCGGCATGAGCCCTAATGGTGCAAATTCAATAGATGTAGGCTGAGCAGGAATGGAGAAAGAGGTCCTTTTTTTTTTTTTGGTGGGGCCAGATGAGGTAATTCAAAGGAAGAAGGCTAGGCTTGGGCTACTAGGAGTGGTTTGCCTTGTTCAGTGTCTGTAGTACTATATAGACTTTTATTGACTGACTGGCTGACTTCTTGTACCTTTCCGGTTTTCCCTTGTAGTCCAGGAAGTATTACTTTCTCAGTGATGACCTAGAGGAGACAGATGACATGCGCCAGCGCTGCCATGACCTAGAGCAGCAGGTGAGTGTCTCTTGGGAGCCAAGAAAATTGGAGGTGGAAACCAGCTCTGTTTGCTGTGGACTTAAAAGAATGTGCATCAGATGATGGAAGCCAGGAGACTATTCATAGGAACAATGGAAAAATACTGAGCACCATCAGGTCTCCAATGGGTTCTGCCCTTCCTCAGAAGTTATGGGGAGGTATATATCAGGGGTAGGGAACCTGTTGTCTCATAACGTTTGGTTGACTGCATTGTCTGTCACCTCTGAGCATTAGCCATGCTGGCTGGGGCTGATGACAGATAGGATTCCCAATAACATCTGGAGGGCCACAGGTTCCCCACCCCTGGTATATATTCTGTGCTGGAATTTTGCAGGAGCCCTGACATGCCGTTTTCTGAACTGCTATCTTGATTACCATCCTTTCTCTCCCCTTCCCTCCCTGCCTGCCTCTCCATATTGCACAGCTCTATGTGCACTGAGTTGGTGGTGTTTGGGGACCGGGCCTATTCTGGTCATTTGGATATTCTGTCTTTCCTTATATGAAGGCAAGGTGAGGTCCTGCCTTCCTTTCCTCCCTCATGCAGTCCAGTTTCTGGGGTGGGGTGGGAAGTGCAGTTCTTTGTGGATGGTGTGAGCTTGCTGGGCTGCATGGAGACAGCTGGGCTTGGCTGCAGTGTGGTGTGGTGTGCGAGTCCGTGTCCCTCCTCCTAATGCACAGCTGTCCTTTCCCTCATTGTTTTTGAGATTGCTGTGGACGAAGAACAAGATCAGCTTGGTAGTTTTGGGGCTGACCTTGGACTCAGTGGTCCTGGGCTTTATGCCTCTTTTTACCTGTTAAAGCCATATGAACAAGACTGGTGTCCAGCAGAGGGGCTAAATTTAAAGAGCAGACAGTGCAACTGTGGAGATTTTGGATATTTCAGGAAGGGTGGGTTGTGGGGGACCTGAGAAAGGATAGGCTGATCTCGCTCCCTTTACAAAAACAAACCCTTTACTCCTCCAAGGTGCTAAAGTGCCCCTGGAGTTGCAGCCCCCTTCAAGAAGGTAAGTGTCTTCCCTCTTCCCATGCTCTTGCCTATGATAACAGACCTGCTCACCCAGCAGTGGAGCCCCATGCCTGGTGGGACCAGCCTAACCTCCTTGCATGAGCATGTGCCATGTTGACAAGTTAACAACTGCTTGAGAGCTAATACAGCTACAAATTCACATTTCTGCATTCTAGGTTCTAAACTGCATATGAAGATTCTGGAATCACTTAGGTTTAGGGGATGTATATACAGGCTGAGGGGGTTTTTGTGGCCTCTTCATTTGGCAGCATTTAATCTTCGTGGCAATTCTGGATCCCTGCAGTAGGTCGGTAGGTGCCTGTAATGAAGTTTTCGCTTCCATTCAGGGAGCATAGGTCCTTGGCAAAAAGTCTGCCAGATTTGCAGAGAGAGGAAGTGAACTTGCTTGCTAGCAGTTCCTTTCAGTAGCTCACACATGCTTTAGTAGTGCCTGTGTGGATGATAATTCCTTCCCGCCAAATGAGCTGGTGCAAGAGGAGTCCTGATGAGGCTAATTTCAATGGCTGCTGTGCGTGTTGGGGCAGGAGGCCAGCTGTAGACATTCTTTTGCACATGCATGCAAATGTCTGTTAAACCTACTCTGTTACCCACTGTATGGTTCCATAGTTTTGCAAAATCTGGGGACAAGTCTGCTAGAGCAGCAAAAGGAACCGATTGCTTTTGGCTACATGTAGCAATTTGATAGAGAGTGGGAGAGCAGGGTTCTCTTCAGCCTGCTTAAAGCCAAGGGAAAGAAGTGAACAGCCAAGACTTAAGGAGCTATGCTTCCGCTCTCCCCTTTTTCTAGGGCCCTAGTAGAATGAGGTTGAATGTCACAGGCTGGTTGGGCTTACGAAGGACCTGGTAGAATCCGCAAAGTTCTTAGCTGGACTTAGAGCTCCATTACTTGGCCGCCTCCTAGAAACTAGTCTTCCTCCTCCCTTCTCTCAGATCTCCATCCTGGTGGAAGAAAAGAATACTTTGTCTCTAGAGAACAAGAGTCTCCGGGAGCAGAAAAGCTCCCTTGAGTCAGATGCTGCTGGGCTCACTGGCAAGAAGTTGCTTCTGCTTCAAACCCAGATAGAGCAGCTGCAAGAGGAGAACTTCCGGTAAGGCAGATACTGGGGTGGGGAGGTTATATTGCCCTCAGGACAATGTGCCCAAAGGCAGTGGAGTCCAGAGAATAATTAGAAGAAAAGTCTAGCTAACTAGATGTATTTTGGCCAGGCTGGAAAGCAGCAGAGATGACTTCCGAGTGCGCTGTGAAGATCTCGAAAAGGAAGTGCTGGAACTTCAACACCGCAATGAGGAGCTGACCAGCCTGGCTGAGGAAGCCCAAGCACTGAAAGACGAGATGGATGTGCTGCGGTAAGTGTGCCTCAATGCCTCAGCTGCAAGAACTGTGAATATACCCTTTTATTTTTTTGGTTATGTGTTACGGCTTGTGAAGCAGCCCATGGTCCAGCCTGGGCCTGCTGTGTGTCAAAACTCCACATTTGTGAATCTTGGGCCTCAGGTGTGCTGTGTTGCCGTATAGGCAAACCTCCCACTGCAGCAGCTGACTAATAGAGGTCTGCTTCTCTGCATATTTGGACACTCTTAGGTAGACAGTCCATTTTTGCACACATCCTTAAGTTTAACATGGTGATCTTTGCCACTGAAAAGGCAGAGCAACAGATTCCCAAACACCTGATGGAGAAGAGTTGACAGTCCCACCAGAGGGTTTGTGGGTGGCACATGCCTGTGCACTGGAGCCCTGATGAAGGCTGTCTCTCTTCCAATGCTTGAAGTTCTGGAAAAGCAGAAGCAAATTAGTCCAGGAGTTTTGAGTGAATATGTGGAATGTGGCTTCTTACTTGGAATCCAATTAGTTCTGCTGAATAATCAAAATCTCTGCTATCTGGAATTTGGTGGAAGTGGGGCAGCTTGTGTGTAAATAATTTGGTTTAATTGAGAATGTTAGTAGCTCTAGGGGGATGGGTTTCTGTGCTGGAACAGCATTCATTGCAGTCTCTCACTATTACCAGTCTTCCTTTTCCTGTGTTTGTGAGTTTTGTACAAAGCATGCTGTTAGGTAACTTCACACAGATTTCTTTTTTTGCTATACATTAAAGCAAACTCAAGTTTTGTTGTAACTTGCCAATTTTTGGACTGTTTCACACAGAAATGTAGACATAGTGCTTCAGTTCTAGAATAGATGCACTGACCCATAACTTCATGTGATGTAAAAGAGTGTCAGCAAGCCTTGGGCTTTCATGCATCCTTTTCTACCACATCCCAGTGGCTAGAAGCAGAAGTGGGGGATCAAATGCTTTACTATTTGTTTGTTGTGTCCAAACCAACAAAGGACAGTTACCATTTGACTATAATTTGTTTGCAACAATCCAACTTGGAATGTTGGCCTTAAAATGCATGGGATACTTGTTGCTTATCCATTATTGTTTCAGTTTTTGGCACCCTTTGACCTTGCTGCAGCAATTCCTGCTTACACAGTAGTTTTCTATAGCTAGTAGAGTTACTTTCTGTCCCTCCACTTTTTATCCAATAAAGTCAGAGTTACCTGACATTAAAAGCTGTAAAAGATACCTATACTTATATCTATATCCTGCTGTTCTGCAGTCACTCCTCAGACAAGGTGGGACGGCTGGAGGCTATGGTGGACTCCTACAAGAAGAAGCTGGAAGACCTGGGTGACCTTCGGCGGCAAGTTCGGCTGCTTGAGGAAAGAAACACCGTCTACATGCAGCGCACTTGTGAGCTGGAGGAGGAGCTTCGGCGTGCAAATGCCGTCCGTGTGCAGCTGGAGGCACATAAGAGACAGGTGAGTTGGTGTTAATAAGAGAATGCATTTGAGCAGACTGCAGCCTTCAGAATGCACTTGCAATAATACTCTGTCCTGAAGGAATCCTAAAGACAGATTGGAGCACCATTGGAGCCAGAAAGGCAAAACCCATTTGACCAGGATTGACCTGGTAGCTGTAGCTGTGCTGTGGCTTTGCAGGCAGAACTGTTGTCTCAAACAGTCTTGTACTCTTGGTGTTTGGGAGGACTTCAATACTAAACATAGATTCAAGACAACCTGTAATGAAAAGCAGCGTTGCTGATTGCTTTGCAGCAGGAGAGGAGGGCAAAGATCATAAGCACAGCAAACCCCTACTCTTCCCTCTTCCAGGTGCAAGAGCTCCACAGCAAACATGCAGATGAGGCTTTGAAGGCGGAGAAATGGCAGTTTGAGTTCAAGAACCTCAAGGAGAAGTTTGAGGCCCTGGTAAAAGAAAAAGAGGTAATGCAGACCTTGTACCACAAGAGGATGATGAGTGTTTCCTTTGGCTTGCAGGTGAAGGCCTAGTCCAGGAGTGAGGGAGCTTTTTCAGCTTGAGGGCCACATCCTCTCATGGGCAGCCTTGTGGAGGTTGCATGCAAGTGTGGGTGGAGCAATGGATGTGACTTCTCTCTTCATTGAAAGGGCTACATTCTGGCCGCGCAAAAGCTCGAGCTTGGTGGTGGGTGGGTGTGTATAGATATAGGTATGTCCATACAGATTTTTTATATATGCACACAAATGCACCACCTATCTACCCATCCATTATCACAGTTCAATGGCTCATTCCAGCCTGGTAAAGGAGGGCACAGAGCAGGCCTGGAGAGCATGTGGGACGAGTCCCAAATGTCAGAGAGCCTTGAAGGCTGCATTTGGCCTGAGATTCTCTACTCCTAGTCTCGTGGCAAGAATAGGGAAATCTGGCAGGAGTAGCATCTAGTTTCTGTTACTTTGACAATGTAGTACAATAAGGCATCAGCCCACCATAGCTTAAGTGGTCCTTTTCCTGGAGTGATTCCTGACCCTTTTCCCTTAGAGGCTGATTGAAGAGCGGGATGCCTTACGGGAAGCCAATGAAGAACTGCGATGTGCTCAGGTGCAGCAGAAATTCCTAAACCAAGCAGGTGAGTATCAGAAGTCTTCCCCACCCCAATGAAATCCAATAAAGTCTGCCTCAGAACAAAGATTGGAAGTTAAGGAGAAAAGGGACACGTCTTTGTGTTGACAGGGCCAAGTGCACTCAAGTTACACTAAACTAGCAGTCAACTACATTTAACATTTGTTAATACCTGAAGAGCCATAGTGAGCTGCCTACTTGCTGCAATCATTAGAGGAGATTTGTTCCATCTGAAATGAACCGGGGGGGGGGGGGCGCTAGGGCCACCTCAGTGTTGGTGCCCATAATTTTTTGTTGCAGGAAAACAAACTAGACGCTTCTTTGTGCGTTTAGGTGTTGATTTAAGAGCATATTGTTTGGACATTTATTTTATTGAAATGTCCTTTAATTTGATTTAGTTGCTGATTGAGCGTTGTGCTTCTATTTTTGCGATTCCTTTTTGGTTGTTACGGCTGTTTTTTGCAAATGTATTTTATATTTTTTATTTACACCTGAAGACTCCATTTGGGATGGAAGGGTGCATTAAAAATAAATGAATTAAATGCTGTCATTTTCATTTTTAAGAACTTTCTACAGGCATGTCCAGGGGGATTCCCTTGTCTGTTAGCTTACTTGGAAGCCACAGGAGGGCTGAGAGGGTAGGATTTTAATGGATTGGACTGTTTTTATAAGCTGAATGGATAGCTCAGTTGGTAGAGCATGAGACTCTTAATCTCAGGGTCATGAGTTTGAGCCCTACCTTGGGCAAAAGATTCCTGCATTGCAGGGGGTTGGACTGGATGACCCTTGTGGTCCCTTCCAACTCTACAGTTCTATGAGCAGCTATACGGAACAATTTTTTTACTGTTTTATTTTAATTAATGTTTATTATGTGATTTGTGATCTTAATTGTTCTGATATGTAAATCACCCTAGGATTTCTTTTAATGAAGGGTGGTAAAGAAATTATATAAATTAAATTTTAGGCTAAGCCTGATAGGATCTCACACACCTGTCTCCAAGAGCTTTGCCTACAGCCTGTGTGTGTGCTTGGTCTGCCATTCGGTTGCCTGAACCTGCTTGTAGGGGAAGACCTTGTATTATGGTTGGCTGCTGCCTGAAGTGAGGTTACCGGTTTCACCTCCCATCTCTGTGTGGCTTTTCTCAGCCTTCATTCTTCTCCTGTTTAAATGTATTTCTCTTGATGTGATAGATGCCAGTGTGGACCATGTTTTGCTTAATACTGCTGGGACCCATAACTGCACTTTTATTGCTCCAACTCAGGGTTGATGAGTTGTCCGGCCCTGGCTAGGTCAAGTGACACCAAAAGCTTGAGTGATTGCATCTTAGAGGGTTGTGCTTTATAGCAAGGTAGTATTTGGGAACGATCGGCTCCTCCCCTCCAACAACACCTGCACCTTTGGGTAGAAAGCCAGAGTAAAAATAAATGTATCTTCTGTTTCTCTCCCCCCTCCCCCTTGCAGATACCATCCTAGAAGAAATTGCTTCTCCTGTGGATAACTTAGCAGCTGAGATCATTCCAGCAGAACTCAAGTAAAGTTTGCCCCCTTGGGGATCCTGTCTTGGGAGGCAGAAGGGCAAAAGCCTATGGGGCCTATTTGAAATTGGGGACTTGCTGTTATTCATAATTATACTTGATTACTTCCATCAGCCAGAGGTTGGAGTCAGTGTTACCCTGGTGTCCTTTTGGTGATAAAGAGAAAGTGGTGGTGGTGGGGGGGAGTGCTATCCTGGATTTATTTTTCTGATATTGTAGATGAAACAGGTGTCATCCCAAGATCACCTTCAGCTTGTTTGCTTAAGCTTAAGAAAACTGGAGTACAGTTTTCTGCTTCATACAGTCATGACATAAATTCTTTAAAAGGTCAGGCTCTAAGTGAATGCTCCTAATGTATATGCTAGATAATACAGCACGGTAATCTCTGTGAATACTGTCTATCCCAATATGCATTGCTCTGGTTTGGCCCCCAATTCTAGATATTGCATCCTCTCTATGAGCTGTTCTGCCTTTTAGTACAGCTTTTAGGGTTGGGAGTTGGGCCCACATGAAGCGGGGGGGGGGGGGCTGGGAAGTGGTGGTGGTGGTGGTCCACACCATTGGATAATGCCCCAGCTAATAATTGTAACATTCTGTGTTTCTTGCGGCCAGGGAGACCATTGTGCGGCTGCAGCATGAGAACAAGATGTTATGTGCACAAGAGCTGTCCTATCGGCTGCAGCAGACCGAATTGCAGGGGCTGCTGGAGGAATCTAACCGTACTAAGAACCAGCTAGAGGCACAGCAAAGGTATCCAACAAGCTGAAAAGTTTGCAGTTTGTCCCCACTGGTCTTAGAAGATCCAACCTGCCTTCTCCAGTCCCTCTTAACCTTTGACCAACTATTAAATTTGCAATTCTAATTTAGAATTATTTTTATTCACTGTTCTTCCTCTTATCTGGTAGGCAATATTCTACCTCCTGTTCTAAAAACTAGTGGGGAAACTCTTACTGTTGGCCAATCAAGTGAAACCATATTTGCATGGTCAGTTGGGGAGTGTCCTTGAGCTCAAGCACTGTTTGCATGATCTACTAGGAATGTTAAACTAACATTTTTTTAAAAAATAGAATTTTGTCCTAGCTTATCTTTGTTAACTAGTGAGGGGCAAGCTCCCTTCTCCTCTCATTGCCCTGGCTCAGAAATAAACAGAGCCGTTTGAAGGTGTACTACTTATCACAGCAGCTTTTAGCTAGGCGCCATCTGTACTGACAGTCCTGTGGGCTTTGTTGCTGTTTGCAGCTGGCCTTTCTCTTGCCTGTTTTAATTTGATTTGCCCTTCTCTCTATCCAGACTGAGCCAGCAACAGATCACTGAGCTCAAGGTGCAAGTAGAGGAGCTGCAACGGGCCCTCCAGGAGCAAGGAAGCAAAGCAGAAGATGTGAGTTTGCTTGAGAAAAGAGGGTTCTGTGAGGCCTTGTCAGAGTCAGGCTCACAGGGAAGTTTTGAAGGAGATTTTCACAGGGGCTGGTGGTCTCTACTCTCAGCCTGAATCCAGACCTTCTTACAGGGTGGCAGTAATGGGAGCTGGTGGCATAAACCCACCTGTCCGTTTCTCAATGGAGACTTAAAACCAAGACAAAACAAAGGAGCTGGGCCGTATGAGATCTTTGTTGCAACATCTAGTCTAGGATTGTGTGCTCTCTGTGTACCAAGTGGGGGAACTCTGCCTGTGTATTGGCAAGTTTTAGCCTCCCAAATTACCTTGGGGCTCAAAACAATGAAAAAGGAGTGGGGCTAATCCTCAGATACTGACTACTGCTTGACAGGGTTGCTATAATGTGGGTGGTAGAGATTCCTTGAACATACAAATTCAATGCTAAGGCTACACTTGTGGGTCTTAGGAGCTGCAAAATTGCAGTTTATGGTAGCTACGCTGGACAAAGGTGTGCTATTTGGCTAAGAACCTTTTTTCTCGGGTTTACGGGCTTGTTGCCTATTGGGGGAGGGAGGGCAAGAACTTGCAGGCTGTAAGTGTAGTTTTGCCCCAGTTTGAGAGCCTTGTGTCCCCTCTCCTGTGGCCTGTTCTAATGATCACCATTACCTTCTGCCCAGGCCTCTTTTCCTCCTCACTTCCCTAATCTCACTATGCTAACAGCCCTCTCTTTCTCCCTTCTGACTTGCTGGCTATCCTGCCCAGGCCATTGTAAGTACTTTCACATTCTGTGTTGCTTCCACCATCTAACCTACTCCGCTGCCCTGCCAACTCATTGTTGCTTCTCTTCTGTCTTTGCTTGATTCTTGGTGTGTCAAAGATAAGGGGCTGCTCTGGGTTCACCTGCCAAGAGCTGCTAAGGGGCCTGCGTATTCTGAAGGTTTAAAGGAGCACAAGTTCAGTTTTCTTAGTGCAGAAGGGAAGCTGGGAAGCATAGGTGCTGTTTTGAATTGGTAACTTCTGTTCCAAACGGCATTCTGATAATCTGAAAAGGTAGGAGCAGTCTAGATTTGTTTCTGAATTCGTGCAAAGTAGTTAACTGTACCAACATCTCTTAGGAGATGTGCTGTCTCCTACACAATCAGTAACTGTTCATGTTACTGCCCTGTGAGTCTTGTATATTAATAAGTCTGTAAACAATTATGGTTCAGCATTTTCTAAATTATCCCTACTGGGATAATTGAAAAGGAAGTAGAGGAAAAACTTCCTAATGGTTGAGAGCCTTTAGGCTGGAGGTGAAAGAGAAATGCTGTTGATGTGACATTGAGCAATGTAAACCAACATTTGCACACCTAGTAAAAGCTGTAGTAAACCTTGAAAAGTAAATGCTTTTGCATTGCCCACATCTATTGATGCTACTTGAGTGACAGACCCTGAATGGTCTCAGGTGGAGGGAGGAGACTTTGGCTTTTACTGCCAGAGATGGGAGTGAGGTTTGAATACATGAATGGATTAGTAACTAGTATAGAAAGACCTTTTGTTTTTTAGACTGCAGCCTTGTTAATTGACAGTAGGATTGACCGTAGAGTTGAGCCACTGGCTGTGTTTAGTTCACTTACTGTATACTGGATATTTTTATCTCCCCCGGCATGCCAGCATAGACAACCATGTTTGCAGAACTGAATGGAATTCTCTGTTCCATTTTAAGAGTGCTTCTGAGTCAGCAGCATCCCAGTTTAACTTTCCTAGCTCATGAAGACAAATCTGAACTGAAACCTTGAACTCCTAGTGCCCCCAGGATGAATCCTTCAAAGCCAGCAAATTTATGCATAACCTGAGTGCAGGAGGTCTTCAAGAGTACAGGGTACACTACAACTACACAGGTTTTAGTATTGTGTGTAAGATATACTGAACATAGCACCAGCTCACTCTAGTGGTCAGATGATGACGACAACAACAGCAGCTTAGCTAATTGATCTGCAAACAAAATAAAAATCCTAAACAGTCATTTCTCTCTCTTTTTAGTCTTCTCTCCTACAAAAGAAGCTGGAGGAGCACCTGTAAGTGATTCAATTTAGTTTGAGGGACAGGGTTGGAAAGGGCTAAAGCTCACTTGGTTTTCTTTGTTGCATTTGATGAATACATATCTGGGGTTGTTATGGGTCCAGCTGTGCTACTTAACAACATATTGATGCTGTCACACAATACACAGCAGGGCTTTGGTTCCACGCCCTTCAGGTTTCTGGTCCTTATTCTTCAAGACACCTGCATGCCTAGCTTCTGTTTCTCTTTCTGTTTCCTGGTCAGAGAGAAATTGCATGAGGCCCATGCAGAGCTTCAGAAGAAGAAGGAATGCCTTGATGAATTGGAGCCAAAAGTGGACAGCAACAGTAAGTGGGTGGATGACAGATCCATTGCTTTAGGAGTCTCAACTAAGCCCAACCTTTGCTGGGTACTACAATGGGATGGGATGGGCTGGGCTACCCAGAAATCAGAAGACCTTGTAGAGCATAGAGTGAAGATTCTTGCTACTCCATCTGTCCCCTGTCCACATTTTGGGGTCAGGACAGCATTGATGTCCCCGCCTTTCTCAACAGCTGCCAAGAAGATTGATGAACTGCAGCAATCTTTGAAGAAGAAAGATGAAGATATGAGAGCCATGGAGGAACGATACAAGCGTTATATGGACAAAGCCTGCACAGTAAGTCAAGTCTTTTCAGTGCCTTTTGCCACTGCACAGGCATACATTGGCGAAGCCTCACTAAATGGCTTTGTAGATCATACACGCTTCCCTGCGGTCAGTGTGATTCAGTCAGCAATGTTGCTTCAGGACCTTTCTAGTAGCTAAATGGTCTTGGCCTCCCAAAGCTAAGTGATTATGGAAGATCTCTTTATCCTTTCACAGGTCATCAAGAAACTGGATCCGAAGCAGCAGCCTCATGGAGTTCCACTGGAGATCCAGGCTTTGAAAAACCAGCTGCAGGAAAAGGATAAGAAAATCAACCACCTGGAGGTGAGCTCCTCTTCCTCTTCCGAGAATGAGGGTTGCAGCTTTTCTTACATAAGAGCCTGCCTGATTAGGCCAAAGCCCCCTCTAGTTAAACAATGGAATTTGCTCCCTTGAGAAGCAGTAATGGCCACCAAACATTGATGGCTTTAAATGAGGACTAGGCTATCAGAGGTTACTAACCATGATGGCTATGTATTACTTCCATTGTTGGAAGGAATGTACTTCTAAATACCAGTTGCAGGAAACTGCAGGAAGGGACACTGATGTTGTGCTCTGGTCCTGCTCACAGCTTCCCAAGGGCATCTGGTGGGCCACTGGCCTGATCCAGCAGGGCAATACTTATTATAACAAGTTTCCAAAATTAACAAGGATGTGCGCACTGCAGCCCTCTTACCCATAAGCTACAGGTGTCTTGAGTATAATGCATTAATTCCTTATCTTCCGAAAGTCAATATAAATTATTTCAGATGAGTGGTTTGCCATGCGTTGCCTGTTTCGACCACCCTGTTAGCAGCTCAGGTAGTTTCTTTCTGTTGTCCTTACTTTGCTTTCACTTGGGATCAAATTGGTAGACTGAGGTCCTGCACATCTATAAAAGGAAGAGGTACACTTCTCATCTCCCCTCTGTTTTGGTTGGCCTTGGCAGCATAACTTGGGGTTTTCCATAATCCCCCCAACACACACACACACACACAGAGAGAGAGAGAGAGAGAGAGAGAGAGCGCGCGCCTTGAGGTTTAGCAGCATGACCACTTACCTCCTTTTTCCTCTCTGTGCTTCATCTCATTAGTCGGATTTTGAGAAGACAAAATCTCAACAAGAACAAGAAGAGAAACTCATCATCACTGCTTGGTATAACATGGTGAGTTTGAATTGGACTAGGCATAAATAGAGGTGCATGTACTGATGCAGGGGTGTGGCACATTGCTTTGCAGGAGAACAGTATGAATAACTGCTGTGGAGCTTAACATCCCGAGAATCTCTTACTTTTTCTAACTATTTTGGTACTAGACACGTTTTGCAGCTGCTAAACACTGCTGAGTAAAATGTCTGAAGTTGGGCTCTTTACAGTAGATCATTTTGATGATCCTGTATATGTCTGGATCACAGAACATGGCCTTTTTGAATTCAGACCCTCTTGTCTTCTGACACATACTGTCCTGGTCAGAGCCCTATGGAGGAAGAACAGTGAAGAACCCTCCATCTCCATCCAAGAGTCTGCTGGCACAAGCCAAATGTTTCTTTTCTTTCCCACTGCAGGGCCTGGCGCTGCACCAGCGGGCTACAGAGGAGCGGTCATCCACCTCTACACCAGTCCAGTCCTTCTTGGCCCAGCAAAGATTGGCCACCAATACTCGAAGGGGCCACCTGAACCGAGCTCAACCCTTGCTGCTTCGATACGTTGGTACAGACAAACCTCAGTTGTCCTGATCTGGAAAAGCTGTCCTGTGGATCTTCTAGAGAATGCTCACTTCCCGGGGAGTGTGAAATCGGAATTCCTGTTATGCAGTGGTACTTCCTCTGGAAACCCCCGTTTTATCCCTATTGCTGAAATTCATTCTCTGATACTAAAGATTATTCCTATGCCCAACTGTAGTGCTTGTTTTTTAAAAAATGAGGAATCTTGAGCAGCAAGGAGCTGGATCTTCCCTATTCATTGCAGACCTACATGTTCCCTCTTCCACTGCAGTTGGGAGCTGTTGCATGGCAGTACCCCGGGTGACGGAGAGGTATCCTTCAACCATGTTCCTTACCCACCTTTCCTCTTAAAATTCTGCTTTTGTACATAGTTTCTGTATAGCCCTGTTCCCCACCAATTAAAAATGTTCTTTACCTAATGATGTCATCTGCAGAGGGTATGGAGGGAATATTTTTACTGTCATTCACATCTCCCCTTATGGTATCGGCCTCAGTCCTGGGTATTTTTTGTGGTGATGAATGCAAAAGGATGAGATGGCTGCTTTGATAGTGGCCCTGCATTTGGAGTTTGACTCCTTTAAAAAGCTAGCATCGGTTCCTCAGGAGCCAGATTGCATTGCCTGAGGCACATTATGGCACAGCTTTTCTTAGTGACTTAAGAATCCCTTTAAGAAGGGCCAGGGCCTTGGTACAAAAAAGCCCCATTTGAAAACGTATGAACGCTAAATTGACTTTAGACCCTAGGGGTGAAGAGAGCCTGCAGTCCTGCCCAACAGTAGTTTGTGTGCACATCTGTAACTGTGTTGTCTTCACGGCAATATTTAGTGCCTGGTGTTTTTTTTGAAAAGTGCTACTCTTTTTCTTCCCTCCCTGTTAGTATCATATTCAGAGACATTGCAAGATGCAGTATCCTTTTAAAAATACGTTCTCCAAATTTTGATTCTTTTTTTTTAAAGTAAAGTTCATAGTTTTAATGCTGTAAATTATACATTTTGTAAAGCTATCTTGTATCTCTGCCTCTTTATTTTTCTATCGGACAGAAGCCTGACATGCAATGTGGGAGGATGGGATATGTCTATAGAATCTTTACACTACAAATAAAATGTTATAAAATCTTTTCTGTATCCTCATTCCTCTAGTAGCAACAACTATTACTGTTGGGCAATAGCCGCCATCTGGGAGGACCAGCTGTAGCTGTTAGTAGTTCTTTGCAGTACCTTTGTACTGCTGTAGTTCAGGCTTCCCTTTAATTCTGAGATGGGATTTTTCTCTCTTGGAAATTTAGTAGACCAATCAACTGCAGTTCCCTATTGGGCCTTGGAAGAAGTCCTTAGTTGATTTGTCATTGTCCTTAGTTGATTTGACCTACTTCAGAATCTGGTGGTGGGCTGATAGCAGTTAAAACTCAAAGAAAATTATTGATGGTCAAGAGTAAAGTGGTACCTTGGTTTACAAACTAATCCGTTCCAGAAGTCAGTTCTTAAACCGAGGCACGCTTTCCCTATTGGGGCCTCTTGCCACTGGTGCCCTTCTACCATTCGGATTCCGTTCTTAGAGGTAAAGTTCACAAACCGGGACACTACTTCCAGTTTTGCAGAGTTCATAAACTGAATCATTCATAAACAGGACTGTTCTTAAACCGAGGTACCACTGTACTTTGCATTTAGGATTGCTACAAAGGCTGGCACAGTGGCAGTTGATTTATTTATCAAAAGGGAGCATTTTCAATTGGGAAGCCATCATAAGAGCAGCAATAGAGCATTTGTTAAAGAAGCACATCCTCCGTACATCGATGTGTGGTTGTCCCTGTTGCTGATGGAGTTTTTAGAGTTAGAGGTCCCCTTTGGCTTCACAGCAAGCACCCAGCCCTAAGGGGAATGTCTCCTGTTGCTCCTAGCTAAATACTACCATAAAAGATGGTTTAAAGGTTCTTAGAATGTGATCCACCATTAAATTTAGTCTCACTATCCTCTGCAGTACTTACTGAAGGCTTGAACTACAAGTAACTTTCTTCCCTAGTATACTGAGGTACCAGTTAACACAACACAGAATCAGGTAGGATAACAATACACGGCATATGAGCCCTTTTTCTCTGTGCACTAAGAGGAATCCAAAGGATCTGATGCTATGGACAGACTGATATCTTGACTGAATCGGCAGCTCCCAACATTGCCCTCCAGGCCCATGTACAGCTTGTCTGAGGCTCTCCCCAGTTGACTGGGAGACCCAGGGCATTCTTGGCATGACAGCGCCTGCCATGACCCCTCTGAGGCCTGGAGCAAGTATACCCGGCTCCCCCACCCCACCCACAGACCTGTTTCCATCTCTTTTCATTTGAAGGGAGCAGGTACTTTTTTAGTGCACAGAGAATCACTGGAGCAGCTTCTCTTTGTCACTGCAACTCTCTTCTGAGCAGCTTAGTTGCGCGGTGGGTGGGGAAATTTCAGAGAGGTTTTAATTTCCTTTCCCCATTATCCCTTTTTCTCCCTGCTGCTCCAAGTGTGCAAGCAGTGGCAAAGAGGTAGCTGCTCAGTCAGGTTCCCTTGCCTTTTATGGGCTTCGGAGAGGATGTGAGGACTGTGACTGGAGCCCTAACCAGCATGGTCATAGTTAACCAGGGGTTCCCCAATCTAGTTTCCAGAAGCTATTGGAATACATTTCCTATCTGCTCTTGCCTTGTACAATTTGTTGGCTGGGTGAGTATTTCGGGTGGAGTGGCTGAACAAAGCATGGCTGAGGAAGGATGCTGGGTTCACATGTAACACCAAAACATACATATAATCAGCCAGATGGAACATTGGTCTGATCCAGGCAAGTTAATTTGTGCCTATCGGAATTCACTTCTAGACCTACAGAACTCTTAATAGTATTCAGTATGACTGGACATATACATTGGAGGTTTAAAGGGCAGGCCACAAAACATTACTCTAGACAAAATACCATTTAATAAAATACTAGAAAAGCATGAATTTTAAAACATAGTAGATCCACACTGAGGCATTTGGGTAGTAGTAAGCGCAGAAGTGATTACCTCCTTCCATGTTCACCATCTGATGATTACAGAAAGGAATGAGATGCAATAACCAGCTGCGGCTTTGGGTAAATATAGGACAGAATAGTACCTTCAGGAGTAGCTCAGTGCCCATGATTGCCCCTGCATGTTCAGTTAGGGGCTGCAGATGCAAGTCAAGAACACGTGGGGGGGGGGACAGAAACAGAGGCCTGATTAACAGAATCCTCCTGACTCCTTATGAAGTGGCCCCACATTACAATGTGTCATTAAAAACCAGGTGTCTAGCAGGGGCCACCAATTCAAATTTCCCTTTAGCAGCTGCAAGGACTATCAGTCTTCACTGATTTCCTGTCCTGAGGCCTAAGATTGAACCGTCCCATGGGCTACCCTTCGTAATGGCTCCACTCAACCCTGTGGAGGCTGAAGTAATAGCTTATGCCACATTCTCCTCCTCGATAGGGCTCTGCAGCCAGTGGGGGTAATTGGCTGGCGGAAGACCCTTGCTGGAGGCCTCCTTTGAGCTGTGAAAGAAGGGGGCATCTGAAGAGCCGTGGTCTAGGAGAGGCTGAGACGAGTCGGTATCTGTTGCTGCAGGGACAGACATGTCCACAAGGGGCACTGGATCCTGGGGGTTGGCCACAGCACTGTCATGGCCTAGCAAGGTCTGAGCTGGGCCACTGGGCTCGCCGGCGGGATCCTCAGAGAGGTCCTTGTGTGTCTCCGTGCCCAGGCCAGTGGCATCAGGCCCAAGGTCTCCCTCCCCCTCAGAGCTGAAGTGAATGCTATTGATGGGCACAGACTGCCCAGAAGGCCCACAGGTACAGTCCGTGGTCTGTGTATCCTGACAGAGGCAGCTGTAGGTAGTGGATGCTTCGGAAACACAGCTGTTCTTGCGCCTCAGCAAAGACAGCCGACGTCCAAAGCCGCCAGGCGCGGGGGCTGTGGATAGCAGGCGGTTCAAGAGGTGTGCAGGGACATGGCGGCTGTGTTCATAGCCCTCTGCGATGTCCTCTAGGGGCTGGAACTGCATGTCTTCCTTGGCTAGGCTGGAAATCGAGGAGGGGAGTAGTTAAAGGGAGTAGCTTCACCACCGCAAGTTGCAGAAGAGCTTGCTTTGTGGTGCAGGGATCTTCCTTATTGCCCTCAGACACCACACTAGTGCTCTGGAATGAGAGGGGATATCTATGGCGTAGTATAAATGGGGATCTGAATTTGTGCAACCAACAGGGGCTCCATGTGCGCCGGAAGAAGAGCCCTCGCCCTACCCCAAATGAGCAGGGAGGAATGGCCAAAAGGAGAAAGCAAGCTCCAGTTTCACGGACTGAAAACTGTTCCCACGGAATCCCTCCTTCTCTCCCCAACCCTCTACCCAACCAGGACCACCGTCATTCCCTTTCCTTGCCACAGAATGAGAAGTTTGGCTTACGTCATATCAAAAGTGGAACCCTGGAACGATGGCTGTTGCAAGAGGAAAACGGTGGCTGCAGTATATGGGGCTCGGGGGTTGGAGGCATCCCAGTACCGGTCCTTCTCCAGAAGAGGCAGGTCCCCATACATCTCGTCCACTGCCATCATGGAGACCTGCAAAGGAAGGGAGGACTTCAGGAGTCACCACCAAAGTAAGTGAATACTAGCCTAGGTGTATGCATGCTTGTTGGTTAGTCGTTTAGTTGTGTCCGACTCTTCATGACCCCATGAACCAGAGCATGCCAGGCACTCCTGTTTTCCACTCCCGCAGTTTTGTCAAACTCATGCTGGTAGCTTCGAGAACACTGTCCAACCATCTCGTCCTCTGTCGTCCCCTTCTCCTTGTGCCCTCAATCTTTCCCAACATCTGGGTCTTTTCCAGGGAGTCGTCTCTTCTTATGAGGTGGCCAAAATATTGGAGCCTCAGCTTCAGGATCTGTCTTTCCAGTGAGCACTCAGGGCTGATTTCCTTAAGAATGGATAGGTTTGATCTTCTTGCAGTCCATGAGACTCTCAAGAGTCTCCTCCAGCACCAGTATGGAAATCTGACATGTAGGGCCTAGTTTTAGATTTCCAAGTGGAAGGTAATCCTTCACATGATTGGGAGTTCAGTGAGGGCAAGGGAATGTTTAACCAGTAAAAAAAAATATTGTTCCAACATCTGAATCCACGAGGAAGACAGAATGCCCACGTACTAGGTGTCTGAATGCTGATTTGCTATTCAATTCCCACTACAAAAGCAATAATCGGGTGCTGCTAAGTTGCCCAGTTCTGGAAGCATCCTTGGTCTGTTTTAGAAGTGTTGCTTTATTCAGCAGAAAAGGGGAGGGCAGAGTTACCTGGAAATTCCTGTCAATCAGCAGGTTGGTTTCAAAGTCATCATCGTCCTCCCCGAAAGGGTTGATGAGCTGCTCAGCCACCTGTAAGGTATTTAGAGGCACAGTCAAAAGAGGGACACACTTGTGGCCAGCCTCCTTATTTGTTGCCATCAATATGGTAACAGACATGGCAAAGGTGTGCAGTATTAAACATTCTCTCTTTCTTCCTTCCTTCCTTCCTTCCAGACACTTGTTAAATCACCCAGCAGCTGATTCATGGACCATCCCTCTGCCCCTGATTTATTTCCTAATCTGTAGGAAAGTGTCCCAATAATGACTGTCCTTACACATCTTAAACTACCTCCTGTCTGCCATACCTTTAGCCACCCAACATAGAAGAAGAATTGCAGCAGGGTGAAAACAGGGACCCACAGATCCAGGTCATGTCCTTTGTAGCCCTGGCCTGGGTCAAGGAACTGCCGCCCAATCAGACAAGAAACGAAGAAGCTGTACACAGCAATGGTAACCACCTGTCAGAGCAGAGCAAGAAAAAGCAGGTAGAGAGGCTGAAGGGGGGGATGAGTTGCAGAATTTAAGAGCCCTGTTTTTTAGCCCTAGTTCAATCTTATGGGCTGTTTACTGAGGACCAAACAATTCATCTGTGATTTAATCCCTAATAATTTATCCTCTGTGCAAGGAATCAGGGATGCTAAGCAGCAGTAATATAAGAGGTTCAACCTTGTCCTAATGTATGTTTGTATTAAATAGGGCAGAGTTTCTAATTTTCAGCAGCTTTTCATTCTTGAATAAATAGGAATGAGTTAAGATCCTTCACACCATACTCAGTTGCTAGTGCGAATTAGTACCACTACTTCCCATATAAACATACTGAAGGAGAAGAAACATGTTATTCCTCTTTAATCACCCTAAATGTGACTATATAAAGGCATTTAGTGTGTGTCAAAGCCAGATAACTGGGTTTTTGTTTTAATGATCCTGAGTACATTCCTTGAAATAGTGATTGTAAGCACACAGCTAGAGGCTGCTCTGGCTTAATCTAGCATGAGATCCTCAAAATGTGCTTTAGAATAGCTAAACCTCAGCTGTCCTCATATAATATTAGGATCTGTGCGTTGCTGCTCTACATATAAGGCTTGCTCCATAGTGTGATGAATTTTCTGGAGTGGGGCTGGGCTTACCGCTGGGCTAGATGTGCCGTTTTGGGCTGTGTTAAACTTAGCTGGGATGCAAATTCCCTGATATATGATGTGTTTGTTCAGTGGCTTCAGTGCTTTTGACTCTATGCATGCCTTTGGGTGAAATAACTACCAATGTTTGGAAGCAGGTGGTTCATCATATGATCCCAAATGGATGTAGTTGGGCTTGCTGACTGCTTTGGGTCCTTAACTCACCTGAGTGTAGACTAGTGGTACACTGATCCAATCATAGTGGTAGAGCATGCTGCAGTTTCCGCGAAAAAGATTCAGTTCCTGAAGGAAGAAAACAGCCATCTCTAAGGGCTAAGCACTGAAACTTCTGCCTAACTAAAACTTTTCAGTCCATCTTCAGACCTGCTTTCAGCTCAGAAACAGCTTTGGTTGTCCTGATGGATGATCTATGCTGGGAGAAACACAGAAGGAATGCGACCCTGCTAATTCTCCTGGACCTTTGATACCATTGACTATGGTATCCTTCTGAATAGGTTATCAGGGTTGGGGACTGGAAATATGATGTCCCAGTGGTTCCACTCCTACTTGGAAGGCCACTTCCAGAAGATGATGCTGGGAGACCCCATGGCATTTATGTTGAAAGGTCCCCAAGAATTCCACTTTGTATACCATGCTTTTCACCATCTGTATGAAGCTATTGGGAGAGGTCGTATGAAGATTATGGGTGGGGTGTCATCAATATGCAGATGACACCCAACTCTAGTCTAATTTTCACCTGAGTCACATGAAGCAGTGAAAGTGCTGAACTGGTGTCTTGAATTGGTAATGGGCTGAGTGAAGGCCAATAAACTGAAATTTAGGCTCCAGTCACAAGAGAGTTTATTATGCAATTGGTACTGCTCATGCACATATGTTTTTCACTGAGTCCACAAGATGTCCACCATCATAAAAATGCAAGCCCATCCTTTTTTTTTTTATTTAATCTGGATTTTCCCTTCAGGCAATAATTACCAATTATATATCCACAATCACCCCTGGTGAGAAAACTCATTAATTTTTGGGGTGGGGTGGGGCATAGTTTGTCACATGAGTGATGTTGTTTCAATAGGTGGCATCTATCACAACAACCATATGCTCCTTAACTGAACACAACTTAGCCTTTTTTCCCCTGGCAGCAGAAATGACATGTGTGTGCTTATTTCCAGTTGCCACATGATGAAGGCATATTCCAAATTCAGCAACGGTAGCTGTTCTCAAGATCTCCACCCAGTACATATGAGGGATTACCTCGGAGACTAATCACAGTACATGTACCAAGCTTCTTTTAAATATATACAAACACATATGCAACACCTACTATATCTTGCGTAAGTTTTATAAATTCAAGTAAATATTACTCTTGCACAATAGCCTAGTATTAAACATTAGAACAAAATGATTCAATATTGCCACATACACAATGCAAGCCTCCATTTTACCTGTTGCGAAACACGATAGCTAAAACTGGTAATGTTTGCTCTTGAACACTTCTTGGAATTTTATTTTTTTTTAGGTGACTGAGCTCTCCAGTATAGAAATCCATTTCTAAATTTTAATAAAACAATTAGAGAAGCCAGGCTTGACAGGAAGGGTCAGATTTTTATGTAAGCTAACAGGGAGCATGGGTCACAAAAGAAACCTTGCCCTAAAGGCTCTTGTTCTGGAGGTGCTCCTATTATCATCATCAAATTTATAACCCACCCTTGACTCGCAGGTGAACAGCTTAAATTAAAAACAGTTAAATCATATTATGATCACAGGAATAGGGTGGGCCCTGAAAACACACATCTCAGGTGTCAAAGGTATAAATACAGAAGAACTATTACATCTATAGTCTGGGGGACAAGGATTTACCACCTCACCTCCATGAGTAACTTGAGAGCACAGTTATCACGGATGCGGCCTTCTTTGCGTGCCTGTGCAGCTAAGTTGGTAAACCAGACACAGGGGACCCAGTATCTGTTGTAGGAAGTGTTCAGGTTCTCGTATTTCTTGCGCTCCTCACGAGTCATGAACCCTGTTAGATGCAGCACAGGTTATGCAGTCAATAATACTCTATTTAGAAGGTCCAGAGTGCAATCTTATACTGAAGAACTGCACTCTGAAAGGCTATAGGCTTTTGAAGAAGCCTTGAAGAAGGACACAAGATATGTAGTAAAGCTCACACTAAATGCAATATGCTCTGCTTACAGGCAGTCCACTTTATACGCTGCATAATCATGGCATTCCGAAATGACATATTCTAGATTAAAAGTTATGCCTATTATTGCTTTAAAAAAAACTTTGAAATTTCCCAATTTCATTCTAACAAATGAGCAAGGGCAGGGGAGCACCTAACTCTTGCAGGCTTTCCCACAGTCCTCTCATCCTTATAAGCATAGTGCAGAGGCTTTCACCCTTTTGGAGTCCACGAGTCCCTTGACCAACTACATTCTTTCTGTGGCTCCCCTGTGGGACTCAGGAGCCCAGTTATGTCACCCCTTGCTTGCAGAGCGGGCAGCCTCTCATCCTTTTTCAAATGCCTTCCCATGTGGAGTGTTCCCTCAGCCTCCTCTCCCCTCTCTCCTTGGGAGTCCTCTGGGCAGCTGCTGCTGCCGTCCCTGGTCTCTGAGCTGCTCCCTCTGCCCCAAAGAGAGGTGCCTCCTCCCACTGCCCCTCAGGGGCCTGGAGAGCACCCCCTGGCCAGCCCCAGAGGCACCATGCGCCTGAGGAGATTGTAGCCAGGGCTGCTGCAATAAACAGCTGTGCAAGCCTTTGGGAGGCAGAAACGCAAGAGGGCACTAGAAGAGGGAGGGAAAGAAAGAGGGAGGGAGGGAGGCCAGTGTTACCCACAGCACCCTTGCCCATCATTCAAGGCACCCCAGTGTGCCACGGCACACTGGTTGAAAACCACTGGCTTAGTGGGGAAAAAGGTCTCCCTTCTGCACTCACCTGCCTCCACCACATGGTCTATGGTGGGGAAACGCTTGAACACAGCAATGCTGACTGAGCGAAGAATCAAGACAGCAGAAAGGCTGCAGTACCGCATGAGAGTTCGCCGGTAAAGGCGCCCCTTCTCGTCAGTGCCGTGCACGTTCCCAGAGATGGCACACATCAGGCGGTCTGGCATAGGCATGCAGGTGTACTGACTCCACCAGCGGTTCACCACCAGTGTCACATAGAACCCTAAATGAACCCAGGAGATGGAGAGGGGATGCATTAGAATTCTGCCCCACGGCATGCTGCTAAGTCAGGCAGCCTCACTCTGAGATAAAACAGGAATGCTTCACTTGAACCAGGACTGAGGACGCCCCCTGCTCACACATTATGAAAGACAGAGCTCGGTTCTGGCAACATTAAATAGTAAGTGCAAGAGAAACTGGCCACAAAACATTGCAGTATGGAATGCCTCTGTTCAGCTTTCCAGTCCCTCCATTCTATTCTCCCCACTGATTTTCTTATATCCCCACCCAAAAAAAAAAGCCCACAACAGGCAGACAGCATTCCATGCCCACTGTGTTGTTTTTAGATCCCCCTCAGCATTCAATACCCACTGGGCACACTCAGTCTTCACTGGGCCATTTTGGGATGTCCCCTCCTCTGAGGTTTCCTTTCTATACTTCAGCATGCCTGCTTGATACCTCCCCTTTTCTGTGTATGGGTGGTGCCATTTTGGCTACATATAAGGACTATTGCTCAGAGAAGAGAGTTTGCTTGCTGCCAGTACACATGACATTACCCCGAGCACGTGCAGAGTTCCTTTCTCTCATTGCCAATATGTTCAGGATCAAGGACATGGAGTGTCCTGGGCTGCTCTTCCTGGCTTTCAGAGAGCTCTGAGCTCCACCAGGCCTAATTGTAGAAGTTAGCTGCTGAGTATAACACGCACAAGTCACCCATACTCTACCCAGTTTCCAGATGAAATAATTAAAGTCCATAATACCCTATTATCACCATACTGTTGCTTTGATAGACTGGGGGGGGGGGGGAATGAGTCCTATCGCACCCAAGTCTAAACCAGAAGCATTTCTAATGCTTAAAAGTTGAGCCTGTATTATAGTCTGACACCCTTGCAGTACTCAAAGGCCAAGCAGTAAATTGGATTAGGCATGGAAGAAGGTTCTGCCCTGGAAGCCAGCGTTGGGACGGGCACATAGATAAGGAAAGAGCATGTCCTCCTTTAGGAAAGGAGCTGGCGTTCAAGCATCTCACCCAGGACAAAGGAGACAGGGATGAGATTGGCATAGTTGTCACAGTAAATCACCACCTTTTCGAAGTCCCTTTTCTGAGTCTCACTTAAGACGAAGCTAGAGGTGGGAATAAGAATGAGAGAAGGATTAAGAAGGATGCATATTTCCCAAGGGGGTTGGCAGCACATTTGCTGAGAGCCACCTGCTTGTAAGGGGAGAATCTAAATGCATTCTGAAGGGCAAGTGAGGGTTGTTTTAAAAAACGTTATGATTGGACAGGACATAAATCCTGCAGCAACTTTATACAGCAGAGCAGCCTTCGCCAACCTGGTTGTCCCCAAAACATTTGGAGTCTGCAACTTCCATCAGCTCCAGCTGATGGACAACCAGGTTGGCAAAGACTGCACCAGAGTGCTAGAATCACACAACTGCTGGGAGCTGAGGACTTCTGTATCATACATAATATATGCAAAGAGCTAGGCTGACTCACATAAATGGGTGGTTGTATATCACACACACACACACACACACACACACACACACACATATATATATATATATATACACACACACACACACACACACTTCTGCTATAAGTGAGTGGTGTGTGCAATAAGGTGACTGCCCAAACTGTGAGCTGAATTGATGCCACTCCAGATCTGCTGCTCACAGGAGGTCCTCTCTAGTCGTCAGCAGGATAGCAAAGTGCCCAAAACTAAGCAAGGGTTTCAAAAGTAGCAAATCAGTCACCCTGATCTGGGGTTGAGAAGTGGAGAAGTGCAATTTGAACTTGGAGAGGAGGCAGTGTGCAGCCAGCAGAACCCAGAAAGAGTGGGTTCTACAGCATAATTACAGTTGTGAAAGGGGGTGGGGCTGGGCAATGCCATATTTATATATGTCCTGCCCATCCCACTCCAGTGTGTTAAGTTTCAACTTTGGCTGGTTAGACCAAGTTTGTTACAAGGGCTGTGCAAAATTTAAAAAAACCACCAAAACAAGTTGCCAATCAAAATGCCAAACACTGTCCTCCATCCCGCCAAATAAAGGCATGCTCCTGAACAAACAATTTTTCTATGAGGTTTCTAATTTAAAGACACCACTAAGGGAAAACTATGCCTTCTCTTGGGAAATTAGTGTATTTCTAGAGAGTGGATCCAAGTGGTAACTATTTGAAGAGCCCTGAATTTTGGTGGCGCGAGTTTGACACACCAAAGGTCATTTAGGGTAGATATGAGACTGTTCTTCCACGTTCCCACTTACCGATATGTAACACTAAGTCCCAGGTATGAAAGAGAGAAGACCAAGAACTCCTTGTAGAGCAACTTGTAGATGCTTCCACGCCAGAGGGTCAGTAGTTTGTAGAAGCCACCAAAACGAGCGTTGGCCACGCGGGCTGTGTATGTGACAGTCATGGTGCAGCCAGGCAGAGAGAGACAGTGGGTCTGCAGTGTGGGGAGGAGCAGAATTAGAGTTTAAATCATTTCAAATATCTACATCAGCAGCACCATCTCTGGCTGCGAACACACCATATATTTAAAGCAATACCCCCCCAAGAATCCTGGAAACCATAGTTTGATAAGGATGCCAAGAATTGTAGCTCTGTGGGTGATAAGCTACAGTTCCCAGGATTCTTGGGGGGATGTCATGTGCTTTAAATGCAGTGTACATATGTAGCCTCACAGCTTGCCTTGTAGAAAGCTTATGGGTGCTTCAACAACCCCAGGAGTGAGATCATGCATGGACTTCCGGGGTGGCGCCACCGGCAATGGCGGACTCCCTCTGAACTGGAGGGACCAGCTGCGCATGAAACGGGTCTTTTCCGCTGCGGCGAAGCGGGGACCCTTCTGGAAATCACAGGCGGATGAAGCCTGTGACCGTGGGACTCGGCGGGCACCCTCAGCGCCCCCCCAACCCGCAAAGGAACCCACAAACGGGCTCCGAAGCGAAGAGGGGGAAGTGGTGCGGTGCTGTGAGTCAATCGCTTTTTCAGCAGAGCGAAGCCGCATAGCCGTTGCCGGAGACCACTGCCTTTTTCCTGGGACAATTAGGCATCTAAAATAACCAACCGTGAGTACTGGAACATTGAATATTTGAACTTTAAATAAGAACTGGCGAAATAGAAAGGAATTTGGACTTAAAAATTCACCTTAATTTGGTACTGAAACGGAAAGGTTAAACAGGAAGTCAGCCTTCCGTTTCCCTGTAGCCAGAACAAAGCAAAGACAAAGCAAAATAGAGCCTTAAGAATCACTTTCAAAGGATTGACTTTCACCATTTAAAATCGCTGAATCCCCCTTCGGTAGCAGGAGAAGAAGGGGGATCTCTTTTCTGAGACGTTTAAACCTGCAGAAGTGAATTTAAAGCAAAGTAATTTTCCCCCATCCTGATCCTGGAGCGGGGTGTCAGAATTGACGTTTGAAGCTCATTGACCAGAAACAAATGTTTTTGACAGATAGTTAAAAGAAGAAAAACATAGTGACTCCATTGCCTCCTTTCGCATTTTAAAAGAACAAATATGGACAAAATATCTTAAAGAATAGACTTTGTTGCTATTGTTTTTAAGAGAAAGAACAATCAGAAGGTTTTCCCCCTAGAGGAGAATTGTGAAATTGTAACTAATCCCTGGGAACTTGCAGCTGCCACTGATTACAACCGTGGGAAAGGGTATGTGACCTTGCAGGACAATGTCTGCAGAAGCACTGTTGGGTGCTTTCTGCAAAATAAATGCCCTATTGGATCAGTTAAGCCAGAAGACGGATTTGATGACTAAAGCGGCCAGAACCTTTGAACAGGTAGTGGGAAACTATATGGAGCCCACCCAGGAATTGAAACAGGAGCGTGCCATGACAGAACAGTTGAGAGAAGAGGATTTTGCTGAATCTTGGGCACCAGAGACAGAAGGAGCTCCGGCCCAGCAGGAATATAAATTTTTGGATTTGACAAATGAACTTGGAAAAGACCAGATTCGGAAGGATTTGGACTTCTCAAGTCTGGAAAGGGGCCGTCAGATGTTTGGGGCTCTTAACTTTGAAGGGAATCTGGAACATGTTTTTAAATACTACACTGAGTCTGGACTGGACTATGGAAAAGGGACTTTTTTGTTGAAAAGGGTCAAAAACATCACCAAGCTGGAGTTCCCAGGAATAAAAGGAAAATATGAAGAAGAGCAGCGGAAGGGACATGGAAGAGACTTGAGGGCCTCGGATATAAGATTACCAGGTTAATGTGCTAGATTAATAGGATAAAAAGGACTGACAAAACCCGGGACCAGGAGGAAGGGATGCTGGATGAAGACTGGATTGTTTACTTTCTTATTTTTATCATTAGGACTGTTTTATAAAATTGATGAATATTAGGAAAATGTTGAAATGAAACCATTTGGCTCTTATGAAAATGTCTAAAGAATTAGGTAAGAATGTTATGGTTAGGAGAAGTTGGTAAAAATTAAGATTTAAGTTCTAAACTTTAAGGTTTTTTCATATATATATATATATATATATATATATATATATATATATGATAATATGAAAACAGACTAAGGTAATGTGAAGACAGAATATTATGAATTAGGGAAAGGATTTGAAAGAGGGGAAGGATCTGCTGAAATAACAATTTGTTTTTTTTTTTTTTTTTTTGTTTTAAATCATATTTATTAAAGTTTCCAGAAATATAAAAATACAAAGAAAAAAGACAAAAGAAAAAAGATATTTAAAAACCTTACTTTCATTCCCTACTTTCTGGGACTCCCCCCCCCCCAATTGTATTCCCCTTTCCTTAATTTGGTTCTACAAGCTCTCACTCCCAATTTAAAGCTTAATTTGTTTAACCCACTATCCAGATTGAATTGTACAAATCTTACCACCGTCCCACATCATTAACAGAAAAAGAAAAAGATTTTCCCCAAGATCCACCCCAGTTCCTTCCACAAATTCCCTTTTTTTTAAACACGTCCGATCAAAGTAAAATAACATGCGTAAGTTATGTAAAGAAATAGAAAATAAGAGATATAGAAAAATTCAAAAATGGTTACACAGCCTTTGGATTTCAAATCTCCCCCCTTCCCGGTTTGAATTCCCATGTCCATCAGTCTATACATTATCAGCTTGGAAGTCTCATTTCATGACCAGATTTCTCCCCAATTCCATCTTGCCGGTTTTCTTTTAGTTTATTAATTTAAATAATATTTGACTTCAAATGTCCAATCTAACAAAGGTCTTTAATTTCCTTGATCTTTACCACTCCTCCCGTTGTTCTTTCCGTGTCGTAATCAGTCCTTTATTCTTCTTATTCCTCACTTTCTCAGGTTTCTTGTCCTGTTCAGCTGCTAAAACTTTCTAATTCAGAAATCTAGTGTCTCTGCAGAGGTTTGTTATTCAGGAACAAAAACTTACGTCCAGTCCCTTTCTTTCTTCAATAAAAATTCCATTGTCTTCCTCTGTAGACAAAATACTCTTTCAGTTTTGCAGCTTTCCCAGAAGATAACAAATCCTGTGCGAATCCCAGGGTATTTTTCCACTTACGACCGTTCTTGTAGTATCCCGAAACCCCTATAGGGGGATTGTAATAACTTTGTATCATATAATCCAAAAGTCAAATTGTTGCTTATTTTCCAACAGTTTATATCCATATTATAGCAAATTGTAACAAAATTAACCAGCAAGGTCCTCATCAAAGTCCTCTTTATATTCTCCAGCTTTGACAGCCACTTTGACAGCTGTCAAAGTCTCCGTCTCTCTTCACCAGGCTCCACGAATCGCCCCGGTTCCCAGGGGGGGGGTTGCATTTTTCTTCTCACCCTCCACTCTTCTCCTCCAGCACATTTCTTATAATTTCCCATCGTGAAATTAATGATTTTTATCAGAGACATACTTCCCTTTGGACCTTGGTTACCCAGTCCTTGTTTTGGAATGCTTACAATAGGGGGGGGGATTGACTTCCTTTTAAATCGCCCCGCTCGTGCCAAATCCAAAATTTTGAACCCGGTTTCCCAATTACTCACGGGTTGTTGTTAATAGTCCAAATTTTCAATAGAAGAAGTCAGCGCTCTCCGTCGAATGGCATGCGGCTGCGCTCGGCAGGGAAAGCAGTGGACTCAAAGCACCACGCCACTCCCGGCACCCGATCCGAAGCCTTTAAAAGGCTCCTTCACGAGTCGGGAGGGCGCTAATGGTGCAAGCCGAGTCACCCATGTCCACGGACTCCGTGCCCGTGGTTTTTAAGGGTCCCCGCGTCGCCGGCGCGGTAGGACCCAGCCCCTGCCGAGCAGACTCCCTCCGGAGCTCGGAGGGAGTCCGCCATTCGGCGATGGCGCTAACCCGGAAGTCCCTGCTGAAATAACAATTTGAACTGGAATACAGAGAAGGAAGGCGCGAGGAGGTCCGAAAAATAAGTAAAAGGAAAATATGTGATGACTGAATTGTTTTTAAACTATTTTTATTTTTGGTTTTTTTGTATCTTTTTTTTCTTTGCTATTTTTCTTATTTCTTTTCTATTTTGTAATTTCTTGAAAATCTTAATAAATATCTTACAAAAAAAAAAAAAAAGGAGATCATGCATAAACTCCCTCTTCATCCAGCACTCCTTTCCATAGATAAGGGGGTCATCAATCTTGTATGTTCTTCACACAACATAGTGGTGCAGTTGGGTAATCTTAGACTTTGGCCTTAATGTTCTTGTGTGTGTGCATGGGGCTTTTAGATGATAATGTGTACTACTTGATAGACATCCACCTCAATGTGCTGCCTTGACAGCACTACTGACAAAAGGGAACTCTTATCTCCTGTGGATTCTCTCTCTCTCTGTGTGTGTGTGTGTGTAGAAAGCTTCTATTCCATGGTTGGGTGACAGTGGTAGGGGCCAGGTGCTGCCTCAAAATTAGCAAAAAAACATACAGCATGTAGCATACCTAGCCTCTAAACCAGGCATAGGCAAACTCGACCCTCCATATGTTTTATGACTACAACTCCCACCACCCCTGACCACTGGTCCTGTTAGCTAGGGATGATGGGAGCTGTAGTCCCAAAACATCTGGAGGACCGAGTTTGCCTATGCCTGCTATCAACTGACTCTCAAACATTTTGTATTATTCCAGCCCTCCTGCACAACAGTGTAAGTACTGGAATGACCTCCGTTTTAGAGTTTGAGAACTTTCACAGTTGAAATATAACTGTAAGTGCTGTAATGCGTTGTTACAACACTAAACATTCCCTTCAAAGAGCAGATTACCAAGTTACAAAGTAAGTAGTTATTATATTAAACGTTATCATATTGAATGTCCCAAGATCCATATTAGCCAACTGATATGCCACAACATAGTGGCCAGCCTTTGAGTTCTCTGGCTAAATGGTAAAGTTTGCACAATGCTCTGTGACATTTTGGTTCGCCTCAGAAAACTATTGCCCTAACATAGATTTTTAATTTCTTTCTTATGGGTCAACAAAGTTACCTTCACTTTTTGTGGGACTTTGAGAATACTGAAACTTTAGGAGTGTTTGATGAAAAGTTTCCCACACTCCTGGTTTTATGATTAGGACTCGGCTGAATGAACGGAAAGCAGTACAGCTATACACACAAAAAGTGTATAACTGTGGAGTCTTCCATAACAGACCCTTGTTTTGACTGTGGGGACCCTGCCAATTTTTCAGCTTCTGCTTCAGATCAGAGGGATCAAGTGTGCAGCTAGTTGGTAGTGGGTCAGCATGCTTCTAAGAAATCTTCTAAATTGATTTAAGTATCTTGCATGGCTTATTTTAGTATGAGTTTTTGCCAATAACGGTGTTACATCTCATAAAATAAGCTGCAGTCAAGCAAATCTTATGCAAAAGCTTTGAGTCGTAGTATCTCTCAAAGGCGTTTGCTGTAGTTTCCACAGATAAAAGGGAAGGGCTGTTGTTCAGTGACAGAGCATGTGTGGAAGATCCCAAATTCAATCCCGGTATCCTCATGTAAGGCTGGGAAAGACTGCTGGTTGGAAACACTGGGGAGTCATTCCCCAGTCAACAGTGTAGACACTATTAAGCTAGATGGGCCAATGGGTTTGACTCAGTACAGTGGTACCTCGGGTTAAGTACTTAATTCGTTCTGGAAGTCCGTTCTTAACCTGAAACTGTTCTTAACCTGAAGCACCACTTTAGCTAATGGGGCCTCCTGCTGCTGCCGCGCCGCCGGAGCACGATTTCTGTTCTCATCCTGAAGCAAAGTTCTTAACCCAAGGTACTATTTCTGGGTTAGCGGAGACTGTAACCTGAAACGTATGTAACTTGAAGCGTATGTAACCCGAGGTACCACTGTATAAGGAAACTTCATATGTTCCTAACTACCAACCCATTTTGAATGGTAACTGAGACTTCAGAAGAATGTTATTGTTGTGACATGTTCTTGTTTTTTTTGGGGGGGGGTAGTCTGTATGCCTGAATCCCTTCTAATTCTTGAATCCAACAAGGATCTAAATGCTGGAATAGCCAGACAAGTTTATGGGTAATGACCCTTGGTAATGGGTCCTAAAGGGACACGGGTGGCGCTGTGGTCTAAACCACAGAGCCTAGGACTTGCCAATCAGAAGGTCGGAGGTTCGAATCCCCGCAACTGGGTGAGCGCCCATTGCTAGGTCCCTGCTCCTGCCAACCTAGCAGTTCGAAAGCACGTCAAAGTGCAAGTAGATAAATAGGTACCGCTCTGGCGGGAAGGTAAACTGCATTTCCGTGCCCTGCTCTGGTTCGCCAGAACCGGCTTAGTCATGCTGACCACATGACTCAGAAAAACTGTCTGCAGACAAACGCCGGCTCCCTCGACCTATACAGCAAGATGAGCACGCAACCCCAGAGTCGTCCACAACTGGACCTAATGGTCAGGGGTACCTTTACCTTTTTAATGGGTCCTAAAGGCAGCAAAGGAAATGGCTCTGTGCCAGATAGAAGATGGGTGAGGCCCCCTCCCTTAACTGTCTGTTAGTTAGAAAGACAAAAGTCAGAGCTGTGTGTGTGAGCTAGAAGCTAGAAGGAGGAAGCAGGCTGGGCAGCTGAGAGACAGAGCCATGCCTGATTTCTGCTGGGATCCAAGGCAGTGGCTATGGGAAAAGCATGACCCTCTTGGGGTATTAATACTATGAGCTCCTCCAACATAGGCTCAGGTTGTATATATGAGTAAATAAACCATATATCATAAAGACAACAAAATCTTTGCTATCCCTCATTCCAAGGAAACTGAACTCTGGGTAAGTGCCTGGGATGTTGCACTGCTTGGAGACTGGGGTGGTGGGCAACATTAGATTAGAGGTATTGCCTCTTTGCTTTATTTCCTGGGGAAACTAGTCACTCCTTGGAGATTGCACAACAGTCCAGTCGACCATGAAGGGCTTGCCAAAATGTACTTTGATGGAGGCCAATCATTCCCAAACACCCACCCACACCGTAATCCAGTTAGTGGCATATCCTCACCAGGCATGGCCTAGTAACAATTTTTAATCTGGTGCATTCCATTGAGAGATTCTATGCTGCTGCTTATTTTTCCAAGGTGAATTGAGAAATCAAATCCCCGGCTGTGCAAACTGCAATCAAACTCTCCTGGCTTAACAATGCTAGGCAAGGCCTTTGAAAGAGACCCACTTCCCAGGCTATCTAAATGAGCTCTTTCATTAATGAGTAATGCTGGGAGCCCCTCCCCCCCTTCCAAGATCTAAGGCTGGCTGTGACCACTGACAGAGGTTCGGCTGGCAACAAATGCCCAAATATTTTGTTTGACTTTCCATGCAAGCAGAGCAACTACCAGGGGGAAGAAGAAGAAAAATAAGGAGGGGTGTGTGAAGGAGAATACAGTATAACTATGTGTGGGAGAAAAGTGTCTTCGAGCCAAAACACTACTTTTAGAAGATGAGATGGCCCTTAAGTACTTAGAGCTGGAACTGAGGTAGCACTTCAGCCAACAGGCTTGCTTGTCAAGCAATCATGTTGGGAGTCCCAAAACTTTCTCAGGAGAAGAGACTCCAGATGATTCTAGGACTCGAATCAGAGTGAAAACAGAATTCTAGCTGCAGGTAAGAGTTCTGTATAGAGCATCAGAGAATGGGAGATCCAAATTGATATGCAATGCACATATTTTTAAAAAAGTGATCACACATTGTTGTTTAGTTGTGACCCCATGAACCAGAGCATGCCTTGGAAACTCTCACTTTCTTCTCAAAGCTTCTCCTTTTTTATGTCCATGGAGTTTTCTTGGCAAAATACTGGAGTGGTTTGCCAGTTCCTTCTCTAGGTGGGTCACATTTAGTCTAATCACACATACATAGTGTTAAAAAAAGACCCACAATTGTGGGAAGTCATTTTTTTTTAAAGACATGTTCCTGCTAAGGAACTATTAGTCTCTCTTTGCTTCCCTGAAAGTCTCCTCGCAAAGCCAGTAGCAGAGCCTCGACCCTCTAATCCACCCTAGTAACCATCTTTTAAAAAGTTCAGATTCCCACACTCAGTTTCAACACATTCAGGTTTTAAATAAAAAGTTTAGTTTATTAACCAGTTTGCTGTTACATAACATTAAAAGCAACTGTTAAAGGATTACAGCTGTTAATGCCTGGCTTCTGTTACAAAGGTCTGTCCACCTGGGACAAAGTTTATACATGTTCCCATATTGTTACAAAAGAGTCATAATTTACTGAACAAAGCCCTGTGGGGTACCTGTGCTAAGTCTGTTATAGCACGAACAACAGGGGGCTATGTGAGAGACTCCAAGATGCCGCAGAACTGATTAAATAATTACTTATTAAATAACAAGTTATAAGGCAGTAATCCTATATACATTTAACAAGGATTTTCTGTATAGGCATGTTTAAGATTGCACTGTAAATATATGATTGCACTGCTCATGTATAGAATTGGGTTGCAAATCATCATTTACACCCCTACCAGTCCAGGGTAGTTATTCTATCTACTTTCATATTTTTTAATTTAAAAAAAAGATTACAGTACAATCTTGATTAAATTATGCCTGCCCATTTATAGGGTGGCTTTTATTATTTCATTCATCACAACATCCCAGAGGTGGCTATAAATATTTCATTGTATGACTAGCCAGCTAAGGGCGGAGAGAGGATGACACTCATGGTTATCTAGCAAGTCCATTGATGAGATAGGATTTCGGACCAGATTTCTGTTTGGTGGACTGCAATGACAGAGAAAGCCTACAACTCCAAACAATTCACTGGGGCAAAACACCTCTGGTTTTCTGTCACCTTGATCACATACTAGTCTTTAAGAAGGAGAAAGCAAGTTCCGCTTCTCCTTTCCAGACCTTCATGCAGGCAAGCTACACCACAAAGCAGATCTCACTGTAAGCAAAACATTTCTGATTGTCTGTTTTCATAGCAAAGAATAGTTAAAGAAGACATAGTTTTGCAACATCCATGAAACCAAAATTTCACAAGCAGAACAGAAAGTGGATGCAGGAGCAGGGCACAATTTAACCGGTTTTAACACTAACCTGTGCAAAAGGTTATCAGCTGATTTGGCTTCGCCCTCAGTGAGGGCAATTGCAGGGGAGAAGCAATCCAAAGAGCACAGACTCCCTTAGCAATTATCCCCAAATTCCACCTGGGAAGCAGCTCTTAGGCAAGGTGAAGAGAAGAGAAGAGAAGGCTGCTCTGACAGCCCCCACAGGTTTCTAAATACCTAAGTGCCTCTGTGCTGACCTTTTACATCTCTCCTAAAGGTAGACTCTTCTTTGATTGCTTGGCATCAGAAGCTGGAGGGAGGGGTGAGATGGGAGGGGTGAGAGGCTGGGCTGGCTGAAGGGTGCTTGCAGTTGCATTCCCTCCTAATTGTCAGGGGAAAGGAAGTAAATTTAACATGCAGCATGGCAACTCAAAGGACCTGAGATAGAACAGTCCTGGAAAGTGATTGAAATAATGTAGAAGCAGAAGAAGTGCGGATGAAAGGTAAAATGTGAAAGGTTGGGAAACAAAAAGGGAAGGTTTGGAAGCCCTTGCAGCATAACCCTACATGTGCCTGCTCAGAAATGAGTCCAAGTGAGTTATATTAAATTTACCGCATTCCCATATAAGCATTATATAGGCATTGCAGCATTAGCAAGAGCATTGGGGCGTCACTCAAGCTTGTGAGAAGAAAAAGGGTTTATTTCAGTAGGGAATTTGTAAAGAGGTGGGCAGAAAGTGTCCTACACAAAAATGAGAGGAGTGTCCTGGAGGAGGGAGCTCTAAAGCCTGACTGCTGCGCTAAGGCCTCCCCAAAAGGCCTTGCCCTATGTCATCCACCCACCCAACCCCCCGCCTGATGGTGGCAGGACATGGTGCAGCGTCTCTGCTGAGGATCTCACTGGTTGAACAAATTCAAGCGGGTGATGCTCTAAATTCCCTGGTCCAATGACCAGCACTTACCACTAGCACAGAAACAAACCAAACACAATGCTGTAACCAGGAATGGCCAAACTTGGCCCTCCAGATGTTTTGGGACTACATTTCCCATCATCTCTGACCACTGGTCCTGTTAGCTAGGGATGATGGGAGTTGTAGTCCCAAAACATCTGGAGGGCCAAGTTTGGCCAAAGGAACCTAAAGATAAGAGCTCATGTACAGAAAATGGGGGCTCCTTGTCAGGACAGGAGTCTGATTAGTCATCATTTGTTTTTCTAGCCTACCCACCCCAGGGGCTCAATGCAGGTTACAATTTTAAAACGCACACCATACCAAATATACAAAATGAATGTGTGCCTTCAAGGCTTGGCTTGGGAACTGCAGCCTAATTATGAGTTTGGTACATGAATTTGTGATATTCAGGACCTGCTCCCTTCTGTGCAGCTTCTTACTTTGCTAGCTCTTGCACCTCTTCAAGAAATCCTGTGCTGAATCCAAATCCTTAAAAACGCACACACTAAAAAACAAACAAAACAGCCCTTCTTCTCTGGAAACCTGATGGAACCACTCTCCTCACTGGGCTTAGTTTTCTTCCAATGTTTGACAAGTCAGCACCCACAGGGTTTGCCTTCTGGAACAGGGATGAACCAAGCAAACAGCCTTGATGCAGAAGAAACTAGTTGAGAGGGGAGAGAGAGAGAAAGAGAAAGAGAAAGGGAAGGATAACTTTTCTTTTCCCCACCAGTCTCAAACTGAGGAACTGCCAGGGTCTACACACATGAAAGGCTGAGTTCTTTCCTCAGCTCTAAAATGGAGGGTGTGCGTACCTTGTGATTAGAAAGGGATGATCGAGGAAACCACAATTTCTGCCTTCTCCCTGACCAGCTGCTGGATACAGAGCTGCAACCAACCACGCTCCTTGGTGGTAATCAATCCACCATATTAAATCGTATTTCTACCCAGCTCGTACTGATGACAAACACACCACATACTTGTATAAGGAGCTGGCACCCACCCATGCTGCCCACAAATAGCCCCTTTGAGAAGCAAGATGCCATGGGTGAGAGCCTGGAAAGAGGGACAAAGCAAGAAAAGCATGGCTGCCTACATGAAGCCACACTTTGGACGTGGCTCTCTGTTGCCTAAGTTCTCTGCTGGCAAGAGGGCAGAAGGCCACTGCACACTAGGCTGAGGAGGAGGATCACAGCAAGCCTTTCCCTGGGATTCTAGGGTCTAACTAAGGGTAGTTAACATGGTGCCCTCCATAAGTTGTTCACTTTCATCATCCCTGACCACTGGGATTTGGAGTCTACAACACCTGCAGAACACCACATTAGTTTCCACTGGCCTACAGGGAAGTGTAATTCATAGTATCTGAAATCCTTATTTATTCTCCTCTACCATTAGTGATAAATCACTGTTATTCCCATTTTGAAAACAAGGAACTGAAGCATAGAGGGAGTGGTTGGCTTGGTCAGGAGGATGCAAAATTCCCCCACAGGTGAGTTAGAGCTTGCATTTGCAGCAATCTAAAGTGAATTCTCTTTTCCTTGCATCTCACCGTCAGTCCATTACTTTCTAGACATAATTGTGACACTCCTAGCTGCACCTCCTATTTGATCAAGACCTACCACTTAAGTGCCACAATTCAGCATCCATATCTATCTAGGCAACAGTAAGCAGCAGCCCAGACCCTTCCTACTACCCTGCAGCCCCCCTTGAACCCAATGCAAACCCCAGAGTCCATTCCAAACCTTGCAGAAACTCCTAGAGATGCATCTGCATGCAGCGACTCCTGCTTTCCGTCTGCTGTGAGAACCTATGCTGCTTAAGCTGGGTGTACTATAAATTGGGCAGATACCTGCTAGAGCCCAACCCTAGCTGCTAAGTGGATGCAAACTCCAGATAAGTACTCTTTTAAGTGATCAAGCCAGCATGACAACCTTTCATTTTTGAGGCTGGGTACTAGGATTTGACCTCAAAAAAATGCATGCAAGATTCTAAAGATGCTTATAACGAGTCCATTACATGTATTTCTAACCCACAGTAAGAAAGAACTGTGCTAGGAGAGAACGAATAAAAGGAGAACTATCTGGCAAGAATTACAAAGAAAATTAGGAGAGAAGAACAAGGGTAAAATCCACTTTTGTTGTTTAGGACATGTTCATGTTACTGGCTTAAAATGCAGCTAGGTCCCCCTCTTTTCTGAATTGAGATAAAAGCTGGTTTGCAGGGAGATACATCAAAATGCACTGTTTCCTAAGTAACATCATGATAAAGGATAGATACGGATTGTGACTAATGTTGTGTGTACAATGCTTCACAAACCAATGGTAGGAGCACACTGGATGCAGAGTAAACATGAGTGTGTACACAGCCCAAGTCTTGGTGGGTTACACAAGGGGTGGGCAGACTTCAAGCTTGCAGAATCTACTGGTTTCTCCAGGAACCCTGAAGCCCACCAATCTGGGGGCTTCCACACTGTCACTTTTTCATGGGAATGATTCATATCCATGCTGGAACTTTAGATTTATGTGGTTAGTGGGTTAAAGGACTCTGTTGCCTTAGTGCAATATATCAACTTTAAAAAGGAATATAACTTATTAAGTTTTGTAAAATTGACAAGAAAATGCATTGGAAAGTGTGGGATGAACAAATGACTAACAGGAAGATGTATAAACACTCCATAAGCAAATCAGAATGAATGCAAGACAAATGCTCATTGTTAGACAATTGAGAGTCAGAGAGACTTGCCGAAATCTGCCTTCTGCCCAGCCCTGGCTTAGTTCTGCTAGGCACTCAACTGTACAGGCTTTTCCTGGCAAGTCAGAAGTCATATCAAGAACAATACAGAGTGAGTGAGTGGAAGTAGAAAGTAGTGGGTTTTTACACAGCACCTGCAGTTACAACCACTAGGACAAGATAAGATTTTGCTTGACATCATCCATTACTAAGCTTCTATACCTTGATCTGTGTAAACTTTGGGGTTAGAGTTCAGCCAGTGTACTACATAAATGATCACAACATAGGAAACTGCTTTATCCTGAGTCAGACCATTGGTCCACTTAGCTCAGTATCATCTACACTTACTGGTGGTAGCTGTCCAGGGTTTCAAACGTGGTTCTCTCCCAGTCCTATGTGGAGGTCCCAGGCATCTTCTGCATTCAAGGCAGGTGCTCTACCACTGGTTTTTTTTCTCAACCAAAGTTTGCCATCTAAGTCAGCAGTTTTGGCTTTGGGCTGCCTGTTCTAGCTTGTTAGCCCACTCTCGTCCTGCAGCAAAACATTGCTTGGAGTCAATCTCAGGTTAAGTGCCAAGGTTTTCCATTTCACAATAAGGTGCTCCCTTCTGTCATCACCAGATCTGTTTGAATCCTCACATGACTTGTCCTTGATGGGCCTGAAACTAGGCAACATCACAACCTATCAACAGTGTGTGCTTGTGTGAACATATGTACAATTATGTGTGTGGAAATGCCTATGGGTGTGTGTGCTTATGTGTTGTGGCACTGTCTGTTCAGTTACTGAATCTGCATTATCCAGATGGCAGCCCAATATAGATTTCTGTGCTGGAAGCACCATTGCTGAAGCCCAGTTCTGATACTCTCAATGACATGTCCATATTAGCAGAGTGTACATCTGGATAAAGAATGCATTGCCTATTCAATTATAGCATGGTTTCAGGGTCCAAGACAAATAGGTTTAGAATATGAAACTTTAACACAGATATGGGATATTACAAACCATTTTTTTCTACAGAACACGAATGAAATAACTTACTCTCCTCTCCTGTTCAAATATTTTTCACTCCCTTTGGTAGATTAATGAACTAGTGATCGATTTTAGCCTGCCTTTGATATATTGTGGTGTTTTTTCTACACTTTGTGACTATCTGTAATTGCTTCTTGCTTTGCATTTCATAGAATCATAGAATCATAGAGTTGGAAGAGACCACAAGGGCCATCGAGTCCAACCCCCTGCCAAGCAGGAAACACCATCAGAGCACTCCTGACATATGGTTGTCAAGCATCTGCTTAAAGACCTCCAAAGAAGGAGACTCCACCACACTCCTTGGCAGCAAATTCCACTGTTGAACAGCTCTTACTGTCAGGAAGTTCTTCCTAATGTTTAGGTGAAATCTTCTTTCTTGTAGTTTGGATCCATTGCTCCGTGTCCGCTTCTCTGGAGCAGCAGAAAACAACCTTTCTCCCTCCTCTATGTGACATCCTTTTATATATTTGAACATGGCTATCATATCACCCCTTAACCTCCTCTTCTCCAGGCTAAACATGCCCAGCTCCCTTAGCTGTTCCTCATAAGGCATTGTTTCCAGGCCTTTGACCATTTTGGTTGCCCTCCTCTGGACACGTTCCAGTTTGTCAGTGTCCTTCTTGAACTGTGGTGCCCAGTTGTATTAGAACTATTGCTTTACCCCAAACTGCCCCCAACTACCAGCCTGTGTCCTGTATTTTCAAACTTTTTACATCAGAGGCTAACCTGAGGCCACCCATATGTTGCTGGCTGTTGACCACTGGCTGCAACCGATGCGAGTTGGAGTCCAACAACATTTGGAGAGCCACAGGTTTGTCACTTCTAATTTAAAGTAAACTGTTGGGTGAAATTATTTGGAGCTTTGGAGAAAGGTGTCACTGAATGCAGAACACAAAGCTCTACTGCTTGTTTCCATCAATTAATTCCAGGGATGCAGTGGAAATGATGAACATATACCTGGGAACAGTTCCAGGATGAATGAAAGGAAACAAGTGGAAACTTAATCCTGGTATGACCAAAGTAAAGTTGCTTGGGAAGATTGCTTCTTTGGATGGAGGTTTGCAACTGCTTTTAGAGAGGGCTGAAGAATCAGATGCATATTGGACTCAGTATTATCAATGGAATTGCAGGCAACAACAGTCACTTTTAGTAGTTTAGGCAAATTATATACATATACTGTACATCAGCATGTGCAAAATCCCAGTTGCTGAAATATTTCTGGGGCCTAGCAGCCATTCTGCATCAGCTACAATGGCCACCCATTTGTACAGTGGTACCTTGGTTTAAGAACAGTCCTGTTTACAAATGATTCAGTTTACGAACTCCGCAAAACCGGAAGTAGTGTCTCGGTTTGCGAACTTTACCTTGGCCTAAGAACGGAATCCGAATGGTGGAAGGGCACCAGCGGCGGGAGAACTCATTAGGGAAAGCACACATGGGTTTAAGAATGAATTTGGTTTAAGAACGGACTTCAGGAACGGATTAAGTTCATAAACCAAGGTACCACTATATCTCTAAAGTTTAAAGTTATGAACAGTTTAAGACAAGGTTACTTGAATGACCACTTACACCCCAATGAACCTGCACCAGCTCAATAATTGCCTTCAATGTATCACTCTCTGGCTTGGCACTAACTTCAACCAGGTTTCTAGGTAGCAGAATAGGATGGCTAACTGGTGTCTATGCATAAAATTTGCTTTTCTTTCTGTGTTTAACAAAATACCCCAACTATAAATTCTAAGAAAGCTGCCATGTGCATTTCATGTTCAAAATTCCAGTCATGACTGCTGGGAGTTACACCACTTTTAAGTGTCCTCAGCAGAATTCCTTCAAGACTTGTGGTCTGTACTTACCATATATTTGTCACTGATTAAATTTTAAAGCAACTGTGGGAAGAAGCCTGGTGGCCTCCAGCTGTTGCTGGACTACAACTCCCACCATCCCTGACCTGGCCTGGCTGGGGCCGACAGGAATTGAGGTTTCAGTAAACAAGAGGGCAACAGGCTTCTCACTCTGTTTTAAAGGCTACCATGCCAAACGACCAGAAAACATGTTTCAGAGAAAGGTAATAAAGGAGTCCCCAAATAATGAACTCAGGCCAATTATTCTGATAATATCTTACATCTTTGCATATTATTTTGAGACAAGGCTTCAAGACCTGCCTGTTTAAAATTTCTGCAGATGGAAGTTAAAGATCCTCACCCGCTGTTTTTACAAGGTGTAGGACACATCACTTGGTGTATCCAAAATCGAATTTTGTTTGAAGAAAGACAACATGACGGACAGGAGCTACTGATTATATTATACGTTTATCATCACACATGTAATCCTAGACTTCTTCCAAAAATCTTAGGAGATGGAATTATTCCCATTTCATCGTCAGAACAAACACTTTGAGGGAGGGTTTGGCAGAGATACAGTGATGTGCCCAACACCACATACTCAAGCAGGAATCCAAAACGGAGGTCTTCACAATTCAACCCTGGCTTTTTATGGAAAAGAAACAGCTCTAATTTTTTTGTGGGTTGTACTGTTCTGCATATTTTTGGGTGGGGGAAGGATGAAGGAAATTAACAATAAATAATGGGAAAGTCACTCATTTTCCCACAGTGGTGGTGGTGGGGAGTTTGAATGATGCTATCAGTATAGTTACATAACATATATAACCATCTTATTTAACAATTAAAACCACAGTTGGCTCCAATTATGAAGATGCTCAAGAATGTTGAGCCTCAGGTTTAGGAGTCAACATGTTTGTTCACCTAAGCCATACACACAGAGAGAGACAGACAGGCAGACACACACACACACACACACACTGCAGTGTGGTCATTGACAAATCTGTAGTGTTTTTGCTTGATGGAAGGCAGCATTTCCCTCTCAGAGTACAGCTGTGGCCATGCTGGGATGTTTTGGGTCGCTTGGCTAAGCAGCTGGTGCTAATGAGCTCCCCAACCTCTTGCTGGGGCAGACGCCGAGTTCTAGACAGGACCAAAGGAGCAGCTTACGTAATGCTGCTGCTGCCACCACCACCACCCCGGGCATCCGTCTGAGCTGAACAACACACATATAAAGCCGTTGCACACACCTACAAGACGCTATGTTTCATAATGTGGTTCACATACTAATGGCAGCCAGTTCCGGGAGAGGGTGGGGAAGGAACAGGGCTAAGCTGGCACGCAGTACTGAAGGGGGAAAGAAATGAATCTGCAGCCGCTGCCAAACATTGTGGTTACCCAAGAAGGGAGGGAGGGAGGGAGGGAGGCTTACCCCCTGGGCTTTGAGGTTTAAAAACAACCCTTTAAAAAAATTGTCCTTGTTCACCTGCCGATGCATATTATCATTATCTAGCATTTGCCAGATTAAAAATAGGAACAGCTGCTTTTACTTATGCAAGAGAGCAAGAAGATAAAAGCAATTCCAAAGGAATCCACTTCCTTAGTCTCCCATTCCAGAAATACTTTTTTCTACACTTTGGGACCCACACAAATTTGTACATTCTTCAATGTGTCATAAAGGAATACTTCTAAGTCCACTTTTATAAAGTTTCAGATCCTGCTGTGTAACTAGCAAATTTGTTAGCTTCATAAGAAGAAGAGGAGTTTGGATTTGATATCCCGCTTTATCACTACCCGAAGGAGTCTCAAAGCGGCTAACATTCTCCTTTCCCTTCCTCCCCCACAACAAACACTCTGTGAGGTGAGTGAGGCTGAGAGACTTCAGAGAAGTGTGACCAGCCCAAGGTCACCCAGCAGCTGCATGTGGAGGAGCGGAGACGCAAACCCGGTTCACCAGATTATGAGTTCACTGCTCTTAACCACTACACCACACTGGCTTAAGTGGGTTTTTTAAAAGCAACCCAATCAGACAGGTGATTCTGGAGAATATGCAAGGTATGATTTGAACACATTTTTAGAAGATGAAATATAGAGGCAAGGGCAGGGGAGTGGGTGCTATGTATCTAGATTTTGAGCCCTTCTGTTGTTGCCAGAAGCCCAGCACTTTTTCCAGTGTTGGGGTAGAATGTTTCATCCCTAGGCTCTACCCTTTTGGGGGAGGGGGATATTTCTGGACTCAGTATGCCTTGACTGCTTTAAAGTGAGCTTGAGAACCAGGAGGTTTTAAGAACCAGCTCCCTATCCAGATGTGGAAACTAGAAGGCTACAGAAAATGAGTATCAGCCTCAAGACTTCAAGCAGGACAGTTCTGTCTGTAAGCATTCTACAGAACAGACAGACCAATATATCTTACCCCACAAATGCTACAGTGGCTGGTGCTATTTTACCTACATTTTCACCCAGACTGAAACTTGAATACTCCAGCCTCCTGGAAGTTTTATGGGGAAGGGCTGTAGCGCAGTGGGGGAGCATCTGCTTTGACACAGAAGGTCTCAGATTCGGCACCTCCAGATAGGTCTGGAAAAGATTCACAGCCTAAAAATCCTGGAGAGCTGCTGCCATTCAGTGTGGACAATACTAAGCTAGAGTTTGACCACAGGTATAAGGCAGCCCCCTGGATTCACTGACGCCTCCAAGCCTTTCTCCAGCACCTATTTCAACAGTGTAGGGAAGTGGAATACTTAGTAGTTTATGGAAAAAACACAAGGCTTTCTAAACATCTGGACTTCCCAGTTAGATCCAAAGCAGGAAAACAAACAAAAGGTATATCTCAGTGACATCCACTTTTTAACTTAATACCACACTCTAGAACAAGGACTTGCATCCCACTCCTGCTCAGCTCCTGTCCTTGGCTGGGGCTCCCAGTGAGATCCTGTTGGCAGAAGCAAAAGCTGGCTGGCTGTCATTTTAAAATATATTACTGGTGTCCTTGCTATAAATGATGATCCCATTTCAGTCCTCTGGCAAGAATGGGGCAGGAGCAAAAAAGGGCAGGTCTGTATCCCACATCAAGTCGTTAATGGTTATTGGGACATTAGTAAACGAAAGTCAGTTAGCCAGGATGTTATGAAAACACAAGTCAACTGAATTACCTCATGCTTGAAATGTTTACATTACTAAAACATTTGAGAAACGTTTCTACTTTGGATAGGATGTATGATTTATGGAAGACTGGCTAGAGTATCCTGCCCCAGAGACATACTAGCTTGCATGCCAAAATGGCATGCCTTTAATATCCAGTATCAAGCTACTCCTCCTTTTGTAGTTTTCTGCCTCGTTGTTGGACAGTGTTCTCGAAGCTACTAACATGAGTTTGACCAAACTGCGGGAGGCAGTGGAAGACAGGAGTGCCTGGCATGCTCTGGTCCATGGGGTCACGAAGAGTCGGACACGACTAAATGGCTAAACAGCAAACAACAAAAAATCATGACAGCATTGGGTGACATTGTAGGTTCCCCACCTCCCTATTCTGTCTTAAATTCAGGAAAAATATAGCCCTGAAATATCAAACATAAGAAGACTCTAACAGTCCAGCTCCTCTGCCAAACTCTGGCCAGCTACCTTTCAAGGTATGGAAACCTGAGAGTTTATGTACATCGTCTGCCTGCTCACTTTAACATCCTACTGTTTTAAGAATGTGCAGTTGTGGAAGGGTCCATATACCTTCTTGGAGACGCAACTTCACATTAGTTCTTCGTATACACATGGAGGAAAACATGTAAACTGTGTCTTGGTAGAACAGTAAACTAGACACACTTGTGCTAATATGCAATTGACATTATAGCTAACATATTCCACCAAGGAAGCTGCCTTGAACCAGGTCAGACTATTTGCTCACCTAGCCAAATATTGCCCACTCTGACTCTCCAGGGTCTTTAGGCAAGAAGTCTTTCCCATTATCAGCTGCCTGATCCTTCTAAATGGGCATGCCAGGTTTAACTGGGACCTTATGCAGGCAAGATAATCATGCAGTCTACCTCTGAGCTATGGTACAACCCTACTTTTCCAAGTTTTATTTCCCAGAAGATTAAAGTTGTTTCCGCTCACCAGACAAAGTTCTGTACTCGGTAAATTACATGCTTCTAGGATCCCGCCTTCATACAAACTGTTAATCTCTCCAGACTGCATGTGATACAGCCCTCAAGTACTGTGCAGAATTGCGAATTCATTCATGCCTTGGTTTACAGTAGGACTGAAAGACCTGCAAGGATTTCGGCGGTGTTTTTGACATGCTCTTCCAGCTGTTCTGTCTGCACAAGCATTGCAGTTTGCCAGATGGAACAGTCTCCTCTCTGCCCCCATGGGCTGTTCTGTGGGTTATGCCAACCCTCCTCCCAATAGCCAAATGCGGGGGGCACGTGGGGGGAGCAAAGGAAGCCCTGTGGCACAATCTGAAGTGCAGGGCTGTTCTGACTGGGCTGGTTAGGCAGATCCTGCCATCCAGAGAGACTTTGGGTTTATTCAGTAACCGTAACTCTCATTCTACAAGCTATTTTTTTCATGCATTAGCTATGCAACAAGCATTTGTTCCACAACTCCTACAATTACAAAGCTGAGACACTGTCAATGAAAAGTGCTTCTATGCTTATCCCTCCCACAGGCAAAGAAATAAAGGCAGAGAGAACCAGATGCTGCTGCTGAGGTTCTGTGGGAAAACTGGGACTCTCTCTAGACCTTCCAATTTCACTGTCATACCCTGATTAATAAAAAAGGGAGCCAGAAAATGAATAATAGGCCTAATTAAAATAGGTATCCTTTTTTATAATACTGGTTTACACACTTTTAATGTTGGATTTTTGTATACTGCTTAGAGATTTTTTAAATATTTAATTGGTTTAGAAATGCTTTTACATAAATTAAAACAAAGTATCTTTAAACACCTGCACCAGTTTCCTAATTCCCTGGCATTTTGAAAACCATACATAATACAAAGTCAGTGCAGCACAGTCGATGTACCCACATATGCCATTTCCCACGAAAGACTTAGAGTACCAAAGAATTCAGCTGCCTCTACATGTTGTGATTTTTTAAGATTCCTAGAATGTTGAGATGCAGAGTTGAAAAGCTTTTACTTATCTGGTAATCAATTTACTCTGAGTTCAGCCATGCTAAGGAAGGCCTAATATTCAAGGGTGCAATGGGAGCCTGCCACCCCAAGCACCAAAGTAGTTATGGTGGATCATGCCCATGCTTTGCTAGCTCACCCACCTCATTGCCCATGGTCATATAATACTCCCATTAAATGGTCCATTGCATTTTTAAGTCAAGTTTATTTTCCAGTTTCCTCTAAAATGAGAACAGGCAGTCAGGCTTGCTCCCATCCATTTGATCATACAATGGGATACAGTTTTACCTTGGTTTTCGAACAGCTTAGTTCCCCAACGTTTCGGCTCCCGAAGGCAGCAAACCCAGAAGTGAGTGTTCTGGTTTGCGAACTATTTTTGGAAGCCGAACATCCAACGGGGTTTCTGATTGGCTGCAGGAAGCTCCTGCAGCCAATCAGAAGCCGCACTTTGGTTTCTGAATATTTTGGAAGTCGAACAGACTTCCGGAACAGATTCTGTTCTACTTCCAAGGTACGCTTGTACTTTTGAAAAAAGAAAACCCAACAACAGTTCAATGAACAGCAGTTGGGAACACAGGAAGCTGCCTTATACTGAGTCAGACTATTGGCCCATCTAGCTCAGGACTGTCTACACTGACAGACAGTGGCTCTCTAGGATTTCAGAGAGATCTTCCAACCCAACCTGGGGATACTGGGGAACGAACCTAGTACTTTCTCCATGCAAAAATGATGCTCTACTATTGAGTCACAGTCCTTCCCTTAGGAGAATTTTGTCTCTGCCATAGACTGCTCTATATACACACATACACACACTTTGGACCATATATGCTATGATAGTACTGACACTCCAGGGGACTAGAATGTATATATATGCTCAGAAAGCATAGAGGGGCATATTTTTCAACCGCCACATCTCTATTCCAATCCCTGTTTGTGAGACAGTATTTGCTTTCTGGACCCATTTCACAACCTTAAGCAGGAGATTTTCAAGATGCTTCTGAGTTTCCCTTGCAGAACATGAAACTGTCCCCTGCTGAAAATTCCCCAGCATAAATTAAAGTGGCAGCCTGATAGATGAAAAACAGCAAACTACTTTCCCTTACAGTTTATTTACATACTTCCCATTAGCACGGATGGCCTTAATGCTGCAAGAATGTCAGTCTCTGTGTCATCATAGCACCTGACTTAGGACTCCAGCCAGAATGGCTGGAGACATGATCCAGGGAGAAGTCAGAGTGGAAGAGAAACAAAAAGTGACCCAAGTTTAAATTAGCTAGCTGGTTAAGTGAGGAGAAGGGATGTAAGGTGTAGATCACTTTTGGGATGTTCCAAGATGTTAAGTAACAGGATTAGGGCAGAAACAAGTGGGAACACCAAATTCTGCCTCTTCCAACCCCACCACAAGCCTCTCAACTACACAATTTCTATAGAAGAGAGGCTGCTGGAAGGGGAGGAGTTCCAGCAGATAAGGGGTGGGAAAGGGCAAGCACGGAATGGTACAGAGGGGATGTCAGTGGGAGCCAGTCCATAGGGGTTTCATTTTGCACTGGGTGGCTTGTAGGGCTCCAGTAGCAGACTTGAAAAGGTGTTGACTTTATCAGCCCCTCGCACTTCATGGGGCAAGAGTGGCAGCTTTACAATGTGAAAGTCTTCATAGAGGTCTTCCATCTGGAGGAGGAAAAGAAAGACAAATCAAAAGGAGCATCTAACAATTACAAACTTCTTATTGGGAATCAAGATGGAAGAATCTCAGCAGCAGTTCCCTGCTTGGTTGGAAAGTGTGCTCTGTTGACTTTGGAAGACCCTCTTCGCAACAGCACTAAGAAAAGTAATCCTCTTGCAGTCTAATGGCAATCTTAAACTAATTTTGAACAGCTTTACAGCTGGGCCCTTGGAAGACCTGGTACAGATTAACCATCCCTTGGTTTACTGAGTGAAGAAAGGAAGGACACATGGAAAAGGCACAAGTGGCAGAAAGAAAAACAGAGTACATAGTACTGAAGAGGCAATAGGACAACTGGAGTGGGAAATGGAGGTTTTGGCCCAAGAAAAATGTATAAAACATCCCCACAACTTTTCAGGCTGAGTAATGAATGAAGAGATAGCAAGGGTGGAAGTCACAGAAAAAGGATACCATGATTAGAAAGAGGTGGATGGATACAAAGGCTGCAAAGATCATTCAAAGGGAAAGAAAAGGAGAGTGTAGAAAAAGCAAAATGGAATACAGAAGAAGCAGAAGCAACAAAATGGCAGAGAAAAGTGAAGCCTGTCTGTGGAGGCATTGGGGAAGGTCTGCATATTTTCCCTGGACAAAAACTACTCAGTTTACTAGTAAACATTCCCTTTCATTTTCAAAGAATAATAATAGTGAGGTTGGACTGAACAGAGATAAAAGTTATAGAAGAGAAAAATTCCACATTTCCACCTGAAGGCCAGATTCCACAAAGAGCAGCACATATGGAGGAGACCCGCTTCCTGCCTTCTACAGCAAGCCAGTTGCAGGACCCATTTCTTAAACTGCCAGTGGCTACTGTTCACTTGGATATTTGCACCCCTCTAGAAAAGCTAAACACTTGCCGTGGCAATGGAAAGGGGAATGCTGGGAGACAGGAATTCTGAAGCCGAAGGTAAAAGTAGAATAGCAAACTTCAACCATTCAGAAGTTTAAAGTAATATTGACCAAAAGGGCTGGGAGTTGTAAAGTTAGGTATGCAAATCAGAGACCTTAACAGTCCAAGTAGACAATATTAGGATCAGACAAGATGGACCAGTGGGCTAAATCAATATAAAGCAGATCCCCAGGCTTAGATTGGTGCCTGACTGCTGCCACTTCCCCAAAATGGACACTGAAAAATCTGAACAGTCTCTAGCCATACCTGGTCAAGGTATTTGGACTGGATTTTGTGCCGGGCCTCACACATCTTGCAGGGCTTCTCTGGGTCAGGGAAGACCAACTGATTGACTATGATATTGTGGGTGTCGATCTTGCACTTGGCCAACTCCTGGATGAGCCGCTCTGTTTCATACAGGGACAGGAACTCGGCAATACAAACACAGATGAATGTTGTTTGTTCCTGGGGAGGGGATAAAGTGCCATTGGTTCACAAATGCAAATAAAATTGTAGGAGCTGGTCTCCCATCCCTGGGAGTCACCTGTGTGCTGCTGTCTCCCCCACAGTCCCTGTTTCCACCTTAAATTCTCAGCTTCTACATTCCTTCCACCACCATGGTTTTTTTAGAGGAATAAGGCCAGAGGGCAAAGCAACAAAAGCTGTTGCCCCTCAGGAAGCAATATGGCCACTTGTCCTCAGGTTATCTGCCACCTGAACACCTGTTCACATAGTCCACACCATGTGTCACGTCTATCTCTGGGTACAGGGGATCAGCCATTGCAATCCCATCTTTTCCAGTTAAGTTCAGAAGGCACACAGATCACGTCTACAGAATCTGGAACTATCCTTTCACCAGCATGGTCGAGAAGAATGGCTGCAGTGTCTAGTGTAGGGCACTTGGGCAGCTGGTAACTTCCTTGCTTATCTAGGATAGGCACAGAAGAAGGAGACACAGCACTTATGCACCCTGCCTTGTTTCTTAGCTCAGATAATAATAATAATAATAATAACAACAACTTTTTATTTGTACCCCGCCCTCCCCGGCTAGAGCCGGGCTCAGAGCAGCTAACATCATATAAATAATACAATATGCATAAAAACAAGCAATCAATTGATTAAAATGCATCCCAAAATTAATTAAAATAAATTAAAATTAAAACTGGACAAATGACAACCCTCAGGTTAAAACTGAAAGCGGTTAATACTCGCCAGGACCAACTGTTTCCACTGATATTATAAGGACCCGTGAGCGGGCTGGGAAACCTCCTTCGTGCTTGTTCTCATACAAACAGAAAATGAGTCAGACTGAACCCTGAACAAAGGCCTGGTGGAAAAGCTCCATCTTGCAGGCCCTGCGGAAGGATGTCAAATCTTGCAGGGCCCTGGTCTCTTGTGAGAGCGTCCCACTAGGCCGGGGCCACAGCCCAAAAGGCCCTGGCTCTGGTCGAGGCCAGTCTAATCTCCCTGGGGCCCAGAATCTTCAGGGTGTTGTTATTTACAGACCGTAAGGTCCTCTGTGGGACATACCAGGAGAGATGGTCCCGTAGGTACGAGGGTCCTAGGCCGTATAGGGCTTTAAGGGTTAAAACCAGCACCTTAAACCTGATCCTGTACTCCACTGGGAGCCAGTGCAGCTCCACCAGGAGCCAGACAAAGGGGGAAAGCACCCAAAGAGGCTGCTAGCCCCCATATTCTTTCAGTTCCTCCACCTGCTAGAAGGACAGAAAGGAACGAAGAGTGACTAGAATATGTTTATGAGGCTGCCTCTTCTTCCAGCCTTAAGAGTTTTAGCTTAAAGGCAGGAGCAACCCATAGCACACAGGGAGGAATTCAACGCAGCTCTATGGCAAATGTTTTGCCAGCTCAAGCATTTCAGCCTGCCAGACAGAACAATCCCCTCTCTCTCCACCCCATGTGCAATTCTGGGGCTGCAAAGGGGGGGGGAGCACTGTTAAATTAGGGCAAATATTTGTTAGGGCTTCCACTTGTGGGACTTATTAGCTGAATCCTGCCCCCAGTCTCCAGTAGAAGACTGGAAATTCACCTGGCCATTTAAGGCAATCACTCACTTGAGGTGACCAGCGAAGTGGCTAGTTGCACGGTTAAATTCTTTGTCTCTGCCCGATTGTTGCTAGACTTGGTCACAATACTTTGCCTAAGGAACACCCACACTCGCATAATTAATAGCAAAATGGACAATTAAATGCAGAAACCCAGCCTTTAACTACTCTAACATGCAAACAATACAAAGGACAAGGCTGACATGCCCACCTCAGTGCCCTACAAATAGCTCCCTAAAGTCATGTTCCATCCCGTTTCCTTCAAAACCCTTGCCCATCTTTACAAGATACATTCCAACCAATTAGAAACAGGGTGGTTGGCAGGCAAAAGTCCTGACAATTATAGCCACACCTGGATTTGCAAATAATGTTTTCAAAAGTTAAGGAACGCTTCTATTACTAGAGATGCCTGCTGGCCTATTCTATCCTTCAGTCAAAACATGAAGATCCAATGCAGCATTCCTGCATCAAATAACTCATCTGTTGTCGACAACTCCCTACCTGCCCATATGGCCAATGGTGAAAGTTTGTTCAGCTAACAGCTGGGAGACAAAGCTTTATTATTATTATTCCTCTAAGCTAGAAAAAATGTGAGCTGGTGGGACCCCGCTACCCACCGCTTCTCATTTTGTCCCGATTTTTACTTCACTTCCTTTATTAAATGTTATAAAGTTTAATTTAAAAAAAAAATTACTCTGAGCAAGAGTCTAGTAAGAAAGTGTAATGTTCACAGGGGTATAACTAGAGCAGTTTACAACACAATGAGATTTGCAACATTTTGCAAGAGAAACACAATGTTCTTCTATGCCTTTGGGGCAAAAAGAGAGCCAGGAGGCATGCAATCCCTTCATTCCTGCTCCTTTACCATATCAGCTGTTATAGCAGCCGTGGAGCACATTGGTCACATAAGAATGCACAAGAACCAGTGTAGTAATAGTATGCAATAGCTTCCAATAGCTGAGATTCACAAGTTGAACAACTGTTTAAGATTTATGTTTCTATCTCTTTAGGTTTCCCTCTGAAACTACAGCCAATACTCAGCAACCCAAAGCCAGAAAACAAAGCACATACCCTGCAAAAAAAAAAAAAAAATACCACCAGGGTGACTGACTGGCTTAGACATATTACTTGGTCTCCCAGGATCTGAATGAAGCAGACTGTGGGCTTAACAGTGGCGTAGCGTGGGGGGTGCAGGGGGGGCCGGCCGCACCGGGCGCAACATCTGGGGGGGCGTGCTCGCACTCGCAGCTCTCTGCCCCTACCTGGCTCACTCACTCTCTCTCACTGCAGTGCTGGCTGTGCGAATCCGATCCGAGCCGCTGGGTCGCCGCCCACTGTGGAGGGGGTGGGTGCCAGGCGTGCGGTGCGGAGAGAGAGCGAGGGACTATCTGGGGGAGGGACAGTGCAGCGGCCGCCCAGCGCAGCGCTGAGCGCGGGAGAGAACCACACCAGACCAGACCAGGCAGCAGCGGCAGGTTAGGGGTTAGGGGGCGCAAATTACTTGCCTTGCCCCGGGTGCTGACAACCCATGCTACGCCACTGGGGCTTAATAAAGAATAAACTAATATGCTAATACAGTTGTACCTTGGAAGTCGAACGGAATCCGTGCTGGAAGTCCGCTTGACTTTCAAAATCTTCTGGAATCAAGGTACAGCTTCTAATTGGCTGCAGGAAGCTCCTGCAGCCAATCAGAAGCTGTGACAGACGTTTGGGTTCCAAAGAACATTCGCAAACTGAAACAATCACTTCTGGGTTTGCAGAGTTCGGGAGCCAAAATGTTCATCTCGCAAGGCGTTCGACCTCTGAGGTACGACTGTACCAAAGTTGAACTCCTCACCCCCAGCAATTCCAAAAATCACTCCAGCCAGTACCAGCTGTTTCCTGTCAGTGTAAATGTACATTAGCAGAGGAGCTGCCATGAATGGAAAACACTTGCAAAATGTAGACTTGTCAGTGCTGTGGAGACTTGTGTATGTGACATGCTCCCCCCCCCCCGAAGGTCTTCCTGATCCAGCCCCAATCCAAGTTGGGTCAGAAAATCCCCACTTCAGGTCTCATTCTTTTCGGCACGTAGCAACTTCACTCTAACTGGAAGATTCTATTTTCAAATAGATTGCTGCTACAATTGGAAAGATCAGGAAAAGTATCTGGATGCCCTGGCCTGGTTTGAACATTATATTAGAACAAACTATGGTTTAATCAAAATATGCAGCATGCATATTTATTGCTCCACACCTTCCCTGCTCCTGCTGCAAAATAAGCCAGAACCTAGGTTATTTTGACATCTGAACTTTGGAGGCAAGCAAACTACACGCCAAATGGACAATGACAGTAAATAAGGATTACCAAGCGATAACCCTGCTCTACAAATAAAACTTAAGTTTACTACATTTGCTTGCAGTCATGCACGGACTCCCCCTACTGTCAAAATTGTATTATAAGCTCCTTGCAGGAAGAGCCAAGATTTGTGAGCTTAAAGAGAGAGCATATGTGTTGTTGGCATAATGGAAACCTGGTTGAATGGAAACAACCAGTGAGATGTGGTTATCTTAGAATTCAAATTCTATAAGGAGGACAGGAAAGGGTATACTGGAAGTGGTCATGCTCTGCACATTAAAGAGGGTATAGAGTCCAAAAAGCCGGAAAGGGGCAAACTCTCCCACAGAATAGTTGTGGGTGGCAACACAGAGGCCTCTAGATAAATTTAGCACCGGAGACATACTACCATATATCATAATACCATTTACATCTTCAAATATGTAAAGGGCTGTCACATGGAAGATGGAGCAATGGATTCAAGTTACAAGAAAGGAGATTCCGACTAAACATCAGGAAGAACTTTCCACTGGAAGGTGGTGGACTCTCCTTCACTGGAGGTTTTAAAACAGAGGCTGGACAGTCATCTGTCATGGATGCTTTAGCAGAAATTCCTGTATTGCAGGACGTTGGACTGGATGACTCGGGATCCCTTCCAGCTCTACAATTCTATGATTCTATAAATACAAAGGATGAGATTCTGTAGTAATGGGTGAACTCTGTTTGTTTGTTTGTTTGTTTGTTTGTTACCTTGTTGTCACGACTGGAACACAAATACGCCCAGCCTATGTGAGAGAAACTCAAGTCACCCTATCATGGAACATAGTTTGTTGCTGACTTGCTGATCATGGCTTATTAGAGAGCAACAAACCATGATTCCTGGTTCAGATGTAGGAAGGAAGCCAAGTCTTCAATCTGTTTATCATGCGCACAGAATGGAAGAAAGTCTGGCTTATCATTACATGCAAACATGGCCCCTGTCTAGATTTAAACAACATTCATTTTGACCTGACCTGACCTTGTTGCCGTTTCATGGAATGAACTAAGCAGAAATTGATCTCTGGCTACTTACAAACATTAACCAGCTACATTTCAGTGTTCTTTTTCATTACTTGATAGAATATTATGCTATGAGAGAAGTCATCTTTAGCCTGATCATTCTAATGAACTAATATCATCTGGAAGACTGCAACTATTGAATGGACTGAAAATGAATATTACATTTGAGAAGACAATTTAAAAAGTTTTGCAAAATTATAAAAAACAAGTATATAAAAATAGCTTACTGAATTAATTAATGTTAAATCTAATGAAGCAGTCACAAATGTAAGCATGTTTCATCTTACTATACATTCCAAATTCACCTTTGCCAAAGGTGAAGCATCACCCCCCCCAAACCCCTCATCTCTGCAGAATACTTGCCGGATCCTTGAACTGCTCACTGACTGAGCGGATGACAGGGAGGGTCTCCTCCAGCTTGGAGGCCAGCTGGTCAGCATTCATGTCTCCCAGGCCAAGCATGTTGCACATCTAGTGAATAACAGAGAGGGAGTTGCAATGAGAGATTTCTATTAACAGACAACAAGTCACCCCTACATGTCCTGCAAGCAACAGAGGAGGGAATAAGCAAAACCTGCTTATCAGCTCAACTCAGAGTGACAAAGCCCAATACTCCAAGAGCAATAAGTGCAACTGTGTCCTGCAAGCAACCCAACAAATCAAATAGATTATTTCATGTTGCTCCTGAGTGTTGCAAGAATAATACTGGGGTCCATGCAAAAACTTGCAAAGTGCCACATGGTGGAAATTTTTAAAAAGATGTCTGGCATGGTCTTTTTTCCAGGAACGCCTCATTTTTCTGGCTCCTCTCCCATTTTACCTGTGATATGAAGGGACTGATCTGGTTCTTTATCTGCATCAAGCGGCCTAGCCCCCGCTCCACGATGGTGGGGAAATTGAGCAACCGTAGTGTGTGCCCAGTGGGTGCTGTGTCAAACACTACCACGGAGAAATTCATCCCTTTCACCAACCTGTGCAGGCCAGAGAAAGAACCATCAGCTGGAGCAGTTAGAAATAGTCACCTCTTTCTTTATACTGACCTTCCCCAGCATACATATACAGTACACTCTAAGGTTCACTTAATGCTAGTGCTTTCTTTGCTCTGTGAACGAAAACTTTGTATGTGGAATCCATATCATGCAACAATGGATGTTATGGAACTTTGGTGCACAAATTTGTCCAGTGCAAAAAATGACGCATAAATCACAAAAGGTTGAATCCAACATTAGCCATACTCACGATTAAGAGTCATTTAAATTAATGGTCATGGCTAACTTAGGTGAGCCTACTTATTTAAACAACAACAAGTCAGCCCCATACAGTGTTCAAAACTCCCATTGTTCTAGGCACATTTTGCGACAGGGATTTCATTAGGGTGAGCAGTTTCTGAGCTCTGGGTGCAATACTGCGTCTAAGATTTCAGATTAAAACTAAAGAGTAGAAGGAAAGGAGGACCTTTTTCAGCCTTCCCACTTCCAGCTACTCTTCGAAGACTGGAGAAGAGACCCTCTTAATAATATTAGAGGGATGGGCAGGGGAAGGACTAGATCATGGGAAAAATGAACATAATACTTTAGCTGCAGTTCATTCATTTTCAGATTTGTATTTCTGTTATTTAAAAAGTGTAGTATTATTATTATTTTCTATACCGCCCTATACCCGAAGGTATCACACATTCTGTTGTTGTGCCCATAACCTAGGTTTAAGGTGCCATTTAGCTCCCAGCTTTCGTATCTCTGTTTCTAACACTGGCCCTGTATAGTAAAGTATTTAATGTTTTATTGCGCTTTTATATTTGTTGGAAGCCACCCAGAGTGGCTGGGGTAAGCCAAGTCAGATGGACAGCATATAAATAAATTAAATTATTATTATTATTATTATTACTATTATTACAGGGAGCCTACTTAGTTGGATACAAACCACAAATAATATAATAACTCTGGCCTTGTGCAAAGCATACTCAGTTACTATGCTGGACTATCCTAATGGCTAAACCATTAGGCTTGGGATACCTCTGGCTAACCCAAACTTCATAATGGTGAACACAGTAAAATACCTTTGAAGTCTGGTCTTCTGCTTCTCAACCCAAAAACCGCTTTGAGGTTGGTTTGTTTTTTAACCCACAATCAAGCGGTGTATAAATTTTATGAAATAATAAATAAATAAGCCTCCCACAGGCTAGAAAAGGTTAGAAGGCTTGATGATCCAGGCCACAGTTCTTACCGCATAACTTCTGCGTAGCTCATGGCCTCATCAATGCCAGGAAAGGCACTCATAGCCTCTTGCATCATCTTCTTGCCCATACTCAGCATGTTATCCTCCTCAAAGAACTCATCTGGAAGTTCAGCCACACCTAGGCTGGGATCAATCTCCTGAGAAATAAATAGAAGGATCAGCACCACTTTTCATAAAACAAAAGCAGAGTCATTCAGCCATTCAAAAAGAAACATGATGTTTAAAACAGAGCTAAAACCCCCGATTTGTAGAACAATTCTTTCAATGTCCAGTCAAAGAGGCTTTCAAACTAATGCTCACCATGTCAACTCACAGTTAAAAGTAACACCACAAATAACTGATTTCTTTGTAATTTGAGGCTATTTTTATGCTTGTCGTTGCGGAATACATGGAGGAAAAAGAAAATAACCTCAAGATGTTTGAAAATGTAAATCCAGTAAAAGGCATACAATCAGCACTATTTGTTGTCAACATTGGACAATTTAGGGTACTTCCCTAAATTTAGGGTACTTCCGGGTTTTGCCACTTGCGCATGCGCAGACACGCAAAACGATGCCATGCACATGCACAGAAGCAGCGAATTGCAACCCGCGCATGTGCAGACTCACCGCTGCGGGTTGAGTTCTTTTCATGTTGCGAATGGGCCTCCAGAACGGATCCCGTTCACAACCAGAAATACCACTATATAGTAATTGCATATAAAATCCTTTTAAAAAAAGGTCGGGGAGATTTCCCTGACATTTGTCTTCCCTGAAGATTATGATAAATGTTGGTTTGAAAAGAAACAAATAATTAGGGTGTTCTCATAGCCCAGTGTGAATTCCTGTGGGCATTACAACTTCCCACACAGACTTAGTGCTAACCTGCAACTTACAGATACAAAGTGTCATATGCAGAGGGTCTTGTTTTGGAAGCATTTATTTGTATGTGTCAATGTATTGTCACATGTTATGCTGATCACAGGTTATTTGATAGAAAATATTTTTTCAACTGTTTCTACTAAAGGCTGCTGTAAGTTTGATACTTGCCCATGAAACACTAGCTGTTTATGTATATTGCTGCTGATGGAATTTATTTCATTCATAATTTTATAGAATGCAAGTCTAAGTTACAGATAAATTCTCGAGGTTACAAACCACTACATTAGTCACATCACTTAAAATACAACGAAGAGAAACCAGTTAAACAAAATATACGATCATCTCCTCACAGTCCAAGACACAGACATTTTGGAGGAAAACTTCAGTTGGTTTACTTGCCTTATTGCTACATATCATAATCTATTCAGTGTGAAAGAGCAAGATCATAAAAAAGAATGTTTTCACCCCCTGCCTGATCTTTTCCTATATGTAGTAAGAACCTTTTTTTTTTTTTGCTCAATACTACCCAGTCCCTTCAGAGGAACACTCACCATGGCAAAAAGGTTATCATAGCCCTTTACTTTGGTGGGGACTTTTGAAAATTTCTGGTCGAAAGCATCTGATATGTTATGAGCAGGATCGGTGGAGATGATGAGGACGCTCTCCCGCACTTTGGACAGCTGCACAGCCAGGCTGCAGCTAGATTCAGGAAGTAAAGCAATGTGCAGTTATTAACATCACAAAAGGAAATACATACAAACATAGAACATAAGCTCTTCAGCTATCACAGTCTTAGTAGGTCTGTTTGGATTTGTCCACCCTAAGAAATTATGATCCAAAGACTTCCAACTTTGCTTCTCTATGGAGGTGCTTACTTGTCACAGACAAGTAGCTACTCAGAAGCAGCCAAATCATATGCACATTGGCTTAGCAAAACAGCTCACTCCTGAGTAAGCGTGCACAGAATGACAGCTTCAGTTATTTAACTTGTGATACCCCTCTCTTTCAAGACAGGTTACCTCCGCCCCCCGCAAAAAAACAGGCCAAATAATATATTAATGAGTTTATTATGAGTCACCACAAAGTAAATCTAGAATATATTGAAAGCCCACACTTTAAAAGGTTTAACCCTAGACATCAAAATCCAACACACAGACACACCCCAGCCAAATTTAATAGCCTCTAATAGTGTTTTAAGTTCTGATCTACAATTTTAAAAATCTTTATGAAGAAAAGGCATTGCACAATGGGAAACCTACCACTACAAGGTTATTCCACAACAGCAATGCTAATATAATCAAGAAGGTATTGTTGGCAGAGTTGCACAAGGAAGTAGGCAAGATACAAATTAAGTTAATCCAAGACATTTGGGGGTTTACAAGATAAAGCTATGCCTAGAAGGCAGTGAGGGTTCAGTCCAAGTACCAGAACAATTACATTCTTCAGAATTTGTCTGAAAATGCATTCTGCTCTAAATGAAGCTTTCAGTCATCAAGGACAACCACACATAAAAGCAGCTTCAAATACTTAGTCTTGAGATTACGAAGGCGTAAATGACCACTGTCAAAATATGAATCTGAAAAAGGAAGGCACCCAACCCCTATGCTTCTGCTCAGTTTCATCCAGTCTCGCATCTGAAGCAGGGTGCCCCAAATCCCATGATATTTACATACAGTGGCATGAAGGTGCATACAATTCGCTTGCCTAATAAGTCACTATTCTCCATAGCTTAATGAGATGCGGACGTTCAACAGGTAGAGCTTTTGCCAGCAGAGGTTCAGCGGCATGAAAGCTGCGCTTGCTGGGTTTCTGCCTGTCACACAGCTCCTGAAAAGGCACAGCAGCAGCTGCCAAGGAGAGAGAAAGGCGGAGGCGGCAATGTCTGCCATCCTTCCCAACGACATCTCCCTGACCAACCCACCTGCAGGTGGTCTTGCCAACGCCACCCTTCCCTCCGACGAAAATCCATTTCAGGCTCCGCTGCTCGATGATGTTACTCAGTGTCGGCTCCAGCGGCTCCACGTCTGGTGCGTCCTCGAACTCATCCGCCTCAGTCGCCAACCCAGATGCCGCCGCCGCCGCCGCCATCTTGAAACCAAAATCACGTGACAAGACGCAGAGCTACACCATCTTGTAGGGAGATTCAGGTTGGTTGTCCCCGCTCAGCGCCTTCGCTCATTAACAGGAAGCAAGGCGTGCAAGTACTCTTCCCGACCTCGCCCTGCTCTTCAGATCCTTCAATCACACAAGATGCTCAAACCGGTGCGTCACAAAAAGGTTGAGTAACACAGTCATCGCACCCCTTCGTAGTCGGCTGATATGGTCTTGCCCACACCTATAGGCCGGCAGTTTCCTTTCTTGATTGGCTCCTGAACCGCTTTCTGAAGGAGCTCCCACCCACCCCAAACGCCCGCCTCCCGCTGTTTCTGATTGGTAAAATGCTCACTCCATCATCGATTTCCCCCTCCCCGAAGGCTGCGGCCCGTTGCTTTTTTTGATTGGCTCAGAAGGCCTGTCAGTATCCCGCAGGGCGGATGCGCCCTGTCGGTCTGCGATACTTCTCCTTTTTTTTTTTTTTTTGACGTGCGTGGGCAGCCTAGCAACGTCGCCTCTCCCGTCGTGCTTTGCGGCGCCGGCGTCGTCACCGCTCCCCACCGTGCTCCAGGGCGCGTACGCTCAAGGCAGGGAGGGCGGCGCAAGATGGCGGCGGCGCAAGGCAGGGGCCCAGGCTCCGAGGCGGCCGGGCCGGGCGGAGTGAACGTGTTCGCCAACGACGGCTCCTTCCTAGAGCTCTTCAAGCGGCGCATGGAAGAGGCCGCCGCCGCGGGAGGGAGGAGCGGACCGGGAGCGGGGAAAGCGGGGGCCGAAAAGCAGAGAGAGACCGAGTCTCGGCCGGAGCCGCCCGGGGAACAGGAGCCGCCGGAAAAGAAGCGGAGCGGGAGCGCCCTCAGCTTCGTAAGGGATCCGGGCCCTGACACCCCCTCCTCCCCTGTCCCTTGGCTTACTCCTCTTCGCTTTCTGCCTCCGCCCTCCCCAGACCCCAAAGGACCGAGGCGCTGGCTGGCGCCTTCTGCCTGCCAGTTTTCATCTCCTTTCCTGACATGGTCGCGTGTGTCCTTAATAGGTGCTTGGCAGGCAGAAGTTCAACGGGTGAAGCACTTCCTCACCCCTGTAAAATGTGCTCTCTTCCCCTCCCCCCAGTATTTCTGTTACGGTAGCGGAATAATGTTACTAGGAGCACGGTTAAATTCTCTTCTTCCTCCGAGCTCTCGACAAAGGTTTTCAAAGCTCACTTTAATTCACGTTATAAATTTAGTGCTGACCCCCCTCGCCCCGGTAATATATAGCATAGGAGTATGCAGCAAGCAATTTTTTAAAATATCTGTTGACAGTGGTTGCATACTATAGTCGACATCTGTCATTGCTGTGCAAGTTAATGTTTTACTGGGTTTGTTCATATTGATTTTAAGTAGGCAGTTCTAGAATAAGTGCTGTCCCCAATAAATGTTGGGAGGCTATTTTTACTTAACTAGTCCTGATCTCAGTCTATAAAGTAAACATCAAAATCCCTTTTATTCTCTGACCATAAACATATTTGCTCAAAAACTCATTAATTTCAGTGTGCCTTATTTCCAAGTGGGTGAACTTTAAGTTCCAAGCTTTCCTTTTGGGGTTCTTAATAATCCTGCCCCATGACGGAACTACCTGCTGCTGTGCATTTCTAAAAATCAAAGCCATTCAGTAGCCACAGCCAAAATACTCCAACAAAATTATGACAATTTTTTTTTTTTAACCCTACTGAATCTTAACTTGGGACAGATAAAAGTGCAAGGTGCAAAATAAATAATTGGAGAAACATTCTCTTTTCTGCCTCCTTCTGAGAAACTTAAAGTGTCAATCCTGATGTGTGGAATATAGATTCAAATTGGAAGTAGGAGATCTAGAAGGCCATCCTGTGAACTGCAAGTAAAATACCACCACATAATGCTTTGATTTAGCTATGTTTTGGAGAACCCCCTGATAGAGACTGATACGGGCCTTATATGAAAACAAAGGAACTGAGGTGTATTAAGATAAACTAGGCCTTTTTTCTTAAAGCAAACCAGGAGTTTTCCCTGCTTTAAACAGCTGTTGCAAGTAAATGGGTTTTTTGTCTAGCATATGGAAGATACTATCATTCTTACAACAGAATGAAATCCGTTCAACATCCGTATTGGTGTGATAATTCTGAAATAAGCTGCTATTTGGTTCGCAGCTGGATAGAGAAGAATGCAAATGTGACTGTATTCTCTATTGGTTTAGCATTAATAACATAGCCTGTTATAGAAAAGGGGAGGCTACTCAGAATGGAATAACAACACGGTGCTCTGTGTTTACTAAAAAATAAGCTGTTGAGTTCAGTGGGAATTAATACCAGGTTATTGTGTATGGAATTGCAGGCTAAGAGTAACAAAATTAGTATTTTTTCCCTTTCAGTCTTATGAAAGAGTCTCTAGACAGAGGATTATTGAAGATGGAGCATACGTTTGGGCATATGGCATTAGTGGTGCTATGAATAGGAAGAGCATAGGGGGCATGTACTGCAGGAATTTCAGGATGTGAGCAGGGTTCTGATAGTGGACATTGAAACCCTGCTCTTGTTCCTTAGTTTTCAGCGGAAGGACCCCATCTGTTTTCAAGCTTGTTTTTTTCAAAATGAAAGCTGAAATTTCATATCTTAAGCCTCGAGCTGCTCTTAGAAATCCATTTTTTGTTTTATGGAGATTATACAGATTTATAGAATGACAGTAGCACACACAGCCCCTCCCTAGACAGGAATAAGACTGACTCTGCCAACTTGATTGTCCTTGTAATTATTAGGAAATCAAACAGTTTCATGTATGTTGTGATGTTTTAGGGGAATGTGAGTGGAAGTTCAGTGTTGATCCTATTTTCTAATGGACATTGAGCCTGGAAAGCATTCAGAATACTTCATTTTCTTATAAAATGTGTCTTTTAATGTTTGGGCTAATCTGTACAGATGTATTGGTGAACACTGCTAAGGTGCCCTTTTACCCTCCTAGCACAACGGTGTAGGTAACGCTCGGCAGCTCTGTACTGACTGACAGGTGTGATGGCGAGCTAAGATGATCTAATTGAAGGACTCCCTATACCGTTATATAGTGGGCAACATTCCCCTTGCAGCTCCCAGGCTCGTATAACGGTTGCAGTCTTCTGTCCCTTCACCCAGGTGGGCAAGCGGAGAGGGGGCAGCAAGCTAGCCCTGAAGACAGGAGTGGTAGCCAAGAAACTAAAGACAGAGGATGAGGTAAGTTAGCATGAACCTCATTTATGTCAGCTTGACAGCCCATGGGGCAGCAATGCTTTTGCTTCCATTTCAGCAGGAATGGAAGTTGAAGCTAATATTCTTCTCCCTCATGCTATCTAAGTTTGGCACTGATGTTGACCTTCCATCTTTAGGGAAATGGCCATCTTTGGAGTGCGAGAAAATTTGTAGGAGAACTGAAGAATGATTTTTGGCCTCTGCTAGAATCTCAGGGGCAGGTTGCTTTAATTTGTGTATGTGAGGGGAGGGAGAGAGAAAGAGACAACCCACAGAAAGAATATGAACTCTGCAATAACGGCAGTAGCATCCCTTCAATGAAAAACTGCTATATAGGTCTACAGGAGCAGCAGAAGAGTACTTTATTTCTTGTTCCTGCTTCAGTTGTGATAATAGCAATGAAGCTGGAAGCTTGTGTTCTTCCTTAGTAGGAAAGGTGCTTGTCAAGTGAACTGAAGAACTGATATTTCCTAGTTAAGTGTTACGCTTCCCTGTCTATTTCATTCTTGTAAAGAGGGTTGTTTCAAATGCTGCATTTACAGAGTTCCTCTTGCATAATAGGACTCCCATCCTTCTCGCATTCACCTTCAAAATCTGCTGCAGAGGGTCCTTGTGAGGACTGGAAAGGAGAAGATGGGAACGTCTGTTACAGCAGCACTGACTATGACCCAGTTCTTTTAATTCCAATGAGATAATGGCAAATCAAGTAGCTGGGGTTATCCTCCTTTTGTCTTCACAATATTATGTGGTAGGTTAGACTAAAGAGATGTTGACTACCCCAGTGTCATACTGTGAGGTTTATAGCTGAGCAAGAATTTGAACCTGGGGCTTCCTAGTACAACCCACAGATTACTAGTTAGATGGTTAGGTTTATGCCATTGTTTTTTGAGCGTTAATGTTTTCTGTATATGGTATGCTTCTGAATAAAATAATTTGAGATATGTAACATGTCATTTTTGCCTCTCCTGTTTTGTTTGTAGGTTTTGACAAGTAAAGGTGATGCGTGGGCCAAATATATGGCTGAAGTGAAAAAATACAAAGCCCACCAGTGCAGTGATGATGATAAAACCCGACCTTTGGTGAAATAACTCTCATCTCCAGCTTGGACTTTCTCTGATGTACATAATTATTTAAAACGTCAAAGGAGAGTAGCTCTGCCCCACAGACTGACTGCTGCCACGGCAGCAGGTGACTTGCCATGCTTTTATATCTGGGAATTTAGAGCCTCCTTCATTGGTTCATTTATTGTTATCTTCTTTCTTCTGAGAACTAAGAACTTTGACTTAGTTGCAGGATTTTTTAATTTGTAATCCCCAAAATAGTGGAATTGGTCTGATATGTCTTTCCCTGAATCACCAGGCAACATACCATGCCCACAAAATCTTTAGCATTAAACCTTTGCTTAACACTTCCAGTACTCCTCAAGTTTCCACAATGGGATAAGCTAAATGGATCCGTTTTGCCAAATGCGTTATCTGTTTCTGTTGAAGATGAACTTAACATGTGGTCACAATTTCCAAATCCGCATTGCAGACAACAGTAATTCCAGAACACTTTAATGAAAAGGTGACCAGTGCTGAGTTCCTTGGTATGCTTAGTATCTGACAATTCTGTGGGTGCATTTCTGCTTCTGTTTTTTCCTCTCCATTTCACTGTACAATACAGTGCGTTATGTGGTTTTATTCTGAATTCCAGTTGCTGCTGATTAAGCTCATTCCTTGCCTTCTGCTATGCATGCTCCAATTTAGCACTGCGGATTATGTTGTGCCTATCTGCTAGCTAAGAAGGTAGAAACTTGGTCTGCACTTAAACCCAATATTAGGAGAAAAATTGGCTAAAATTACAACAAACGTGCTCTGGGACAAATGGAATTTCCAGATATCATGATTCTAGCCTTTGACTAGCCCCTCTGTTCCAGTCCTGGGCTTTGTGGCCCGAGTTCTTTGAGAAAGGCTGTTTGTCTAGCAGTTGTTTGCTGTGTGCATGGGAGCCTATGTTTCTCTTTTTTTATTCTCCATTTAGACTCCTTATACTTTCAGTGAAGTAGTGTACTAAAGCTGAAACTCAGATAGTTTCTGCAGTGATGTGAGTTCTGTCACTGAGAGTAACTGGGGATGACAACTTCATAGAAAGGCCTCGGGTACATTCTTAGCAGTTGGAATGTCAAGAAATGAGAATACAAACAAGACCTTTTCTAGGATAATTTATAGCCCCCAATTTTTGTGTTGAGGGTGCAGTTGGGCTTATGTTTGAATCTTACTCTATTTGTGCCATTTCCTTTTCATGGAACAGGCGCTTTGTGTCAGAGAACAGATATGAAATACCCAACTTCTGCTCAATGCAAAACATACTTGCAGAAGATTTTTAAGCTGAAGGAAAACCAGCTGAAGTTTTATATTCTCATCTAGGAGAGGCCTAAAGGGTGTGTGTTATGTTATTGAACAGCCTTTAGGCCAAATGTTTTATATATAAATGCCCTCTCTGCGGAAAAGGTCACTGCTTTCTACCAATCAGAATACTCAATGACAGTTGTGTAGGACATGGGAAGTGGAGGAAATACTGGATTGAATCCTGTCTGCAACCCCCAAATCTGCTTTGGATGTTTGGGGGAAATCCCAAAGCAGATTTTGGAAGGGAGGTAGAGGCAGGAAAGGGAGTGGAAGTTCCATGGTGTGAGCAGAAGTCATTCTGCTAATTCAATGATTCTGTTGGGTACAACTCAACACTCTTGTTTAATTAGTTATGTACACTTGCTGGAATCTCAGCCGACTTGAGTCCTGTTCAGACCTTTATTCAGCAGAAGATCTAGAAGGGGTGTGTACATCTATATGTGTGTAGGCTCTTCAGTGTGATTAGGAAACCTAATCATGTGGCAGAAGCTTTCATACATATGACCGTATGCATGTCAAACACTATTTCAGACCTGAATAGGTAGAGATTGGGGAAAGGGCTGGAAGACATCACCACTTGCTGTATTCAGTTTGAGGTAGTGTCTGAAAGGGGCTCGGGGTGGTCATATATGAGACTTTACTGTTTAAAGCCTGAAGCAACTTGGAAGGGTTAAATATTTCACTGGTATCTGGTTACACACCTGTTATAAAGTGGTGGCAGTTTGCTTCCTTGTTCTACACTAGAGCAGACTCCTTTATTGCTTTTGACCTCCACAACCTGGCTTAGAGCACTGATAATCATTCTTACAACTAGCTTTTTAAAATAAAATTCTGTTGTGGATATTGATTCGCTAGCTTTGTCTTGTTTCCTTTCTATTTCTTTTTTATGATAAAAGGTATTTTTACTTATACAGGTAGTGACCATTTTGCGTGTGGTCAGTTGAAAAGTGACGGCCAGCAGATGGGTTGTTTTGGACCCAGTGGAGGGTGGAATGGGGACAGGGTGGGCTTATGCGCACTTCTCTGAAGAGTGCAAATGCCAAGAACGCAACCCCTGCGCAAATTGGGAGTTGCCTGTATAACCTATGGCTGGGTAAGTACCTTTCAGAGGTAATCATGCTACTCTGTTGCAGCAAAAACAGTAAATATGTGGCACCTTGAAGACTTAACAAATATATTAGTGGTATGTGCATTTGTGGACTAAAGTACTTGATCATATGCAAGAAGTGTTATCTCATCTTTTTAATTTTATACACAGACATTGGTAGTGGGTTTAGGATATAAAATGCAAGAGACGTTAAAAATTATATTAAAACTTAATATATGTAAAATCATTAGTGACTCATCACTGCTTTGAGAATATTCACTAATGATTTTATGTATTTAAGTTTTAACATAGGAGGAAATTCTAAAAGGCACAAACTAGACTAACTACACTGCTAATAGTTCTCCCTCTCCTATCACATGTATGTGGAATCCAATGTGATGTAGTGGTTGAGAGTGCTGGACCTGGGGCTTGGAAGATGAACATTCAAGTCCCCATTTGACCATGAAGCTCATTGGATGACCATGGGCCAATCACTTTCTTTCAGCTTAATGGGCTACAAGGATAAAATGGGGGAAAGGCAAACAATGTACACTCCTTAAACTCTTCACAGTAAGTACAGGATATAAACATATTTTTTAGCTTAGGATAACTTTATGCATCTGGTGAAGGTGTAATTGCACTTTGCTAGGGAATATTTCCAGAGGGCAAGAGTCATAGACTGTTCATTCACTATTCTGGAAAATATGTGGTTAAAGAATAATAGCAGGGGTATGAAAACATAGCTTCACATTCATTGCAGTTACAACAGTTGCTTAATATATTCATCTTTATTTCTAGGTGTTGCTGCTTGTTCTTTTCAAAACACAATGATAGATAACCCATACAGTATATTTTTGTTCACTGTGAAATTTATTTGAAAGTATCATTTCTGTTAGATGTTGTTCTGACCTGGTTATATTGCCCCAGCCAGAGCTTTGATCACTTACCTCTTTTCAGTTGCTTGAGGCCCTATACCCAATTGCCAGCAGAACAACTTTGTTTCCACTCCAGCCAGTCTTCAGATGTGCATTAGACATCCCTTTGATTGATGCTAGTGTGTGTATCAGGCCAAATGGAACTCAGGATGCTCACTCCACAGTGAACCATCTTTACATATGAAGCTGCCTTATACAGTCAGGCTAGTAGCATGTCTTGTTCAGTACTGTCTGACTGATGGTGGCTCCTCACAGCTTTGGGCAGAGGTCTTCACCAGTACTTGATACTTTTCATTAGTGTAGTGGTGCTGCCCCAGGAGGATTTTGGGGCAGGAATCTTGGGGCCTATTCAGCAGGAGAGCACCCAAATGTAGTACAGCTGGCTTGCCACATTTTAAAATAGGTAAGTAATGTGTTTTACCATCTAAAGAGTGGAGCCCCCATAGGACCATTAAGTTCAGAATCTAAAATTACTTAACTGTACCACTGGATGCGGGTGGCACTGTGGTCTAAACCACAGAGCCTAGGCCCTGCCAATCAGAAGGTCGGCGGTTCGAATCCCCACGACGGGATGAGCTCCCGTTGCTCGGTCCCAGCTCCTGCCAACCTAGCAGTTCGAAAGCATGTCAAAGTGCAAGTAGATAAATAGGTACTGCTCCAATGAGAAGGTAAATGGCGTTTCCGTGCGCTGCTCTGGTTTGCCAGAAGCGGCTTACGTCATGCTGGCCACATGACCCGGAAGCTGTCTGCGGACAAATGCCAGCTCCCTCGGCCAGTAAAGCGAGATGAGCGCCACAACCCCAAAGTCATTTGCGACTGGACTTTACGGTGAGGGGTCCCTTTACCTTTACCATTGAATTAGAGATGGCTCTCCACCTTTGGGGAGACAATATGAGTTTTTTAAAATGTCATCCCTGCCATTATTATTTTTTCTACTTCTACATTCCTCTCTCCCCTGCTATTTGGTGCAAGCATGTGTTGAAAGTATTGCAAAGGTAAACATGAAACTTGTAGCAAACCAGCTACAAATCAGGCCCTGATGTGACTGCTGGAGAAGCAGCCTTCAGGAACATAGTTTGAATCTACTGCTCTACTCCATTTCCCATCTCTTGTCATCCCTTTAAGACAACAACTACACTGCTCCTTATTAGTTGTTGCTGTTCCTTCAAGGCAAGAAAGCTCTCAAGGGAACTGGGCTGCAGCTGCTTCTCTGCTCACCACCCTTGGGATCCTGCTATTGAAAAGTGGTTTGTGATGTAGCTTAGAAAGCAGCTGCTGCTATTCCTTTCCTGGGACAATAAGGAAAGAGGAAGGGCCCAAGTCTCAGCATGGACCTTGCAACTCTAAAATTATGCCTGATCCAAAATGGACTAACCACCAAGTCCATCTTTTGCAAAAGACAAAAGGTAGTACAGAAAAGAAACACTGATGATTGACCAGTAGAAGAATTCTCCTTGTCAAGTGCTGCTGACATTCATTTTAGCTGGAAAGAGTGATGGAAGAAAAGGGATATGAGCAGTCCGCTTTGCCCAAATACTTATTTCTACAAGGGATTATATGCAATCTATTTTATTTCCATTTGAATGCAACACACATCAGTTTTACTTTCAAGTGCTAGATCCTTGTTAAGGACAATGCATAATCAGAAAAGCACTTTCACGCCTCTCCACTTGCAAGGCAATAAACAGCATGACTAAGGGAAGCCTTTCCAAACAGTGGGCTTGCTGCATGGCATTAATCGCTAGCAGTTTCTTATGGGACAAGAGTCTTCATTTTGTGTAAGGCAAACAGAGTAAACATTGGGCAAACAAACAGTTTCTTTACCCTTTACAATAGTGCACTTGAATGCCTTAACCTACCATCTGTAGAGGAAGCTTTTGTACTTCATCACTAACTTACTAAAAAGCTGTTATTTAACAAATAACTCTTCTGTCTCCTTCACCTTAAAAGCATCTTAAAATCTTTACAAGCAGAAGAGAGGAAGTGAAAAGTATGTATCGTTCACTCCTAGTTGAAACATGAACCTTTAAACAGAAGCACTCTGACTCCAACTACAGAAATCAAGCTCAAGTCCCCGCCAAGGTCACTGCTCCAAATTGCCCCCACAAAGAACTGAGACAAACCCCTTAGACTTGTTTTGTGCATTGTAGCACAAGTGCTACTGGGTAAGATTTCAATAGTGGCCAAGCTTTAAAGACGCCTGTTTCCCACCTGGTTAAAAGAAGCATTTGTGGGGTAATGGAGAAATGCTTTAAAAAAACCCAACACTTCTCAAAACTCCAGATTCTGCCACAAACCAACCAGAGTTGATGTGACAATGCTAAAACTCCTTTTCTGGATTTGACATTACAAGATCTTTGCAACCAGTGTCAGCTTTAAACAACTCTCTCTTTTAGGTCAAAGCGTTGCAGTCCCCTCCCATGTAACACCCCAGACCTGTACTTGATAACTCAGTGGGGATTTAAACAGGTACGTGGGTAAGAATAGTCCTAAGGAACAATCTTGATCTTCTTAAAAAGAAAAGAAAAAAACAGCATTTGTGGGTGGAGTGAAAGGACAATTCTTGCTTTGCCATTTCGCCCCCAGTCTCCACCTACTCTGGTTACAATTCTCAAATATGGCACAAGTCAGCCTTTAGCACAGCCAGCCAAGCTAGAATGGTTCTGTGTTGTCCTCAAGGCCTGGGATCAGATTCTCTGCCATAGGATCTTTGGTGTATCCCAGAAGTGTGCAAATAAAAGAGTGTGCCACATCCCAGCCCCCCACACAGCCAGAGCCTGGAAGCATTAACAAGAGCAGGGCACCGAGCCACCTCAGTTAGTCTCGTAGGAGGACAGAAGAGCAGCGTCAACTGGCTCCATGCAAGAAGGGCAGGTGAATGATCGCATCAGCCAGTCGTCAATGCAGTGAACGTGGTAGATGTGCAGGCAGGGCAAGAACCGGATGGGGTCTCCGTATACAAAATCCAGCATGCAGATCACACACCTGAAATCAGGCAGAGAGAAAAGGAAATGTTATTAAAGACACTAAGATGGCTTCTAAAACTTCTCTCTCGCATTCCCTGCCCAATTTGCCACCACGTGGTAAGTTCAGGTATCCCAATAAAGAACTACTATCTGGCAAGTCATCTAGTCTCACTATTCCATTCTTAACAGTGTCCAATACTGGTTGTGGTGCTGGAAAGCATGCAAGCCTGTTACACACAGAGCTTGAGGCTGAAGAGAACAATATTTAACTTTAAATATGATGCATGTTAATTTCACGTTGTGTTATATAGCTGGGGGAAAATATTGCTGTGTTGGAAAAATGATGGTGGGGAACTAACTTTTGCCTAAATTAACTTTTGTATGAAGTCTGAGGAATTGAGGCAAATTGGGGTCTGAATCTACTCAAGAGATCTCAAAGAACTCAAATATGAAGTTTCTGACTTAATAAGAATATGTACAGTGGTACCTCGGGTTAAGAACTTAATTTGTTCCAGAGGTCTGTTCTTAACCTGAAACTGTTCTTAACCTGAGGTACCACTTTAGCTAATGGGGCCTCCTGCTGCTGCCGCGCCGCCAGAGCACGATTTCTGGTCTCATCCTGAAGCAAAGTTCTTAACCCGAGGTATTATTTCTGGGTTAGCGGAGCCTGTAACCTGAAGCGTCTGTAACCCGAGGTACCACTCTATATTGTTCCAAAGATCAACCTCCACATCTGAAGACGAAAGTAGCCAATGTGACACTAATTTTTAAAATAGGATCCAGGGGGAATCCTAGAAAATACAGGCTGGTTAGCTTAACACCTGTCCTGAAAAAACTGCTAAAATGACCAAGCATATAGAAGTACAAACCTTACTAAAGCAGACAGAAAGTGGAGTCCCACAAGAATTAGTATTGGGACCTGTCCTTTTTTAAAAAAAAACAACAAGCTAGAGCAGATAAGCCTTTCCTTCAGGAGTGGAAGCCCTTCCAAACCTCCAAAGCCCATTCTACTTTTTAGCCATTTTCCCGACTCCCCAGCTTTTGAGATGTCTTCCTGCCTTTTTCTTCAAGTCCCCTTTCCAGTAGTTCAAGATCCTGCAATGTTGCCTAATGAGTTATTCAGTAATATAGTTGCTCCATTTGGAAAATAGATTCAAAGGACTTTTTTTTTTAAAGGGGTCAGTTGATACAAGAGTGTACAACAACATGCTATGGAAATAAGTACAATTTCCCATATGCTTTACAGACTACCACAATGGCCAGGTATAATTTTGTTTTAGGACAGCAAGTCATCATTTTTTAAAAGCAAGAATTGGACACTACAATATACCCATATTCCATTTTGGAAAGGGAATTGCTACACACTGTCAGTGGGATATAAAGGCTATATATGCATCTACTAGCAAATAGTCTCAGTGAACTGGATAAACACAAAGCATTACACATGGAAAACATACTCTTTGATTTTCTTTTCCGATGGCTCTGTGCCTGGATCAAATATTCCTTTGGGAAGATGTTGAATCAGCCCAATCCTCTGAGCTATACGGATCTGCTCCTCTTCTGTTAGTTGTGTGGCAAGACGTGCCTGGCTGGGTGTTGGGTGATATACTGGAATTGGTGCATGTTCCTAGAAATTCAGAAGACAGAGTGGCTGAGTGATTGTACTCTTGTAACCAGCCAGTAATCAAATGGAGATAAACCCACACTCAACATACAGCAATTCAGCCGTCAACTATTCTTTCTTCACAGACCCCTATATTACTCCAGTAGAGCTAGTTATTCAACATATTTCCACAGATGTGGCAAAACTAAATAACCCTGCAGGCTCCTACATTGACATACTTAACTTTTTGGCATATGCAAGCTGTAACTGTCAGATAATATCTACTCTGTAGTACACCAGATGGGCTAAATCATGGTGCTGTCATGTTTCTGATTGGGATTTTAGGTTTTTACAGGGGAGTGAGCCAGCAGTTGCTAACTAAACAGCAAATGCATCATTTGCAGATGCTTAAGAAGCCCTTCTGTCTGCTATGGACTCTGGTGTTGGGATCCTTGCAGAACTAATCAACTCACCATAAAACAATCAGATCCATCTCTTGCTCCTCTATTTTGGGATGTATCTAGACAAACATTTATTGTGAGACAGTGGTCCAATAATATACTGTTAGCTTGGAATGCCCATGCCCCCAATTGCTTTCATGCAGCAGAATGCCCTTGCTCCCAAGCCACTGCGTTTAAAATGAAGACATTTTAGCAAATTGCAAGTTGCCCCCATAGAGATGCATTAAATTACTGGTCTCTAAAGCAGATGATAATTGTTAGGAACACTGCCCCAATCAAGATTTGGGACACAAGAATTGCAGTGCTGGCTGAAATCAATAGTCTACCTAATTCAGCATTTTGTCTAAAAGTGGCCAGTCAAAAGCTAAAGAAGTTCAGAAGCAGAACATCCATTCTGTGTTGTTAGTAAACATTATCCAATCATCTGTGGTACACTCTTCTTAAATATGGAAGTTCCTCAGTGTATTTATCATTTGTTTATTTCCTTTAGAAAGCAATCTATAATATAATAGTGTAGGGATTTTTGTGTGTGTGAAGCAGGTTTTTCATTTGTCTAATCTGCTGCCTATATGTTTCAGGAGATAACCCAAAGAGTTTCTGAAATTAATGTGAATAAATTCCCCACACATTCTAACAGCCATCTTCCCAAGATCCACTCTGGCACTTTGAGATATGGAATCCTGATGTTTTGTTCTAGCCACCCTTTTAAACTAAGTTTGTGCTGCCTTTACCTTCCCCAGGTTTCAAACAGGATGAAACCACCAGAATTTCACTCAGTTTTTCCTAATTCTTCTGCCATAGACTGTCTGTCCCCACACTGGAGAATGCTACTCTGCAGGTATGGCAGCTTGCAAAAATGCCAGAGAAACATGCAGCTGCTCCACAATAAACCTCAGACATGGGAAAGCAAATATCAAAGGCACACAGGACAACTGTTGAAATGGACAAGACATAACAATCATGCGTGTTCTATCTCATTTTTCTGCAGAAAGAGATGGTGGTGTTATGAAATCTTACTCTGCGTTTCTGGTTACCACAGCCTGGAACTCAACATCTTCTAAAGATTTGTCAAGATGGGTGAAAGCACACCTAGCATAAGATAGCCTGGAGTCTAAACATTCATTTTCAACCAAGCCTATTTAGTAATTGATTGGTTATGTTCAGTACTGTACTGCTCATTGAGAGCCATTTCCCACATTAACCCAGGTTTGCCACCAAACATACAATTTGTGGGGCTGCAGTCAATCTTGGCCCACCGACAAACATACCTGTATGATGCCTGTACTTCAAAGCAGGTCCTGTCACATTTACATTCTACATTATAAGTTGTATACTTCATCATGTGGAGCAGTTCACAGCTCAACATGAATTTGGGTCTCCTCACTTCAGATCCACAGCTCATTCTTATAAATCACACCACACTATTTCTGCTCCCCAGTTCTTATCTTCTATAACTGACTCATGACTTTGAGTTCTTCGCCCTGAATGCCCACCACGACCCCAGCCCTAGTCACACAACTCATGTTTCCATAGCTTTTTGAGAGAACCTTGACCTATGACCTCAGACTCGCACACCACAGTCCAAAGGTTAAAGGGCAATACTAATGGCAGTGCAAAAATATTATCTTTCTGTGCTTGACACTGTTCTGTCTCCTGCTCAACCTTGTACATCCATTCCCAAGCCAATAATGGGCTTAACTCACCCCAGTAACATCTACTCTCTAGGTGACTGTAGGGCGAGAGGGCATCAAGCCCCATTCTTGTGTCTCCTTAGCATAACTGGATTAGGTCGGGGGTCTCTACCCTAATCTGTTATCCCAGTTTCTTTCTATAGCTACTGTTCCAGCTTACCCCGCCCTACTTACCCCAAGCCAAAGCCAATAGCCTACCCCTGCGCACCCCTCAAAATGCCACCCGAATTTCCTCGCCCCATATGTCGGCTTCCTACTCCCTTGCGTAGCAGAACCCCGTAGGCTACCCAGGGCTGGCCCCGACGCCCAGCACCGCAGTCGGCGAGGCCTGGGGGAACCCGCCCCACAGCCCCCCTTTCGCCCTCCGCCCCGCAACCCCCGACCCGCTACCTGGTAGGGGGGCGGCGGGACAGGGATGGGCGGTGGAGACGGATCCCCAGGCCCAAGGCTCGCCCCATCGCCGGTAGAGTCGTTGAGCAGCGACAGGTCATCGGCCGCCTGCGAGGAAAGACAGCCCCCCATGCTCGCCCGAGCCCGCCCGCTCGGGGCCGCTGCCGGGTCCGGCCCGGGCAACCTCCCTCCCCCAGCTCCGGAATGGGAGGGGGGCGCAGGGGAGGAGCGGCGTGTCGCAAGTCTTATCGGGAAATGTAGTTCTAAAGACTGGATCTCCGCGCTTGCGCAGTGTGAAGCAACCCGACCGCGGAAGTATAGGGCGTAACAGCGGAAAATAGATGGAAAGGTAAACTGGAATTCCGATAGGCAGCGATAAACAAAAGAAGCACCTTCAAACGGTATTACAGCGTAGCTTTAATTAAATCTGAACATTTCTATGCGCAGCAGAATAGTCCATAACTATTCATCTAATTACTAATTTTCATGTTTCGGTTGCGATGTCGGAAGTAAATAGCATAAAAAGGTAGACCAACCAACCGAGTTGTTCTTGAGTGCTCGGGCTGAGGATCACATCTGAACCAGGAGAATCTTACTTTAATATTACGTGTAAAGTTTAAACTGTCTAAATCCTGCTTGGTGCATTGATTTGTTCCGGATTAGGAGACCAGGGTTCAACGCCCCCTCCCCGCGAAGCCCACTGGGTGATCTTGGGCAACACACTGCCTTTCTGCCTACTCTATCCTACAGGATTGCTGTGAGGATTAAATGCGGGGGGTAGAGAACCGTATCTATCACCTTGAGTGCTTGAGAGGAAAAGCCGGATATGAAAATGCTACTTATATGACAGTGAATTTTTACTATGAGCCCTTGAGTTTTCTGTAATGTTCATCATAAGTTGTATCCAACACTGCTGTTCATTCATATAGACTTCCCATCCTCTCCAACTCTTCCCCTATCCTGCCATGTGCTCTCAAAATCTGCTCTGGTGGGTTTTCCAGAGCAGACTATGGGAGTAGCATGACCTTTGGCCTTTGACCATCTGTGGCCTTTTAAAAGTAGGTGGGAAGTATTTAATGTATTTTTCCTCTGGGTTTTAATGTATCTATATATAAAGGTAAAGGGACCCCTGAACGTTAGGTCCAGTTGTGGACTCTGGGGTTGTGGCACTCATCTTTCTTTACTGGCCGAGGGAGCCGGCGTACAGCTTCCGGGTCATGTGGCCAGCATGACTAAGCCGCTTCTGGCGAATGGTTATATAACCTGCAGTGCTCAGTGTGCGCAGATGAGCGACATGATTTGGTGTTTCTGTGCATGCACCAAAACCAGGAAGTAACCCGTTCTGATACTTCCAGGTACGGCACGGTCTGCAATCCAAACACGCAACCCACAGCGTTCGTAACCCTAGGTATGACTGTAGTCACTTTGGGTTGCCCTGGGAAAGATAGGGAGACTAACAAATATAATAATAATAATCCCATAATACAGAATCATCAACCTGATACATCTCTCCGTAGCAGCCCATGCATGGACAGTTACCTTGTCATGTACTGTACAAGAAACATATATGCAATAAAAGAGTGCCATACATGTGACAATCGAACAGCCTAGCCCTAAGCATTGTCACATCTTATACAAACAAGATTATAATGTTTAGTTATAAATAATAGTTTATAATGAAGCTGTCGGCAAATGTGACAGCCTGGTAGCCTATTTGGAAGCAAGGGTTTGCCCCCTGAAGCATGGGCGTAGCCAAGGGGGGGCAGGGAGGGGCGGCTGCCCCCACAAATCAATAAAAATACATAGCTGAAGTTCTCCCCCCTCTAACAAAAATCCTGGCTACGCCGGTGCCCTGAAGCCCCCTACCACGGGGTTTGCCCATCTTTGAGCAGGCGGCCATGATCTGTTGCTTGCACGGGGCTGCTGCCCGTGTGGTTTGTTTGATCGCTCCCAACTCTGTAATCTTTTTACGTTTCTCTGCCAACATTATTTGAAGATAGCACTGCATATGCTCCGTAGAACGTAATGGGCACGCCTCCGCCCCCTCCTCCAGAAATATGCATCCACGAGACTCCAGAAGCGCCCCCTCTTGTCTTATACCGACAAAAGGCGGCGCCACCCCGCCCGGCTCGGAGTCCGGGTCAGGCTAGACGCGCCAGCCCGGCCACGTGGGCGGGGACAGCCTCCCTAGCCCAACGGCCGCTTGAACTCCTTTTTCCCTTCGGTGACACCGCCTGCTACACTGAGCACGGAAAGGCGCCCCGTGGCTCTTGGAAAAAGAACGGTTTGCTTGCGTTTTTAGGTAGACGCGAAGCTATTAGTTTTTTTTCCCCAGCCAACGGAAGTTTGCACCGGAAGAAAAACTTTAAAAACAAGCGAAACGCAATCTCTTCGGGGTGACAACGTGCAGCTGGGCGACAGAATCAAGCCTCCCGCCGTCTGGCTTTGTAGCGCTTCATCAGCGGCCAAGTTAGGTTGCGCGACATGACGTCAGCCACCTGCCTCAAGGCGCCGCGCTTCCATCCGGACTAGTGGACGGAGGGAGGAGAGGGCGTGGCTACCGCCCTTTCTCCCGAGCCACGTGACGTGCTTGCTTTGCCCTCGTCTATAGACGTGCGCGAGCGGGTCCTCTGCTCCTCCCCTTTTTCTTTTCTTTTTTTCCTGTTGGTCTTAGTCACGTGAGCGGCAGAGACGGCGGCCGGCCCGGCTCATCGCCCGCGTGTCGCGTTCGTCTTGCCGCCCCCACCTTCTTCTTCCCTCCTTCGGCGCCGAAGCCGCGGCCTGAACCTGGGCACGCGGGAACCGGGCAGGTACAGCGCCGGGGTTCCCTGGGCGCGCGTGGGAAGCTCGGTGGTTGGGGCGCGCCGTGAGCGGGCGTGTGAGGGGATGGCGCGAGGCTCCCCCGGCTTCGGCCTAGGCAGGGATTTCGCGAAGGCGAAGCCTTCAAGGAGCCGGGCTTGGGCGGGGGGCTGGCTGGCTGGCGGGGGTTAGGTCGCCCAGCGGCTGAGGAGGCAGGGCGGGAGTGGGGCGGAATCTGAAACGGCCCGGTCGTGGGCGGCGAGGCGGGCGGGGGGGGGACCGAGTTGGCCGGGCCTGATCTGATTGGGGCGAGACGTTGCCGGCTAAGCTGCTGGGCTGCTCCGGCCCAACATGGCTTTGAGGGAGGGGCGTGAGGGCTTCCGCGGTGGTCAGCGGGGCCCTGGGCAGCTGCGCTTCTCACGCTTCCTCTGTGTGGGAGGTGGTGCTGCAGAGCCCAAGGCGGGAGCCGGGAGAGCCTCGCCGAAGAACTGTTCGCCCGGCACACGCTTAAACAGAAAGAGCCCCGGCGGACCAGATCAAAGGTCCCTCCAGTCCAGAGCCTTGTTTCTAAAAGCGACTAGAAAGCTCAAACCATCCATCAACCATCCATCTCCCATTATACGTTTCGTCCCCACCCAGAAGGCAGCTGGTACTTAAAAGCACACAGCCTCTTAAGCATGGGCGGGGAGGCCTTCCGTTTGGTGATTAGAAACTGTTGGTTGATCTGTCACCTCTAATATTTACATCTCTGAGATGACGGAAGATAAGGTTAAAATCTGGAATTGGAATAGATGTGCGGGAGAGTCCCGCATTTTGGCTCGGCTCTTGTTGGCTCTCGCCTGATACCTTGTACAGTACTCCATTTCCTTGCTGTAAGCACGTGTTTCCCCAACTATGTGGAGTCTTTGCACGGTCCTCTTTCATGCCCTCATTCTGAAGTATTAAGAGTATGTCCAGTCCCAATGTAATGGAAGCAAAATAGCCCTGCTTGTTGATCATAACTGTTCACTCCTTCAAAAATCAAAATTGGAATAGAGCGGAGTGAAAAGCTTACAAAATGATTTGTATGTATGAGCGGGTAGTTTCTGGGTATCAACTGGATTTTTTTAAAGGGAGGTGAGTACTCTCACACTTGAGTGTAATAGCTGTGGAGCACTCAACCTCTAATACATTTTGAAGAGTCACGAACGCACAGTTATAGGTATTGGATTGTGCAGTGTTGTGTCAGAGGCCTTATTAAGTGGATGCTTGTGGAAGCTGTGCAGTTACATTTCATGTGGAAATTAAAACAATAATAGGTGATCTATATGAGGAAAAACATTTTGCTTGATACAAAATAGCATATTTACACCTTAGAAAATGTGTCTTAGAAGCAGAACATTGCCGGAAGTTGTCAGAATTGCATGCAACAAATGGGTAACAACTAGGCATTATATACTGTATACATGGGTGATTACTAATATCAAACAAAGTCATCCCTCACATCAACATCCTTTGCTATCTTTAGGTATAATATCTTTCATTTATTTCAGTGAAACCTGTCTACTATATATTGCCATAGGGGAGAGCCTTGAGCAAGTTCCTCCCATGTTCTATGGATGCTCTCTGATGAGTCATACATAGATCTTGACTATGCTGCCAAAAATGGGTTTTCTAGCACTTTCTAAGGACCTTGCTCTGTTGCATATCTTTTTTGGTAAAACTTATTTTTAGATGTTTTCATTTATATTGTCTTAAGCACAGTGTTCAAAACTCCCATTGTTCTAGGCGCCTTTTGCGACAGGGAATTTCATTAGTGTAAGCAGTTGCTAAGCTCTGGGTGCAGTACTGTGCCTAAGGTTTCAGATTAAAACTTCAGAGTGGAAGGAAAGGAAGACCTTTTTCTGCTTCCCCACTTCCAGCTACTCTCTGAAGATTGGAGGATCAGACCATGTGAAATATTTTAGCTGCAGTTCATTTATTTTCAGCTTTGTATTGTTATAAAAAGTGTGCCCAGACATTCCATTTTTGCGCCCATATCCTAGGTTTAACCTGCCATAATATATCAGTTTCTAACACTGCTTAAGCGGTCACATTTGTGCTTGTGGAGAAGTATAGCAACTTATGCATGTGAAGTCCAGGTGCAATATTATATAGTGGACAGGTTTTTCTGGTACATGGGAAATCACTCCATCTATGATGTTTGTGCAAATCACTGTCTCTCCATCTTGCCCACCTCACAGAGTTATGGATCTAAATGAATCCTGTCTTTTGTGGGCCTCAAATACCAATTTGCCATCTGGCTTGTACAAATATAAGCAAGCACTGGCTGATTATCTAGGTTACCTGAATTTTGATTGCAAGTGAAGGTGCTCTCAGATGTGTACAACATGTAGTTTTGCTTCTTAGTTTGGTGATGTTTGCAGTCATAAGACAATGAGTTGAAGTGTAGCTCTGCTGTCATGCTAATATACTATATTATTCTTTATCATTCTACAGATAGGCAGCTTCCCATCATGGACTGGCAGCCAGATGAACAGGGCCTCCAGCAAGTGCTTCAGTTACTCAAAGACTCTCAGTCTCCAAACACAGCAACACAGCGTATTGTTCAAGATGTATCCTTGAATAATCAAAGTTGCCATAGAAAGTGGCATAAGAGAAAACATTTCTCATGAACTGCAAAGGGAGCAGGAAACAATAAGCCATGTTATATCTAGTAAAACAATCAGAAGTAAATTGTGAGATAAACAAATGTTATAGAATAGTCTATCCTTAAATTAAATTAAATGTTTGGGAATGCGAGCAGGAACAGGTGCATTAGTCTTGGAAACTATATTGGGTCAGTATTGTATGAGAAAAGAAGAGCCCAACATTTTTAGCATAAGAACATTTGAAAAATCAGTAAAATCATTATGTATAGAGTCTTGAAAACCCTTTATTAGTAATAAATTTTAAGAATTGATTCTTTAACAAATGTTACAGAAACTGAAGCAGCTGAACCAGTTTCCTGATTTCAATAACTACTTGATATTTGTATTGACACGACTGAAATCTGAGGGTATGTTGGTTACATCTGTCACGATGAAAGTTTGAGAAAAACGTCGTGGTATCTTGCCTTTATTGTATAATATCAAGGATTTAACTGCTAATTTAGAATTATGGCAGAATAATGTATTTGCTTGATTGATACCTGTTTTGCTTCAGAAAGTACTATCTGGTGTAGAGGTTGGAAAGGGTTCCCTTTCCCTTTGGTGCTGAACTAGTAATTGTTTTTGTTCTCTGTTCTGCCTTGCTATGAAAAGTGAGTCAAATTCTAGCAAGGAATTCAACTGTCAGAATTTTGCCAGACATTGATAATCTTCATCTTTTTTTACAGTGGAGATTATACTGCTTTCTTTTGGTGGGAGGGGGTGCAGAAAGAATGTAAGGATTAATACATAAGTTTGGTTTTGGGTGTCTGTGTGTGTGTATATTTATAATGAAAGGGTCTGCACAGGAGGGTAGGAATGCAAGCCCATTGTAAACACACAGATGACCAGTAAGGGACCTTGTAGAATAGATAAAGATAAAGGTGCTCTGTTTCTATGGTGACCAGAGGTGTCCAGTTTTTAACTGCTTTTTAGCCATGCCCAAAGAAATGAAATTATTTGGATCACTACTTATCCTGTGCTCTGTAAGCTCCTGTCAGTCAGCTGATAGATAGGATTGTGCACAAGGCTTTGTAGGTACTTTGGATGAGCTGATGGGCGGTGCCTGCAAGTCACCTTTTGGCCCAGCTGTGTCTTCCTGCCCAACACCTGATGTGGCTTGGCGAAGGTGACCTCTTGGGCCAAATGGTGAAGGCCTAAATAGGCCTATGGGCCGGAGTCTCCCCACTGCTGGATTTTAGGAGGAACAGGTCCTACAGAAGCATCCCATTGCAACTCACTTTGGCAAGGGGGATATAAGAGCGCTACTGGGAGTGTGTCTGAATAGAAATAGCATACCTGCAGCATATCCAGGTGTCAACAAATGAGGATCATAAAAATTTGATTGCAGCAAAGTAGAGCATTATTTGTATTCATATACAGTTCTAAAAATGCTAAGGAACCACAGTATGTAGAATGAAAAAAATGCATAACGCTTGTTAAGTTAATGAGTAAAATCCTATCAAATGATTGCATTACTGTTTCAGTTCATGATTATCGAGGAATATCTAGTGATCCTCATTTCCCCCCTGCATCTCTGCTTAGGTCACCATTATTACTGTGGGGTTGTTGGTTTTTGTACCTTCCTGTGTACAGTATATTGGGTCTTAGAGAATTAATTTCTTTTCTCCAAAATCTTTCTCAACAGATGAGCCAACTCGTTCTCTGAGTGGTCTGATCCTGAAAAATAATGTGAAGGCTCATTACCAGAGCTTCCCCCAACCTGTTGCTGAGTTCATTAAGCAAGAATGTCTTAACAACATAGGGGATGCTTCCTCTCTTATTAGAGCTACCATTGGTGAGTACTGGAGAAAGGGTGGCAGGGATTGGGGGAAGCATGTGTTTGTGTTTTTTCAAGGAAGTTGAAAGTGTATTCTTGAGTAGTGTTTGTATTCTTACACTGGGCAAAGCATTTGCAGGGTGGGAAGAGAGTTACGTTAGTGTTTTCAGTGCTGTTTGTATTCTCAATGAGAGATAAGTCTCTAAATAGCAGATGCTGCTTTTACTTGCAGTTAATTCAAGTAAGTGAGTGGGAATTTTACTAACTTTTTGTGTAGGTGCATATATAAATAGTAGATGATGCTCATGAACATGGTGAAGCGAGCTGAGTGCAGAAGTGGGAAGGTTGACATAGGACTATGATATTAAGGTCGTGTGTGGGTGAAGGATGTCTGTCTCGTGGCAAATATGCTTGTGTAAGCTGCAAAATATTCTCTTTTCCCCTGTTTCTTGGCTTCCTCAAACCAAATAAGCAAAATATTCATGCTTGTAGGAAGGATATGCACAATTAATTTTTGAATTACTTAGAGATACCAACTGTTGCTGGCTTTCTAAGATTGATAGGTGTCAGTGAGTTCAGCACTCCTGGCAACTCCAATGCATGGGGCAAGGAGGGCAAGCCAAATGCTTTCACTCTACTGCAGGAGACCTCAGAGCAGTTCACGGATCAGCTCAAAGTATTCTAGAGGCAGCTTTCAGTTCAAAGGCCAGATACCATAGATGACTGATTGGTAGAAGCATCTCATAGAGCCTTGGTTTGGATCATAGTTTCGGTCAGAAGTATTAAATTCTGTTGCTTTTGAAAGTTCAAGGGAGAGTTGGTTGGTACAAGAAGTTAAACTGGGCTTGTGATGTGATATTGAACTGCAGCCTGTTCTTTCTCTTGGTAGGTATTCTTATTACCACCATTGCTTCCAAAGGGGAGCTGCAGATGTGGCCAGAACTTCTGCCCCAACTTTGCAACCTGCTCAACTCTGAGGACTACAATACATGTGAAGTGAGTTTAATTGCAGTAGGTTAATAATTGATAATAGGCAACAAGATTGTGTAAGTAATTACTTTTTTAGCATGACTGGCTGTAGCACAGCAATCTTGTACCACAACTTACTAATGTAATTTGCATCCCAATCCTATGCATGTCTACTCTGATGTAAGTCTTGTAGAGTCACAGGTAAGGGACTGCTACTCTGTTGGTTCTCCTGAATCTCTCAGCAGCTTTCAGTACTGTTGACCATGGTATCCTTCTGGATCATTTCTCAGGGTTAGGCTTAAGAGACAGTTTTACAGTGGTTCTCATCCTTTCTGGAGGTATAGTTCCAGAAGGTGGTCCTGGAGAACTTCTGCTGTACCCCATGGCTGTTGGTTTAAGGGTCCATTTTGTCCCACTTCAGCTTGACACCTACATGAAATTGTTGGAGGAGGTCCTCTGGGGTGGCTGAGGGTGAACAAAGCTCAGGCTAAATCCAGATAAGACAGAGGTACCGTAGGTAGGGCGGTTCTCCAGAAGGTGGTTTACAACTGGTTCTTGATGGAGTTGCATTGCTAAGTGTGCAGGTTGAGCACTGTCGTGGCCTTAGCCCTGGCTGGGAAAGCTCAGGTGGCAGTGGTGTCCAGGAATATGCTTTACCAGCTAGACTGGTATGCCAGCTTGCAGTTCTAGCTGGACAGACATGGCTGACTTATTCATGCTCTAGTCATATCTGGGTTTGACTGCTGCCATGTTTGTGAAGATGTCATTAAAGCCTATTCAGAAACTTCAGCTGGTCCAGAATGTGACTGACTGAGTTCTGTTAAGAGCTGGGCGATTGGCTCACAAAACACCATTACTGTACCAGCAGTACTGGTTACTGATGCATTTCCGAGCCCAGTTAAAGTGCTGGTTATATCCTTTATGTTGATTACAACCATTAAACAGAAGTACAAAATATAAAGTAGTACAAAATTAATATAGTAGAACCAATTATGCGTTATTAAAACTGACAAGCTAAGAACTAACCATCTTTACAAATCTAAGAAATATTACATTCAGATATATTGCCAGCTGTTCAGTAATTGATTTATTAGACCATTTAAAGAAGATTCTCAAAAGGGTCCATAAGATCGACTAGGAAACTGTCTCTTAAGGAGCTAAATTATGCTTTCGATAACCCCTTGATAACATTTATAGTAGAAGAACCCATGATAGACTGTTTCCAAAGGACTGAACCTATCCTTCAAGGGACTATTGGCAAATCTCATGCCTAGGATCTTAAGAGGGTAAACAGTGCCAGCAAAACTGTTCTTCTGTATTTTGATAGTTAGAAAGTTTAGGTAAGGAGTTGTGATCAGTGTTTGAAATTCACCAGGCGCCAGGGACATTTTGTACCTGGCTGTTGGCCACTTGCATCCAAGTGAAGATGCCCAGGTGGCACCTGATGTTTCCACCATCTGGAGGTGCATGTCTGGGGATCGGATCCTTGGATCTTGACTGTTTTCACACACTAGCAACACGTTCTGTAGAATTCTATTTGTTTATTCCATCTGCACAATCAGAATGAATTTCAGGAACCAAAAAGTGATATTTAAAAATATGGCTTTGAAGCTGTCTGACCCCCAAATGGCAACTAATCCTGGTTTAAGGAGCCATTTGACACCTAGCTTAAATATCTGAGTTTCTAACACTGGTTGTGATCTTTAAAACCTTAAATGGTTTGTATCCCATATATTTGAAAGTCTGCCTACACCTGTACCAACCTTCTCACTATTTGAGTTCAACAGTGGAGGCCCTTCTTGTTTGCCCCACACCAATAATAATTACATTGGTTAGTATGAGAGAGCGACAGAGAGCACATTTTCCATTGTAGCCCCACAGCTTTGGAATCTTTTCCAGTTGGGTTCCACCAGACTATTAACACTGTGCAGACCTTTTGGAAAGATCTGAAAACCTGCCCCTTTTCAGTGGCTTTTAGTTGAAAGAGTTTTATTGAGTTTTGCTACTGTGTTGGCTGTTGGTTTTGTTGGTTACTGGGTTGTTTTAATATATAATTATATATTAGTGTTTATGTTAGTGTTTCTATTGGAAGCCTCCTTCCAATAGAAGGAGCTTTTACTCTTTTGAGAAAGAGAGTTTACTCTTGAAGGAGGTATGTTAATATAGTAATAAAGTGAAATTATATGTGTGTGTGTGTGTGTAGGAACATATCCTTAAAAGGTTAAATGTGAATTTTAAGACTGTTTTTTATTAAATAAAACAGTTTATTACTAGGTGGCTATTCACCTAGCCTGACAGAGATGTAATTTTCATATGACATAAGTGTTCTTTCTGTATGCAATGGCATCCAAATAGCACTGCTACTCCACTGTTAGTGTCATGGACCAATTTTTCATTAACCCAGTAAGAACCCTGAATTAATCTGGGTGGATAAGGTAGGGTGTATGAAAAGGGAGCAATTTGGAGCTGTGTTCTAAGGGTGAGGTCAGAGATTATTAATCTAAAGCCATTTTCCTTTTCAACTTGAAGTTCCCCACCCTGTTCCAGGAATATTCTAGCCCCCAGCCAAACCTGCCACCATCATTTTTTCTTCAGATAGGCTTTTTCTCTTTAAAAACAATCCTATTGCTACATCTCTTGTAGCATCCCTAGCTATTTAGGCAATTAGTTGGCATATATCAGACTGTTGCGTAGGAAGTCTGGCTGAGGGTAGGAGGACAACACGTTCTTTCAAATTGGCAGTCTGTCACTTAGATGGTTTTCCTTTGGCGTAGACCTCAAAATGAATGTAGCTCATGCCAGAAGAGCAATTTGAGCAATGAAAGTCTAGCTATCATTGTCGGATTTAAATGCTCAGCTGCACTTTGCCTGTTTCCTAACCTCACATATTTGGTGGCAACTATTTCTATGTTCTCTAGGGAGCTTTTGGTGCCTTACAGAAGATCTGTGAAGATTCTGCTGAGCTCCTGGACAGTGATGCTCTCAACCGGCCTCTTAATGTTATGATTCCAAAGTTCCTCCAGTTTTTCAAGCACTGCAGCCCCAAGATTAGGTATGTAGCTGCTGTGCTACTGATTCTTGTTCTGTGCTCCAAAACCTGAGAAGGATGTGCTCTTGTTGAATATTGCACATGTGGTGGAGTTGCCCTCCTTATCCAGGCAGCATCGGAAGTAAAGAATGGTTTGACAGACTTGGCCAAATTGCAAAATTGTCATGTAAAGGAAGGTTTATTGTAAAGTGGCATCCTTTACTTTTGGAAGTGTGATTGTTACACTGATAGCTGTATACTGTATATAACGTAATTGTTATTGTAAATCACTTGTAGCTGAGTAAGATAGTAATAATAAAACATAACTGACCAAAAACCCCACAAACAAATCATTGACTAAGCAGCATAATGGCTTAGTTCAGACATGTATCAAATAGGCCATGATTTATTAGACTTTGGGGCCCAGTGCTTGTCCCCACATCCTCCTTCCTCTATCGCACCTTCTTCCTTTCTTGGATCAGAATATTTGCAGGGTTAATTAAACCACAGTTTCCAGTTATAACTGAATCTCTGCCTGTAAACCAAAATATGAAGGCCTAATCTGATGTTGGTTTCATGTCCTGATTTGTAATTGATTAAACTGCACTTTTCATGTTCAGATGTAATTGGAAACTGGCTTAATAAACCCTGGGAGTATTGAATTCCAGAGTGATGGGGAGGAAGCATGTGGGCACAAGGCTCATTCTTGGCCAGATAGATAGATAAATATGTCCTAATCAGTCCTGTGTCTCCAGTAATTCAGTTCCAATTAGAGATGGAAATGTAAAAGGCAATAAAATGTTGCCTATTCTGCCAACCCATTATTTGAGGTCTGTGGGAAAAGCCCTGTTGCTGGTCCCACCAGTGAATCTGGCCAGTGGAATGGCGACTTGTGAAAGGATCTTTTTCATAGCAGTGCACCAATTGTGTAACTACTTCTATGGACAAGTGCATCTGTCCCATGCATTGTTGGCATTTAAATGCAGACTAAAGTTATATATATTGCTCAGGCCCTTGGCACATGAATGCCTACTGCAATCTCGGTTGCTGGCTTCTGCATTTGATTTTTAATGAGGTGTTGTATATGTTATTTTAAGTCAGAAATTAAAATTGACATAAATGTTGATTTTTGGCTTGTTTACATTGCAAAACTGTTCCTTGGTACCCAGAAAAAACTGCAATTAAGCTAACAGAATGCATTGATGTTCACTTATTGGAGGTAAGTAGTAATTGCTTGGTCAAGTGGTTTCAGCTGTCTTTACTGTCTCTTTAGGTCCCATGCCATTGCATGTGTCAACCAGTTCATCATGGAAAGGGCCCAGGCCTTGATGGATAACATAGACACCTTCATTGAGGTGAGATGGATTTCTCTTGTCCAGTTGTGGTTATTGAAAGCTGAAGCATCACAGTCCATGACTATTTATTAGGCACAGAGTTCTGGGACTTAATACCTGTAAGGGATGCTCTTGATGTTAGCTGGTCTATCAAGAAATTCTTGAATGTTTGCCACTGACCTCTGTGCATTTATAGATCCTGCATAATGTTCTAGGGTATACACGAGTTCACCCATTGCCCCTGCCAGACCCCTTTGGCCTCATTGTTGCCCTATGCAAACAAAGTGCTTTACTGAAAGTGCTCCCCTGTTGCTGCATAGTGGCAGGGAAAGTTAACAGGAGCAGTTGAGCAGTTTTTCAGAGAAATGTATCCATAATTTGTTGATCTACCTCCTTGAGGAAACACCTAATATGGTCCTAGAAATTCCTGAATTCCCCAGATCACCGTTTGTGTTAGCCTAGCACAATGACTTTGAATCTTCTCAACTGTTTGTTCATTTTATTTTTTTAGGCCAGTTTTTCCTCTCAGCCCTCGTAATATCTGCATTTTGCCTCCTTTTGTAAATGTAGGGAGTGCCAGATCTTAAAGCTTTTGTCCACTTCTTAATACGATCTTTTTAAAAAAAAGGAAGATAAGGATTTTTAACACTTGCATCCTAAGCTTTCCCGTGTCTCAGTGACTTCTTTCTACTGCAGTAACATATCCATGGCCAGAGGCAGCCTTAGGAAATACAGGCTCCAGTACAGAGAGAAAGGTATTTGGTTCTTAACACCAACATACTCCTTTGCTTCAGGCCTAGTTAAACATAGTATGGCCCTAGCTATGCTTCCTGAGACCAATGTTTCTGTTGTATTGTGCTACCTCTGCACTTGCAAATGTGCAGGCAGTGTCTGTAAAAACCTCAAAATGTTCATAGGCTAGAACATATAGTTGGTCCTCTCTACTTTGTATGCTTTTTGGTTGTGTTCCTCTTATATGCACCAATTGTCTACTACGTAACTGTGTGTCATTTTGTTACCACACCTCCACTTGCCAAAAATACTAAGCTTGCAGAGAACTTAAGAGTTCACATACAAAATAAGCACATTTGTGTTTCTATTGGCACAAGAGCCCTGAGCATAATGCTTCTCTGCTGTCTGGCCAAGTTGCAGCAAGTCTAGAAGAACCATCTCTGTGTTGGAAGGCACAGGTTTGGGCCAGTTGAAGGCGATGGTGTTTGATTCTTAGCCAAATTCTTTTGAATGTGTGAATGTTAACTCTGCCTGCTCTTGGCAGCACCTGTTTGCTCTGGCAGTAGATGAAGATCCTGAGGTTCGAAAGAATGTTTGCCGAGCACTGGTGATGCTGCTAGAGGTGCGGATTGATCGACTGATCCCTCACATGCATAGTATCATCCAGGTAAGTGCCTTTTTTCTACGGAGTAAGTCCTCTTAAAATGCTGCCTTGCCTTTGTTTGTTTCAGCCACTAGGACTCTAAATGATATATCTAGAAGTGCCACCAGGTCTGCCTGAAGGTGATGGGAGCTGATTGGGGATTTCATCTCTTGATAGCATTCCATGTTAGTGGATCAATACTGTGACTGAGTAGGCATAATTATGCCACTTGTTCGGTGGCGGGTTTACTTCATTGATTGATGCCGCTGACCTGGCAGGTCACAGCAAAATGCTGCTGTATTTTGAGGGTAAACATCATCATTCTATGAGACAGATGCAGCAAAGGCAGTAGCTGTCTCTGAGCCAAAGTTACATGTTGGTCCTCTTGTTTCCTTCCAGTACATGTTGCAGAGGACCCAGGATAGTGATGAGAATGTGGCACTGGAAGCGTGTGAATTCTGGTTGACCCTGGCTGAACAACCCATCTGCAAGGAGGTGCTCTCTTCACACCTGGTGCAGTGAGTAGCTTTGCCTCTGCAGTACTAGCATTCTAAGTTGCATGTTATGAAGCCCAGTTTTACTTTGCTTCCTGGTTGACTTAAGTCATGGCTAGGGGCTGCCACCCCGTTTGCTCCATTCACCAACCCTTTTGTTGATCCTCCACCAATCCAATTCCTCCTTTCCTTCAAACCTGACCAATCTCCATCCCTTTAAACCTCACCCATCCCCTGAGCCCCACCCCCTTTTAAGGGAAGGGGAGATGCTTTAGAAAACTATTCTGAAGCACCTTCCCCACTTCGTTAAATAGCTAGCCTGGGCCACCTGCCACCCATGCTGCTGTTCTTTCACCATGCTGGCTGCCATGCAAAATGCAGCATGACTGCAGCCTTACATTTTTATGTATATTGTACCTTTGTACTTGTATATCGTACATTTTTATGTACAATAGGGCAGTGAGACTCCTGGATATCTTAGATTTACTAGATTTGAAGGGGCTTGGGCATCTGCATGTCCATTCTCCCTGCAAATGGTATTATTGCATGTTTCTTCGGCTGTAACTTTGTGCAAAAACAAATTAAAGCAAAAGCTGGCATGTTGCTAAGCTAGTTTTCCTCAGCTTAGCTTTATCTTTACTTTCATATTTTAAGCATATATGCTTATGGTCTATCTAGTGAATCTAGTACAGGGCTCTTCCAAGTTAGAGGTGTGGAGCCCTTCAACATTCCTTCAATTCTGTTTTTTTCTGCAGTTCATCATTACTGCAAAGTTGGGGAGAATTGCCAGATACGTGCAGTATGACTGAGCATTCGGAGCTGGGACAGAAAGGGATTTTTTAAATGGAAGAGTTCAAGGGAAAGGTGGCTGCTATAGAGTTGCTGTGCATACTTGTTGCTTGCCCAGAGTACCTGTTTCTCTTTCCAACTTGGCAGCAGAGAATAGCATTTTGTGCTAGCCACAACCTTGTGAGCGTGGGATTGCATGGATTATATAAATTACTGTTGGGCTTTTCTGTCTGGCAGTAGTGGCACTTACACTAAGCAGTGTGTAAACGCTTGCTTGCTGCAAGAAAATCTGTGTTGTAGGGGGCATTATCTGAACAGTCAGAAGCTACTGAAATGCCCTCCCCCCCATGTGCACAAAGACATTACTGCTCCTATTTGGCAATGATTAACTTCAGCACCTACTGTGGTCTATGTCATTCTTGCCCCAGGACCCAGTTGGTGAATCACTTTTTCTGCTCCTTCTCCTTAACAGATTGATTCCGATTTTGGTGAATGGAATGAAGTATTCTGAAATTGACATCATATTGTTAAAGGTATTTGTTTCCAACTTAGGATTTAATACAATATGTATTTCCACCTTCTTCTGGGTTTTACATTCCTCAGTCACAACTTGTTTACTGAGCATAACAAATGAAAAGGATTCTGTGTTGTAACATCTAGAATCTCATTCATCCTTACCCCACTCTTGCTGCTGACCATCCTTACAGGAACAGTGCATAGCAGTATGGTTGGCAAATCTTCCGCAACAATGAAACTTTGCCCTTTCAGTTCTGATAGTTGAGGACCCTCATTCCGTAAGGCTGTAAATTATTCCTTGTCCTATTCCTAAAATTGAGCATACTGGGTGACTGTCAATCCCCTTCTTATGTAGTTGGCATTTTAAATGTACTAGTTCTGTTCTACTGAAGCTGGGTCTGTGGTGCTGGGGGCTTTCACAGGAACTCCTGCAAGTTCCATCATGACCCGCACCTATATGCTGACTGAATAACCATGTCTTTATAAGAAAAGTTCTTCCTAAGATTAGACTAGGGTTATGGGCTTGATCAGCTGAGTTAAAACACTTTTTCTGAGTTTCTTGGCTGCAAAAACCCCCTGGTGACTTTAACTGTTTTGCCCCATTTAATGTAAGTCAGGGCCAGTCTCACTTTTCAAGCGAAATTCATACATGCTTGCACCCTCCCAAGTCAGTGGCCAAGCACATGCATTCTTGGAAATGATGCATAACCTACAGTCTGACAACTGTGATGGGTTGTTGTATTCGTCCTGTCTGATCCATGGATGCATGATGTGAAGAGTCCCAAGAAGACTGGAGGGTTACCGTTCTTTGCCAGGGTTTATTTCGGCATTAAGTAACAATCTATCCCACCAAGAACAAAAAATATTGTACTGTTTTGCAAGAGCTCATTTCCCTGGCAGACGAGACTCCGTATTAAATGGGCTTCCATGTGCTCTCCCTACTCAATTTCAGGGTGATGTGGAAGAGGATGAAGCCATCCCTGACAGTGAGCAGGATATCAAGCCTCGTTTCCACAAATCACGCACGGTTACCCTGCAGCATGAGGAGGAACGGCTACAGGATGATGAAGATGGAGAGGATGAGGATGACGACGATGACACGCTATCTGACTGGAATCTGAGTGAGTAGGGGAAGAGTTGTGCAGTGCTTTTGAGATGGGAAAGTGCCACCTATGAGGGTGCCAGGAGCTAGTAGAGTGGAGCACTGGGCACTTAACTGACGATACCATTCCTTTTCATTTGTGATAGTATGGGGCAAATGCCTCTGAATACCAATTGCTGGGAATCGCAGGTGGGCAAAGTATTGTGCTTATGTCCTGCTTGTAGACTGTCCTCAAGCATCTGGTTGGCCACTGTGAGAACAGGATGTTGGACAAGATGGGCCATTGGCCTGATACTCTAGACTCTTTTGTGGGAAGAAGATACACACCGAAGGAGCTTATTCAATGGTCCAATTTTATTTCTTGTTAAAAAGATAGTTCTTGTTTAATAGAGTTGCTGGAGTTGCACAGCCTGGGGTTTTCTTACCCCTAAAAGATACTTTCTGCCTTGCATGTTTATCCTAAAGCAAGTGCTTTTTTCCTGCTTGTCTCTTCCTTAAAAGACTCTTTGTTCCCACAGAGTTTACTCTGTGCAATGCATAGGGAGTCACTTTATGCTGGAGAGCGGGCTCAAATAGCAGCCAAGGCTCCACACACCAGATTTGTCAGTCATCTCTGCCTTATGACCATCTGTAGCATAAGGAGGAAGGAAATCCAGCTGGGAGCTCCTGAGTGGAACCAATTGTGCCCCAAAGCAGTGAGGCTTATATCCAGCCCCAAACATAAACAGTGCAAGTTCAGAAATGCAAAGGAACAATAAGGCACAAATTTGGAGACCTTATGGGCCTAATTTGGCTCATGGGCCAGAGCTTTCGCACTGGTGCTCTGTAAAGATTCTACCACATAGCCCCATGTCTCCTACAGGAAAATGCTCTGCTGCCGCCCTTGATGTCTTGGCCAATGTCTTCAGAGATGAGCTCCTCCCACACCTGCTCCCGCTGCTCAAGGGGCTACTTTTCCACCCCGAGTGGGTCATCAAGGAGTCGGGAATCCTTGTTCTAGGTGCCATTGCTGAAGGTGAGTTCTATAATTGTATCACTTAAACTAGGGGTTTGCATTTGCAAGAAGGGAAAGGCATTGGCACCAACTTCATGTGAACAAGAATTTGGCAGCCCTCTGATATGCCTAGAAAGTATGCTGAACGTATTTTCTTGCATTTCTAGGCTGCATGCAGGGCATGGTTCCCTACCTCCCTGAACTGATTCCCCACTTGATCCAATGTCTCTCTGACAAGAAGGCCCTAGTGCGCTCCATTGCCTGCTGGACCCTGAGCCGTTATGCCCACTGGGTTGTGAGCCAACCCCCAGACATGTATCTCAAGCCTCTGATGACAGAGCTGCTCAAGCGGATTCTTGACAGCAACAAGAGAGTACAAGAGGCTGCTTGCAGGTAACCCGTTCATGGCATCACTTCACTTGATGCACATTTGAACAAGTGTGTTTATCAAAACAGTGTAAGCTCAGAGGGCCTGAATATACTTCTCTTCTGATGGTTCCTTGTAATCTATAGCCATTTCTGCTTGAATGTAGAAGTGTTTCCCAGGATGCTTTTGCAGAGTCTTGGTCCATTATGGTTAAGCATTTGAGTTGGGCAAAACCAAACACAGAAGCTATGACTATCTAGATCAGGTATAAGGTGCAAAAATTTAAGAGTACCTTAAAATTGATACACATCTTGAGGCCTTCTTCCTAACTTAGAACCAGACTAGATTCTAGAGTATCTCTGAGCCACAGATCTACTCTTCTTAGATTCATCGTCTCTCCTGCACCCTTCAGGTTTTCTCTGGATGTGATGAAGAACTTGAAATTTGAGCTCTGCTGTGATAGTTCATATATTCGTACTGTCTGACCCAGAGAAGTTCCCTTATACTTCAGATCAAAGAGTGGCATAGGGTTATAGTTGACTCTTGTGCAGTGAAACTGATCTCTTAAGTGCCCAGGATAGAAATTATCCAGGCATTTGTGGATTTCAATCTTTCCAGCTTCTGGTGCTGCTTTCACTTTGGTCATGCCCACCACTTTTTTTCCCCTTGTAACCTTAATTTTAGTGCATTTGCCACCCTTGAAGAAGAGGCCTGCACAGAGCTGGTCCCATACCTCAGCTTCATTCTGGATACTTTGGTTTTTGCATTTGGAAAATACCAGCACAAGAACCTGTTGATCCTGTATGATGCGATTGGCACCTTGGCTGATTCTGTTGGGCACCACCTCAACCAGCCGGTATGTGCATTCTTCCTTTTGGCATTAACAGTGGAAACTGCTAGCATTTAATCACCGTAGCTGGTTGTGTCCTCTTACCTCTTCTGATTGGTGTGAAATACTGTCAGCATAAACTAATTATTGAATGCAGGGCAGTCCAAATACGTGAATGTTTTTCCTTCATTAGTGTGATGAACAAAACCCACTGTAGTTTAACTACATGTACACCACATGTAATCCCCCTCCTTGATAAACCTTGATTGGTGGTACATTCAGAGACCTGAAGCAAAAAAGGTCTCCTATTCCAAGAGTTAGTATAAGAATCTAATTGACTGTCAAACCTGTTTCCTTGGTGCTAAGATATTGCAGGTGAAAGGTCTAGAGAAGGGAAGCCCAGAAATGTTTATTTCACTGTTATTGAGGCTGTGTGTGTACTACTTTATATTTAAAGTTTTGGGGTTTTTTTTACAATCAATCAGTATATAAATTGGGTCATTTTATAAATTAAAATTATTACTGACAGGAAGAGCATAATGAAAGGACAGTGTCCTGTAGTTGATAAAGTGAGGGACTGGGGTTCATATCCTCACTCAGCCACCAAAGCTCACTGGATGAACCTGGCCACTCTTTGAGAGTTTTTGTGAAAATAAAATGGAGAGGGAAGAACCATATAGGCTGCCTTTTGCCCCTTGGAGGAAAGTCAGGAATACAGCTCAGCAGAAGAGCATTCTTTCTATGCAAACAATCCCACACTCAGTCTTGGAAATCTCAAATTAAAGGATATCTGGTGGCGAGGCCAATTAAAACAAAGTTGGTAGCTCTCTGGGGTCTTGGGAAGAGCAGACAGTATTCGGTTAGGTGAACCCAGTGGTCTGACTTCATACAAGGCAGCATTGTAGTTCCATATATGATTAGGGAGAACTGCTACTTGGTGGAACTGTTACGAGACAGATTTTCCATTTTTTCCTACTTTGTATTATTGACTACAGAATAAAGTAGTGTTGTGGTGTGAGCCTTAACTTAAAATAAGGTACACCAGTGATTTCTATGATGCTGTGACACTACAAAAAGTTACTTTAGTGTCATGCAGGTAGAAGTGGTTACAAGTCCCTTTGCTATTACGCAACTGTAAGTCTGCAAATGCCAATGAGGTAAAATACTAGTCTTGTGCTGCTTCTGCACAAATAATTATTCTTAAAAGGCAAAGAAACGTCAAGCACACATACTTAATAGTCTTACTTGTCAAGCATGTTGTTTTTCCTACTGATGCTGTTTCTACTTTTTCTTATTTGGCATAAATGCTGCTATTTATCAAGGCCAAGTCCTTTCTGCTTATCCAGACAAAATTATTTTTCTCTGAAATAATACCCTGGTCAGAGTGGTTGGGAAACACTTAGAAGTCTGGTTCTATGGAATTATAGTAGTAGTCCTGGTCTGACAGTATCTGCACACTGAGCCCAGAAACAGTGATGACCAATGAAAATACAAGACATTCGAATCCTGAAGCTACATGTTGAGTGTTTTTCAGTTCTGAAGGATTCTGGGCTCACTTTATGATAGTGGCAGTGGCTGGGACTACAGCATGATCATAACTGGTCATAACTGATCTTCTCTTACCCAGGAATATATCCAAAAACTGATGCCACCGCTGATACAGAAGTGGAATGAGCTAAAGGACGAGGACAAAGATCTTTTTCCTCTCTTAGAAGTAAGTGGCCAGCCATTAACCTTGGTGGACTCTAATGTTTCAGTTGAAAGAACTAAGCTCTATTGTGCATAGTGGCCATGCTACTCAAAGGCAGTGGTTTCCCCACCCCCTCTGTCTAACAAGAAATATATTTAATATAATGTATTGGAAATCAGCCAAAAATGTACTGTTGCGTGTTGAGAAATAGAGACATTTTGATTCCCGGGCAGGCTCTTTGCCCTTAGTGCACAATTCTAGCTGCTTGAAATAAACACATGAAAGGGGTAAGTTGTTTCTTGTCCCTTTCATGACTGAGCTAAGTGGTTTTGTGTTAAATGGTTTCAGTGATAATAAGGGCAAGACAATGTGCATGCCAGGTGGTCCTCCATGCATGTCTTTTGAGTTGCTATCTGTTATTTCTACAGTGTTTGTCATCTGTAGCAACTGCACTCCAAAGTGGCTTCCTCCCATACTGTGAACCTGTCTACCAGCGCTGTGTGACACTTGTGCAGAAGACCCTTGCCCAAGCCATGGTAGGATAGGCTGTTGTTTTTTGGTTTTGGTGTTGTTGTTTTTTAAAAAAGTATGCTGTATATAATACTTAAGTGTTGGAAAACTGAGTCCCTGTTGATCAGAGAAGGGGCAGATTAACCATAACTGGCAGTAACAAAAGCTGCCATTAACCATCGACCAGGCAACTGAAACTTACCCTGTGCTTTAACAGCACAAGTGTTCCTGTTCAGACTGTTGCTCAGTGAAGCTTGCTATGGCCTTGTTGAGGCTTCGTGTTTTCTTTGAGGTAAATGGTTCTCTGTTCTCAAATTTGTAGATGTATAGTCAACACCCAGACCAATACGAGGCTCCTGATAAAGATTTCATGATCGTTGCTCTTGACTTGCTGAGTGGATTGGCTGAAGGTCTGGGATGTCACGTGGAGCAGCTTGTGGCCCGGAGCAATATCATGACTCTCCTGTTCCAGTGCATGCAGGTGGGTGAGAGAGTCTTGCATTCAATGTGTGATGACTGCTTTAGGCCAGTTCATAGCTTCTGGGACCCCGGGATTTCTCAGCCTTAGCCAAGAACTTGAATTCAGAGGTACTTGAGATTAGGCTCACCATTTGTTTTCCAAAATTTAGACTAATGTTAATAAAGAAGTAAGAGAGCCAGAAAACAATAATAGGAGAATTAGCAGACAAAAGCACTGTATCATCAATGCCTCTATGTCAATGAGAAGAAATCAGGTTTTGAGGGTGGTGTGGGTGATGTGTTCTACATCATGTGCTGTTCTACACTTGAGAATTATAGACTGAGTAAATTATTGAATATGATAGGGGACTGGATAGATGGTGAAAAACTAAGTGGGGAAAATAAGTTGGAAATAATTGTAGCAGAAGCAGCAAGAATAATTGGGTGAATCCAAAGGTTAAAAAAAGAAACAAGCAGGGAGCAAGAGTCCCAGAGTGTCTGCCTTTCAAAAGGATGTTGGACTAGGTTGTTAATGCATTGTGAGTTGCATGAAGAGGTGAGGAGAAAGCATCAATTGTAAGGTTTCCCTGACTTAAGAGCCTCCTACTATCCTGGGAAGCAGAGCTAGACAGAACCAGCAATGGATAGTCCTGTTCTGGTATTTCTGAGAGGGTTTGTGCCTATTAACAGCCAAATTCCTTCCATCTGCACAAGGCTCCTTCGTAATAATTTTAACAGAGAAGGAGAGTTTATCACTGTCTTTTATGAGAGACCTGTTGAGTGCAGACCCAGAAAAAGTAATGATTAGTGAATAAATAAGTTTGCATCCAAATTTAATCTCATATCCTGGATCTTGCATATCTACTTTGTTTTCCCTCTATCACTTACAAGTGAGCACCCACCATTATGTCAGACTGAGAGACACTGCAGTAGGCCTGGGTGATATATATTGATATATCGCCCAGGACCAGTATGTGGGGGTAGACCACGATGACAGCTTCACTCAGTGGTATACTGCTGGTGAAACTTTCATCGCTCTTGAGTCCTTTTGCTTCCAGCACCCAGCACGCTGAGGGAGAAACAAACTGGCTGGGAGCTGGAGGCAGAGGGACACAAGCGGCAAAGGTTTCACCACTCGTGAAAGCGCTATTGCACTCTGCCCGGGCAGAATCAAGCTGAATCTGCGAGGTGCCAATACAGCTGGCTCCTTCCTCCGCTTCTTGGCTGCTTGGCTGAGGAGCACAGTGCTGCCCTCACCTCAGCCAAGCAGTTTTACAGAGCCCCCGACCGGCCACGGGCTCACATGAGCCAGCGGTGGGATGATGGCTCCATTAAAGTGCTGCCCCTCCCCAGTTGAGAGAGCCCCAACCCCGCTCCTGCTTGCACGCAAGCTGGGAGCAGGGCTGCTCAGCTGGGAAGCGCAAAGTCCGCCCTTCCCAGCTGAGAGAACCCCAACCCCACCTGACTGCCTTCTCCAAGAGGGTGTGCTGTGCCTTTACTCCCAGGAAGACAGAGCCCACCCTCCCGGTGGAAGGCAGCCAGGCGGTTTAGGGCCTCTTTGATGCTGCTGGTGGGCCCAGCGCTCACCAGCAGCCCCTCTCTGCAAGGCACGAATAGGGTGGCTTTGTACCCTGTGCCTTGCAGACTTCGCCCGGGAGGGTGAGCTGCATCATTCCTCCTGGAGTGAACGACCCCCCACCACCACCAGAGAAAAGAGACAGTGCACCTGCACAGGCGAAGGCAGTCAAACACACAGAGCCTGATAGGTTCCATGTGCTTGACTACTGCCACTTGGTCCATCTTCGGAGAGTGGGGAGCAAGCGGGCAAGGTAGCTTGCCCACCCCACATGCCAGCAAAGGCAGAAGGAGCTTGGCCAAGGAGCCCCAAGGTCCTTGCTGCTCCAGCACAAGTAGCAGGGGACTCGGGGCTGGCTCCGCTGGGGACAGAAGCCTTTCCGCCCCCTGGCTGAGCAGCAGGCTGGGGCCAGCTGTATTGGCCACAGCCCATGAGGCGCTAGGGTGAAAGCGCCCAGCATCTCGCTGGTTGGGGCCAAGGCAGCTTTTTTCAACATTGCGGTATATCACCAAACCGTGATGTTTGGCTGGTGATACACTACGATGTTGAAAACCCAACATCGCCCAGCCCTACACTACAGTCTTGATGGTACACACAACACTATCCCTTCTAAACTTCCTTGCTCTCCCTGTAGGACACCATGCCAGAGGTTCGGCAGAGCTCATTTGCACTCCTAGGAGACCTTACCAAAGCCTGTTTCATGCATGTCAAGCCATGCATTGGTAGGTACCTGTTGAGTTATTGTTGTGTGACCTTATGTTTCTTGGCATGATAGTAGTGATCTTTGTGTTAATACTGTTTTTAATCCCAAGGTCTGAGAGGGACCAAGATAGCTGCTAGCAGTTATAATAGCTCTCAAGTGGTAACAGATTTTGGTATATCTTCTATCTGGAGGAAGAAACATATCTGCCTTGGTTTTCTTTTATGAAAAACAGGTTTTTGCCATAATGCTGTTAGGGCCTTGTGTAGTAGTTTCGAGGGGGCATAGCTAAGTTGTAGAGCTCATGCATTACATGCAGAAAGTCCCAGTTTTAATCATTGGTGCACCAAACAAAGAAAAAGATTAACCAGCAGGTATTCTCCTGGCAGATTAGCCACACAGACGCTGCTAGGTTTAAGTCTGTCTTGCAGCCCACGCAGGAAACCTCATTGATTACTTTGAATTCTCTTCCTTCCTGTCTTGGCATCTTGTTTTAACTGCCAGTCCAGACAGACATTCTTTCTCTTTCTCTGTCCTCTGTGCTTGCTGATTTCTTCCATCTTTTTTGTCAACCCCCTTTCAGTGTTTTCTTAGGGAATCTTCATAAGGCTCTCTCCATCTTGACTACTCAAACCCCTGGCCTCTGTTCCCATATGATTGCTTATGTTCAAAGTAGCTGCTGCACATTAGTCAGAAAGGTGACGGATTTAAGTACCTTGTCAGTTCAGGGCAATCTCTGCATTTTTCAGAAAGACAAAGTAAACCTCGGAATAGATCTGTCCTACATTCCTAAGGTGAGCTCCACCTTCCATTGGTCACAAGAACTGAACCTTCCCTCTTTTTGCCATCTCAAAAGGTACATAGAAGCACTAGATTAAATACAAAGAGTGAGAGGAAAAAAATCAGCAAGTGGTCCTAAACAACAGCTGTCAGCCACAGAGACAATTCAGGGCTAGATGATCCAATGGTATGATTATAGCCAGAAATTTGCTACCAGAACTAAGAAAGAAAATATGCAGAGGTGCTGTAGTAGCCGTGTGCTTTATTTAGAAAAAGACAGGGTTTAATGTTTTACAACTCTCTTCAAGGGTACTTTCCATTTTCAGCTCCTTTCAGAGAGAACAGGTTCTTTTTCTTCGCCCTCCTAGATTTATTGCTGCTATTGAGACATGTTGACAATGATACTTAACATTGAACGTTTCCCTACTTTTAAAATTGTTTCAGTACTATCACTGTTAGCTCTGGATAGGGAATGAGTGCAACTTACAAGGCTACTTAGTCAAAAGCTAGTGTCTATGACAGGATATATGCAAGGAGCCATCTGGCTTCTACATCTAATGCAGATTCAGGTATTGCCAATATATGAGTGCAGAAAATTGATGAATCAGAGTCCAAATACTGTGGACATGTACCCTTTCTCATTTTGGTTTTGAATGCAGCATAGATTCAAGACTCCGTATTCTTATGGTGTAGTGGTTAAGAGCGGTAGTCTCGTAATCTGGGGAACCGGGTTCGCGTCTCCGCTCCTCCACATGCAGCTGCTGGGTGACCTTGGGCCAGTCACAATTCTTTGAAGTCTCTCAGCCCCACTCACCTCACAGAGTGTTTGTTGTGGGGGAGGAAAGGAAAGGAGAATGTTAGCCGCTTTGAGACCCCTTAAAGGGAGTGAAAGGCGGGATATCAAATCCAAACTCCTCCTCCTCTTCTTCTTCTTATACAGCACCTTGCAGCTAAGGGCTATGGGTACATTATTTTCTCAGATGTTTCTGGGTGAAGAAATATTCCCTCTTGTCCAATAAGACTGCAGTGCATTTAAATTTTATTTTCTGTTTACATGTAACAAAATGCTATGTAACTGTCTTTGTATATTTTGGATAAATAGAAAACCAATAAATATTTTTTTTTTTAAAGTGCAGCGCACCCTGGAAGTTGGGCAGAGTTAGGGAAGAATGCAGCATAGTGCTATGGCAGTTGTTTTAACTTTGTATTTTGTGTATTGTATTCCATTTATTTTGTGTGTCCCCCATGATATTTTTGAATGGGTGATTTATGCATTATTCAAATAAATAAAACAATGTGTCATCTTAGCTGTGCCAAAGGCCAAAACTGGGGCTGTCAAACAAACCTGAGTTAGAGCATTGATCTTGTTTGGAAACTGGTTTGGAGGACTAAGGACCTCATCTTTGCCTTGGTGCTAGTCAGTGCTGACTAAATTGCTAGTGTTTTATCTGCCCTATTCTGTTAATGTAGTTGTTTGCTTTTGGTTGGATTTCTGTGTATCTTGCCCTTAGATCAAAATACGGTGGTACCTCATGTTACGTACTGTCCCCCTTACGAATGCTGCGGGTTACACGCTCTGCTAACCCGGAAGTAGTTGCCTCTTGTTGCAACCTTTGCCCCCGGATGCAAGCGGAAGTTGCGCTCCAGTGGCGCAGCAGCAGCGGGAGGCACCAAGAAAGCGAGCCTCATGTTACGAGTGGTTTCCTGTTACGAACGGACCTTCAGAACGGATTAAGTATGTAACACGAGGTACCACTGTAGTGTAGGGAATGCTATAAATACTTCAGTTAAACCAATACATGTCTCTTCTCTTCAGCTGAATTCATGCCCATCCTAGGGACCAACCTGAATCCAGAATTCATTTCTGTTTGCAATAATGCCACCTGGGCTATTGGAGAGATCTGCATGCAGATGGGTAAGTGTACCAGGAACCCACAGTAAGTTTAAGCAGCTAGCTTTGTACTGCCATGCTGTTCAGCAGTGGTACCCTCTTCTAGCTCTTTATAGGAGAAAAATACAACTTCCGACTGTTAGGATGGGTAGGTGTTTGGCTGTTAAGTTGCCTTATCTTCCTACATGTTAGCAGTGTAACAGCAGAAGTTCCTGAGTTTCAGCAAAGTGTAACTAAATTCGTTTCTACTATTGACATAATAAGGTCCTTGGCCCTACATTATGGATAGCTCATGAGAGTCTCGAGTTACATCTACAATACTGTGTCTACCTCTAATTTTGGGCTATCTGGAAGCATGCAATTTCCTCCTGTATGTCAAATGGAGCAGGGTATTGTGTATCAATTCAAGGTTGATAACCTGATTCTTGGAGCTATGTATGACTCAGCTGATCATTTCTTCCTTACCAGGGGCTGAAATGCAACCATATGTTCAAATGGTCCTGAATAACCTTGTGGAGATAATCAACAGGCCAAACACCCCAAAAACACTTCTAGAGAACACAGGTGAGGGTGGACTCCTAATTCTGTCTTAATTGCATTATTTTTTTTATTTTTTTTTGGTACCCTTGTGCTTATTATCAAACTGGTGGAAAGGGGTTTGTATGTACCTTTTCACTCATCTGCTTTGGAAATGGGATCTGACTTTTTTATGCTGGAGCACATGACCAGTCGTGGAAAAATCCAATTAAATCTTGGAGTTCTGTGACTATTCCTCCACTAACACTGCGCTAATTCCAAGAAGTTTTCTTGTTTCTGTTGCCTGCTGAGAGTCCCATGGGGGACATGATCCTATATCAAAGAGCTAATTTCCTATTCTAGAAGTCTCTTCTGGCCTTTTCTGCACACAGCATTTGCAAATGGCTCTTGAACACCATATTTCCCCCCTAATACTTTTTACAACTGCGCTATGCACTTATTATGGTCTAGGTCCTGTGATGCCATGTGTCCCCTTATAAATCCCACCTTCCAAACTCATGATGCTACAGAACAGACAAGGCTGCTGCTTTGAGCAGTTGTGACAGGCTTGTTTCTCTCCCCTTTCTAGCCATCACGATTGGACGCTTGGGTTACGTCTGCCCTCAGGAGGTGGCACCGATGCTGCAGCAGTTTATCAGACCTTGGTTAGTGTTTATACTCAGACAGGAGATGTGGCTTTTTGGCCTCACTTTGCAGGGGGTGAGATCCACAGGGGCCACCCTCTCAATCTGTCAGCTTCATTCTAGAACAAGTTGATGTGCATTCAGAGGCATTTTGCTCAATCAGTTTTTGTCCAGCTCATATTTGTCTCAGTTGGTACATCATCCATCAAGGTTGTGTTTCTTTTAGAGGGATATCTCCATTTTTCTGAGCGCCGGTTGGGATCCAGTGTTGCATGAGTGTACTTCTGGCGGTGAATTGAGACTTTAACTTTATTTTTTACACCCTGTAGCCAGTTGTGCACCTCCCAAATCTCTGGAGGGTCCCCCAGCTCTTGAAAGCAGATTTTGTGTACAGGGGGCTGCAGGGTGGATGGCAGGAAGGTTAAGTCCTGTTCAAGTAGAAATCCACACTGTGCAGTACAAGCTATTTAGACAGTATATACAATACAAAGAGAGTGGTACAGATAGTGCATCTATTAGTATTGTACTCGTGCCAAGGATATTGGGCAACTGCTAGATATTCCCTGCGATGCTGTCTAGTGACAAGCTGCAGAACTCTCCTTGTACATCCTGCTCACCTCTCTTGTCTCTTTTCCCCTCCTGCCACTACGTAGCAACTCTTTGGATGACACCATCTTCACACTCTAGTTGCACAGTAGTCATCCATCAGTATTTCTGAGAATGCAAAACACACGTGGAGCACACTTTTTTTCTTCTGTGGGAAATTACTAAAATGTAATTAGTCACATTTAAATATGTTCAACTTTCTGCCACCTTCAGTTGGGAGAGGGATTTGCAGCCTTATCCCAGCTATTGATCTGACTTTACATGGAATCCCCAAATACCCAGAAAGGAGTATTCTAATTGAATACTGGTATTAAAAAGCATGGCCAATAGAAGAGCACACCCTGGACAGGAGAATTAATCTAATACTTGATCTTCAGTAAGTCTTGATCCATATGTTTGTAACTTTTTTCCCGATTAAAAAATGCCAAGCCAGCTGTTCTACCTTAGCATTATTGCATGGATTTGTGGGGAAGGAGCTATTTTTTCTCTTCTCTGCCTCTCCAGTGTGCAAAGTGTTTGCTTTGGCTCCTAGGTGTACATCCCTCAGGAACATACGTGATAATGAGGAGAAGGACTCGGCCTTCCGTGGCATCTGTATGATGATTGGGGTAAACCCGGGTGGAGTTGTGCAGGTAATTATGTTGAGAGATTTTTCAGATGTTTGTGGGATACCTTTGATCACTAGAAAGGTCACTGTGACAAATATATAGCAAATGGTTGAACCCCAAACAGCACAATTGCTTCTTAAGGGCAAAGTACCCTGGCCTTCGACAGTTCTAGTTATTTTGTTTTGTGGGACCCACCTCTTTTGCTGAATTTATATTATGTGTTCTGGTTGCAAAAAGTTTACCTGCCTTTATAATTATAACTGTTTTACTGATTTTACTTTATGTTGCTCTAACCTGCCTTGGGACCTTATGGGAAAGGCGGGTAAACAATCTTCATAAATAAGTATATCCAAAGTCACATATATCTTACAGAATTATGCAATTTATTTTGATGCATCTGCAGTTGGAGTACTGTGTGCTGCTTAGTGTCTTTTTCTTTGTGTCCCTGAGTTGCAGTACAAAACCTGTGCTGATTTAGAATGGTAGGAAATCTCTAGTGATTCTAGTGACCTGGGATCTGTATTGAGTTTTCTCATTCTTCTGTAGGATTTTATTTTCTTCTGTGACGCTGTTGCTTCCTGGGTGAGCCCCAAGGATGATCTGAGGGACATGTTTTATAAGGTATGTCACTGCAGTGGAGAAAGGCTTCTTTGGCCATATACTAAAAGAATGGGCTTTTGCTCATAAGGTATGTTTGTTTGTCATGCTGGCATTGGGTGGGGTGCGGGGGGATACACCTAGATTTCCCCTTGACACAGATTGCTGTGTGTGAATATTTATTGAAACCGCTAGCCACATTTTGTAGTAGGCAGTGTAGCTGACCCAATAGTTTCTGCCTTGATAGCAAACTCATACTAAGCCTTGGCTTTCATTTTTAGCATTCCCAGCACCAGTAACTAGATAAAAGCTTGGAAATGTGGTGGCAGTATACTGATACTTAGCAAGCCCTCCCTGGACCCAGAAGTGTGTGGCGGCTATCACTCAGTTGCAAATAAGCTACTTTGTAACACCAGGCCACACCACGGCTTACTGCAAACATGTGGGTTCCTGGAGCAAAGATTGTGGCTGCAGTACTCCTCCCCCCAGTACTGCTGCTACGACGTTACCTAGGACTAGCCATGATTTAACTTAATGTTATATCCAGATTTGGGGTCAGAGACAAATAAGCCTGAGTTCGGACATAATGCCAAACCATAGCTTGGCAGCAGATACAGGGTACAGATTCCATTTTTTATCAAGTGAATCAATCATAGAGTGGGATTATAATCACAGACTGAGAAGATCCTCTGTTCCAGTCCTGTGGAGGATGCAACTACAGCGTTCTTGAGAGATGGTCATCCGGAGTTCTTAAATACCTCGAACAAAGGAGAACCCTCTTCCCTGCACTTTCCTAAGGCAGTTTGTTTCCACTGCCAAACAGCTCTTCCCGCAGGAAGTTCCATCTACCATTTAGCCAAAAATTATTTTCCTGATATTTCCACTTCTGGGTTCTAGCCTTCCTCTCATGTCTCATAACTACAGATTGGAGTTCCTGTGTGTATACACTTGATATGCAACTGCTAAATCCAGTTGAGCTCTGCAAAACAAACTTGGGGCCACTTGTGTATGTTTCAGTTAAGGTTTTAAGCAAGGTTAACAAGTTTCCCACTCTTGACACAGAGTGTAAATACCAGGTCTCCTAGTTCTCTCTGAGCCCATGGGAGGCTAGAGTTGGGGGACAGAGTGTGATAGCTATTTTCCACTTGTGATGATCTGTTCTTATTTCTCAGATTCTTCATGGCTTCAAAGATCAAGTTGGGGAGGAGAACTGGCAGCAGTTTTCAGAGCAGTTTCCTCCACTGCTGAAGGAGAGGTTAGCTGCGTTCTATGGGGTCTAGGCAAACAGTGAAACCGTACTCGGTAAGTCCCATATTCGGTGAGATGGGAGAGGGAGAAAAGCCCTAAGAAGGGAATGGAGTGACCAAAGTAGGAAGAATGAATTGAATGTTGGAGCTAATTGAGATGGAAAGATGTAGGCCAGCTTGTAGTCAGTTGTCCTCTCAGTGATGCAGAATCTGTGCTTCAGTGATACAGAGCAGAGGCTCTTGAGAATGTGAATGTGGAGATCAAATATCCCATATAGGAAGCAATCTACTACCCTTGTGGGATGTGTCAGGAGATGGCAGTGCAGGAAAGCCCACATTCCCCAGCCACAATTCCTCTTATCCTGATATTTGAGGTTCTGGCCTTCCGTATTAATATTTGCTTATGAATTAATGTAGCGGAAGAGTTCAAAGTCCACCCTACTCCGGCTTAGACCCGAATTTGCCAGTACAGCAATCAGTCTGCCCAAGTTAGTTGTGGCTGTGTATCCTGCAGACATACTAGTAGATAGCATGAGCAACATGCTGTGAAAGGGGGAGTCAGGCTCTAATGTGCTCTGCTGGTTACTTTTATTTAATACTGACTGTCTTTTTTTCTCAGGTTCCTGTGTGCGCTGGGAGGAATACTGGGAACTCGTCCACAACCCAGTGTTACAAATCCCTGTTAATGGGGGGTTAGGGAGGACGGGAAGAGCATTGTGGGACATAAAATGACTTCACTCCCCATCTCCTGAAATTTACAAAGTTGGGGGGGAGGGTGGGCCTCCGTGACCAATTTAAACAAAAACCAGGGTATCTCACTAGCGGAAGGAAAAGGTCTCTACTCAGAGGCCATCGTTGGTGGAATGGGGTGGGGTGGGACTCGGACCTGGGCTGAGAAAGGGGAGCAATCTTAAACTGCAACACTCTTGAGAAGGGGATCTAACTAGGGGCCATCATAAAGGACTAGCTAATAATAAATAATAATAATAAATAAAGGATCGGGTTTAAGATGTTAAAATGGGATTAAAAGATACAATGGTTTAAAACCAGCTGATGAAGAGGGAAGAGTTAAAACTCAATCCAAGGGGGTTATACTGCTGTATATTTCCAGTCACCGGTGTTCAAGAGATCAGCTATTCACCTTTTCAAGACTGCATGGTGACCAAGAAGTAGACTAGTGAACCTGTGAGTAGCCCATAATGACTAAGTGTAAGCATTTTCATCTAGGAATCTTAAGGAAACCCACAAACCCTTTTTGCCATAGTTGCCATGGCACTGTGTGCTGGATGTGATGCTTGGAGCAAAGGCAGCCTCTGACTTTGTGGGGACCTGCCAGCCATCTAGGGAGCAGTCCCTATCATAAGAAATACTGTTGGAGAAGCATGTCTTTATTTTTTAAGAAGATGCCGCAGTGCAATGAATCTGTTACCCTGTTGTTCAGCTGTTACTTTGTGACACTGCTATTGCATTACTTCAGCTGCAGGAGGCAGGAGAGAGCAAGGAAGGAAACTGAATTCCATCTGTCCATAGGCCAAAGGCTGGCGGAGACCAGTGTGCACTCGGTCATTTTTATATGGCACACGTTATGTTGTATCCTGTGCTATTGGGGGTCAGAATGGCATTTGTACATACATAATGGTGATTTAAACTTTCTGTCTTAAGGGAGTTCTATGCCGCATCCACCACTTTGGTTTACAAAAGGAGCAGTAAACATAGCAAAGCATAGAGGAATTAATAAAATAGAGCCCTCCATGCATGGCCAGTGGAAGCTCGTAGCTTTTGCTGCATGCTTAGTGGAGTTGCTGTCTTAAATAATTCTCATTAGACCCAAATCTGTTCGGTCCCTGGAAATAGAATCTGGGGTTTGCTGAATGAATTTGAGTTAGTGAAGCCATAGCTTTTTAATTGTAAGTGAAGAGGATGTGAAGTGGAAGCAAGCCTGTTTTCCCAAAGGCAGCTAGGTTATGGGGAAAAGGGGATACTGCTTCAGCTGATGAGAGCAACTTCTGGAAAAGTGGGAAGTGCTGGGGATGAAAAAATAGTCACCAGGAATATTCTGCAGAGTCAACATGAATAGAGTTTGCCCAAGGAAATGATTGCCAGCAGGCAGCGTGCTGAGGAAGAAGAGACAAGTGAACTGAGCCCCAGCCCCAGCTTTCTTCAGAGCAGATCCCAAAGGAACTCGAGCAGCATCAGGATTGGTAGCCAGACAACTGGGTTGAACTGTGCCTCATATCCTGTATTGCTTTGGTGATGGTAGATACAGTGGTGGGATGACTGAAGAAGATATATGTGACAGAGGATGGACACCCGTGTTCTGGGATAAGGAGACGCTTTCTTTGACAGCAGTTGACAGTGACACTGAGTATAGTGGGGTGAATTTCTGAAAGTGTATTTGTGAGATTGCTCAATAACTTAAACTTCACTGATATCCCGTCCCATCTCCTTTTTCTTTCTATCCCTGGCCTCTGTTTCACATGTTGCAGTGCTTGCAGTTCTTGGAGATTTGTCATAGAACTTGCTGGGGCATTATTGTGCAGGCTTTTTTTTTAACTTGGAGGCAGCACATACCTAAGTGAAAGCTGCTCTCCTAATCCTTGAATCCAGTTGCTAGGGACACCCCTGCACTCTTCTAGGATAGCTAGTTCAAAAAAAAAAATGATAGTAAACTTGCAAATGCATTCCTCAATTCGTCTTTTTAATAGTGTGGAACTCGAGCAGGTCTCTGGAAGCAATCAGCTAGTTCTTTGCATTTTAATGATTTTATTACAAGCGTTCCCTCTCGTGCCTCAGTTTCAACTTTCCCTATCCTGCAACAGGGAAAGCCAGAGGGTTCTATTTGGGAAGCAATTGGTTTTTAAAATGGGCAAGAAATGTGCACAGATGGCAGGCAGAGTCCTGGCTTGTGCTTCTCAACTGAAGGCTTGTGAACTCTTCATTCATCCAGTGAAGTTTAAGCTACTTGACCTGACTGCCTCTTGAAATGAAATTTGTCTTTTGTACAAGTGCTTCTAGTACTGCCTCCTGTTCGTTAATCCTGGATTTGTATATTTGTAAATGTGCCGTAATGTTTCCAATGGTGGAACTGCAGTGTACCTAGTGTTGAAGCAGCTGCTTGCACCTTGCTCAAATGAGATTTTTCTCATTTTATGTATAATTTTTTTGTCAACTAAAAAATTCTTGTGACTCCAGTTTCCATGTTTCTGCCCAGTTTTTCACCCCATAACTGAATGTTTTGTATATTTCTGGCACAGGTCTGAGTGGCCAGAAAATTCAACCAGGCTGAAGAGCCTCTCTTACTGTAGAATTCAAAAAAACAAACAAAAAACAATCAACTCACAGTTTAAACACATTTAACTTTTGTGAATTCAGCTTTACGTGCTTATCCAGAAAAAAATTTAAAGGGGGTGAGTTTCTGAGGGGCAGGGGGAACCTTGGCAATGTCACCTGCCACTGCACTCACCTTGGGAAAGTGTGTTTTGACTATACAGTACACAAATTTGGCTTTATGCACTAGGTCCATGATATAACCCGTAGAAGTTGAAACTTAATATTATTAAGTCTTTACTAACACTTCTATTGGCCTGCTCTATTATGAGGGTAGTACTTCTGACATTACGTGGGAAGCTGCAAACCCTCTTCTAGTTGGATTTAATAGAATTTTCAAATTGTCACAATGCCAACTTTTATATTGGTAGAATATACCCATTAGCTCAGAAGTGCACCAGTGTTATGTGGGATGATGTAATTGTATTTCCACCACATATAAATATCCCAAAGTGACATCATTAATTCGTGATTTACCTTGGTGTGCTTCCTCTAATCCTTAGTTGTATGTCTTTGCCAATAAAGGCTGAAGCTGCTTAAATCCCTTTGGCTTTATTGACCAGCACCTTGAATTGAGTCCAGGTCAACAGGAAATCAATGCAGATTCTCAACCAACTTTTCAGAAAAGGGCAGGTTAGAAAGGCAGTTTCCTGAGAAATACATATCTACATTGAATTCTAGGGGCGAGACTGACTTGCAGTCCTTTTGAAACAGCATAAGGTATTAACTATTCCTGGCAAGCCTAGTGGGCTTCAGTAGGAGAGAATGGTAAAAGACCTGTTCCCATTCTAAATATACAGTAACTGTCATTAAAAAAGGGACGTGGGTGTGCCAGAAGCAGCGGACAAACGCCGGCTCCCTCAGCCTGTAAAGCAAGATGAGCGCCACAACCCCAGAGTCGTTCGCGACTCAACTTAACTGTCAGGAGTCCCATTACCTATCATTAAAAAGCTTGTGTTGTTAATTAATATACTACTATTGAGTTATTATGGCTAACAGTAGTAATTCACTTTTCTGAACAAGTTCTTCCTCACTGGTGAATAACATGTTCAGAAAATTAGACCTTGATGTTTAAGGGCTTTTGGGAAGTTCTGTTGACATAAGCTCCGTTACATTTTTATTTAACAGTGTGAAGGTTATGTGTGTACATTATCCAATTCCCATTTTCTTAGGTAAAAAAATCTGACACCAGCATATTGGGCATGTTCACACATTGCACTGAACACTGGTGCAAGCTGTCTGTACACACAGAAGTGTTATGTGCAGAAGAGTGCACATTTTTCCTTTGTCCAGCTCAACTAGTGTGCACATGGACTGTACACTCATTGATTGAGAACGTCCCTATTGGCTCATACTAAAATTTGCTGATTAGAACATGTCACTCAAACGCATGTCAGTTTATAGTTTAAAAATACATTGAACAATGGCTCAGTATTGCTTAAGACTCTTAATCTCAGGGTTGTGGGTTCAAGTCCCACGTTGGGCAAGATTCCTGCATTGCAGAGGGTTGGACTCTTACCCTTGTGGTCCCTTCCAACTCTACAGTTCTATGATGAAAACAACTATTCCAAAACTTTATAAATGGCTGCAGTTGCCTTATATTATTCTTTAAAACCTAGTCTGAAGACATGTTCTTAATCTTGTCTTTTGAGCTGTCCATGTTTGTCTTACTAACCATTAGCAAATCGCAGCCAGTTACGGCAAAGGAATAAACTAAGCTTACAAGATAGTACTATGACTACTCTGACAATACTGAAATGGCGATCCTGTGCTCTTACGTGCCTACTAAGAGGGAAGCCGGGCCTTCCTTTGACACGCCTAAGCGGCCTAGACCTGATCCCGTTGACCGGAGGCAGCTGCCGCTGCGCGAAAACGCCGCTTTAGCAGCCCTGGGTTGCTCCCCGACACGCAACACGCCGCAGTGGTCCCGAAGGCAGCGCGGAGCCGCCTGGCCCGAGATGGTCGGACTCGGCAGAGAGCCGGGCTTCTGACGTCACTACGCCGCGCCGGAAGTGTTTTCTCCTTGGAGACGAGACGCGAGAAGGCGCCGGCTCAGCCCTGTCAGGATCCTGGAGAGGCTGCCTTGACTCCATGATACTCGCCGCTCCGCTTCGGGAGAAAGGTCGAGGCAGCTCGGCCCACGGGTGAGAGGGGCCATGGGGCAGAAAGGAGGCAGGAAGGCACCGCGGGGTGGAAGGAGGGCGGGCGGGCGTCGGTCTCCGCCGTCTTCGCCTAGGCGCTGCCCAGCCTTTTCCATGGCTTCCGGGGCGGGTGTGACTCCTGCGTTGCTTATGGGATTACCTGCGAGTTGGATTTGGCATTTCTCTTTGCACCTGCCTGCAACGTCCTCTTGCTTTGCCCCCCGGACTTCTGCAGGATGATTCTTGGATTGGGAAACGGAAATAAGAATTCCTCCTCCACTTGGTTATCGTCTCTATTACTTAGGAAAGAGAACATGGCTCCTTTCAGACCTGTCAGTGCGAAAAAGGGCTCTGCCCCCAATTTCCTTATCCACATGCAGGTTCTGCTGTATAAAACAATACAGCTGTGTAAGAACATGAATCATTCCCAAAATATAATTGTAAACTAGCCTCTTGCATATTTTATAATGCCATCCTTCATCCATAGATCTCAGGGCGATTCACAAAGTATATACCTCAATGAGCGTGAGCTTGCGTTTGCAGGGTAATCTCATTTATATTAGGTCTAATTTGAAACAAACCCATCTCATCAACACAAAGAAGCCTTTCTCTTTTCTAATCTTTCAAATTTGTCAGCGTTGAAAATCCCTTTTCACTTCATTTGTCATGGAGAACTGCAGAAAAATAGCCAATGCTCTTGAAGAGAGGCATAGATCCTGTTTCTGATTGTATATCCGTATATACTACACTACACTGAAATTTTAAAATATTTCTTTGATAGTCCTTGAATCTTTGTGCCACACTTGCCATCGTCTCCTGCCACACCTTTGAGAACCACTAAGCATAGATGTGGTGTAGTGGTCAGTGTATTGGACTAGGACCTTGGAGTCCAAGGTTAAAATCCCGACTCTGCCATGAAGCTCACTGAGAACTTTGGACCAGCCATTGTCTCAAAGCATAGCCTTCCTCACAGGGTTGTTGTGAGGATAAAATGGGGAGCAGGAGAGCCAACTTGAGCTCATTGGGTTAAATGTACTTATAAAATAAGATCTTATTCTTCCAGTTGTCCATTTAGTTGTTTATTTTTTTAAGAAGTTACACCTCTGGTTTTGTGGATAAAAACACAGGCCCCATGTAAAAATATATTTTTTGCTTACACTTCATAGAATATCTGTTGTCCATTAAAAATAGTTGTACCCTTACTGAAAAATTATAGTGATAGTAGTAAAATACAGTCATACCTTGGATCCCAAACGCCCTGGAACTCGGACATTTTGACTCCCGAACACCGCAAACCTGGAAGTGATTGTTCTTGTTTGTGAATGTTCTTTTGGAACCTGAACATCTGACGGTGCTTCCGCTGCTTCTGATTGGCTGCAAGAGCTTCCTGCAGCCAATCAGAAGCTGTGATTTGGTTTTCAAACATTTTGGAAGTCAAATGGACTTCTGGAACAGTTTCTTTTTTTTTTTTTAAATAATATTTATTATTTTTCCAAAAACTTAAACACTAAAAAGAAAAAAAACCAATACAATACAACACATCAAATTAACAAAACAAGACAAAGACAATAAAATAAATCAAACAATTTCATTATCCCATCTTTCATTCACTTATTTCCACGACCTCCTCACACCTCCCTTTTGTATTCCACTTCTGTTAATTATTTCAGCAATTCCTTTCCATCTTCCTTGTTTTCTATCCTATAATTATCTTAACTCATTCTAACCTTATTTTTTCCTTTAATGCTCTATTAACCTATCTGTACTTAATTCCTTATAATATTTCTACTAAAGCCATATAACTTCATTTCAACATTTTTCTAACATTCATTAATTTTACAATATTTCTGTAGATAGTCTTTAAACTTTTTCTAATCTTCTTCCACCGACTCTTCTCCCTGGTCTCGGATTCTGCCAGTCATTTCCGCCAGTTCCATGTAGTCCATCAACTTCATCTGCCATTCTTCCCGGGTGGGCAAATCTTGTGTCTTCCAATACTTCACGATGAGTATTCTTGCTGCTGTTGTTGCATACATAAAAAAAGTTCTATCCTTCTTTAACACCAATTGGCCGACCATGCCCAGAAGAAAGGCCTCTGGTTTCTTCAGGAAGGTATATTTAAATACCTTTTTCATTTCATTATAAATCATCTCCCAGAATGTCTTAATCCTTGGGCATGTCCACCAAAGGTGAAAAAATGTGCCTTCAGTCTCATTACATTTCCAACATTTATTGTTGGGCAAATGGTAAATTTTTGCAAGCTTGACTGGTTTCATGTACCACCTATAAATCATTTTCATTATGTTTTCTCTTAAGGCATTACATGCCGTAAATTTCATACCTGTGTGGACTTCTGGAACAGTTTCTGTTCAACTTCTGAGGTACAACTGTAGTATATGATTATAGATTTACATTTTACCATAGCTCTCACTTTTTGTTCTTGATACAGGTATGGATGCTCCTCCTGATTCTGCTACTGAACACCAAGACTCTGATAATGATTCTGACACAGAGAGCAAAGCGGATCCAGATACCCAGGCCCAGGAATACATTGAACGTGTTCTTGGATCTTCAAGCCAGTCTAGTCAGGCATCCCAGTGCCTTCCTCCCACATCTCTCTCAGTAAGTGATAAGGCCCAAGTATCAGATCACAGGTGTCCTCCTCTGGAACTGAAAAAGTCTCCTGTTAGTGATGATACAGCTTCAGGGCTGTTATCTCTTCCTCTGGAGCTGATCTTGGAGATCTGTTCCTACCTGAAGCCCAGATTTGTCCTGGGTGTCCTTCCTTTGGTCTGCAAGACACTGAGGGACATTCTGCAGGATGAAGTCACTTGGAGAATTCGTCTGCTGAAGAGGATCAGCAGCAGCTATCCAGTAGTGGAAGGTGGGTTCCCTTTCTGCCTACCATGTTTTATTATCTTGTTAACTCAAGTATGAACTAACCTTTCCAGATCAGCTTTGTCAATAATAAGATAATCACTGTTCTCAGACCTGCATTCTAAAAGACACAGCACAAAAAGAAATGGGATTGGGCATGGAGGAGGAATAAAGCGAACTCATGTGTTTTTAGATGCCAAAGTTCTTATGGGGTTTTTTTTCTGCCAGGGAGTAAACTCCTTGGAGCTGCTCCTTCTTTGGGCAGTGGGTGGGGTCTGTTGGTCTCACTGGCTGTTTCCAATGGCAGAACCCAGAATATGCTGCCCTTCCACTCTGCTGTTCCAGGGCAACTGGCAGCTGAAATCACTGTTATTTCTGATAGGGAGGCTGAAATGGATGGAAGTTAGTACAGTGGTACTTCGGGTTACAGACGCTTCCGGTTAAAGACTCTGCTAACCCAGAAATAGTACCTTGGATTAAGAACTTTACTTCAGGATGAGAACAGAAATCGCACGGTGGCGGCGGGAGGCCCCATTACCTAAAGTGGTGTCTCAGGTTAAGAACAGTTTCAGGTTAAGAACGGACCTCCAGAACAAATTAAGTTCTTAACCCGAGGGACCACTGTATTCCTGCAGGTTTTTAAACATTATTCTATAAACATTTGTGGCTAAGTGTCTTCCTGCCCATTCTTGCTCTTTAGATTCCATGCCTCTTTTGTTTCAAATTGAAAACCTGCCTTTAATTTTTAGAGAGTTACAGTTGAGCCCAGAATTGGGTGTAATGTTGACACCAAACTGATAGTGCTGAGTGCTGGCTCTGCATTTAAAGATAATGTCCTTTCAGTCTCCAAAGTTTTCCGAATTGATGAAAACCCACTTTTATGGTTATATAACTACTGTTTTCTCTTTTTGAGGACACTTGTATGGAAAAGCAATGGATAATGTTGTAAATAAGATACAGTGCAGTGGTACCTTGGGTTAAGAACTTAATTCGTTCTGGAGGTCCGTTCTTAACCTGAAACTGTTCTTAACCTGAAGCACCACTTTAGCTAATGGGGCCTCCTGCTGCCGCCGCACCACCACAGCACGATTTCTATTCTTATCCTGAAGCAAAGTTCTTAACCCGAGGTACTATTTCTGGGTTAATGGAGTCTGTAACCTGAAGTGTCTGTAACCTGAAGCGTCTGTAACCCGAGGTACCACTGTATATACATTTGCTTACCTTGCCTGAGTTTGTTCTGCAAAGCCCAAAGGAAGAATAGCATCTCTTTATGCCTTTTTCACGTCTCAGCAGATGATGCCTTTAACTGGCCAGCTGCCTGCATTGAACTAGAGGAGCACCTCCAACAATGGGCAGAAAATGGCAGGAACACAGAGCACTTTTCCCTTGCTGAGGGACACTTTGCATCAGTTGACTCTGTGCTGCTGCTCCAGGTAAAAGTCACATTTCCTGTGTCGCTTTTATTTGTACAATATTAAGGATTGATAGAGTCTGTGAACAAGCAGTCATGAAGTTAAGAGTGTGTTCTGAAATATTATTTTGTCATAACCTCTCTGTGATTACTCATCTGAGAAATCAGTCTTACAAAATTCATTCATCTAAATTGTCAGCAGAAGTTCCATTTCTTACAAATTGCATTCCATTCCTTAGAAGAGAGGGCTGACTCTGGATTTAAACCTCTAAGACTGACAGTGGACATGGCATGAGTGGAACAATTTCAGCTCACTCAACAAAACTTTGCATCCTCCCCCAGTGCACCCCCCTAAATCTGCTTTGGAGGGTTGGGAGACCCCCAGAGCTAGAGGAGAAGGAGAGAGAAGTTGTTCCACTGTGCATGCAATAATTTTGTTGGTTACAACCCAGAATATTTTAGCTGGGAGGATTCATGGTCCGGTATGCTGAGTGGAATACCAGCAATTGCATGCACCTTAACTACTTTTTTTTTTAAGTAAACATTTATGATTACAGTGTTCAATTTGAAAATTATACAGTTAGTGGGTTGTGTCCAGTTGTGTTCTTCCACATAGGGAAGGTATGTGATCCAGCCGAGGCTTCCATGAATGGAAGGTAGGAAGAATTATCCTGGTCTCCTCCCTCCATGCACTGTTCTGGGGGTTCTCCTGCCCTGCCAACCCTGAGCCAATTTCAGTGGATGTGTGGGGTGAAGGGAGAAACCCTGGTGTGGAAGTCCTTGTGCATATCCTTCATGCAGAGGTGGTGATTTTTTTGTTTTTTTAGTGCCTGCCTCTCAAGAAGGAGGGCCAGCAAATAGAAGGCTACATAGCCTCTTTCTGTTCTTCCTATGGAATAAATGCACAGAGGGACAGATTTGTCTAAACTATTGATTGTATATTGTCTAGACTACATTATACAGCTTGATGATTAAGCCCCTTATGGGAAGAAACGCTGGTTGTACCGGAACAGCGTCTTTAAGTTGATTTACGAGTTGATGTTGCTTCTACTAATACATGATTGACTGAAAGAAAAAGACTTCTTCAGTGATTTATTTGTTTGCTTGTTCACACTCCTTATTCTGGAATAGTTGCTTTGGTGATACATTTTTGTATGACTTTGCAATGTGCCGGTATATCACTACCCTGTATATTGTTTGTTGAAGAATCTTAAGAAGGAGGGACAGTGGCTCAGCTTTTACAGTAATCAGTTGTTTTTCATTGTATCCAGGGTGGGAAGCTCTGTGTCTCAGGTTCTCGGGACCGAAATGTCAATTTGTGGGACCTGAGAGAGCTGGGCAAAGCACCAGAAAAAGTGCTGGTGAAGGCATTGGGGACAGAGCGCAATGGCACACACAAGGTAACCAGAGTCTGGAGTCTATGGCCCCTAGGTCATGTAGTGGTAGTACTTTAATTCTATAATTATCCTATCCTGTAAATGTTTAATCCAGCAGCACTACTGTTGCTAACGTCTAGAACACTTAAATACACAGAAGATTAATGAGTAGTAGAAATAGCATATCAGCTCAACATTTCCACTCATACACCCCCCTCTGAAAGATTCAAGGCCAGTTCTCCCAGATCAATCTGTTTCTTACCTGGCACTGCCTTGCAGTGAGTGGCAGCTCTCCCACCGTATAACTGCTTCCCGTTGTTCTCACTCTTCTTAATATCAACACCACCTCCTTTACGCTACTAATTGTCCCAGCATTCTTTTACCTTCCCTATCCCTTCAGAAAACACAGCATGTTAGTCTAAAATAGACTGGTCGCCTGTTAGAAGTGTAAAAAGCTTTAAGTTGCCTCTCCAAATGGCCAACACCCTTTTGCATCTGGCCACACAGTAAACAGTTGTTATGAGAGGGAAGGGGGCTGGATAGTTGTTGTCTATCCTGGAGGAAAACTGGCCTATCCTGTGCAGGAAGGAGATGATATCTGAAGGCTGCACTTCTTCCCTGTCAATAATAATAATAATAATAATAATAATAAATTTATTTATACCCCGCCCTTCCCAGTTCAAAAACAGGGCTGAGGATGGCTAACAACAAATTTAAAACACTTTAAAACACTTAATTATAAAAGCAGCATAAAATACGGTATAAAAACATGAATAACAATAAAATTCAAGAATCAATTAGATAATGCCCAGGGCTAGCTGGCTGAATTGGTGATTAGAGAGAAGCAAGCCCTCATGAAAGGGAGAAGATGTTGAGGCACTTCTGTTCAGTGTCTTCTATGCTCAAGGATTCTGTAATGCAGAGCTGGACCAGTTGCTCCATTCTGAACTGCTGTCTGTTTCCTGACTTAGCAAAACCCAGTTTCTCACACCCAAGCAGAGTTGTATTAGAAATGTCTGTCCCCTATCCATGCTAGTCTGTTTTGCTGCATTCACCAGTTCAGAAGGATAGTAGAAAGATGAACTATTCCTTTTTCATCTTCTGGAGAGAGTTAATTATTTGGGTCTGTCCATACCTTCTTGGGCTATCCTCTGCAGTGGGGCAAGATCACATGTTCTTTACATGTCACCAGAATGATAATCACAGTGTTACTAAACAAAGGACTGAAGTGCAGTGATGGCTCTTGCTTTTTCTTTTCACTGCATAGGGATGGGTTTGGTCACTGGCTGCAAGAGATGACCATGTGTGCTCTGGCTCCTGGGACAGCACAGTGAAGCTGTGGGACATAGCTGCTAATGGACAACAGTGTGGAGAAATCAAGTAAGGTTGCCTCTGTGCTCTCCCCTGTGAATGGAGTAGCACTTGGGAGTGGCATAGAATCATAGAGTTGGAAGAGACCACAAGGGCCATCGAGTCCAACCCCCTGCCAAGCAGGAAACACCATCAGAGCACTCCTGACATATGGTTGTCAAGCCTCTGCTTAAAGACCTCCAAAGAAGGAGACTCCACCACACTCCTTGGCAGCAAATTCCACTGTCGAACAGCTCTTACTGTCAGGAAGTTCTTCCTAATGTTTAGGTGGAATCTTCTTTCTTGTAGTTTGGATCCATTGCTCCGTGTCCGCTTCTCTGGAGCAGCAGAAAACAACCTTTCTCCCTCCTCTATGTGACATCCTTTTATATATTTGAACATGGCTATCATATCACCCCTTAACCTCCTCTTCTCCAGGCTAAACATGCCCAGCTCCCTTAGCCGTTCCTCATAAGGCATCGTTTCCAGGCCTTTGACCATTTTGGTTGCCCTCCTCTGGACACGTTCCAGTTTGTCAGTGTCCTTCTTGAACTGTGGTGCCCAGAACTGGACACAGTACTCCAGGTGAGGTCTGACCAGAGCAGAATACAGTGGCACTATTACTTCCCTTGATCTAGATGCTATACTCCTATTGATGCAGCCCTGGAGAACCTGGAGTTTTGCTACATGTTCAGCTGAGTATGATGCCTCATTGCAGTGTTCTGTGTTGAATCTGTGGGGGCATTATTTAGCAATGCTGATGCATGAGAGGTTTGTCTTGGCTGAAGGCCTTCTGCTGTTTAGGCAGAACAGAATGTTGCTAAGGAGGATTAGAGGCAAGGGTGTGGGGTACGAAAACTTGCCTCTAAATAAGATGAGCAAAAAAGTGGAATCATTCAGGATTGCTTCGCCCCTGTAGTAAAGGATTTAAGGTGTTGGTGACAGCACTGGGTACTCTAGACCTTCATTGATTTTGTTGTTGTTTATTCATTATAGCCCAAGAGCTCACTAAAAAGCCAGATGAAGAGATTCAGGAGAGGGCAGAAAGAGCAAACAGGGGGAAAGTTGTGTGTTGCATATCGGAAAGAATTAGTTCTTCTGATTTGTGAGGTCAGGGGAGGCAGAAGTCTCAGCTAATGTGTGGCAGGCATTAAGAGGATGGTTGCTTCATCCTACAGGACGGCACAGAAGGCAGCAAAACGAGAACTAGCAAATCCCACTTCTAAATCCTATTGGTCTAGGTCTAAGGCTGAGCAGAGGTTGACTGACTTTCATATATTATTTGAAGTGTGTGCTCTGGCCCTTCACCTGATTCTTCCCTTCTTGTCTTGTTCTAGAGGAAAAGCAGCTGTGCTGTGCCTTTCATATCTGCCTGACATTCTAGTCACGGGAACCTATGACAAGAAGGTGTCAGTGTATGACCCTCGAGGTTAGTGTCCGTTGTTTCCTGTGGATACTGGTGCTTTGAGCTGCAACTGCCATGCTCACTTGCAAGCAGTCAGTGCCTATGGGGTGGCAGGCGTTTAGATAAGTTTGCTATCTCCTCTGAGGGAAGGAGAAGGGCTGGGGCAGGCAGCCAGGAAACCCAGCCAGATACCTCCATTCAGTTCACATAAGTGGCTAGCACTTAGCTGCTTCTGGCAGCCATCTTAACTAGAAAACTCTGCGCAATGAAATAATGGTTTTTAACGCTACTTGCTTAGGCTAGAAAAATATGACCTGCTTAAAGGAAATCCTTGCTGCTGTTCTACATCTAATCACTGCAATGGTTAGCTTTGCCTCCTGCCCCAATATTTGTCAGTAGTAGTGAAGAGCTGGCTAGAGAACACCCAGAAGCTCTGCTACTTAGCTATTGCCCAATGAAAGTGACTTCAGCTGGAAGACTATGGCCTACAAGGGAGAGAGAAGAGAGGCATTTCTTTTGTGAGAACTTAGGTAAGTGCCTGGGCTCTGTTAATGCATCTCTTGGTCCTCTCTCACAGCTGCACTAGCCCCAGTGAAGAGCCGCAAGCTTCATTCCAGTGCAGTCCTATCACTTGCAGCTGATGAGCGCTTCATTCTCTCCGGCAGTGAGGACCGAACACTGGTGTGTTTTGACAGGAGGGCCAACAGTGTCCTCCAGAGGCTACAGGTGAGCTACAGACTTTGACTCTCCTTTTTGTGCTAAGGATGGCCAAGAATTCCTCAGAAAGCAACTTAGAAAACCAGGATCTGTGGGTGTTCTCTCCAGAGTTTGTCAGTAGAATCCTTAATCCTGTGGGTTTGAGTGCTAGTTATTTCTGTATTAGTTGAAGGTCTGGGACTACAAACCAAATCCCAGGCTTTTACTTGTGTTCAGATTAGGTATGTTCTTGTGCTCAATAAAACTCAGAGGCTATATGGCTCAGGAAGCTACACATTCCAAGTTGAGGGACTTGAGTTTAGTGGGACCTTGATCCGGCCTCACCCAAGTATTCTTTAACTTGGCATTGCTCTTGCCTGACCTTTACTCTCCTAAGTTTATACGGCAAGGCCATGTGGGAGACATTCCAGAGGGCGGTTTTTGCTTTACAGTCAGGCTGCATTCAGACATTACATGAAACCACAGTTGCTTTAGCTGAACCATGGTTTCGCATTATGAGCTTGCTCCCAGTTTGTTTGGGACTGGCAAACCAGGCTTTGAAACCACAGACTCTGTTCTGACTGAATTCAGAGTAGTTTGTCAGGGCCATTGTTTTGCCTGAAGAGGCTGCTATACCATGAAAATGGGAGTAAGCTCTACCTCAAGCGGATTCTCAAGGGTGAACTTTTGAAGCTTAGTGCTGAGCCAGATGGGAAACTAAAGGCAGAAAAGCAGCTCTAAACCATGGTTTGCTTGTTCATGTGGAAGCTCATGGTTAGCACAAACCATAGTTTTGCACTATGTTTGAACCTAGCCTCAGTTCTGCTAATTTTCCTTATTTAGGTTCAAGAATTTCGCCCCATATTTTATATTGGCAAGTAACTTGGGGCATCTTTTTGTTTTCTACTTTAGCATACACAATCTATTTCACTTAGTTGAGCTATCTGCTTTACTTTAGTACAATACCTTGATTAATGCCAGTGACATTAGTTCCATTCTTTCCCTAGCTGGACTCCTACCTCCTCACCATGTCATACCATGGTGCTCAGCTATGGGCAGGAGACAACAATGGGCAGCTGTATGTCTTTGAAAACAAAGGAGGGTGTTTCCAGCACATCCGGGTACGCTGAGAAGTTGAATCGCGGAGAAATATGGTACTTCTCTAATCTCCACCCACAAAATTACTTGTGCTTTGCTAAGCATAGCCTAGCATAAGGTGTTGCTTTACAGTAGATTGTAGAGATATTTATAACACTGCTGGGATTCAACTTAGAAATCTCATGAGCTTTGACCATTTGGAGCCATTTTTCTTCTGCCAGTGTCGCTTCTGAACCCAAACAAGCATGTTTTGCTGATAGTATATAAATCACTAGTGCCTAAAGGTAAAGGGACCCCTGACCATTAGGTCCAGTCGTGACTGACTCTGGGGTTGTGGCGCTCATCTCACTTTATTGGCCGAGGGAGCTGGTGCACAGCTTCCAGGTCATGTGGCCAGCATGACTAAGCCGCTTCTGGCGAACCAGAGCAGCGCACGGAAACGCCGTTAACCTTCCCTCAGGAGTGGTACCTATTTCTCTACTTGCACTTTGACGTGCTTTTGAACTGCTAGTGCCTAACCAGTTGTAAAAGAAGCAGCAGCAGCATACTAGCATTTGTCTCCCATTCAAAGCATCACTCTGTTTTTGTTTTGTTCCACAGTATTTCGATGTGGGTCACCGCTCTCAGATCACGGGAATCCAACATTCACTGGGTGCACTTTACACAACTTCCACTGACAAGACACTGCGTGTAAGAATTGTGGTGGTGTTTAAGTTACAGGTCTGAACCACAGACAGGCCTAGGAGACAGGGCTTCCCAATCCCATCCTTCACCTGTGGGGGCAAAGCAAAACCTGCCCATTTTTCAGGCTGAAAGACAGATCATGAAAGGTGCGTCTTCCTAGCTAAAGCAGCCAAACCCCTTGGAGTCTCCCACCAGCTGCGGGAGAATAGCTTGGCATAGCCATGATAAAGGAAGGCCAGAGCCCGCACAAAGCTGTTTTCATACCAGGTTTCCATGTCCCTGATTGCAGACCGATTGCTTCACAGTGCACTCCTGGTCTTTATCAGTCACACAGGTCATTCTTTTGGAGGTTTTCTTACCAAATAGTTGCCTTGGTACAACACCCTTGTGACTCCGAACCAATCTGCTCTGTCCCATACACTATTTTCTCTACTTAGCCATTGTTTGTGTGGTACCGAAACGCAACTTTCCATTTCATTAGATTTTAAGCTTCTAGACCGTAACCTCTTGGATTTCTCTTCCAGATCCATGTTCCCACAGATCCGCCCAAGGTCATCTGTTCACACACACACAGCTGTGTGCTAAATGGGGTAAGGATTGTGGGGGTGCTCGCCAAGGTAGTTACAGACTTTTTATATTGGCCCCGACCTGAGAAAGGGAGCAGGGGAGATTGTGGGAGAAAGCTTCCATAGCTGTCTTTGTTATGTGGGGTTATGTGCTAGGGTGTGTGTTTTGGCTTCTGTGACTTTTGCTCACTGTACTTAGATTTCCTCCACCACCCACCCTTTCCTTTCTCCTCTTTTTCAGATCAGTGTTGAAGGAAACATGGCTGTCGCTGCCTCTGGTGGCGTCTCTGTAGAAGTCTGGAAGCTCAGTGTGTGATCCACACTTGCAAACACAAGTGCCAAGTCTCAGACAACCTGCCCCCAGGTTCCCAGTGCCCATTGAGTTGTTAGGTTTTTGTTTTGTCTGCTCTTTGGAGCTGTGAGGTTAGGGGTGGAGGTTCAGCCTTTACTTGTCCCAGGTAGCTTGTAACCAAGAGTCATGCTCCTAAATTAGTGGACCTCTACATGTCCAAACCCTGTCAGCTGCTCACTCCCATTTCTCTTGTATGTATGCACATGTACACATACTCCTCGTCCACTTGAGCTGTCACTGCCACACTCAGCCTTAAGGAGAGCAGCACCGCTGAGTGGCATGGTCAATGAAGAGAACTAGCTGGCCCTTCAGGTGAAAGGATATCATCCTAGAGGCACAGCTCCAAGCCTGAGGAATGTCAGCTCGAGGGAAAAGAGTTACGGGAACAAAGGAGGGTGGAGTTTCCCATCAGGTTAAAAGCACCCTCTAGTGACCCAGTTCTGATCCATGTTTACAACTTTAAATTAAAGATGGCTGATCAGGAGTGGTGGTGCCTTGTTTTGTTTCTCATGCAAGCAGCATGGTTTTAAAAGCCTGCTTATCTTTATACAACAGGCTACATTCCAGCAGCGCAAAAGTCAACGGTTTGCACACACACACACAGGCCTGAGTTTTCCCCATCCCAAGGCAGCAGGAAAAGTTGTAGGATTTGATAAAGAATCTAGTTTTCAGAATGCAAGTAGTAATTGTAATACAGTTATGGGAAGCAGCTCTTACCTTCAGTTCGTTTCCATTTCTGACTTGGCTGGGTAATAGCTATTTAAAAATACTCCAATGCAATAAAATACCTATTAAAGCAGGGAAGCAAACACAATACAATGGTACCTCGAGTTACAAATGCCTCAGGTTACAAACTCCACTAACGTGGAAGAGTTACCTCGAGTTGAGAACTTTGCCCCAGGATGAGAACGGAAATCGTGTACCTGTGGCAGCAAGAGGCCTCATTAGCAAAAGCACGCCTCTAGTTAAGAACAGTTTCAGGTTAAGAACGGACCTCCAGAATGAATTAAGTTCATAACTAGTGGTACCACTGTAAAACAATAGAGTTGTGACTTCAGAAATATCTGGTCACTACTCCGCCATGTACCTCTTAGGTGATCTCCTTACATGTTGTGCAGTTTGGGCATTAGTTTTGTGAAAGTAAATAGCTGTTGATCACATGAAACACAAAAATTATCAGGAAATATCAGGAAAGTGGAAGGAAGTGCTGCCTAACTCCTAGACACCTAAGCACTCTTAGAGCAATAGTGTGGCAAGCAGGGCTCCAACCACTGGATCTGCCTGCTGTTTGTAGTAAGCTCTTTAAAATGTCTCTGTTTGGCACTTAGGCCTACTCTCGTGTCCCAGCATGCTTTATGTTTTTCTCATTGATATTAGACATCAACACAGCTACAGGCAATTTTTGTTTCCCAGACCGGTAAAGCCGGTTTGAACAATGTGGCTAAACTTGCGCCAGGAGGTTCCTACCAGGATGTGGTGTGATGCAGTGCACTGAGCTGTCCAGTTGTGTGACTGGTGACTACTGCATTCCAGTCTGGCCTCCTTATATAGTATTTATGCTGAAGTACACAAGAGCCAATGTAGAGCAGTGACTTCAGTTTTGGGGCTGAATGTGAGCAACCCGGGCTTAGATCCCTACCTGCAAGGCCATGAAGCCCACTAAGTGGCGTTAGGCAAATGACCATTCTGAAAAACAACTTAATTTTACTTAGTTTTCAGTAAAGCAATACAGTCTTTTGGGGGGTGGGGAAGGAGAACAATCAACTCAGGTATTAATGTTGAAAGATGAGAGTACTTATAAAACAGAAACCTGCTGATGGTTGAGGAAGAGAGACTAACATGACCATCCCTCTGGAAACTGGTATGGAACTGAGAAATTGTAATTAAGTGTTACAAGCACCAGTTGCAAAGTGTGATTCCAAAGAGCAGGGGAGTCCAGTGTTGCACACCTTCCCGAAGGCAGTGGAAACAGTACTGTGCTTCTGAAGAGAAGTATGGCTGAGAGTTCCATCTCCTGGTAGCTTCGGTCCTCCACTCAAGCCAGGACAGGGACCATCAGGCTGGTTCCCCTTCCTCAGCCACGTACGACTCCTCCCTCCAAAACTGCACACGGCCCACTGCAGCAGTGAGCAAGCAAGACTCAGTTGGGTGGAAGGACAGAGACTGAACTGCAGTCTTGCTCACAGGCAAGCTCAGGGCAAGGGACCCCTGTGAAGAGGAGAGAGAAGAATAATGAAGATAAGGGTAGAGATAACATACTCCTAACACTTGGGCAGCTAGACATGGGCTGGAGTTCAGAATTGCATCTGCTTTTCAAGCACCACCTCTTGTGCTGAATGATCAATATGAGAAAGGGACAGTCCAAGTTCAAGAGAGGAAAGAGAAGAAATGCCTTGCAGTGGAAAGCATGCAAACTGTACCTGATCCTCAATGGTCATGAGGAAGCAAATCTTGTATTTAGCTTTGAACCAATACAGTTGCATCAAAAGCGCTTCCTCCCATAAACTTCAGATAAGTGATAGTGGTCTACGTAACACTTTAACTCAGAGATTTTCAATGTTTTTGAGTCCATGGCTCCCTTGACCAACTACATTCTTTCTGTGGCACCTCTGTGGGGCTCAGGAGCCCAGTTATGTCACCCCTTGCCTGCCGAGCTGGCAGCTTTTCACGCTTTTTCAAACACCCTTCCTTGTGCAGGTGCTCCCTCAGCCTCCTTTGCAATTGCCTGTCCTTGGGAGTCCTCTGAGCAGCTGCAGCTGCCTCCCCTGGTCTCTGAGCTGCCCCCTTGATCCTCCCTGACCAGCCCCAGAGGCACCATTCGCCTGGGGAGCTTGTAGCCAGGGCTGCTGCAATAAATAACTCTGCAAGCCTTTAGGAGGCAGAGACACGAGGGCACCAGAGGGAGGGAAGGAAGGAAAGAGGGACAGAGGCCACTGTTGCCCACGGCACCCCTGACCATCATTCAAAGCACCCCAGGGTGCCACGGCACACTGGCTGAAAACCACTGCTTTAACTGTTCGTTTAACACATAGATTGGAAAATGCTATGCATTAATTCCTCTGCCTATGTTCTTAGTGGTCATATTCAGGCAACTAGGTCATACAAAAAACAGCTATGATTACTGTCAGCAATTAAGGCACTGAGCTAAAATCTCTGCTGACCACCAACAATTTGGAGAGAAGGCTTCATGCTTTGTTCTCCAAGGTTAAATGTTGCCTTATCCAACCAAATGGAATTCAAGCCCCCCAAACTGCACCCCCCCACACACAGTATCTGTGGCTCAACTCCCATGAAGCACTGGCAAGTTACATGACCGCCCAAGAAGGAACCTCTCCATTTTCCCAGGTCATTCTGCTCACCTCCACCAGGTCCCAGAAGTACACCTTCCCATCCTCAGAGCAGCTCCCGACATGAGTGTCCCTCTCGCTCATGCAGCAGTCCATCTTATAGGTTACATTCTTGTGGCCTGTATATCTAGAGGTGTCATGGGGGGGGATGAGATGAGGAAGAGGAGAATATTTCTGCTTTTCTCAGTCAGGCTTTCCCCCCATAAGTCCACCTATGGTTGTTACTAGTCCCTGACAAGGTAGATGGAGGATAATGAAAGCCCAGCATCACCAGAGTTCAAAGCAGACTGACTGTGGCTCTGATTCAATGTATAAAGATTGTATTGCACAAATTTCTCTAGTCCACTAGGTTCTTTTACATGGAAGCACTCATACACTTAAACACTGGATTGGCTGCACCCAAATGCTGAAGAACAGCCACTCTTTTGAGCTGCTATTGTCTGTCGACAACAGGGTGGGGTAGGGCAAGCTTTAATGACAGGACTAAATAACTGCATTGCTTACTCTCCTAGTAGTTCACCCGTATCCTTGTCCAGCAAACGCAGAGTAGAATCCAAGCTAGCAGCCAGGGTACATTGCCCATCTTTGCTGAAACACACGCAGGTGATGGGACCTATAATAAAATATGGCAGTGTTGGGTTTGATTGCATCAAGAAACAAAAAAGTGCAAGATTCTGGGCAATCCCCATCAGAACTTGTTCTTAGGAGTTTCTTCAGGGCTACAAATTAGGAAGGAAGGAAGGAACAGTAGCTTGCAGAGATCAAGTCTACCCACTGCCTAGAATGAGTCAGTGTCGGACATGATACAAGATGTGGCAGGGTCCCTTCGGTCTGGACCTGAGGGGCATCAGCTAAAGAGAAGAGGCAGGGGAATACAGGTGAGGGAGGCAAAGGAAATGCAACAGGAACCATCACCCTGAAAATTGTCTCTCATCATACCAAATTGTCAACAAGTCTGTAAGCAACACTCACTTCCAATATAATCTGAGTAGAGCTCCCCAGCACGGAGGTCATAGCGACGGACACGCCCATCCACAGAACTGAAAAATAAAAAAGGGGGCAGTGGAAATTAGCTGGCAGCAGGAGGGTGGCACTCAGCAAGCACATTGGCGGACGACCCTGAGGGCTCAAAGGGTGCCCTTTCAACATTCCTTGTTTTCAAACCATGGAACTCAAGTTGTGGGACAGGATTCCCTATATGCTTGTATTCTTTTGAAACTAACTTTCTCCCTTTTGGAGCAAACACTGAAAATATTTCTTCGTTTCTGATGAAAGTTTAGAAATGAGAGGATACTGCAGAGTATGGATCTACACAGCTGTGTGACTTTAGGATTGGGCTTTTTATTAGTCCAAAAAGAATCTGATCAATTGGTCAGACAAGTATTGTCAAATGCTGGTACAGTGGTGCCTCGCAAGACGAAATTAATCCGTTCCGCGAGTGTCTTGGTCTAGCGGTTTTTTCGTCTTGCGAAGCAACCCTATTAGCGGCTTAGCGGATTAGCGCTATTAGCAGTTTAGCGGCTATTAAAGGCTTAGCGGCTTAGCTGCTAAAAGGCTATTAAAGGCTTAGCGGCTTAGAAAAAGGGGGGGAAGCGAAAAAAAATCTCAAGACTCGCAAGACATTTTCGTCTTGCGAAGCAAGCCCATAGGGAAATTCGTCTTGCGAAGCAACTCAAAAACGGAAAACCCTTTCGTCTAGCGGGTTTTCCGTCTTGCGAGGCATTCGTCTTGCGGGGCACCACTGTAATGCAAAACACCAGCTTTATAAGAACAGCATAGAATATAATGTTTAAAAGTTTTATATTTATAATAATTATAAGTAACAAAACAATATCAGTGGCCATACACTGTATTTTGGAATGCGATTGGGGCCATAGGGCTTCCTCAGTCTGCTTCTTTCAATCCATTGCAGATGAGTAGAGGGATAAAACACACCTGGATGGGTCGGGAAGCCCTTAACAGATCCCAAGGTCCAGCATGGACTTCGCATGGCAGGGAATTTGCCCTCTCCAGCTCTAACTTCACTCCACCTTTCCTTACCCTGTAAGGATTTCATGGTCTGACACCTTCAGACTGGAAATGCCATCCTTGGCCTCATCCAGGATTTGGATGGGATCTGGTCTGCGTGAGCGGCAATCCCAGCAGCGGACACTGGAGTCAATGGCACCTGCAAGAGAGCAAAGATGTCTATTGAGTACAGCCTAAAATGAGTTCTCTGGGATTAACAGTGAAGCAGAGTGAGAAGAAAAGTATTCCTTACCTGAAAGGATCACAGTTGCCTCTTCATTGAACTGGACACAGTTTACTTTCTGCCAGATGAGGATAGAGAGAAGAGAATGAAATAAGCAATGACTATTGTCCGACTGGTTTAACAGATTCAAGCATAGAAGGATTACATTCTCTGTTCCCATTCCTGCCACATTTCTACACAAAGTACCTCAACTCTTTGAACTCCTTGAACTTCTACAGAGCTCTCTCTTCGTTACTATTTCCACCCCACAAGCCAAACATCCAATGTAGTCTTGTAGCCAGAATGCAATATTTTGACACTTCTCATAAACTTCCTCCTACTGTAGTATCTAATGTGTCAATAGTATTTTCTACTGCACAGCTTTTTAGATGCCAAATAGACAAAACTGCAGACATTATCCAGTCACTGTGAGGCAGGATACATTTCTACCGTCATCCCCCAGTGGAAGCTCAGAAGAATTCACCTTCTTATGTGCATAAAGCTGGATATTTGAATCATGTGCAGAAAAGGGCAAGCAAAATGATCAGGTGGGTGAAGAAACTCACCTATGCAGAAAGATTGCAGTATTTGGTGCTTTTTAGTTTAGGAAAAAAGGTAAGTAAGTAGGATGCACACACATGATAGCAGTATATTATATAAAATTATACAGGGTACAGAAAAAGTGGACACAGACCTTTTCTCCCTGTCATATAGCATTATAACCTGGGGTGATCCAATGAAAGTGGTGGAAGATTCAGGACAGTCAAAAGGAAGTATTTCTTAACACAGCAAATAGTTAAACCATGGAATTCACTGCCACAAGATGTGGCAATGACAACCAACATAAATGGCTTAGAAAGGGAATTGAACAAAGTAATGGAGGATAAAGCTATCAATGACTACTAGTCATGACAGCTATACATTACAGCCTTCCAAAATCAGAGGCAGCATGATTTTGAGTACCGGCCACTGAGAAACAAAAGCTCTCATACCCAGCTTGTGAGATTTCAGATTGGCCACTGTGGTGAAAAGGATGCTAGACTAGATTGGTCTGATCCAGGGAAGTTACTCTGTTCCATTTTCTTGGAAGGGACAAAGGACAGAAGAGGTCTTACCCCTGCATGGCCACGGAACTTGCGAATCACTTGACCTGTGGCAACATCCCACAACACTACTGTCTTGTCTGCACCACATGAACAAAGCTGGCTGTTATCAAATGATCTGCAGAGTGGATAGAGACAGATAATGATGGGGAAAGCATCCTGATTGCTTCCTGTATGTGCAACTCCCTGAATTACTGTATTCTTACTGTATTAAGAATGTCAGATTTAATTTTTCAAAAGCTAAGTTTCAAACCTTAGGACATTAAAGATGGGTTCAAATGTATGGAGCAGGGACTGAATAGGATATCCTATTATCACTGGCTGGGTAGTGGGACAGTATTACTATGCTATTTACAGGTTTTCTCCCAACAGTTAGCAGGTTCAAGTTTTGCATATTTAGACAATTCATTTAAATTGGTTTAATATACAACTGATAGCTTCATGGGGAAATTGATTTTTCTTTCTTTCTGGAATGTAAAAATGTTATTCATCCATATCTGTTTCTTTTGATTATGAATTTTATAAATTATTTGTTTTCCAGCTGTATTGTATAACATTAAAAGTTAAATTTATGCAACACAGGCAGGTCAGAAGATTTAATTTGTTTACCAAGCAATTTTTAAAACTCTACTTTGCCCTGCTCACAACTCCAGTAGAAAAGTAGACAAGGCATAGACCACAAAAGTTCTGACCAGTGACCCACCTGCTTTCCAGCCAGTTTTTATTATTATTATTGATTGATTGGTTTTATATACAGTGGTACCTTGGTTTACAACCATAATCCGTTCCAGAGGTCCGTTTGTAAACCAAAACAGGTTGTAACCCAAGGCGCACTTTCGCCAATGGGGCCTCCAAAAAAAAATTTGTTCGTAATCCAAAAGAAATGGGTTGTAATCCAAAAAAAGGTTGCAAACTGGGACACGCACTTCTGGGTTTGACGTGTTTGTAATCCAAAACCAAGACGTATGCAAACCAAGGTACCACTGTACTACCCTATACCTGGAGGTCTCAGGGTGGTTCACAGAAGTCAAAATATAAAACCACAATATATATAATCAAAATAAAAACAACAACCCAATAACCCTCCCCCCCAAAAGAGCCACATTTTAAAAGGGCACACCATCTCAAAATTTCTGGTGGTATTTCACCACAAAATCTTTTTTTCCAAAAGAGTGGCTCCCTCTTCCCAATTCTTACCCTGCTGCATCCAGAACCTCATAGCCATGGCCGCTGTAAGTCTTAAGGAGAGTGCCTTTGAGGGGGTTCCAGAGCTTAAGTGATTTGTCACTGCCACAGGTGAGACAATAATTTCCATCCACTGCAGGGGGGATGGGAGAGGAAAAACTTATTGAACAGTATCCAATGCAACACTCTTCAGCAGTGTTCCTGACAGAGTTGCCTTTCCTATTTTCTGCATGTGCTACACAGGTTCCACTATTCCTGCTGCAGGCACAAATTTTCTCCCTGAGCAAGAAACCTATAACCACGGTATAGACACCTTCCCCCAATCATTATTTTCTTTAGCTTGTGAATCGCTAAGGATTATATTCAACATAGCACTAAGCTGAATGTTCCATCAGTGCAAGGATTTCCTCTTGAGCAATGGAATATTCTCTCTCTCCCTTCTTCCCCGCCCCCCCTAAATCTGTTCTGGGTTTCTCCCCAACCCCAACCCTCCAGAGCGGATTTGGGGATGGCACAGGGCATACAGTGTAGAAGAAGGGGAAATCCCACTGTGCTAGTGTTAATCCTTGCACTAGCACAAACCCTTAGTTGAACACTGCCCTAATAATTTATACATTGCATTGCTATTCAGCTCCAACTTTTGGGTTTTCCCCCTTTGCACTCTTCTATGTATATATACCAGGTAACTGAGGATTGCACTTCATGCATCTGATGAATGTTGTTTTCAACAACTTATGCCGTAATAAAATTTGTTGTTCTTTAAGGCAAAAGAGGAGAAGCTGTGACCCTCCAACTGTTACTGAATTCCAACTCCCACCAGCCCCAGCCAACAATCAGGGATGATGGGAGTTGTAGTCCAGGAACTTCCAGAAGGTCACAGCATCCCCACACCTGCAATAACTAAGGCGTCACAAGACTCCTTGCTGGTTTAACTGCAACAGGCTACCACAACTTCACCTCTAAAAATTGTAAATCACACACTAGACTCTGCTTTGTTTCTCTGGTTCTAAAAATTCAACACCATGTTATAAGATCAAGGATACACTCACCATTGAACCTCACTGCCCTGACAGCTCCCTGTTTACATTCCAGTGTGCCCAGAAGTTTCTTTGGCAACTCAGGCTTCTTCAGTTTTGGCTCTGGAAAGGCCATGATGAAGACAAGCAGGCGTGCTATATGGGGATTCTTCTATACTGGATGCAACAGCTGTAACTTGACAGCAAATTCTCAAGTTCTACGAAAACTCCAAAGTGGATTGATGTGATGTGTTAGGATTGCCCTGCGTCTGGGATTTTTCTTCCATTTGGAATACCACCCTGTTACAAAACGACACAGGCATAAAGAGAAATCAGGTCCCAGCTGCAACAGCTACTCAAGCTACCAGTTTCTTCACAATGGTAAAGGCCATTTTTTTCTCCAGAAAGAAAATTGGCAAAGGCAAATCACCTATGCCATGTAGCCTTGCTTATCTATTTTACAAGTTTCTATCAACCCTCTAGAAATCCTTCTCTTTCCAAACCAGTTAAAAGTTATCTTTACATAGCAAACCCTGTAGCACACCTACAGTTCTTTAACCTTGCAGAAAACCACCAGAGAACTCTTTCTACTACTCCCTGATGATCTTCTCAATCTAATTCTTATCCTATGGTAGCCATTTTTGAGGAATTCTGTATTATCCTGTACAGTACCTTGCCTATATAGCTCGATTTACTTATTTTCTTAAATTTATATCCCGCCTTTCTTCTACATGTGGTTCCGGGGCGGTCACTGAACAGACCCAAACCTGCTTCGTTTCAGCCATGTCCCTTCATACCACAACCAGGAATCAAACATGCGCAGACTTCCCATTCGGAAGGATACTCAACATGACTGAAAAACGACTTAGCACCTCTTATAGCTTCCCCCAAACGTTTAACTGCCAACTGAAAACCAGATTTTATTATGGGAAGGAGGAAGATTGAATGAGGAACACAGCGCAGCCCTCCAATTCGCTCCCCTCGGTGCACAGCTACCTCATCTTTAGTTCCGCCCATTCGCAGCGTGGATTTCCCCACCCTGGTAGGAAAAAACCCCCGAAGGTTCTTTACCTCAATTGAACAACCCATAGCATCTCCCCACGGAAGATTAATCCGCTAAACCGTCTCCAAATACTGCGGCCTCGGGACTGATGACCGGAACGAGAAGGTTTGAACTCCGGGGTGTTACACTCTTAGTTGTCCCCCTTGCGCCACTGAAAGGAAGCGGAAATTGGTGTAGCGGCGGCGGCCGAGGGGTGGGGGCGCTGCTCGGAGTTAGCCAGAGGCGGTGCAGGATGGCCGGTAACAACGTAATGGACCCGCGGCGGCCAAATCGCGTTCTCAGGTCAGCGGCGGGGGGCCGTGGGCGGGGGGGGTGAGCTGCCTGGGCAAAGCCACGGAGAGGGCGCGAGCGGGGCGACCTTTGGCACGGAAAGATTGAGCCGGGGGAGTGGCATGTGATGCTAAAGGGTGCGCTGAGACGTCACCCCTCGCTGTAGCGCGGGACTGGCATGGGGTCGCCATGGCAACGCAAGGCGGAGGGTGAGAGAGAGAGAGGCGGCCTTTCCTAATAGCCACCGGACTGGGCAATAGGGGGAACTTTTCATGGGGGAAACTGCAGCAGAGGGAGACTCAGGGACAGAGATGGCTAGTGTTGGCTGACTGGTGATGATCAAAATGTGCCCCAACTGCAAGTCCTGGTTCAAAGAGAATAGTGTGGCCACCAGTCCACACTTACGGGGGATATATGTGTGCGCACGCGTGTGCAGTGCCGGATTTACGTATAAGCTAACAAGCTACAGCTTAGGGCCCCATTCTCTTGGGCCCCCTCCCCAAAAATAAAGGAAAAAAACCTGGATGTACATTTCCAAAATATATACTTCTTCTTAATTGTATTTCAGTTCAATAATTACTTTGATAAAATACATATTTTGTTATGTGCAAATGGCTTTAGATACGTATTAGGTCCATAAATTACCATATAGCATATAAGCAACACAAAAAAGAGCAACACTTGGTTGTTGACAAAGGACAGCTGGACATATAAAGGGCCCCATTACCTTCAGCAGCTTAGGCCCTCCTCAAACCTCAATCCGGTCCTCTCTCTCTGTGTGTGTGTGTGTGTCTTACTGCATATAGGTGCTCAAAACAGAAACAGGGACGCTTCAGCGTTGCAGCAGTGACTTGCACAGAGTTTAAAAAATGCTTCTGAAACAAAGAAAGTGGTGAGCTGTTGCTGTAGTGTGCAGGGTGACCTTGCTCATAGGCACTTACACTTGGCATATCTTGCTCTGTATATTGACCTGGAGACGTTTGGGGCAGGATTTAACAGTGTTGTTGCGTGTACAGAATGAAGTCCGCATATGCAGCAGGACTTCCCAACCATATACTCACCCCACCCCCCTAAATATGCACTGGATGATTGGGTGGACCCCCAGAACAGCATTAGGGGGGGCAGGGGGGAGTATTGTTGCATGAGCAGACCTCATGTTGTACATGCATATAGCCTACTTAGCACTACATTGAATTCCACCCTAAGTATACAAAGTATGTGTGCTGTCACTTAGCTAGAAACCTTCCCCAACACATATCCATCACTTTTTTAAAACGGACACATGAACATGCCAAGAAACACAGGGCAGTTACAACTTTTTTATAAAACAAAGTTTTTAAAAGTTTACAAAATAGTATTAGCAGTTTGTGTTGCTGGTCACTAATGATTTCATGGGTATATAGAAAGCACTCATCCTTGCAGCATACAGAAGTACAATATATAATTTTCACAACAAAGTCATGTAATATGAGTGCTTGGAAAATCCAGAAAGATGTGACTGAGTAACCTTTAGGAGAGATGTTTTTCCTGAACTGTGAGAGAACAGTTTTGGAGACTAGCACCATTTCTTTTTCCACAGACACTAGAGCATGTTCAGAAAATGTTTGGCCTCCAGATGTTACTTAAATATTACTCCCTTTATCCCTGACCATTGACCATGCTTGCTGGAGCTGATAGGAGTTGTACTTCAGCAACATGTGGAGGACTAAAGGTTCCCCACACCTAAACAACTCCAGGCATGTTGGCTTGAAGCTGCACGAAGCCTTATTAGCAGCAGAGAAACTCCCACTGATGTCTTACTCCTTATTTTGATATGGTGGTGGATAAAGCTAATGTTTTATTTTCAAGCATAATTTAAAATGTTTTCTTTCCACCATAATGGGATTTTTTACTTTATAGATACAAACCTCCATCCACAGAGAATAACCCTACCCTGGAAGACCCCACACCAGACTACATGAATCTACTGGGAATGATTTTCAGTATGTGTGGCTTGATGCTGAAGGTGAGTATTGCAGTGCTTGGACTTTTGACTTCAGGACATGCAGAACATTAGCTGAGCAAATTAAGCACAAGATTCTACCAGCTGCTTGTTGTCTTGTAATTATTACACTGCTGTTGGATTGTATAATTTTGAAAATCATATAATCTCTGGAAGGTAATCTCTCATCAACAACCCCAGGTTAGTTTAATGTGCCTAACAGACCTGGATTGAGCATCTTATTCTAGTAGTAAATGACACAGCTTCTTTTCCTTCTTTCTGTCGGATTAACTGCATAATATTCCTGTGCTTAAACCTTCCCTATTTCCCTGCTATTTTAGTCTCTCCAAGGAACGCTGCCCAACTGCTAAACAATTCTTCGCAATAGTTAGATAAGAGAATAGTGCACAGATGATGAACATTTATTGGGCCCCAAAGGCTGATGAATCGGTTGAATGTTGAGAGTAAATAATGATTTCATGATGTTTCAATTCATGTTAGCTATAGAGTCTAATTTGCAATTACTTATAAAGATCTCTGAGTCAGAGTGCTTCACTTTTCTTCTAGATAAGAGAGGTAATAACACCTGTCAATTGTAGAATAAGAGTCTGAAATGATATCAAGTCATTGAACAATGGCATTAGTTAATAATTGTAATAATTGTAACAATTACAATGTGATTCAACCATAAACTCCAAATTAAAGCACCCATTTAAGTATATGGTATGTCAAATCTATGCTAATATTAACAGATGCTTATAGTTCATCCAGAAAAGGATAAAATCTTATGACAATGTATATACATATTATATTAATTTAAAGAGCATTTTATTTTTCATTAAGACTTTTACGAATGATAGCATTTAATGAAAAAAATACAGAAAGACTTACTCTGTAACAATATATTGAGATCTGTATGGTAATATCTGTGTCTTTGAACCTTAAAAATGGCCAGTAAATGACTTAAATTTCCATTTGATTGTGTTTACTAACAAAACGTTGAACTAAAGCAGGGGTAGGCCGGATGCGGCCCTGTCGCCTTCTCAATCCAGCCCACGGACGGTCCAGGAATCAGCATGATTTTACATGAGTAGAATGTGTGCTTTTATTTAAAATGCATCTCTGGGTTATTTGTGGGACATAGGAATTTGTTCGTTTTTGTGTTGTTTTTTTCAAAGTATAGTCCAGCCCACCACATGGTCTGAGGGACGGTGGAACGGCCCACGGCTGAAAAAGGTTGCTGACCCCCGAACTAAAGGGACTTTCCGACTCTTATTCTTGATCTTTCTTGTATGTTGCACAGTTCCGATTCACAACTAACATTGGTTTTTTCTGACACAAAATTACAAAAGCTGGCTCTTTTGTAGTTAGTTTTGAGTTTATATTATATAGGTGAACACTCTAGATATTTGAAATGCCCATGGACAATGTGCTATCATTTGAGAGGTCTGAATGCATTACTATGACTTTAATTTCATAGTTCCCTGGAAATCAAATATATTTTATAATTAGCGTGTCCATTTACTTTGAATGAGCTTCATGTCTTTAAAACTGAAGACAATTCCTCAAGGGGAAGGGTCGTAAGCTCAGTAACAGAACTTCTACTTTTCTCCCAAGTTCCATCCCTGAGGTAGGGACTGAAGTGTCCCCTACCTGAAACCCTGGAGAGTCATTGTCAATCATTGTAGACAATACTGAGCTAGACGGAGCAATAGTCTGACTCACCGTAAGGAAGTTTCCTATGAATTGAGTAAAGAAACAAGGCAGAGTGCTTATCATGGTTTTACACTTTTACTAAGGAATAAATAGTATTGCTTAATCCTTGAGACTTCATTAAAGCTTTCACTACATTACTCTGTGCTGTTTGCAGCTAAAGTGGTGTGCCTGGATTGCTGTCTACTGTTCATTCATCAGCTTTGCCAATTCTCGGAGTTCAGAAGATACCAAACAGATGATGAGCAGCTTCATGTGAGTCAGGTTCTTTTACTTCTTTCAGCCTTTCACTGAATCCTGTGTTAATTTCTTACTGCTGCCAAGTCTACTTTGAGACGAGAAGCACACAGCTGCTTTCCCTTTGCCACAAACAGTATGCAGTTGCACATGGAAAGTTAAGGGTACAGCACTTGTGTGGAAACTTCAACCAGCATCTCTTGCCCAGAAACTATTGCTCTGAAAGATTATAAAGCTCAAGGCAAGCCCGACCCTGAGGATCCCTTCATTGGAATGAAAATGAGTGGCCTGGCACCTTGAATACCCACAATGGAGCTCTTGGATGTAACTAATCCAATCTCCCCCATGCCCAAATCCAGTCTGGGCTAATTTCTCTAGTTATATTTAACCTACCACACTTTTGCTGCTTGTCTCAGCAGATTAATCATTAGTAACAATACTTCTTCCTTTTCCTCCTAATCTAGTCAACCTCATTTTGGGGTAGCCTTAATCATTCAGACCTTGTAATAACGTATTCACAGATAAATATTTATTCTGCCTTTTTCTTAATGAGTTCCATTCTTTCTGATTAAGTCATTTACTTCCCAGAAACCTTGAAGTGTTGCTTCACTTGCCAGGCTAGGGCTGGGGGGCTGGGGCTCTCCAGATGTTGGGTTCTAAGCCACATCAGCCCCAACTAGCATGGCTAGTGGTCAGGGATGTTTATAAAGTTGTAGTCCTCCAGATATTGATAGACTACAGGCTTCACATCCCTGATCCCAAGGATCCTAATGTACATGCTAGCTCACTTTAATATGGCTATGGTGCTAATTTTCTGAGCCAGCTCTATCTGTGGCTGGCTGTTCCTTCTTTGGGAATTGAGCTAGCGGCTGCAGCAGAAAGAGGTTCCCCTTGTACCAGACTCATTCCCCAATCCTCCAGTGTCTCTGAGGGATGCACACACAGGACACACATTCAGGTTCAAACTCAAGTCAAATACACAGTTCCCAAGCAAGCTTAGTAACACATCCCATATAAACTTTTTAATTTGAATACACTGAACACACTGAGATTCTTTGGTCACATTTGTAATTCATTCTGTTGACAATACTATTTGCATTGCTATTATTGGTGTAATATTAACGTTCCTGCCCTGATTATAACTCCTGTCTTCTTTCCAGGTTGTCTATCTCGGCTGTAGTGATGTCCTATCTGCAAAACCCACAACCCATGTCTCCTCCTTGGTGAAAGGTTATTGCCTCTCTTCAGAGCTCCTCTTGCAAAACAGAGGTGCATGCCCTCAACAGAGAGGACTATTTTCTCAGGCAATGCAGATCCATTTGCACATGTCTTGGGAGTACTCATTTTGCTGCATTAATAAAGTGATGGTTATTAGAGATGCTTTGGCTACACTGCCAACTTGGCTTAGTGTGTTAATACGTAATGCATTTCACTTGAACTGTAGTTTAGTTCTTAGCCAACCAAACATCTACAGTGTGCTCTGACTGTACTTCCTGTACTGTTCGGGTTTTCTGCCCAGTTAAAAAAGGAAATACTCCTATTCAGAATAACAACGTCCTCAACTTTTACAAACCAATTAAAAGAAGCATCTGCTTTTAGAATCAAGTACTGAAGCCAATTAGCGTACCACAGAAATCATCTCTTGGGAAACTCATTTCTGTACATATCTGTACTGCTAGGTAACTTCCCACTGTAGCCTGTAATCAGAGCAGGAGTGCTGTACAGTAAAGGCATTTCGTCAGTCAGCGCCCCATATCTAGCCCTGTATTCTGAAGGTGTCCGAGGCAGCAACCTTGCTCAATATTGATTTTATGTTAAAATCTTTGGATTTATTTGCAGCAGTTTTACCATGCTCTTCAGCTGAAAAAAAGTGCATTGAGCAGCTCGCACCTGTTTGTATATGTGTATTTTTGCACATACAATGAATGTGATTCAGCAAAGGATTTAAAACAATAACAAAGGATTGTTTTATGCAATGCATATTTTGTGGGTGACTAGTCAGATTTGTACTAGAGTTTGAGTTTAGAATGAGATGGCAGCAGTAAATGAAGTGAATGATTTTGCACTATTAAGTCTAGTATTACCTTTTACATAAAACAAGAACAATCAAACAGCAAGGGAAAGACTGCAGCATTATTCTTCTCATTTGCTTTAAGGCTCTTTGGCTAAGTGCCAGGGAATGGGATGCAGCTGTTGATTCAGGCGCTCTCTTCCCCCTCCCCATTTTTTTCTATGCTTTCTGCCTTCCAGACAAATCCTCCTGCATATCTTTGTGAGGAGGGGGGACGCTTGACTGGTCTGGGGGAGTGGTAGAGCTGGAATACCAAGCAAGAGGGGCTGCGATCCCAGACTGGGAGGGAATCCAGCCTGGGAGGGCCTGTTGTAGGGAGCTGGGATCACAGGAGAATTTGAAGGGGCTGTCAGTCATGGGAAACGGGGAAAGGTTTGCTTAGTTTATAATTGTGCCGCTGCACAAAGGATGGAAAGGCCCTCGGGTAAGTATCTCAGGACAGATGCCCTTGCGATCACTTTAAATTGATAAAAAGTTGTGGTTGGTCACGTATTTTAACTGGCTTTGCTAATATCACCGAACCGTGCCAGGCAAAAATTAAGCGAAGCTTTCTCTAGCATGGCAGATAAAGCTTCGCCTGCTTCAATTCCGTACAGTGTCGCTCTGCGGTTTAGAGTACAAAAGCAGGAGTGGTACACGCAGCAACAAAAGGCGGCGACTTCAGATTAGCCAACTAAAATTACCCTCGCCAATCTCCCCACTCCATGCTATCTTCGAAGCGTTGGAGGAAATTCTAGCGTTGTACGGAGCCGGGGGACTGGCAAGAAAGCTTAGAAGCAAGAGGGTGCGAGCCGGGGGGGAAAATGGGTTTTCCTTTCTTCGCACGGCGTCGGCGCTCTAAACCGCGTTGACCTGGGGCAGAACCTCTTTAGACCAGAAAGACGAGTGTGTTTGGGGAAGCGGGCGGGAAAGGATCGTGTGGATTCGTGAACGCCCGCCCACCGGCTTTGTTTTGAATATACATTGGAAACCCTTTCATCCGATCGCGACTTCTGCGCCTTTAAGAGAGTCGAAACCCCGCCGCCGCCGCCGCTCCCTTCCCCTCCCCGATCTATTTTGGCTCGGCGCTGCTTTCATTTCCGCCTTCCTGTTCCGCAAGTGGTGCCAGGAAATTCCCCGCTTCCGCGCTGGCCGGGCAGGAGCCGGGGGCGGAGCGGAGGCCGCGTAGCCGGTGCGGAATGCAGCCGGAGGGGGCAGGCGCAGGCTCCAGCTAGTCCTCTTAATCGCACACGCCACCCAGGAGGCTTAGGGAGGCCGGCCAGAGGCAGCGTATCCCTCCGCCCTGACCTACATTTCCCGCGCTCCCGAGACTTCCCTGCAAGGGCGGGGAGCCGAACACCTGGATCCAGGCCGCCGTTCACACGTGACGCCGGGCCCGCGAGAGGAACTTTGCACGCGCCTGTGTGGGCGCTGCCGGGACGCCGCAGACCCGCAGGCCAGGAAGGCGTTGCTATGGCGTGCAAACATTGCGCCGCAGCGGCCTTTGAAGGCGGCTCCGCGTGTGCGAGATAGATCCTTGCCTGCCTGGCGTCTTGTTTAAACGGGGCCCTGATGCTGGTATTTAAGGCACCCTCAGGACGTCTGATGCCTGACTTGGAAGCTCGGCTCCTTAGCTCCACATGGCTGGGCTGTGGTTGCTTCGTAGTGAAGGAGGCTCCCTCTTCGCATTGTTAAAGACCCTGCCCTTAATAGGTTGTTTCTCACGTTCGTAGGCTGCAACCTTGACAGAAAAAACCAGATTTAAGAGAGCCGAGCCCACATGTTCCAGTGCCCAGCCTTGGTTCAAATAAAGACGTGGTTGTTTTCCCCAAAACGAAGGGAGAGTATCCAGTTCATGAAACTACTGAAGAATACTCCTGACTTGTTTTTCAAAAGAACGGGGCTATTTATTTTATCTTACTCAGAGCAGTGAAGCTTGTTTGATGAACAGCTTACGTGTGGAGAGACCTTTGCCCTGCATGCAGTAAACCTAGTGTCCTCCCCTACAGCACTCTGGAACTGAGCTAACCACCAGGAAACACTGGTGGAGTGCGTGTTTGGGTGTAGCAAGGAAAGATAACCAGCGCCCAGTTGCGATATTAGTGTCTGAATGACTGTGTGCTTTGTATGCAAACGGTCCCAGGTTCACTCCAGGTAGGGCTATTAAAAATTATTGTGTTAAACCATGAAGAGACACTGCCAGTCAATGTGTGCAGACCAGAGTTTTCCAAACTCTGTCGTGACAGACACATTAGTGTGTCGGCCGCAGTGTGTAGATATGTCACATGAATACTCTTCACGCTCCTCCTCGGGCTGCAAAGGGGTTCATTTAACCTCTGCTTTGCTAGTAAAATTGAATTAATGTGTTGCAAAATAATGGATGTCTAAAAAGTGTGTCAACAACATGAAAAGTTTGGAAAGCTCTGGTGTGGACCTACATGGATTTGATATGAGGCTGCTTCCTATACTGTATTCTGTCCTATAGTTAAAACAAGAAGACTGTGACAGTTATGTGTAAAAAACTTGAATATAGGCAAGATCAGCATAGTGACCATACACAGCAGCTGTATGGTAGTTAAGAAGCAGAAAAAAGTGCTATGAGCAAGAGGCACCCATTTGTTTGAATGACACCTCCCCGCCTGTACCCCTGACTTCCTAACAGACAGCAGAGGGCAAGCGCCAGGGATGGGCGATGTTGGCTGCACAGGAAGAAAAAGGGAAGTGGCTGTTGGAGGGGGGTGGGGAGCTACTGCTTTGGGGAAAGAAGGAAGGAAGGAAGGCAGCCTCACCCTATCAATGCTGCTTCCTCTTCATGTCTGCCGCCACCAGAATGGGCAGTGCCAGCATTACTGATTTACACTAAAGTACAAAACACTGTTTCTGTTTACATACTTAGTACAACAGATACCTAAACTTACGTTTTAGAAGACATCTGTAGGAAGCCCTGTTGAGGGAGGTTTTTAAGGACTGGTGTTTTTATTATGTTTTCAGATATGTCATAAGCTGCCCAAGAGGGACGCGGGTGGTGCTGTAGGTTAAACCACAGAGCCTAGGACTTGCTGATCAAAAGGTTGGTGGTTCGAATACCCCCGACGGGGTGAGCTCCTGTTGCTCGGTTCCTACTCCTGCCAACCTAGCAGTTCAAAAGCATGTCCAAGTGCAAGTAGATAAATAGGTACCGCTCCGGCAGGAAGGTAAACGGCGTTTCCATGCACTGCTCTGGTTCGCCAGAAGCGGCTTAGTCATGCTGGCCACGTGACCCGGAAGCTGTGCGCTGGCTCCCTCGGCCAGTAAAGTGAGATGAGTGCCGCAACCCCAGAGTCGGTCATGACTGGACCTAATGGTCAGGGGTCCCTTTACCTTTAAGCTGCCCAGAGTGGCTGGGGAAACCCAGCCAGATGGACTGGGTATAAATAATAAAATTATTATTATTATTATTCCTAAAATCCATTATTTCATACAAAGACCTTAACTACACTTGCATTACAGAGTGTTATGAGTTGCGGGGGGGGCTATATGCCTGACCAGTGGCAGACTTTGGGTTCTCATATTTCAGTGGCACCCTGGGTGGCGTCAAAAATTAGCACCTCTCTGCCTCTTGTGCTTCACTCTAAATCATAGTTGCTGCGTCCTCAATGGTGCCCCCCAAGGTTCTGCGCCCAGTGCTCCCCTAAATCTGCCTCTAATCTGGCCTGACCCCACTTCTAATTGTTGGATCCAGTACAGATTCCATTTCTGAAATACCCAAGTTAGCTTCCCAGTAAGGTAATGAACTTATAAGTATGGGCCTTTAAGGTAACAAAAGAAGTGGCTCTGTGCTAGAAGTCACATGGGTGGGTTCCCCTCCCTCAACTCGCTGGTAGTTACAAAGACAAAGCCAGAGTTAGGTCTTGAGTTATGTGAGCTAGAAGTTGCCTGGCTGAGCAGCTGGGAGACAGAGCTATGCCTGATTTCTGCTGGAATCTAAGTCTGTGGAGATGGGAGAAGCAAGATCCTCTTGGGATGTTAATGCTGTGAACCCCTCCATCGTAGGCTCGGGTTGTATAGATGTGTGAATAAACCACACAACATAAAGACACGACAATCTCCACTGTCCCTCATTCCAAAGAAAACCAAGCCCTGGGTACCCTAGAATCTTGCACCACTCAGAGACTGGGGTGGCGTGCAACAATTTGCTCCTCCTTCAGACACACTATTAGCACCAGTGTGCATGTACTCTTTCTCCCTATACCTCTGGTCAGCAACTCGATTTTGTTAGACGGCCACTTCAGAATGGAATAGGATTGGCAGGCCCAGAACCCCAAGCTCCATCCCCTAAAGTGGCCTGTCAGTGAAGCTTGTGACAGCTGCAACTCTCATCATGCTCCTCTTTTATCTCTTGCTTTGCATCTGAGTGGTCAGGCAGTGGGAAAGAAATTTGGCCAAGTGGTCATTAGTGGACACTTCTGCACTGCACACAAATACATATATTAAGGCACATTAATTACCACATCACATATGCATACAATTTTCTCTCTCTCTCTCTCTTTTTTAAAAGCCATGTTAGTATTTTCAATACACACACAAAACTACATGTCCAATACCTCACTGACATAAGTGCAAGCCATAAAATGGTTTGCGCACTTATGGCAAAAAGGCTTTTCACTTGTGCTGCAGGTGTTTGAGGACTCCCATATCCTTGTCCCAAATGTAAAACTCCCTAAGTCTTGTGTTTTGGAAGTAGAAGAAGCTGCTTTGTATGAACTTTTTGGATAAAAGTAGCAGCTGGCGGCCAGTTGTGAAACTGAGCTTGTCTACAGGATGCAATTTCTGAGAAGCAAGATTAGTTTGGGGTCATTCCAGAGAAAGGAGGAAAGTCTGCCTGCTGGCTTTCTGCTTCTAAAGCCACAAGGCCTTATTATGATGAATGAAAACTGGAAGGAGATGGAACTTTGGAAATGCCCAGAGGAAGACTGAGCAGTGGCAAACCAAATACAGATCACAGCATTCGGCCTTTTATGGGTCTTTGACTGAGAAGTTCCGCTTTGCTTCCAAAGTTTCACCACCCTTACAACCACTCAGTCCA